CTCCAAAGTTGGGAGAGTTCTTTATTGCCCAATCTCCATCTTTGCCTCCTGTAAATGCAAAAGAGATCCCACATGGAGCTTAATACTCTTATTTAGATTTACTAGTTGCTTCTCACTTGCAATGGATAATTGACTAGAGATAACTTTCATGCCTGTCAATTTCTTGCATATAAAGTATTCTGAATTTCTAACCGGTTAGATAAAAAAAAAAGGTCAGGGAAGCATACCGTCTCTTTTGCCCTGCAGTAGGCGATTTCTTCTCTATCGGTTGCTTTTCAAATGGTGGGCATCCATCACGTTTCCACCAGACCTGTTTTTGTGTGTATTGTAAAAATCATTATTGATACTTGCCTTCAAGCCAGAAAGTAAGAGAGAAAGCAGCCAACGTACCCAATTCTTTTCGCGCTCCAGTATATGCTCAACTGCACGGAGGAATTCTTTCCCTTTAGGCGGAGTGATCTCAAGCAATTTCTTTACGCGATCCTCACATGACTTGATTTCCTCCTTCTAGGACGAAAAGACAAACCAACCATAGTTTTAAGTATACTCGTATATAATCTAGGTTTGTCAACCTTTGAAACAAAGCAAGAGAACATTTGCTCATTGAAAAAGCAAAAACACTAACCATGGTTTCAGATGGCAGATCTTTGTCGTTCTTCCCCGGTGCCTAATACGAAACAGGAGTCAGTTATGCCAGAATACCAGAGAAAAAGTAGTTCAATGTGCAATTCTTGAGAGATATTTACCCTCAGATAATCAAACAGAATGAGGCACTGGAGAAGAATATGTCGTCGGAAACTCGAATCCTTTAACTGGTGACCAAAAGCGAAACAAAGTGTGTTAAAGGCTAATTTCATAAGTTTCAATTGTATGTCAACACGTTTGAAATGTATTCTACACAGAGAAATACGTGTGCATCCACATCGTACTTACCTCTAAACCCATCAATTTACTACTTGTTAGGTATTTTATATTAAAAGTTGCTGCATCTTCCTCCAAACTATTAGCCTCTCCCTCTTCTTCGCTCAGTGGTTGAGCATCAAAGGTGTTTAATACAACCTACACAGGCAGTTAAAGAAACGAGGTCTAAGATCAACACCATCGGCATGAGATGTAAGAGACCGGGTTATGCGTTATAGCCAAAATTCATTGATCACATACCGCCAAACTAGATGAAAATTTCTGCCACTTGGTAGGTGTGGAAGTAAGAGAAGCGGGATTACAGAAATAGTCCTGGGATTGAAACAAAAGGTTAACTGTGATGCTATCTCAACTAAGGATTTTGTATGATAAGCAAACAGAAGTTCTATGACATAACCCTTATGATAAAGGTGGAACAGAGTTCCTAATTAATACGTACCTGTAAACTCCAAAATGTCTTATAGAAGTTGAAATCTACAGAAATGCCTGTGAAGCAATGGCATAGACAGAACAGGTAGCACGTATTAGAATAGTCTAAAGATATAAGGAACAGAAACCATTAGATAAGAGTTTACTTACCATTTGGAGGATCTTTTTCATATTTGGTTTCATTCGATGTATTAAACACGCCTTTTATATTCACAGCTGCAAGAATAAGTTAAGCAAGTAGAAAAAGTTAACCAACTACTCAACATTCACATATCCAAAAATCAAATATGCAATCAATTACGAGAAACCCTTGTTACCTGAGCGCTCAGATAGCGGGAAAAAGTGAGCCAAAAACATGAGAATCCTTCCACAAAATACAACATCATTGGCCTGTATGCCAGATAGTGAAACCAGAAAACGAATTAACAAAGAGTGTAAGTGTTATAACTGAGAAACCAGATTATGACTAACAATAAGATCGACAAAGGGAACTAGAAAAGGGTGGAGATAATGAACCTTTGAGAGTCGTCGGAGAAGTTGGTTGCAAGTCCTCAACATAACAAGTTTCCCGCGTGCGAAAAGCTCTTGCTGCAAAGAATTGTAACACCCAAGTCCAAAGAAAAGATACTCATACAACTAATACAAAGAGGAGAAGTTTGATTTCATCTAAAGACATACCTTGCCCAATATATCTTGTTTGCTTTCGATATAACCAAAAACATCTTTACAATTCTTCATAGTAGACATTTCAGTCAAATCCTCCAGCAGCTGGAATATCATGCCACCTTCTACATGCTCTTTCTCACAAAGATAAAGCACAACATCTAACAAACCAATTGAAAAAAAAAAAGGAGCAGGACGATCGTGAGAGGTTGGACAAAAGTAGTCAGCAACAATCAACAAGATGACTATATGAGAATAAGATGTTTTATGTTGCTAACCTAGAAGATGAGGAATCTGTCCATGTGTATTTTCATCATCATCATCATCAATCAACTGACCATACTGCATTATTTGCTCTCCTGATTGCGCAGCAGAAGCCTGAAACGGAAAACACAAAGAGAAATCAACACAATAAAACAACTGACTAAATCAACAAGCATATGCATACAACGAAAATATCTAGTGGAGAAGCAACAGACCACTAGCTCCTGCAGCAACGTCCGGAGCATGTTTTCAAGCATTTGGTTTTCATCTTGGGCCAACTTCGTTTGTTTCTGTTTGACATTAAATATGGACTAAAACTTAGCAAAATTGACATAACAGATACACTGAAGAGTGGAAACTTTGATTTTTGATTCCAAAGAGTTACCTGAGGTTGTATAAACTCTTGAACAGTCTTGAGCGCAAAGGTTTCAATTGGACCTCGCTGCAGTATAGCATCTCTAAATGCATCCTGAGAAGAACCATTACACAATTCAACTTTAACGATAAACACCATAAGCAATTCAAATCGAAATCTGTAAATATGGTGCCATATTCGGTCAGTGCTATAGATTTGACAACAACAAAGTAGCTAAAAGTCGTGTTTTTCGGAATTTTTCTTCCAGTTCCCAAAATTAGGCATAATCACAAAAGGGTTGTAGAATACCATTCTGAATGAACCAGCTTCCGCCTTGAATTGCCTGCCTGTAAATTGGTAATGGAAAGCTCTTGAGTCCAAAAAAATCTAACCGGATTTTCGCTGACGGAGAAAAGGAGCAAGGAAGAGGAATTTACCGATGACAACAACACTGGCGATTTGCAACCGGCGAAAGCTTTGAGCAGAAAGCGACTGGAATTATGAGTCGCCGGGTTTTTGGAAGATTTAAAACACTGCGACGGTTTAAATTGAATCGAGGACGAAAGTTGAAGCAAAGAAGAAGAAGAACAGTACAATTTAGGGTTATTTTTTAATTTTTTAATTTAAGTAAATATTATTATTATTTTATTGGATGGATTGGGTTTTTTTTTTTTTTTCCTGAGGTTCGTCCATTAATGTCGAATGAATCTTTTTTTTTTTGGGGGATCAATATCGATATAAAATTGTTAGTGTGCTTTAATACATCTACTGATATCATATATTGAGTCTATATAAAGACGTAGTGTTTTGTTTGGGAATCACACAAAACAAAGCATGGGTGAAGAAATACCTAACATTGAATACTACAAGTATTCTCTTTCTCATTCCGAGGTTTTAATCCTCACTCTCAGTAATCTTCGTCGCAATTCGAAGGTGGTGTCGCGTGTCCGTGTCCGCCGGTATGTTTCAACTTGCCGAGAAACGATGATCGGTTTATATAAGATATCTAAAGGTTTTTGTATTTCAATCTCCCTATCTAAAGGTTTTTGTATTTCAGTCATTGACTTACACACTACTACGTACGCAGATAGAGAGATTGAAATGCAAAAATATTTGTATCCGAAACATATTAAAAGCAATGTGTATCCGAAAAATATTTAAACATACAAAATATTTGCTCATCTTTTGCTAAATTATGTCTAAACTAACAATAAATATATGCTCATCTTTTGCTAAACTAGGTCTAAGCTAATGCTAAATTTAGTAAAATATTATATAAGAAAATTTAGTTATATTTTTATCACTTAATATATTTTATCTTATCTTTTTTTTGTTGGGACCCTATTTGGTCATGAACTCTTTTTTTAACATCCCACTATTTTTTAGTAATTTGTTATTAGTTGAGAATTTTTTTTTAAAATGTGCCCTAGACTAAATAATTTTCTGGATCGGCCACTGGTAGTAGGCCGCACCTGGTCTAGTGCCTCATAAGACATTTTGAAAAGGTTCAAATTCAAAAAGCAGCTTTGGTACAAGACAAAATGGAGAAGGTTCGTGTTCTTGTCTTCTTGATGCGTCTCTAACTGGCTAGCTTCGAAAATTTGATAAGTATATATAAGACGGCTTTGTTTCATTTTTTTATTACTTAAGTTGGAACATTTATTTTGGGCTTAAATTTCATAGGCCCATTAATGAAAGTGTCGAAAACATGTATTTTGTTAAATTTGCAACTTCCGTTTTCTCTGCAATTAAAAACGAAAAAAAAAAGTAAACGCCATTATTGAAAAACACACACCTCTCTCTCTCTCACCTCTCTCTAGCTGTTCATCTCCCCAACCACAACAAACCAACTTGTTTTGCTTTGCTCTGTCCAGGGCAAGAGCATCCTGATTAAAGCAATTCTCTTTTGTTTTCTTCTATTTTTCTTAATTTACTTGTGATTGAATATTTTGTCCGAAAGAATATTTAACGAAAACTAAAAAATTCTTACAGAAGCAATAACACCCCAAAAACCAAATTCTAAAGCCTCAAATTTGGAATATTCCCTTTCATCTTCCTCTCTTTTTTCCTTCTGCCATTTCCTTATTGATCTAAGTCACCTCTGTTTCTGTTTTTGGTTTTCTCTCTTCCTCGTCACAGTAAAAGCGTCATCAGAGCTTGGAAAGGGTCGTCCTTTAATCTGATTCTTATTGTTTCATCTTCAAAGGATTGAATCTAAACTTTTTCTGTCTTCTTTCTCGACTTTTTTAAATCCTCCGACGATGAATCGAATTCATCATTTCTAGATCTGGCGATATAACACCAATTCCCGTAGAGCTCTGTTTTTTATTCATTTGAAGTAACCGAGACATTTTCGTTGCCGGCGGCAATGGATTTGGACGATTTCCGGTCGATTATGGATAACGCAGGCGTCGACGTTTGGACGTTTATCGACACCGCGATTCTCGTGGCGTCGCTTGATTACGGTCAAGAGCTGAAGCGGCGGAGAGACAACATCGTGGAGCGTCTGTACGCGACGTCGATGGCGAACAAGTGTAGAAACTGCGATTTCGGCGGCGGAGGAAGCGTCGCGGAGGCTGCGGTTGCTAGGGTTAATGGGAGGATTCACGAGGAGACGCTGATGGAGGAGGAGGAGGAAGAAGGAGAAGCAGTAGCAGCAGGGGAAGAAGAAGAGGAAGTGAGAGAGAAATCTGTTAATGGTGACGACGATGACGATTTCGATCCGTTTGCTGGTTTGTTTGATGATGAGCAGAAGAGTGTTCTCGAAATCAAGGAGAGACTTGAAGATCCTGATCTGGTTTGCTTTTATCTCTCTTGAGTCTTAGATTGTTTTCAAGTGTGTTCGTTCGATAAGAAGTGTGTTTTGTTATGTTTTTTGTGTTACAGTCTGAAGAAACTTTGGTTGAGCTGCTTCAGAATCTGGAAGACATGGACATAACATTCCAAGCTCTTCAGGTAAATTGAGTCAAAGCCGAATAGAACAACAACAAGACTCTTGATTCTTGTTCAAATGTGTTGAAAGTTTATGACTTTTGGTCGCATCAGGAAACTGATATTGGGAGGCATGTGAATCGAGTTCGGAAGCATCCGTCGAACAATGTTCGAAGATTAGCTAAACAGCTTATCCGGTTGCGACCAAATTCACAGACTTTTCTTCTGCTCAGTTTCAACTATCAAGTTGATCTCTAATTCCACTTGTCCTTGCAGAAAATGGAAGGAAACAGTAGACGAATGGGTCAAACTTAACCAGCCTGGTGATCTCGATCCTCCGAGTTTGATAGGTAAAACAAAAACAACTCATGAATCTCAGAACAAACATCATTCTTACTTATCATCAGTCTCAAGCAATATCTTCATTGTAGCCGATGAGGACTCGCCGCAGCAGAAAGCTCTAAATAACGGGAATCGCCAACAGGTAACTAAAAACAGAAACCGAAACTCTTTTTTGTTTCGTGGTTAGTCACTGAACTTCAATTGTTATCTTTGTTTTTGCTATGGCAGGTTCCTGATTTCGGATATTCACCGGTTCCTCAGAGTAAGTTAATGAATAAAGTTTCAATCTTTGTCAATATTTGACCCATAAAGCTAATTCCTCTGGTTTTGGACAGATGGGTATTCCGGTTCAAGCAAGAACAATAGCATTACGCCAGAGAGGAAACAAAGACCTGTTGCTGCTGCTGCTCCTCCTCCTAGGAGAGAATCTCCATCTCCAGCTAAACCTTCTCGTCCTTCTCCTTCTCAACAGATCAATCAAGTACATACATTACCAAACTGTAGTATCCTAGTAACGTTGTTTCAAGTCTTGATTGGTGATGAATTTGGTTTTGGGAAATGCAGAGGGAGAAAGAGCACAAAGAAGTTGATTTTGACACGGCCCGGAAAAGGCTACAACAAAACTACAGACAAGCCGAGAATGGTTTTTAATTTTCAATCCATTTCTGTTTTAGCTTTTTGACATTTCTCTACTTGGTGTTGGATCCTTGTCTGACCGCATTTTACGCGTGTTTGTTTTTGAGTCCAGCGAAAAAGCAAAGGACAATACAGGTGATGGACATTCATGAGATCCCAAAACCTAAGAAAGGAGGGTTTTTTCCGAGGAAAGGCGGCGGCGGCAGTTCTCAAGGCGGCGGTAGATGGTAAATTATAAAGTGAAACGAGGAAGAAGAGAGAACAAAAAAAGACAAAAAGACAGAGGACAAAAGCTCTGTTTTTTTCTTCTTGAGACAGATGACAGTGAAATCTAAAAATGTTTGGAATTAAGTTGGTGGGTACACTTGTTTTCCGTTTTGTTGTTACTAGTATTATTTTTTTCTGATACAGAACATAATAATTTTCTTGGATTTTTATGAATATTAGATTCGGGAAAATCAAGTTTACTTGCATTAGAAACTAACCACATTTGTTCTCTAGAGAAAATGAAATTGATTCTTTTGGTTAATGCATTGTATATCTGATTATTTGACCTTTTTGATGTTTTTTTTTCCATGCAGATTTCACGTTTTGCAGGATTTTTCTTTTTCTTTTTTTTTTTAATCAGTTACGGCAATGTAAATTCAAGTTCTATTTAACGGGTCAATCTTGTGAATTATTTTTTAGGTTAACAGTAGGTACCCGAGATAAATTTACTACAATGGTACAAAAGGATGAATGTAAATTTATTATGTCGATCTTATCTTCCATGTTTGAGAAAGCAAAAGAAAAACGGATTTTTTTCTTTTTGACTTTGTTGTGTGTTGTTATAGCCTTGAGACCCCGTTACGACGTCGGTCCACTATTAGATGATGAAGGAGACATTTCTTAGTTGATGAAGGAGACATTTTTGTTATCTTTTTGACTGAATCATTTTGGATACGCATGAGCTGTTTTGTTTTAATTATTGTATTGAAATACTTATACAAGGGATTTGATAATAATTGATATCGGCATACTTTAAGGGATCAAGACAAGATTAGCTTAAACAATTAGATTAGTTTTCTTTCTTTATCCATTTTTTCAGTACTTTTGATGTGATTTTTCAAGTTAAGTGTCCATTGAGAATACTCAAATGGCAAAGCTAATCCCACTAAGCAACTCCACATGCACGCCACAATTTCAAACTTTTCATTATCTGTATACTTAACAACAAAAAAACAGAAAATAACCCCTTTTTTTTTTTCCAAAAAAGTTTATAAACAGTCAGCAATTCAGCCATGAAAGGTGTTAGATAAAATACTGTTTTTAATTACGGTTTGTTGACGTGTTTAATACCTACTTATAACCAAAAGCAGGCCATCATCGTCTTAATCTTTCCAAATAATTGTATCACTCCATCTCCATGCTCATATATTAAGGTTACATACCTCTTGGAAACCACGTGATATTTAATTATGAAACGACAAGATTAAACTACCAATTAAATGCAAGCGACCGCTTAGATAACTACACTTCAACCAAATTTGACTTTATTTTTCATGAACCGGATTCGGTTTACCATAGAACAAACCTCAAACCGGCATCCACAATTTAGTTCACTAAAAGTCAACTCCGACTCACTAGACTTCTGAATCTTTGACAAACGAATACGTCTTTGAAGGCTTTTGCTTTCTCTCTAGTTTCTCCATCTTAACTTCCCCACCTGTGCCTCTGTGATAAGCATCCAGAATTTGCAACAAGGAGCTCTCTTTATCTCCACCATTCATCTCTTGCTTCTTCTTCTTCGGGCTGTCTCTCTCTGACTCAGAATCTTCATCCTCTGAGAGAGATGGTTCATACACTGGAAGCTTCTTGTTCGTCGGCTGGTTAGGTGCAGCATCAGAAACTGGACCGAGCTCTTCGAATGACAAGTCTGATTCATCTTCTTTTCTAGACTTACCACCTGGTGAAGGAAAGATGTATCCAGATGATATCTTCACTCCGGGCATTACTTGAACCAGAGACTGTAGGTTTTCGTAACCGAGCTTGTCAATCGCTAAATGGTATCCGTATTCCTCCAAGAAGTCTTTCCTGAATCGAATCAGGCTATACCCTTCAGGGTTTTTCTCAGTTATCTTCTTTATCAGCTTCTGACAATCAGCAACTGCATTGCCTTTGTAACTAACAGAAGAAACTCCAGCGTGAGCAACGTTCTTGAACCTTTTCTCACCTTCTTGTTTCTGCGACTGTGGTTTTACACAGTCCGAGAATATTGAGCTCAAGCCGTTTGAAGCAGGACGGTGGCTAGGGATAGAGCCTTTGGTGATGGTGAATGGTAGGGAAGAAGAGGGTTTTTCTTCAATCCATTTCTTGTCTGATATTAACAAGGTAACTAAATGAAGCATGCTTGATTCATCGAGCTGTTTGAGACACGAAGGCCCTTCCCTCTGCAGATTCTTAGCCATCATCTCCCTGACAAGTTGAAAAAAAGAACACAAAATTAGGCAAATACTCTTCCCTGAAAGACATCAATGGCTAGTGCAAGAACCAACTGTGATAGAGAATGTAAGAACCTTGTCCTTGAGTGAGAAACAATAACGAAGCCTCTTGGAGAATTAATGAAAGATTCAACATCGCTCCAGGAAGACTCTTCTGCAAAAATGCCATGTACTTGAGAATCAGCATCGACAAGCTTCTGATTCCCACTCAAGCCACTGCTAAGCTCTGTGTTTCTTCTTTCCCAGAACTTGAAACTCTTCAGAAGTTGACTAAAAAACCCTGGAGTTTCATTTTTATCATTATTGCCTACTTCATCAGTTCCTGCTTTTACCTCCTCTGCAGATTCACCAGCAAAGGAAGGTAAGATTTGAGACACTGATTTCAAGTCCTTATCCTTATCCTCAGCCTTGCCATCACTAACAACCACTTCATCCTTGTCTCCACTTCCAGAAGCACTTTTGTTTTCTGGGAGATGCTCTGATTCCACCTGAGGTGGACCAGACCACAGTCTTTTTAGCTTCTGAAAGAAACCATCTTCCATGGAAGAATCACTCCCCGGAATAAGATCGACTTGATTCGTCTCCACAGGTTTGTCATTTGTCTTGAAGTCCTTCTGTTTCACCAGAACCAAACTCTCTGCTGCTTTCTCTTTGACACGTTTATCATTCTCCGTAACCTTCACTTGCTTCTTTCCAAGCGACTCATCTCTTACTCTCCTTTCAGCAGCAAGTTCTACATCAGTCATTACTTTAGGCGATGAAGCAGTAGCAGTTTCCTTCTCTTTAACCTTGGCAGTAGACAAACCAGGACTAGAATCAAGCTTCGTAGGAGTTGCTTTCTCGGCAACAGCACGAACAACAAACAAGCCATCACTAGCTGTATCAACCCGTAACACATCTGGCATTGATAGTAGAAACCGAGAAAACTTCTTATGCCCATAGAAATCTTTATCTATCGCCAAGTCGCTCTTAATCAGCTCAGCACGTAGCTCAGAAATAGGAGCTCCCTTGGGATATACTTTCAATATCAGACGAATCTTGTTAACAACTTCTTTTGGAATCGGACGAACTTTAACAGAATCCAAACTAATAGACTCAGACTCGGACACTTCTTCGATTTTCACAGTAGAAGATTTCTCAGCGGTGGTTGCAATTGCAAAAGGGTCAAGAAGAGGGACTCTATAGTGACCATACCAAGAGTTATAAGGACCATCTGGTGGCTGATTAAAGTGCTTACCAGTGACAGTCTCTCCTTTGATCAAAGCATCCCAATCCCACATGATCGAAGCAGCGCTACAGAGAACACCAGGAGCTGATGGTTTGCTCGCGAGCAAGATGTTGTAGTTGCTCATCCTCAGTCTGTGCAACACACTCGCGAATTCCTTGTCGTTAGAGATTAGAAAGAGATGAGCCGGAGGTGGATTCTGAGAAACCCAACACATAAGATCTGTGATCAGAGACCCATCGGCGCTGTTATTCCCACCTGCGAGAATAATCGGAAGAAAGGAGTAAGCTTTCGTTTTAACAGTCGAAAGAGGGAAATGATTCTGGAAAAAAAATCGAACCTTGAGGGACATGGGTGAGGCTGATTCCGGTAGCGGAGAGAGCCTCTTGGTTTGATCTGGGGAGGTGAAGAATGTCTCCGAAGGCTGTGATTGAGATAGGACCTTTGATTCCGCTGTTTCTGATTGCTCCGGTGATGGATTGCGCTACTTTGAAAGCATTTGCACCTACCGGCAAATTACATTTCTGGAAGTCCCACCAAACCGAAACCTTTACAGATCGGGACTCTTCATCGTGCTGAGGACGCCTCGAAGAAGAATGGCTGGATCCTGAACCGGAGCCGGAGCCGGAGCCAGTGGTGGTGGAAAATGTAGAGGATTGAAAGTTAGTGAGGAGAACCGCGATTGATCGACGGGGAGTGTGAGCGGTGGAGGAAGAAGAGAGACGGAAGAGAAGGGATTTAGTCGGTATAGATCCAAATTTCATGGTCGGAAAAGTGATTTTGAGTGGAGAGTGGGGAGAGGGTTTTAGGAGTGAGGGAGACGAAGAAAGGAAAACAGAGCTTAAACCCTAATTATTTATCTATTTTTATTTTGTCGAAAACAGAAATCGAATTCCCAAACAGAAAATTGAACCAGACTTAACCGAAATGTTACCAAACCGATACAAAACAGCTGTTTGACCTTTTTAAAATTAAATTGGATAAGTAATTAGGGTTCTCTAACAAAGTTTGAGACTTTGAGTGTTTGAGAGAGAGAGAGAGCCATGGGGGTGACGAAGGAGCAGGTCGAAGCTTCGTTGACTTCGAAACTAAAGCCAATTCATCTCGTGAGTTTTCTATTGAATCCTTTCTTCTTTCAATTTCATCTCTTGATTGGGTCTTGTGTCTATTGTTATCTGTTCATATATGGTCTCTGAAAAAAAAATTGAAACTTTTTGGGACAATATTATAAACGCCTCAGTAAATTGCTGTAATTAGCGCGCACATACATACACATGTTTTTGTTTCTCCTGGGAGAATATGGATCTGCAAACATGTCCAATTTGAGATTTTTTTTTGAAGTGCTCACTTTTGATCGAACAATGAACTTTAATAATTGGATCAGAAGATGATTATTGGATAAGCTTGCTTCTGTATGTTGTCACATGTGTTATCTTTCTGCTATGAAACAGAATATAAAAGGTGTTTGTTTGCGTAGTTTTAGGTGTAATGTGATATGACCTCAGGATCCATCATGATGTATTACAGTATTGGTAACTTGGAGCTGAGTTTTTTTGTTTTGTTGTTTGTGACTTGGAAACTTAAAGCAAAAATTCAAGAGTGTGTATGGTGCAAGGATATGTATATTTTCTTTGCCTTACAACATCTGAAAGCTCAAGTTAAACTTACTCCAATATGAATCTGTTTCCCTTTTCGATTGACTTTTTTAGTGTTCCATTTTTAGCTTCAATTCTCTATAACATGCTTGAAAGTTTGATCTTCTTTTGAGGAATTTTTTACTGACATTATTGTTCAATTTTGTGTGTACCAGGAAGTCATTGACATTTCTGGAGGGTAAGTACAGGATTGCCAATATAAAACACATTTTTAGTTCTCTGGTTTAGCGAATAATCTCTTGTTCTTAATCTTGAGCTAAACCATTATGCAGTTGCGGAGCGAGTTATGAAGTCGAGATTGTCTCTGAACAATTCGAAGGGAAGAGATTGCTGGAGAGGCACCGTATGGTGAATGCTGCACTTGAAGAAGAAATGAAGGAGATACATGCTCTCTCCATAAAGAAAGCTCAGACTCCACAGCAATGGAAGCCATCTCAAGACCCTGCAACTCAAACCAAAGATGCCTGAAAACTCTGTTCCAAGGCCTTCCTGAGTCGTGACAGAGAACAGCACGTGCTTTTGTAGCTACTTGCGAGTCTAGTAGACTATTATTACTACTATACTAAACACAAATTGCTGCTTTGATATATTTCATGTTATCCTTTCGTCAGTGTTAATCACAAATTGTGGTATTTCATAAATTATTAGCCAAATAGTAACAAACACTATTAATAGCAAAAGAATGGCACACGATATTTGTGAAATTGTAACGACATATCAAGTGGTACTAAAAGCTTTATTCAATCAGAAGAACTAGTGGGCACCTAATTAGCGTAATCCTGTCTAACAAATAAAGGCAAAACTCTAGAAAAACAACAATTTCAGTGGTCCAAACAACTGAAGCATCTCTAATTGTATTATCTAAGCTTAATTCTCTCTCTAATTTCAAATTTCCACAAAACACTTTTCATATCCACCAAAAAGTTTCTAAAACATATATTCAAAATTATTATTTTCCAATATTGTATTGTGTTTTTTTAAAAAGTTTTTTCAAAGAAGTAGTCTGACAAAATGTGTAATAAGAACTCGTCAGATTTTGTAAAATTGTCATTGGTCTTAGTTTATTCAGTTTTTCTTTTTTTTAGCATGTATGGTGGTGATGACAGATGCTAAAAGATGGATAAAATAACCAAAACTGTCTCCATTCTCCTCCCCACAAAATTCACTCTCTCTTCTCCCAAATCCAACTTTCGTACCTTTTTCTTCAGCTCAACTCGATTCGTTGGCGATTGTGTGACAACTTGGCAATGTCGAGTAAGCTTATCCATCCACCATCAATGGCAGCTTCACGAGGAGTCATCTCAACAAGAACAGGAAACGCAAAGGTGTTACTCTCCTTCAGCAATCTTACTCGGAAAACAGTGAGTTTTAGCGACAACTCAATTCGTCTCAGACCCATGTTCGTCGGAAATGTCAAAGAACAGAGCTCTGCTTCCGCTACAAACGAAGAAGAAGAAGAAGAAACCACAGTTTCCCAGATTAAAAATGAGCTCTACGAAGCTCTAAAAGGTGATTAGATTGCTCTTTTCACAATCATTGGTGCAAAAGGCTGAATTTTGATTTTGATCCTCAAGAGAATATATATAGCTTTTTGACTGATTTGTTTGGGGATGAAAAGGGATCAATAGAGGTATTTTCGGAGTCAAATCGGATAAGAAAACAGAGATCGAGAGTTTGGTGAAGCTTTTGGAATGTCGGAATCCGACGCCGGAGCCGACGGAAGAGCTAGACAAGATCGGAGGTTGCTGGAAACTTATTTACAGCACAATCACTGTATTAGGCTCTAAACGAACCAAATTGGGTCTTCGAGACTTCGTCTCTCTCGGAGATCTTCTTCAACAGATCGACATTGCTCAGGTACAAATATCAAAAATCGAATTCCGACAAGATCTTCGAGATTCTTGGTGATGACGTTTCATTTAATCTGTTTTTTTTTTTTAATTAACCAAGGGCAAAACGGTCCATGTGTTGAAATTCGATGTCCGTGGACTGAATCTACTCGACGGCGAGTTCAGAATCGTCGCTTCTTTCAAGATCATATCCAAAACGGTACATTACAGTAACAGTTTTGGCGTTCTTGGTTTCAGATTCGCGTTTTGACGGAATTGCGTTTGTTTGTAGAGTGTTGAGATAACTTATGAAAGCTCAACAATCATGCCAGACCAGGTCTGTGTTTTCTTTTTTTTTCCAAGCATAATTCTAATTTCTTTTTGTTTGGGGAAATTTCTTGGTTTGAATGTTGTTGGAATCAGTTGATGAACATTTTCAGGAAGAACATGAATCTTCTTCTGGGGATCTTCAACCCGGAGGGGCTATTTGAGATTTCGTATCCTTTTCATTATGCTCCATCAACCTACTCACATTAATTGAATTTTCTTCTGGATTCCTTGATTCTGAGAATTTGGCAGATATTTAGACGAAGATTTGCAAGTAGGAAGAGATGGGAAAGGTAATGTATTTGTATTGGAGAGAAGAGAGATACCCTGAAACCTTTATCCGAAAATGTTTTTACTTCGTTTTTCAAACTCATTTCCATAAGAAGAAATTGCTTCTTCCTCAAGAAACTCGTCAATTTTTGTTTGGCCATTACCTGTTGAGTTCGATATCATTAATATCTCTTCTTACAGATTAGGGTGCTTCATTTGGTGGGTTTTTTTCCGTCTGTTTCATGCGAATGCGAATGTTTTTTCTTGTTTTAAACGGCTTCGGTTGGGCTCGGACCAATTTAACAGTATGGGTCTATTGAACATCCCTACTTTCAACTCATTAATGTACATGGGTTGTTTTGGCCCAGAACTCTCATAGACGAAGAAGTCGTTAGATTCGTTAGGTAGCACTGCTAAGTGTGTACAATAAAGTTTAGGAGTTTGGATAGAGAAAGTTGGTGATTATGTCCGGCAGCTAGTCGTTTTCTTTTGGTGTGTATGTGTGTGTGTATATGAGTTGTCCAATGGATTATTTTTCAAAGTATCCATAAAGTATTTTGGACCGACCATTTCAAGTTTTTCCAATGGTGGGGGCAATAATTAACTGGTAGGAATATAAACAGATTGTGATGTTTTTTGACATTTTGCACTGATTTGAAAGAAATAATACTCGAAAAATCCAAATGCTAAGCCAATATAATATACACATTCCCACCTAAAAATAGAAGAATGGAAATGATTGATAGTCTCCAAACGTAGGATTATGATGTTGAAACGTAATTGTCACTAATTTGACCGACCTAGTCTGAAAGAAGCAAGCAGTCCGTGAATAGTCATATTTATGACTCATATTCCATCCATCAACTTTCAAAATAGTTTGATGCCAACTGGAAACTGAAAAGCAAACCCCAAAACGTCGACTTTCATTTAAAATGGTTAAGATCATTTTATCATTTTTCTCTTAAATGGTGGATGATCTTTTACCTGTTTTCAGTATAATCAAATTTGGTATATTTCATTGTACATTCCAGTTACTCTTTATTTTAACTTTGTAGAATGTTGAATATAACAATATTGCATTGCAATATGATTCTTAAGAATTTGTACACAAATGAAAGATTGTTAACGTAAATTTTATGCATCCAAACAATATTTTTAGAGGAAACCCATAGAATGAAGCAACGACCAAATAAATATAATATGATTTTTTTTTTGCTTAATAAGGACAAAAACCAACCAGCATCATCATCATCACAAGAATCCTAAATAGAAATAAGAAACAGAGATAAAAACTAAAAGTACACAGAGACTCTTGAGACATCCAAAAGGTTCTATAGAGACCAAAAAAAAGATAGAAAAAGAAAACAACAACCACATAACAACAGATAGTTTCAATTCCCCATCTCAACTAGGGAAATAGATTTGTAACAAACTCACCACCACGAACGAGCGAAGAAACCTTAGAAGCATTTCCTGTGAACAATCGATGGACCCGACTCGTCGTACTCTCCCTTCGAAATCCACATCTGATACACACACAAGCAAAACCCAAATTTCAATATCTTCACTCAGGAATTAAGAAAGAATAAGTTACGATCGGTGTTTATTATTATTACCTGTTGGAAGGTGCTGAGGGAGGCGAGGATAGATCCTCCGATCCAGACACTGTACTTCCTCTCAGGCGGTGCAACCACCTTGATCTTCATGCTGCTAGGTGCGAGCGCTGTGATCTCTTTGCTCATACGGTCAGCGATACCTGGGAACATGGTTGAGCCACCACTGAGGACGATGTTTCCGTAGAGATCCTTCCTGATATCGACATCACACTTCATGATGGAGTTGTAAGTCGTCTCGTGGATTCCAGGTGCTTCCATTCCGATGAGCGACGGCTGGAACAGAACCTCAGGGCAACGGAATCTCTCAGCTCCGATGGTGATGACTTGTCCATCAGGTAGCTCGTAGTTCTTCTCCACTGAGGAACTGCTCTTAGCCGTCTCCAGCTCTTGCTCGTAGTCGAGAGCGACGTACGCGAGCTTCTCTTTAATGTCACGGACAATTTCTCGCTCTGCCGTTGTGGTGAACATGTAACCTCTCTCTGTGAGGATCTTCATTAGAGAATCTGTGAGATCACGTCCGGCAAGATCGAGACGGAGGATAGCATGAGGAAGAGCGTATCCCTCGTAGATTGGCACAGTGTGAGACACACCATCACCAGAGTCAAGCACAATACCTATCAGAACAAAAGAGAACGACTTTAAGCAAAGACAAGTATGAAATGAATGTTAATCAAAATTTGCAAGTTCTGAAGATGAGAACTAACCGGTAGTACGACCACTGGCGTACAGAGAAAGAACGGCCTGAATGGCAACATACATGGCAGGGACATTGAAAGTCTCGAACATGATCTGAGTCATCTTCTCCCTGTTGGCTTTAGGGTTAAGAGGAGCCTCTGTGAGAAGAACTGGGTGCTCCTCGGGGGCTACACGGAGCTCGTTGTAGAAAGTGTGATGCCAGATCTTCTCCATGTCATCCCAGTTGCTTACAATACCATGCTCGATTGGATACTTCAAAGTGAGAATACCTCTTTTGGACTGAGCTTCATCACCAACGTAAGCATCTTTCTGTCCCATCCCAACCATGACACCAGTGTGCCTTGGACGACCAACAATACTTGGGAACACCGCCCTCGGAGCATCGTCACCAGCAAAACCAGCCTGTACATATATACAAAATCATGATCAGAGTACAACAAAATACGCATAAACCGGACTTTTAGCTATATGAACAATCTCTTACTCACCTTCACCATTCCGGTTCCATTGTCACAGACGAGTGGCTGAATGTCCTCACCATCGGCCATCTTTTACTAAGCAACACAAAATGAAACCGTCGCAATCAGATAAGCTCGATAAGTAAAACAACAACACTGAATACATGCTCAAGAATCAGATCACAACTTTTTTATGCTGTACATATACACGATTGATCAATTAGTTTCAAAAAGGTGAAAAAGCTGGGCTAAAACTTCACAGATCTCAAAGAGATATACACTTGAAATTCACTGACAAACATCGTCCTCGTCGCAGATCGAAGTTTAAAACTAGATCGAGCGACGATACAAATAAAGCACGAAATCATTTTCGAGCTAGATAGCTTCACTGGACTGAAAAGCGAAATTAACGGTGACAGATCGACTCAATCAATACAAATCCCAGAAATCCACAGATCTGACTCATAAACCCTAAGAAATCAACGATTAATTCAGATCGATCCACCCAAGCAACCTCAATCAAAGATATGAACAATTTTTCTCATAAAACTCAACGCATGCTTGACAGATCTAGCGAAACAAGCATAGAGAGACAGCAGTAAACAGAAGGAAATCAAGCTATGAAGGAAGATAAACAGATCTAGAATCACCTTAGAGGAAGAAGATGATGAAGCAGAGAAGACGATTCGAGAAGCAGAGAGAGAGAGAAATGAAGCAGAAACAACAGCGGCCAGCAGACTAAGGAAAGTGAAGCGAGTATATATGGTGCGAATATATAGGTAGGAGATTTTCCCTTCCTTTCACTCTTTCACTTTTTTATTTTATAATCGTTAAAAACATTTCGAAATTAAATTAAAAAATCGTGTGAGAGAAAAAATGCTACGGTGACCTGGCTTGACACTTGCTTTAGCTCACCGACGCTTTATGCCACACCGTTAGATTGTGTAAAGATTGATTCTTAGCCGTTGATTTTACGATTCACTTCAAATAAATCAGCCCGGGAGCCGTTACGGCTAAGGTTAGGATTTATCGGCTCGGCTTTTGTGGTTCGGACAGCGTTCAAATTTTATTCTCGATGATTGCAAAAACTAATAATAAAAATTAAATTAAATAAACCGATTGCTGACAAACGGAGGACTATGTGGTGGTTTCTCCCGTGACCGTTTTTGAATATCTACGGAATTTTAAATTTTATCCTTTATGTTTCTCTTACTACGGATTTCGTCTTTGAGAATTCAAACACTAGAATTAAATATTTGACGGAGACTGTTGTAAGTCTGGAATAAAATAATTTTGACAGATACTTCCTCCCTTTTTTTTTATGAATTTTCTAGCAATTTTATGTTGTTTCACAAATATAATTTTTTTAGCTTTTTGATTCACTTTTTTAGATTTCAAGAAACAATCATTATATTTCTTAGATTTTTATTGGTTTAAAGTTATAGGAAATAGTGTAATTGGCAAAACCAATACACTTATGATTGAAAACTAACTTTTTCTTAATAGGTGTGAAAAAACTAGAAAATTCATCTTAAAAAAACGGAGGGAGTATTTTGAATATTTCAAACACATAGTTCACTTTGATATCATACTACGTTTTTTGGGATCAAATGAAACTATACTACTTGAGGATTATTTTGCACCATTCCTCAAATTAGCAGAATATATGTAAAATTTGGCCGAGGGTTCATACATACAAAACACAGATGGTAATCACCTTTTGGAATGATTAAATTATTGATGAAAATAAACTTTTTGAAATAAAGTTTCATATACCATGTTGGAAGCATGTGCCAAGTTCATATACTTTTACCAACAAAAGTTGGAAAGTGGTCTCGCTTGGTTGGCAGCTTCAATAATCAAAAATAGTTATGGGACTTTTCTAATTTATGAGTCACATTTAATTTCTAGACATTTTCGTCAAATAACCTCACAGTCACAGAGATAATTAAAAAAAAAATGTTTTAAAAAGAGAGCATGTAAAAAAAAGGGTAAATTTAAAGGGAAGCCAAAACCGTCATCATTTGTAGTTGTATTCAAAGGAAAGATAAATTGAGTAACCATTGTAGCCATTTCCGACTTTACAGTGATTGCAAAATTTGAATCGCATCTTGTCGTGACTAGGCATGAAAATGTATCTAGGTTCGTCTAAATAAACGGGCCAAATTTTAATGGACTAAAAGGATACAAATAATATATCTGGGCTTAGATATATACCCGTTTTGGCCCAATTAGAAACATTGAGACCCAGTGATCCAATCACTTATCTTCACCAAAACATATACAGTATGAGATCATACCAACTATATCGGATATTTTTTTACAATATATAAACCACAATCCGTATGAATCATACAATCAATAATGTTCAAATCATTAACCACAATATTCAGTTTGTTTGTTTTGGTACGAATATGTTTGTCGAGGCGTGCTGCGTGCAAATGGATAGATTATGGATTTATATAGGTTGACCATAACGGATTTAACATCCCTTCCGTTGGGACCTTGGACCCCTTTAGAGGGGATAGTCGGGTTTTCCGTTTGGGTTAGATTCTCGGAATAACTGGATACAGCTGGACAAAGCTCAAATCATCGGTTTGGGCCCAGGACTGGTCGGTGACTGTTCGGTCGACTCCTCAGACCCGGATACCAGAGATATAAAAAAAAAAAAACTAAAATATGTGATTCGAAATAATCGAGACCTTATTATCAAGGCGGGGTACACCACACGTGTATGTGCACGTGGACAGGAGTACACACGTACGCATGAACACATCACATGCCGCATATATCCATCCTAATATACACATCTAGCATTTGTCACATCGTCACGACCAATTTTGCTTATTAATTTATTCAATCTCACACGCATGCTTTGATCAATACAGCGTTGCAAGTGGCTAAATTCCAGTATCTAAAGTCTTTGAGTCAATAAAATAAGACGTCAAAACAAAACGAAAAGGTCGTCAAAATAATGGTTCTCGACAAAACATAGGTTACAGCAAAGTTCACTAATCTCAAATATATTGTAATTGAAAATAGCGGTAAATACTCTCAACTCAGTTCAGGAGTGGTTATCAAAGTGAAAGAACAAAAAAAACATCTTAATGATTTTGCCTACAAAATGAATTGGTTCCAACATCTATAAAAAAAGAAGCTTCATGTGCCAACCAGTGATGTTTGAAAGTGAATACATTTTCTTGATACGGGGGCAATGAGTCACCAACGTTATAGTATGAAAAAGATACAAAGATCCATTTTGGGAAACTTTAGGTTGTATTCGCAGACGATTTTTTCTACCGTTTATGCAGGGAATCGCTTTCTAGCTTTAAGAGAGGGGTTGTTAAAAAAAAAAAAAAAAAAACTTTAAGAGAGGGAAAACAAACTAATTTTAGCTCACGCCTAAATAATTTAGAGATAATTTATAATGACGTAAAGAAAAATTGGAATCGAGACAAGAAACTAAATTCGAGTCAAGGGACCCTATTGTTCACGAAAAGTTTATATCACCACATGGATATCCAATAAAGTTGTTCAAAGTTTGAATGAGAAACAAGTGAATATGATTGATTTTTAAAAAACTATGCAGAATATATACTAACCCCAATAAGAGTTCACTAACCCCAAAAAAACGTTCAGAGAACATCTGACATACTTAGGAGATATCACATCAAATCCTCCAATATATATCTGCAATCGTTGGTCCATCGCATTCACGGCGACTACTCGATGACATTATTCGTAACAACTAAACAAAAAGGATAGATCCAAATTCCATCAATTATATGTATAAGTCCAATCTTAATCACACGTTTTAGTTATAACATATACTATGAATCGGTTCATATATACTATTAACAGCTGACCATCCTTATACGCACGAACACACATTATTAATTAGTACTTGGCTACTTGCTAAAGTCCATTATATGGTTATATATTTAAATATTTTTATTTCGACATATTTTGTTTTTCTATGCCTGATCAAGTAATTCGCCTTATTAAAATACCGACTCAAAGGGTACGTAGTCTTGTGGTTTAGATTCCAAGTTTCTCTTTGCGGCATTTATATGCAGTATAAACCAATGACACGACTTGTTTCTTTTCATTCTTTCTACTTGATTAAAAATTTGTAACAATCGAATAATTAAAACCATTAGTTAGCATTAATAGCTATTCTACCAAAGGAATCGGTGATTGTACGTAGCCTAAATTGATTGGGTGATTATACATACTTGTATATGAATGCTTTATGACTTTATCACAGTATTGATACCGTATCATCATCAGTCCGGAGTAATCCACGATTACAAGTATACGAGTCGAATGAGAAGACTAATTGGACCGAACTTTCTTTATGGGAAAACCAAAAGGAGCAGTAGTAATTGTTTAATTACAGTAACTCTCCTCTTTTACACTTACGTACATGCAGTATTTAGGGTGGATCTAACAAGTTCCAGTAACCAAAAAAAAAAAAACCTAATTAATAAGACTAAAAATCCCATTTACATCATTTCATGCCAAAATCAAGAATGGCAAAATTAAACCATAAAAACTTACAAAAATAAAAAGGGAAATTCATTAATTGAAGCTTTGAGCTTCAAGGAGAAGATCGAGTTGTAGTAGTACTACTTAAACCGATGTCGTTATGTTTTCTCGAAGGACCAGAAGCTGGAACCGGAAACTGACGTGGCAAAAACCCCAAGAATTGTACGCTTTTGTGATCTTGTACTTGATGATGATGAGGAGGTGGCGAGACTACGGCGTTTTCTTTGCGTGGCGAACTCGTGGTGAACACGTTCGTAGTTCTTGCTCCATTGCAGCAACTCAAAAGGATAAGAAGAAGAACGAGAATCAATATTGTTTTCGTCAGTTGACAGGTTCTTGATCTGCGGTATCGAGAAGACATTTTGTTGAACTAAAGACTAGAGACGATGAGAGAGAGAGAGAGAGAGAGAGAGAGAGAGAGAGAGAGAGAGAGAGAGAGAAAGAGAGAGGGAGAGGATTTGTGTTTGAAGGATTTTTGGGTGGATTTATTTAATATTTAAAAGGTTTTTCTATGTTGATGGGTGATGGAATGAAAAAGAGAAGGTTGTGAATTGCTGACAGCAAGAAATATGGGCACATCAAGAGAGAGAGAGAGAGAGAGAGAGATAATGTGATTGAAAGATGTTGACCTGTGGTTCTATTCGTATGTTTTTAATTTACTTTTATGGTTCTATTCGTATGTTTTTCTTGTTGAGTATTTGTAGCAAAAATGGGAGAGCAAATAAATAAAGTGACAAGAAGATTGTATTTTTTAAACAGTTTGGACAGTTTTACGGTTTTACCTTATGTCATCGAATGGGTCTTTATCTATACATACCATTTAAATCATTCTTAAAAAAAACAACCGGAGGTACTGGACCTAAATTCCAAATTAATCTAACTAATCTAATCACTAAGAGACTGTCAGAATTAGGGATGCTGGGACGGGATGATCTAGACATTGCTGTATATTTTTTTTGAACTCAGTGTACACGAATCTTCAAAAATTGGTTCTGATATGTGAATCTGATGGAATGGGGTAAAAATAAATAGCTATCTGTGAATCTCACGGAATGGGTAAAAGATGTTGTTGAGTGGAACAAGAACGTATAGCTCTAATATGACCCACAATAATTTTGTTGGGTGACAGACTTCTTTATAGCTGTTCTTAGGTGCATGAGTAAGTATATATCACATATTTCTGAGATTTCTAATTTCTTAGAAAGAATAATATACATTTTTCGTTGGTTGGATAAGTAATTTTATCACCTATATACCTATGCCAAATGAAAAAGACAGAGGGGACAAGAGAAGAAAATGAAATTAAAAAAACATTAGTGGTAGGACAAGGTATAAAGCCTTTTCATTTCATGTTATGTCAAAATTGACATATTCATCTGCTTAATTTCACATAACTTGGCTGAAAAAAATGAACATATAACTTGACGACAAAATAATAATATTTGTAATTTCATTGGTAAGTGCTATAGAGAATACTCAATCATCACTGTACATTTTTCAAATATAGTGTCAGTATCATCGTATGAGACTTTACCGATTAACGTTTACTTTTGGTGCTGGTGTTATCCTGGTCATCAAGATACCAGTATCTTATTTTTGCAGTACATGGTATATACAAATCTCAGTACACGGTAACTCGTTACAACCACTACACCACAAGACACGGACCAACAGATTCTAATTAAATTTGTTGGCCACAAAATATCATCAACTGTTTATCTCCTGGACATTTTCCTAAATGTAATATACTCTTAGTCCGTAGGTTTTACTAAACAATGCACATCTAATAAGTTGTATCCTCTTTTGGGGCATAAATGTTTAAGTGGAATGACCATATAACCGACAAGATATTAGAAGAAGAGAACGAAACTGAAAATAAAAGGCAACAACAGTATTTATGTCAGAAGAACAACAAATTAAAATCTAAAGATTGTCCAAGCGCCTTACCATCACTGTATCGATACTGTCGAATCCTACTATTACTTTACTACACACCGAAGTGACGTTACCAACGTTTGTTCACACGTTTACGAAAGTTCATGATCTTGCCTTTCGGTATACGACACCAAAACGACAATGGTAATTCCGTTTTGATTATGTTTACAATGAGTCGGAATGAGTTTTCTGTATCGGGCCGGGCCAGGAGTCCAAATTGACGTTCGTTGTGTTTATTATGGGTCGGACCAAAATTGCTCATCCAAGATATGATTTTCACCTAAAAAGTAAAAAAGAGATCTGTCAGGTTAAAACAAGAAAATGAGATATGATACTTTGAATTTGTGTTAGCTCCTTGCATTCTTCTATATTTTCCATGAAAATGTCCAAGTTTGTTCCTAAGAGTCAATCATCTTAATCTGATTTAGATGACATTCCATAACTGGTGAAACGGACTAATGACACTAATTATCATTCCCTGTCATTTTTGTTTTTGTGTGGAATTTCATGGAGTATTTGGTAACTTATTAGGAAGTTGTTTGTGGACAATAAAATGTTGAAGGGTAATAGTCAACAAATCAACAAAATCAAGAAAAGCATGAAATGCATTTTTTGTTCCACATATTTTTTTGTTTCCAGCAATATATCTAAAAAGCATTAAAATTAAACAATGCAAGAATCCAGCATTGCAATGTAAGTTACAGTTGTCTTTTGTGAATTTATAGAAAATTAATTATGTGATAATTAATTTTTAAAACCATTTTAATGATATTTCAATATTTATTTGTAAAACTTTGAATATGAATCAAATACTCTCTCTTTTCCATACATAAATAAAATCATGTTTAAATAAGAAAGTCATTAATTAAAAAAGATTTACTGGTGAACAAGAAATAAATCTAGTCCTTGTAAATTATGTTTCCTTGTTTTTATCTCTTACAATGTTTTAAATACCGACCATTAAGACAAACAGAAACCTATCAGTAATTTTGAATCTGTCAAACTCAAAGGTTAAAAATGCAGAACCCAAATTACACTCCAGGTGATGCGCACATCAGTTTCCATGCCCACACCCGGTGCACATTAGCACCAGCCAATCAAAATCCACCTCTCCCTCCTCCGGCGACTCTTCAGTCGTCAGCAGTCATGGCCACGTGGAACGCCTCCTCCCCCACGGCGTCTCCTTCCCGCTTCGTCTCCGCGAGGCGAAGAACGGAGGCTCCACCGGGACGACCCTCCTCCGAATCTCCACCATCTAAGAAGATGAGATCAATGGAGGAGATAATGGCGAATTCCGAGCCTGTCGTTGAACAGAAAGAAGCCGACAGCTACAGCGACGTCACCTGCGAGAAATGCGGCTCCGGAGAAAGAGACGACGAGCTCCTTCTCTGCGACAAATGCGACAGAGGATTTCACATGAAATGCCTTAGGCCGATCGTGGTCCGTGTCCCCATTGGATCATGGTTCTGTGTCGATTGTTCCGATCAACGACCTGTACAAAGTAGGGTTTTTTATTTTTCGCTTGAAAGTTTTGAAATTCTCAATTTTCTCTTTTTTTCGTAAATTCTCTTCTTTTTTTTCTTCAAATTTTTGGGGATTGTCTGCTTGTCCGGGTTTAGGGTTGTCTCAGCAGAAGATTCTACATTTCTTTCGGATTGAGAAGGAAAATGATCCACCAGAGAAACCGGAATTGAGTCAAGGTACGATTTTGTTTCCGGTTTACCTGAAAGTTGTTGGCTTTGATGAATCTGAAGAGATGGTTTTCACTTGATGAATATTAAAGAGCTAAACTTTGACCCAATCATATACCCTAATCTAGTGTTAATTAAACATTGATGAGAACTTAAACATATCTTAGCTTCAGGATTTAACCAAATTTAAAAAGTGATTTGAAAATTGAGGCAAAACAGTTTTTTAATGACTTGTTGTTGGTCTTTGTTTTATGAGGAAGAGAGTAGAAAGCCTCGGAAGAAACGTGCTTTGACAGTGACGAAGAGAAAGAGAAGACTCTTACCTTTCGTTCCATCAAAAGAGCCTGAGCAAAGGCTTATACAACTGGGCACACTTGCAACTGCTTTAACTGCATTGGGTATCAATTACAGTGATGAGTTAATTTATGTCCCTGGAATGGCTCCTCGCTCTGCTAATCAATCCGAGTTCGAGAAAGGTGGAATGCAGGTAAAAAACAAACAGACAAACCGTTTTCACAACTCTTCTCATTTGAAATTACTTGTCTTGATTGTGTTCTTGGTTTTTGAATTGTGGCAGGTGCTTTTGAAAGAAGATTTGGATACAGTGGAACAATGTCAAGCTATGCGTAAACGAGGAGAATGCCCTCCTCTTGTTGTTGTATTTGATCCGCTTGAAGGGTATATCTCATTTCATCTTGATCATAAAGATCTTCCCTTCAGATCTTGAATTGCTTTCTCTTGATTGTGTTATTGCATTTTCTTGTGTGATACAGCTACACAGTTGAAGCGGATGGTCCGATCAAGGACTTCACATTCCTAGCTGAATACACAGGGGATGTTGACTACTTAAAGAACCGAGAGAGAGACGATTGTGACAGCATCATGACTCTCCTTCTCTCTGAAGATCCCTCTAAGTCTCTTGTCATCTGTCCTGACAAGTATGGAAACATATCTCGCTTCCTCAGTGGCATCAACAATCACAACCGGTAAGTGTGTAAATTCGGTATCTTTCTTTCGGCTTCTTGAGAAGAAAAGTTTATAACTTTGAGAATCCATTACATTGCAGGTATAGTAAGAAGAAGCAGAACTGTAAATGCGTGAGGTATAGTGTAAATGGGGAGTGTAGGGTTCTTCTAGTGGCGACGCGGGACATAGCGAAAGGGGAGAGGCTCTACTATGACTACAATGGTTATGAGCATGAGTATCCGACTCATCACTTTCTCTGATCTTGTCTTCAATTCTAACTGTTCTTCTTAGCCATTTACAGGTCGATTAGAAAAGGTAGAGAGCTGAGTGTGGCCTTTTGGAGAGGTTGTGCATTCTTAATCAGTTTAGTGATAGATTATTGGGGGGTATTTTTGGATTCGGGGATTAAAGATTAAGATGTATGAAATGTCATATGGCAGAATTTTCTTTTGGTATCAACAGATGTAATTCTTAACTTTTGTTGTTATATTTTTGGAGAACTTCTCCAACTTTTAAAGATGTTTCCAGATTAATGGTTTTATGTTTCATTTTTATAAGTTTATCAAAATATTGGTCAACAAATTGAACAACAACATCAAAATAAATCTCTCATACTTGTAGTTGTAACCTAATAGTTTGTATGAATACAGTCATTAACCAACTAGTTTTTTTCAAAATATCTAAATGTCATCATAGTTGCTAGTTAATAGATTTGATTATAGCAATTAATAAGCCGAAAGAATAAAGATAAAAATGAAAATTTTATTAAAATTTTTGCATTGAAAATCTAAAAATGATTAGTAAACTGCAACAAAAAATTAACTTTAAAACGACAACTAAATTGGAACAAAATTGTTTGTAGTTGTAACTTACTCCTTCTGTCCCATATTATAAACAGCTGGCCAAAATGAATCTGAAAAAAAGTGGATGTATCTGGACTGAATTCCATCCAGATACATCCACTTTTTTTCAGATTCATTTTGCCCAACTGCTTATAATATGGGATAGAGGGAGTAATAGTTTATATGAATACAGTCATTAACTAACTATAAACTCATTCCGTTTTTTTAGTTGTCAAATTAGTTGTCGTTTTGGCAAAATGTATCTGCAAATATTTGGACGAATCTGGACGTGTTTCGTTTTAGGTTTTTTCAAAACATTAATATATTTTGTTTTGTCCTTAGTTAATATATTTGATTTTAGTAATTAATAAGTTGAAAGATCGAAGATAAAAGTGAACATTTATTAAATTTTTGTATTGAAAATGTAAAATGACAACTAAATTGAAACAAAAATTTAACTTTAAAACGACAACTAAATTGGAATAACTTTTAGTTGTAATAATTGTAACCTAATAATCTGTATGAATACAATCATTAACTAACTATATACTCATTCAGTTTCGATCGCCGTTCTAGGTTTTTTCATGAACATATGTTTTGTTCCTAATTAATAGATTTGATTTTAGTAATTAATAAACAAAATAATGAAGACAAAAATGGAAAATTTTTTAAATTTTTAGATTGAAAATGTAAAACAACAACTAAATTGAAACAAATATTTAACTCTAAAACGATAAATAAAATTAAACGGAGTATAAAAAGAACGATGGAATTAAAGTTTGTTTGTAGAACTAATTGGATTGTTGACATTACTACCAAAAAAACTAATTGGATTGTTTATTACCAAACACAAAAGGCCAATACAAAATAGAATCTTGTAAAACAAAATTTGTTAATAACGGAAATGTGTCGTGGGCCTAACGCGGAGCCCAATATTAAGTTAGGCTATACACATTTATCGTCTCTTCACTCCTTAGGGTTCTTCTCTCCGATCGACCACTTCCCTTCTCCGACGCAGAAATGACCAAGCTAAGGAAGCTCGGCCGGGCCACGGGTCACCGTATGTCCATGCTCAGGTCCTTATCTATTTCAGTCTCCCCTCTTCTCTCTTCTTCGCACTTTATTTTTCTCTATAGAAAGTTTTCTCCTTTGAATTTGAAGTGTTGGTTTTCACTATTGTTATCAGGACTCTGGTTTCTCAGTTGGTGAAGCACGAGCGTATAGAGACCACCGTCACAAAGGTTATTGAATCTCATTTCTCCCATTTCTCCCATTTTCCGGCTTCTGGGGTTTAATTAGTGTTTATAGAATCTGCGATCTTCCTTCCTGTAACTCAATTTTAATAGGATTGGTGAAAATGATACATCTTTATAACAAGCTTTCGATTATCGAGCTATTGTATTCACTGTGAAATGTGTGTTATGGATAGTGATTGAATCATTAGTTGAATAAGGTAATGCACATAGTAATTTTGGCCGAAAGAAGCAATGAATTAGAAAATTATTTGTGGTTTTGCAGGCTAAAGAGGTTCGCCGTCTTGCTGATAATATGATTCAACTCGGTAAAGAGGTAATTTGTTTCCTGAGACTCATACATTCGATTAGTGGTTCATCCGTTTTTTGGTCTTCCAAATATTTAGCATTACAATAAACTATATCTAGTGAAAGCATCTGCTTGATGAAAAATGTGTTTTTGTGTTATATAGTGTTCCTCTTCACTCCAAACTCCAATAATTGCGTTGGATGTTTTGGTTCAAAGTTTTAATTTTTGCTGCTGCTGAAGTTAGTTTGGTCTTTGTCAGGGTTCACTCGATGCTGCAAGGCGAGCAGCTGGATTCGTTAGAGGAGATGATGTCATCCACAAGATTTTCACAGAATTAGCATATAGATACAAGTGAATCTTCAAAATCTCTTTGCATTATTTACCTGTTATCCCTTAATTAGTTTGCGTAAAGCATTTGTGATATATATCATTTTGTTACAGGGATAGGACTGGTGGATACACAAGGATGCTACGTACCCGTATACGCACTGGTGATGCTGCTCCAATGGCCTATATCGAGTAAAAACTAGTTTCTTTTCCTTATCATTACTACTTTTACATTGATGATATACAATATTGTTGTGATTAGAAGATTTATGTGCACTTAATTTGTCATACTTTGGGCAGGTTTATTGACAGAGAGAACGAACTTAGGCAATCAAAACCAGCAACACCTCAACCACCACAACGAGTGCCGTTGGACCCATGGGCAAGATCTCAGCTTTCCAAGCAGCTCGCTCCACCTAAGGAAGAGAAAAGCTCTGATTCCGAGCTATAATGTGGAAAATGAATCCTTCCTATCCATCAAAATCTTTGTTTTGGCACTCAAATATATTTTTCCCTGATCATTCATCACTTGCCATAACTTGTTTTCACCGAGGTTAGCAATAAAATGTTGTTGTTTTATTAGTTCTGATTTCTGAACATGATAAATGTAATCTTGAAAGCATAATGAGAGCCTCTTTATTGCCTCATCTACATATGAACTCTTTTCATCCACCAAATATCTTGTTTTAGCCTCAAATGTACTCTCCTGATGATTCATCATTTTGACATTTTCCCATAATGTATTTTAACAGAGGTAAACACGAAAATGGGATTTTTATTAATTAGGTTCTGAACATCCAAAAAGTAATATTGAAAGCATAATGGGAGCTTCTTTATTGCCCATCTACCTATGAACTAGTCTGCAAGTAAAAGTTTCTCTCTTTTTCTTGTTTCTACAAGATTAGGTTACAGTTTCAGTCCACTCAGCACTCAGTGTGTGGCCCTATGATATACCAAAACAGTAGAATTATGTGCCTAATGCATGGACCCCTACCCACTTAAAACATCTTTAGGTGAACCACTTAAAAAGACCACTAAAACTCAATTTTGTTTTCCAATTGAAACCTAATCCTCTTGAAATAAATGGTTTTTACCTGCCCTTTACCAGTTTCTGCAACCTCCATCACCCTCCTGACTTTTACAGCCAATTCCAAAACATTGAAATGATGCTGATGATGATGTCTACTTCGTTGAAAACCGTTAGGGATTTCGTTTTCTTACAACAAACTCTGCTTTAACGTCAAGCTCAAGCAAACTGCAAAAGGCATCATACGCTTAGCTCAACTTGAGATCCTCTTCCATACTCATTTATGATTGTAGCCCAACACGCCAACACGCTACACTACATACGATTGTAAGCAATATAAAGCTGTTTCCTTCAAAAGTTTGGAATTTTATTGGTTTAATTCAATTAGTCCTAAAGATCTGAACTTTCAACTGATACTACATGAATGCAAACTTTGGATATTTGTATATAAACTTTCCCAACTAAAAGTACATTGAGAAGGTTTTCTTTTTTTAAAAACGTTTCCTAAACCCTTTTGAATCTCAGCTTGACACCAAAGCCCACTCATCAGCCTGAATGAAATTAGCTAGTGAATACACATGAACATGCTCTTCTGGTATCTCACTGCTCCATGACACTCTTTGTGACCTATCTGATCCCGGACCGGTGTTCTTTGATTCACCGTAATACAGCGTCTTGAGCGCGAAATCCCCGGTCCACGGTAACCATCCATCAGGATTAACCAAAGCCTCGAAATTGCAGCCTATAAACACAGTCCTCGAGTATTCTTTCCATGGCCTCCCCAAGAAGTTCTTATGCACCTTAGGGCTAGCTTGATACAGCTTCATGTACTCCTCTGTTCCGTTAATCAAACAGTTCAAGAACACGAATCCAGTGGACTGAGACGGGTCGACTCTTCCTTGGGCCGTGACTGCGTTTTTCTCTCCCTTCTCGGGATTAACTTGACGCGGTGCGATTAGGATTTCGCAATCTTGGAAGACGGAAGCTGAATTGCCAAAGATGAAGTCAACGTTCCCTTGGATACGGCATTTTCTGTAGAACTGACGGAGGCCATGTGCATAGAGTGTGTCTTGGTTCCCAAGGAACTCACAGTTCTCCAGCAGAGAAAAGTCGCTGTCGGATCTGAACGCCACCGCTTGGTGCGCGTCTGGTCCCGCCGTGTTTTGGAACGTTATATCACGAGCCATGAATCCATCTCCCACCACTCCTATCAAACCGAACATGCAACAACATAATTTTTTTTATTAGACGGCCTAATCAAATAAATAATCCCGGGAATAAAAAAAATACTTTTTAATATATTTATTTTGGTTAGGACATAAACTGCGGTTCTGTATTAACTGTAACACCATGGATTCTTTGACTCGGATTATTCAACAAGAACATTAAAAAACGTATCAAATGTATAAAAGAATAAAGAACTTTGAACGGTTATAGTCAATTACTACTTTAAGCTTTAAAAACATTAAAAGAGGAAGGGTTAATTCAAAATAAAAAACTCACCGACAGTTGCAGTGTTGTAGGTGGTGATCCCAGGCATTCCGGCGTTCAACGAGCCAGTAATGACCGTTTTGCCCATACCGTCTCCGATGAAAACGACGTTCTTCTTCTCAAACGGAATCCTAACGGTCTCCTCATACACTCCTTCGCTAATCTTAATAACAAACTTACGCATTCCGTTATCCTCCGGAGCCGCGTCAACGGCTTCCTGCACCGTCTTGTAACTACATTTCCCGTCTTCACACACCGTAACGTCTTCTTTCAAACCGGTTGGGAAACCCAAATTAGGCCCATTACTCGGATCCGAGCCCAGACCCGGCCCAGTCTTCTCCCAGAACCCGTCACGTTCGGTTGCCGGGTGTTGCCACGACGCGACGTTATCTCCGAAATTATCGTACGAGACCATCATGCTAAGCGCGTTGCTGGTGACGTGGATAAGCCCGTCGAGAAACGCCATCGTTTCGTCGACTTGCTTCGTGTCGTTGACGTACTTGAGCGCGGACCATGAATCGTACTGGTACACGAGAGCTGCGCTCATCCAAGCGCGAGCGTCTTTGATTCTGCCGTGTGTCAGCGCCTGATCCGTCGATTGGGTGCGGTGCTCGGAGTAAGTGAGCACCTGGAGACACGTGTTCGCGGCGTTGGTGCGGTTGAGATTCCCGACGGAGGAGTCTAGGATAGACTTGACTTTTGATTGGGCGGTTTTGAGGTTTTCGAAAGAGACGGAGATCGCTGAGTGGATGATCTGAGATGGGTTCGGATTCGGAGGGACCCGACCCGGTGCGGATAGGGAAGAGACGCATTGGTCTGGGTAACGAGTGGCGTTGCAGGCGAGACGGATCTGAGCGGCCGGAGGCGTCGAGGGGTTGACCGGAGAAGAGTCGGAGGGTGATTGGCGGGAATTGTGGCGGTGGTGGTGACGAGAAGAGGAGGAGGGAGAGGTGAAGAGGAAGAGAGAGAAGAGGAGGAGGATAATGGAGGACATGGCGACGATTAGGAGGCAGAAGCAGCGGATTGGGGATTTTCGCCGGTGAGATTTAGTGGAGGAGGAAAGGGAATGGTGGAGTTGTTTGGAGGAAGCCATTAGAGAGCGATATGTGTGTATATATATGTATAGGTGTGTGTGTGTTTATGGAAATTAATTAAAAATTATGGAAATTGGGAAAGAATTAAATGAAAATGGAGAGAAATGGATTACAGTCACAGACCATTAGAGTCACGGGCGGTGCTTAGTGGAACACTATTGCGATCATGCGCGCAGAGACGGAGAGGAGAGAGAGAGAGAGAGGGGTTTGGAGTTTTGTGATTGTCCTTTTTTAATTGCGGCTCTGTTAGGGAAGAAAAGAGTTGGGATTGTTCGGTTCGGACTCCGGTTTTTATCGGTTTAATGTTAAGGTCTCAGGATTATTGTTGTTTTGTTTTTGTAAGATTAATTAATAATTGGTCTATTGAGTTCGTAATTGTTGTTTTCTTTATGTTCTTTGAATTGTAGACTATTTTTGTTTTTTTTAATAAAATAATAGATATAATCATACAGTTTTAGTAACTAAAACAATTCTAAACAGTAATCTAGAATATATGTTGAGTTGGTTAGGTGTCATTTAGATCGGCTTTAGCAAAAACACTAATCTTTAGTGTCAATCTTATATGTTTTTTTCCTGCAATTACAGATCATTGTATCTTATATGCTTGTAGATTTAAGGTTTCTTTTTAACTTGAATGCTAATTTGTATTATATTAACTGATATATACAAATTGGGATTGTTCCATGAACTTTGTTTCTAAAATCCTTAATAGATGTTCTAAAACTCCATAGAATCTACAACATTCATTGCCCAATTGTTGTATAACTAAATCTCTGACGGATCTGTCCATCATAGAAGTGTATTATATCTCTCGATATGCTAAGATTTTTATCAAAAAAATGTTTTAAAGGAAAATGTTATATCTCTCGATATGCTAACTTAATGTCATGATTTTATTGCTTTTCATTATTTTTTTTGTAAGATTTCACAAGAAATGCCACGTAATTCAATGAGCTATCCTAAGATTCTTTACAACAAATAATATTAAGATACAGTATAATATAACATATAAAAATGTATGTATAAACTTTGTATTAATTTTGCTTGCCAGAAATCATGTAAGAATAATTTTTATAAGATATTATATTTCACAGATTTCAGAAAAAACATTGGATTTGTTTGGTTAATAAATATAAAAATGATCAGATTTTTGGGCGGCCCAGTGAGTGACAATATTTTGGGCTCGTATTAGCCCACGAAGATGTAAGCTGGACTTTTGCCAATCCGAATCTGCCAACTGAAAACAGGGTTCGGATTTTGTTTTTTAAATCCCAAAAGGTGCTGCACTTGATTCTGCTGCTCGTAAAGGTAATTCGTTCATAATCAAAAAGTTGATCTTAACGACAACAGAATGTTGATCAATGGATCCCGGAAAATATAATGCTGATCAGTGACAATATCGTTGAGATTAATAAATCTAATACTAATAAATCAGCAGTCACCTAATGGCCTACCTTTCTGACACGTGTCCACCGAATTTCGTTTTTAATTTAGTTTTTCGATTTTTTTTTTTAATTGCTTTTCCCTTTTTTTTTTCTTCTCTTTTTCCCTGAAAATTCATCTTCTCTTCCACCCACAATACCACGATCTCTCTCTAAACCTCTAAACTGCTACTACATCACGTTCTTATGCCTCAGAAATTCTTTATTACTATGAATCTCTCACTTTGTTTTCATCTTCAACTACTCTGTTATATCTTTCTAGATCTTGAAATTCATCTTCCTCCTTTAAAATCTGTTCAGCCCAGATCCGCCCAGATCCATGAATCAAGTCTATGCTTCTTAAATCAGGTATTTCTGTAATCTGGGTTTTTTTTCATTCTCTGTCAATTGATAAGATTGTTTCAATCTGGGCCTGAAATATTGTAATTGCTTTTGATTCTAATCCTTGAATGCTTGGTGTTGTTTGTTTCGGTTATGAAATTGGAAGATTTAGGCAATGAATTACGAAATTGATTTGGTGCTTGAGTTTGTGTGAGTTCACTCAACATTACAATAATATATTTTGAATGCTTCAATTCTGGATTTTTTTTCCCTTCTTTGTTTACTGAAAAACTTGCTTTAATCTCTGATCAAAATTTTGTAAATTGCTTTTGACTATAATCCTCAAATTCTCGGTGCTGTTTTGGCTTTATGAGATTGAAGGATATAGACAATGAATAAGAAATTTGTTTGCTGTTCTTATATTGTGAGGAAATTTTTTTGTTACCAAAGCCGTTAATTATAACTTTCTGTTTTATGAACTGAATTACAGGTTTTCTTAAGTGCTTTTATTACAAGATGAAGCTTCCTCTTGATTGTGAAATCATGTATATTTATCTTCCTTCTAACCTCATCAGTTTTTTACATGCATTAATCTGTACATCTTTCTTTCTTCCTTTATCCCTGAGAATTGATCACTGGAATTTCTTTGTGTGCAGATTCAGTCACAACTGTGCGGATGGAGTCTCAATCTGTGATTTTAATTTGAAGGTTTTCCTTTTATTTTACTCTCTGTTTCAGAAAACAGGTAACATTCAAAGTTTTTATTCTTGGATTTTTGATATTCGTGTTTTGATTGTTCTATCTAAAATATTATTGGAAACTGAGAAAAATCATCAACCTTCTCCATGTCCTTGCCAAAAAATTCAATTATAATTCTATGAAGTCTTTACCCAACGTTTACCTCTCCTATATATTTTTTTTAGGAAAACTTACAATGGAGAGTGGAAAATCTTTAACAAAGTTATTCATCAATTCTAAAATTACTGAGATTAACGATTTAAAAGAAAGGTAACCAATCATGCTGTTGACTTTCTATTTTCACTATCTTAATAGTTTTTTAATGTTATTATTCTTATACATAGGATGCAAAATTTACAATTAGAAGACAGACCTGATATTCTGGTTCGTACATTCAAGATGAAGTTGGAGAATCTTATTTTCGACATAAGAAACAAGAACTTCTTTGGCCCATCTGCAGCATGTAAAACCATTACGTGTTCTTAATATAAAGTTTGGTGTCTTTTACATTGTGTCATTGTTTTAATACTGTTTTTTTTTTTCATTTTGAACAGTGATATATACAATTGAATTCTAAAGAAAAGGACTTTTGCATGTGGACATTTCGTTGTGACTGAAGCAGGGATCAAAGATTCCTACCACATATGAGATAGACAGGTTTATATGTGCTAAAATTCCAGATCGATCATCTAATTCCATATACCCAGTTTATACAGTCATCTTTCTTCTTTCCAACTCTCATCTTCTTAACATGGCTATGATATTATTTTCAGGTACTTGCATCAAAAACATCAATAGTTAATATGTATGGATGATGCTTAGAATGATGCTTAGAATGATGCTTATAATGTCTCAGATTTTATTAATATGTATGGATGTTTGTATATATCTCTATAACTTTGTACGGTTGTTTCTTAGCTATGAATTTGCGGAGTTAATTATACTGTTCACATTCTATGTTATCATGCATTTTTTATTTAGAGTGTTCATGCATGTATCGTGGATTCTGTTTTTTAATTAAGTTACAATTTCTAAAAATTAGAAAAACAAAAACATAATTACACAACTATAATTGCAATGTTGATAGAGATATGTCACTAAAAGAAGATCAATTTTATCTATTATTCATAAAATCGTTTGATACAAAATCAAGTGATGAGCTATACTTCAAATATACAAGTATGTTGTAATATTATGAGTGCCATACCTCCGTGCATTAGCACGGGGCAAATACTAGTAACGTATAAATTGAGTCTATTTCTAGTGTACATTGCTAAAATACTTGCATGGATACAGAGAATACATTAATTAATCCACGAAAATAAAGTCATTGAGATTATTGTAGTATATTTGAGTTCTTTTAATAAAAAAAAAAAAAAAAGAAAAATAAGGTGAAAAACCTCATTAAAGAGCTTTCTATATCACAACACTTTCGGGCCAAACAAGAGAGCTTCTTCACTTTCTCCACAGCATCTGCCCATGCCTTGTAATCACTTTTCTTTTTAGACTCGTAATCACTTTTCTTTTAGACTTTCCATATCACAACACTATGGTTTTGTTGTTGTCAAATATTTTCACTACCTCTCTTTTTTTTGGTCGAATATATTCTTACTAACTTTAATGACCTATTTTGACTAGCATTACGAGCATTATAACGCATAACCTACTCAGTGGCTGTAAAATACAAGTATTTATCTTTTTGGGTTAATAGTTTGATAATTCTTCTAATCATAACCAAGCGTAACCGATGAAAATCGATACTTATAAAGTGAAATCGCTAATTTACAAAGTGTTCAAATTTAGAAACATACAGTACTGGTTTTTATTTGTTTGTTCCTCTCCGTGGTGCAAGTAGAAAGAAGAATGAAATTCATAGAAAAATAGAAGTCGCTGTAAGAGACCGGACTCTGAGGAAACGAGGGTGGGGCTTTGGGAATCGGAACGAACAAAATTGTATCGCTAATTAAAGAAGAGAAAAGCACAATGCACAATTTGAAAAACAATACTAGGAGTAATACATATACATATACACGTATAAATAAAAGTGGTTATTCAATGCTTTTTTTATACGCGGTAATTTGGATGAAAATAATGGAGATCGTGTCAGATCTTATGATTCAATCATCCTCGGAAAATGTTGCATATTTAATTTGCCCACTCACGTGTATATGTACTATTTACATTGATGTTCGATTCATCTAGTTAGGGTTTGCAGTTAAAGTTTATATATACACAGACGAAAAAGGGACCTTTTGAGCTGTCGCGTGTTTAACTAATACTACTATCATAATTCATAAAGCTAAATTAAGTGATTAATGACGAAAAAGTTGATTTAGTGATAAACTGATAATTCAGTTGCGAATCTGATCATTTCGCAATAGTTCAATTTGTACAGATTTCAAATTAGACTATACAACTCTAAATATATGATCAGATCCTAAAAATAATTACATATACATGAGAAAAATTGCATATAACTAAGATAACAATAATTCTGACTATTATTACACAAAATGGTATTATAAATTTATAATAGATCCAAAGATCCCCAATACCTTTTGTTTTCAGAATCATTTTATAAACCCTATATACCATGAATGTGACAAAAACATATATCTAACCAAACTACCAAAAGTTTTGTGTATATATCTGATATATAAGTACGTGCACATGTATATGTAGTTGGCGGTTAGATGGCTTTAATAAGAATAATATACAAGGAACAATTGATAAATACCAAAGAGGGAAACCCTATATATCATGCATGATTGCAGCCTGCATGCGCAATTTGCATTTTGTATGATTATAATGTAGACCAAATCATAACATATGTGCAAAAAAATACAAATCCGTCTCATATATGTAGATAACATGTACGTAGATGTATACATTGCTTTTGAGATGAGACATATGACATAAGAGACTTGTCACATTACATCAGGGCCGTCTGATTATTTGCTAGTAAACCGATACAACATATAAATGTTATATAAGATAACACAAGTTGATTAATTGGAGCACTAACCAAGAAGCCATAGCGTTTATCTCCCTCTTTTGATAGTCTCATAAAACTTTCGTGTATTTTACGAACTTGTGTTTATTATGTCCACATATATATAAACGCGGTTACGTGGATGTAAATTTTGAAATAAAATGCAGAATCTTCGTCATGGAAAATGATATATCCACCGTCTTATATATATAACGAGTCACGATGATGGTACACGTCTTTCTTGTTAACGACAATCATAGATAACACCCAAATCTTGATGAAGCTATCCCCATGCGAGTGATTTGATGTGATCCTTTTAAACCAGCTTTAATCACGTCGCGAATTATACATAACTTGTGGAGAAAAAGCAAGTTGATATATATTTTTTTAAACATTTCGATTTTCACACACAACTTACATTCATTAATAGTGGACTCTATCGAGAGGAAGAGAGTAAATCACGACCGTTGATTAGGAAGTGAGTACAGAATCCGCAAAACGTGCTATTTAGTGAAGAGACAAGGGAATGAGAGAAAATTGATCAACATTTCCTATTTTAGCGAATGGGTTTAGTGAAGAGTGAAGGAGGTTGAAAACTGAGAAGTCAGAATAAGAGCACACAAGTGGTGACATCTTTTGAGAATCAAAGAGAAACTCATGTTCATATAAAGTAACTCACATCCTTATTAGCTATTACTTTGGTGAAAGCCACTTTCTCGATCTACCCTAATTCTAAAGTCTCAATGTGAGAGATAGAAACCCTAGCCAACTCTAAATCATCTCATCTTTTCATATTGAATGTATATATTATTTACAAAGGACTGAAAGGGTTGCAAGAATTTACAAAATTGACTGCATATGAAAATATCCCATTGTGAGCAATAATGCAAACTAATTCCCATTTTTATAACTGATAAGACAATTATAATCATCTTAGAGCATTTGAGGGCTATGAGGGACTACTTATTATGTTATAAACACTTTGATTTATAGCAGCAGCTGGTGACGTCCACTTATTGAAAAAAAAAACATAAATACAATTCATTTTTTTTAATCCGCACCAAAAATATCCTTATTGCATCATCAACCTAACCCCTCATCATATGATGATCACCTTTCTTTTTCCTTTAAAATATACGCACATTCACACACACACACACACACGTACGTACGCACACATACACACATATATATAATGTATATATCTCTGCCCCAGAGGCATTAAAAGTCTCACAGATCAAACAAAAATAAAGTATGAATAATAATAATATGAACCCATCTCTGTTCCAAAATTACACTTGGAACAACATCATCATCAACAACAACAACAAGAGTGATGATCATCATCATAACGATCCAATCGGTATGGCAATGGACCAACACACCCATCTCCACATCTTGAACGCTTTCACTTCTTCCTCTTCTTCTCATTTTCCTCCTCTCTCTTCTTCCCTCACAACAACCACTCTTTTCTCCGGAGATCAAGAAGACCAAGAAGACGAAGACGAGCCTCTAGAGGAACTCGGCGCTATGAAAGAGATGATGTACAAGATAGCAGCCATGCAGCCCGTCGACATCGATCCAGCAACCGTCAAGAAACCCAAACGCCGTAACGTTCGGATCTCAGATGACCCTCAGAGCGTGGCGGCGAGACACCGCCGTGAGAGAATAAGCGAGAGGATCAGAATCCTCCAGAGACTCGTCCCAGGTGGCACCAAGATGGATACAGCTTCAATGCTCGACGAAGCCATACGCTACGTCAAGTTCTTGAAACGGCAGATCCGGCTACTCAATAATCCTCCTCGGCCGCAAGATCAAGCTTCTCAGGCGATGACGACGTCATGGGCTTCGCCGCCACCACCGCCAGATTTCTGTGGTGCTGGTAGAGGAAGAGAATTGATCTAAATCAGGTGTTGTTTCCACTAATAGTAACTAAATTATGTTGTAAAAGTGTGAGTAATGGTGCAATTACGGTAAGTGTTTATATATAAAAATGGAAACGAAGTAAGAGTTTGTTAGGATCCCTATAATATATTGTTGTTGACCGGGAAAAGGTTGTGGAATAATCATAACGGTTAGCTTGAGTTGTGTACCACCATATATTTAATATCATATGTTATCATTTCGTATGTATATAATAATAAGTTCTTGATTTGTAGTTTGGTTGTATACAAGTTTTGGCCGGGCATTTTTCGGGAATAAAAACCATGACGCCATGAAAAAACTCTATTTAAATAGTGTTATCATTACTGTGGACTTTTCTCTTTGTATGCACACAATGTATATATTTGTATTACATCGAGCATATACATATGAATGTACGCCATTGTATCTCTCCCTTATATATGCACATATTGGTCTTTTTCTGTTCTTTTTTCCAATAAATGGGCCATGCATATTCATCGTACGTGCATACCTCGCAATTCGCATTTGAAGGTTAATAATTAAAATCTGTATATATGTATGCGTGAGTGTGTGTGTGTATATATATATATAAGAAATTTTGTTTGGATTTTATATAGAGGATGGTGCAGAGAAAATGTACTTTCTCGTTTGTCTTCGAATTAATGAAGTGAAGTCCAACTACAACAGTTGCAATATCTTTTTACCTTCCCAAAGCAAAACCTTTGACAACAAACAAACTATTAACAAACCAGAGCTTTGTTCCACACTTGTTGGTCAGAAAAACTCAGAAGTAGCAGAGAGACTGAGAGAGAGACCAAACGTATGCTCTTTGTTTACTTCACTTCGATAATTCCGCTGACTTTTGTGTCTCCTCACATTCATAGGTTTTAATAAAGGCACCACGAAATGTCAGTGAGATTCAAGGAAACCTATCCATTTTGCTACCAATAAGTCATTTAATTCTCTCTATTTTCTTTTGGCCACACAGCTATAGATTCATAGCCTAGAGGTATATACAAGATCACTTAACCACTAAATTAGCTCAAACAATGCATCAATATTCACTACACAGCGAATCGGTATGATTCCAGTTTAATTTTATGATCCGACTAACTTTGGTTACTTGGCTAAAAAATATGCTCAAAGACTCATAAGTCAACATTAGATATAAATTTTTAATTTCATGGCCCATAAAGTTAGGCCCAAATTATGTGAAAGTAACGAATGGGCCTAGTGGATTTCAGTTAAAGTGACCATTTCTCTCTCTACTCTCTAGTTATTTTGCTCGTATGAAAGCCCACCCGGGAATTTCCGACCCGACCGAGAAATGGGTGCATCATCTGCGATTACAGAAACCAACGGCACCGCATCGTCGCCGTCGTCGAATCACAAGCCTCCGGCTACGAACGGCGGTAATGCGCCTTCCCCTCATTCTACTCCTTTAGCTCCTGAGCAGGCGATTTCAGTGTATGATCCGTCGAAGAAGAGGAAAATGGCGATGCTTCCGCTCGAAGTGGGTACTCGTGTGATGTGCCGGTGGAGAGACGGAAAACACCACCCGGTGAAAGTAATCGAGCGCCGGAGGATACACAACGGCGGCCACAACGACTACGAGTATTACGTTCATTACACTGAGTGTATGTCACTTAACTCCTTATCCAATTTCGTTGATTTTCACTGATTAACATCATAAAGGTGGAGAAAAAGAGTTAAAATTGAAAGCCTTTATCAATTGGATCATTAGAATTGGCTTCAAATTGGGTGAGATTTTGAGAAGGAGATCAAATCCTGCATTATATTTCGTTACCAAAGATTTGTGACTATTATGATCAAGCTGAGTAAAAGTGATGATGATAAAGTTGGTGTGATATGAAAATTTATGATCATCAGTGTGTTCGGTTTTCATAATTTTGTATATGAAACTGCAGTTAATAGGAGGCTAGATGAATGGACTCAACTGGACCAACTGGATCTTGGTTCAGTAGAATGCGCCGTTGATGAGAAAGTGGAAGACAAGGTAGCTTTGTTAGTTTCATTGCATGAACTTTAATCTTCTATCTTTAGCACTGAGCGTAGAAGTATGTCATTGGTTTTGTTAGGTGACGAGCTTGAAGATGACACGTCACCAGAAGAGGAAGATCGCGGACGTTTATTTTGATGACCAATCGTTATCAGTATTTAATAGTTTTTCACATAAACATAGAATTTTAGGACAGCGGTGGTTGGTCAATAGATCGTAGAAGAAGAAGAACATATATAGGCTGTAGAAAAAGATAAAAAGGATTATAAATAGATGAGATACACAAATGCATGAGTATACATTTATAAATAGAGAAAAAGATGGAATAATGAGCTGGTGTTGGTGTACGATATTGTCATCATCATGTAGAAAATAATGGAAACAAAAAAACTTGAGTTTCAGAATCAGAGTTTTAGAATGCAAAAAGAGAAAAGGAAAACAAAAGTAATAATGTCTCTCACTGAACTCCATCTCTCAACTTGAATAAATCCAAATAATTTTTTTATTCTGTTTGAGTGATATAATTGCAACTTGTAATATAATGTTTTATGTATAGACTACGAAACACAAATCCCACCATGAACAACTCATCTATAAAAGCAACCGTGGATTTTAACGAGGTGATTCACAGTTAGTGGATGGAAAAGACATGACACCTAATTTTTTGTTATATACAATTTTTGTTTTTATGACATGGTACTTTTCTTTACGTCCATATAGTACTTGTAGTCTTGTATATAATGTAGGTTGATAAAAGTAGATTTGCCTCCGACCAATCACGACAGCCTATGGAACCGCAAAATGTCTGGTGATGACTTTGAAAGCCGCGAAAAGCTACTCAAAAACAACACCCAAAATAGAAAAAATACGTTTGCATATATTTTCCAAATCTATATAGGATGAAGAAAAAGCGAGATTAGTATATACGGTAGCAACTTCAAATTGTTTTCTTCAAATCAACTTTTAATTTGTTCACCAAAAAGTTATATTCAGTGTTAAAATTATATTCTTTAAATTACAATCTCCAACGAACATACCACTTTTATTAGTATATAATAGTGTCAGTCAGTCAGCATACAAAACACACACAAACCAGAAAAACACACGAGACGAAAGACACAATGGGTTGCTCTCGGCAAACGAGTCGAAACAGAGCACTCTCCTCTGTTTCCACACTTGTCCTATGTTTCGTCCTATGCATCTCCGAGCCTTCGAACGTCAAATCTTCACCGGTTTTTGCCTGTGACGTCTCCGGAAACCCTTCCCTCGCCGGGTTTGGATTCTGCATCACGGGTTTGAAGGCTGAAGCCCGAGTCACCGATCTTGTCGGAAGATTGACGTTGGAGGAGAAAATCGGTTTTTTGGTGAGCCAAGCCAACGGTGTGAGCCGTCTTGGGATTCCGGCTTACAGCTGGTGGTCGGAGGCACTTCACGGCGTCTCTAATCAAGGAGGTGGTGTTAAATTCTCCGACCAAGTCCCTGGCGCCACTAGCTTCCCTCAAGTCATACTTACCGCTGCGTCCTTCAATGAATCTCTGATCCAAGCCATTGGCAAGGTGAAGTAAATATCCCTAATTTTTTTTTTTTTTTACATTTTCCCTCATTTTGAATGATGTGATAACTTAGATTTTATTTATGATTTGGTTTAAAGGCTGTGTCGACGGAGGCGAGGGCAATGTACAATGTGGGATTAGCCGGATTAACGTTTTGGTCACCGAATGTAAACATATTTCGAGACCCTAGATGGGGAAGAGGACAAGAGACTCCCGGCGAGGATCCTACGCTCACAAGCAAATACGCGGTGGCTTATGTTAAGGGTCTTCAGGAGACTGACGGCGGAGATCCTAACCGTCTTAAGGTCGCCGCTTGCTGCAAACACTACACCGCCTATGACGTTGACAATTGGAAAGATGTCCACCGTTTCACTTTCAACGCCGTGGTAAGAAAAACAGAGCATTTCTTATTAGTCACACCAAACCTATTTCAATGTTTTATTGACTGCTGTTGATTTGTGTGAGTGTTGGATTAGGTGAACCAACAAGATATGGATGATACGTTTCAACCACCGTTCAAGAGCTGTGTGGTTGATGCCAATGTTGCTAGTGTCATGTGTTCTTACAACCAAGTTAACGGTAAACCGACATGCGCTGATCCTGATCTGCTTTCCGGTGTGATCCGCCGACAGTGGAAGTTAAACGGGTAAGGTTGTCTCAGAACGGTTTAATTCTACGAAGGATTTTGTTCTCTTTTTTCATTTTTTTGTTCGTTTGTTAGGTACATAGTTTCGGATTGTGATTCAGTAGAAGTGGTGTACAAGAACCAACACTATACCAAGACCCCAGAGGAAGCTGTGGCCAAATCTATATTGGCAGGTTTGGACTTGGATTGTGGTAGTTTCAGTGGTCAACATGCGATGGAAGCGGTGAAGGCAGGTTTGGTAAACGAGTCAGCTATCGACAAAGCGATTTCAAACAATTTTGCGACTCTGATGCGTTTAGGATTCTTCGATGGTGATCCCAAGAAGCAGCTCTACGGTGATCTTGGTCCGAAAGACGTTTGCTCGGTTGAGAACCAAGAACTCGCTAGAGAAGCCGCAAGGCAAGGCATTGTCTTGCTCAAGAACTCTGCTGGTTCGCTTCCGCTCTCACCTTCTTCGATCAAAACGCTAGCTGTGATCGGACCAAACGCCAATGCCACCGTAACGATGATCGGAAACTACAATGGTATGATGAAATGAACACAAGTCATCATCGGTCTCAATTTGAAGATTAAATGTGTGAAACCGAAAATCGTTTTTTTCTATTTTCAGGAACACCGTGCAAGTACACAACGCCGCTTCAGGGGCTGGCGGCAACGGTTTCGGCGACGTATCATCCGGGCTGTTCTAACATGGCGTGCGCAGAGGCGGATTTAGACTCAGCCACGGCTCTGGCTGCTTCTACGGATGCGGTTGTGCTCTTGATGGGCACGAATCTATCAATTGAGAACGAGGACCTTGACCGGCTCGACCTGAATCTTCCCGGAAAACAGCAAGAGCTTGTGACTCAGGTTGCTAAGGCGGCGAAAGGACCGGTGGTGCTAGCCATTATGTCCGGTGGGGGATTCGACATTACCTTCGCCAAGAACGACGAGAAGATCACAAGCATTTTGTGGGTCGGGTTTCCTGGTGAAGCCGGTGGCCTCGCCATTGCTGACGTCATCTTCGGTCGTTATAATCCTGGTGAGATTCTGTTATCCCGCCTGAACCGGTGATAACCAACCGGTTTTGGTTTTACGATTATAATCTCGATAACCGGTGATTTTTTTGGTTTTGGTTAGGCGGAAAGTTGCCGATGACTTGGTATCCTCAGTCGTATGTGGAGAAGGTTCCGATGTCGAATATGAACATGAGACCCGACGAATCAACCGGATATCCGGGTCGAACTTACAGGTTTTACGCCGGGGAAACCGTGTACGCCTTCGGAGACGGGATGAGCTACACTCAATTCGACCATCGGCTAATCAGAGCCCCGCGACTAGTCTCTCTCCGTCTTGACGAGAGCCACCATTGCCGATCGTCGGAGTGTCAATCACTGGACTCGATCGGACCGCACTGCGAGAGCGCCGCCGAGGGAGGATCTGAGTTCGAAGTCCAGCTAAACGTAAGGAACGCCGGAGACAGAGAGGGGAGCCACACGGTGTTTCTGTTCACGACGCCGCCGGCTGTACACAGATCGCCGATTAAGCATCTGCTAAGGTTCGAGAAGGTTCGTCTGGGGAAGAATGAAGAGGCGGTGGTTAAATTTAAGGTCAATGTGTGTAAGGATCTGAGTGTTGTTGATGAAATCGGGAACAGGAAGATCGCTTTGGGCGAACATCTTCTCCATGTGGGAAGCTTGAAACATTCCTTAAACATTAGGGTCTGATAAGTTAAATTTATTTCTACTGGTTACGATTAGAAAGGAATAAAAAATCTGAGGACTTATTTGTTTGCGTGTGATCACTTGTTTGGCGTCTTGGGCGGTTGATTTAAGAAATCGCGTTAGAAATGCAATTGATTTGACGGAAGTATCATTTTGGCGGTTAGATAGTAAATCGCGTTCGAAATGCAATTGACCAAATCACCCTTATTAACAAAATTTGAAAAGTTCTTCTCAATCACGCCTCACTCGTGATATGTTGCGTTGCCATTTTTCATCGCCGTCGATGCAATATTCATGTCGGAAGCGACTTTAATCGCCGTCGTCTCTGTAATAACGGCAGAAATGGTAGTCGTCAGATTTAAAAAGAATAACCCGATTAATAAAGAACATCGACTTTGGAGGAATCTTATTATGGAAAAGGACGATATACAGTCAACGAATACCCATTTTCCTTTATCCAACTGGGTTTGCTTTTTTTCTCCGTCGCTTTCATATGAACAGTACTCGAGGGGAACAAAACAAAGTACGTCTCTTTTCATATCTCACTAGTTTTTTGTTCTCTTATCTCGCTTTGAATTTTGAAATATGCTTTTGCGTTCGTTGTAAGCAGTATAAGAATCAGAGATGTCGCGTGACTTGGAACTTGTTCCGGTGGATCCATCTGCGGTGAAGCGGAAGTCATCTCGGTCGTCGCGGAGTTGGATTTCTATAGACGCGACGGGGCAAAAGACGGTGCTTGACGCAGACAGACACGAGATTTTGCACCGTGTCCAGATCCACGCCCGGGATCTCCGGATACTCGACCCGAACCTTTTTTACCCGTCCGCTATTCTGGGTCGAGAGAGAGCCATTGTTCTTAACTTGGAGGTTTGTGACTTTTTGTCTTCTCCTCTGCTTTTTAGTTAAGAGTTATAAACGTTTGATTGATTCGTGTTTTGTTTTTGGTGGTTCGATGCAGCATATCAAGGCGATTATCACATCCGAAGAGGTCAGACTCAAGTTTACTAGCTTCTAACTAAACTTGCTTAATTTGGACAAACACTGATGTTGCTGAAACCGGTGGATGATCGTCTAACATATCTGAAAATGATACAGGTTTTGCTTCGGGATTCGACAGATGAACATGTTATTCCTGTCCTGGAAGAGCTTCAGAGACGTTTGCTTGTTGGGAACGAGGAACACCATGGTCAAGGAGATGCTGAAGCGGGTGAAGAAGATGGTATTCTTTAATTCTTATTATTTTTTGTCATTCAAATCTTGAAAATTCTGTTTTGGCTGTTGAAATGTGTGCTTGTTATACTATTTAGAATCCCCGTTTGAGTTCCGGGCGCTAGAGGTGGCTTTGGAAGCTATTTGTAGCTTCCTAGCTGCAAGGACATCAGAGCTTGAGTCATCTGCGTATCCTGCTTTAGATGAACTTACCTTGAAGGTATGTAACTTAATGGTTTATTGACTTATTGTCATCACTAGACGATGAGCACCGTTTCATTTTGTAGATTAGTAGCCGTAACTTGGAAAGGGTTCGTAAACTGAAGAGTGCCATGACCAGATTGACAGCTCGGGTCCAAAAGGTGAAGCCACCTATCCTCAGAAACAGAGCCTATAGATTTAATGAATGATGCATAAGTCTATAGCTCAGTCGTCACCTTTTTGTTTTCAGGTAAGGGATGAGCTGGAACAATTGTTGGATGATGATGAAGATATGGCTGAGCTCTATCTTTCAAGGAAGCTTGCTGGTTTATCTTCATCGATTAGCGTTTCTGATGAACCCCTTAAGCATCCTACGTCCCCAACACTAGGTTCTATGATTTCCAGAGCAAGTAGACTGAGTTTAGCCACGATTCGTGGGGACGATGATGAAAATGATGTCGAAGAACTTGAAATGTTGCTTGAGGTATGTTTATTGCATGAATGTTATATGACCATTATATCTATTTCAGCTATATATAAAATTCAAAAAACCATTAATTTTGAATTTTGTCTTTTTTTTACAGGCATACTTCATGCAAATCGACAGCACTTTGAACAAATTAAACGCGGTATTTGTATTTTCTTGGCTTTTTTTTCTGTTTTTTTTTCCGGAGTTGTGAAAATCTTTGTAATATCTCTGAGTCAGAAAGTATAATTGAACATGATGCAGTTACGTGAGTATATTGATGATACAGAGGACTACATTAACATCCAGGTAACCAAAATGAAAACCTGTTTTCCTGAATTTTAAGAATGTTGCGGAAATGCAATTTCCCTCACAGGCTAATGTAGACTAAAAATCATTGTTTTTGTTTGCAGCTAGACAATCATAGAAATCAACTGATTCAGGTGAGCGAATATGGAAGAAAGCTCAAGATTGATAATTAGTTTGCTTATATTAATGTGTCTAAAAAATCTATGCAGTTAGAGCTTATGTTAAGCTCAGGAACCGTCTGTGTCTCAATGTACTCTATGATCGCCGGAGTATTCGGCATGAACATTCCCTACGCATGGAACGACGACCATGGATACATTTTCAAATGGGTACGAATCACATTTCCGTTTTCCAGGAGACAAGAAAACATGTTGATGATGATTGTCATCTACTTGATTTTATTTTTTATTGTTGTTGAAGGTGGTAATCCTCACGGGGATGCTTTGCATGGTCTTGTTCGTCATTATATTGTCGTACGCTCGGTTTAAAGGGCTCGTTGGATCTTGATGACCAGAGAGTGATTTAGTACATGTATAATTGTATATTGCAGTTGCAGTGATTGTGAGACGATTAAAAAGGAATACAATTTTAAGGACTTATTTGTTCCGTGTGTGAACACTTGTTTGGAGTCTCGCGCGGTTGGTGGTTTCAAGTAAATCGCGTTCGAAATGCAATTGACCGGATTACCCTTTTTGGCGGTTGGTTTAAGAAAATCGCGTTCGAAATCCGAAATACCCTTTTTAACAAATTTTGAAAATTTCGTAGTCTCTTCTTCTTCTTCTCAATCGCCGCCGTTTTTCATTTCACCGTCGATGCAATATCCATCTCAGACGCTACTTTTATCGCCGTCGTCTCTTCAATAACGGCAGAAATGGTCTCTGCCGTAGATTTAAAAAGGATAACCCGATTAAAAAAAAGAACAACGAAACGACTTTCGAGGAATTTTATAATGGCAAAAGGAGCAGATACAACGAAAACGCACTTTTCTTAATCCAACTGGGTTTTTTTATTTTCTCCGTCGATTTCATATGGAACAAAAGTACGAGTTTCTCTTATTAAATCTGTTGCTTTTTGCTAGTTCTGTTCTCTTATGTCGCGTTGAAAAATTTTAGGCGTTCTTTGCAAGCAGTGTAAGAATCAGAGATGTCGCCGGACGGAGAACTTGTTCCGGCGGATCCAACTGCGGTGAAGAGGAAGACACCTCAGTCTTCGCGGAGTTGGATTTCTATAGACGCGACGGGGCAGAAAACGGTGCTTGACGCAGACAAACACGAGATTTTGCACCGTGTCCAGATCCACGCCCGGGATCTCCGGATACTCGACCCGAAACTTTTTTACCCGTCCGCTATTCTGGGTCGAGAGAGAGCCATTGTTCTTAACTTGGAGGTTGGTGGACTTTTGTCTTCTCCTCTGCTTTTTAGTTAAAGTTACATACTTTAGATTGATTTGATTCGTGTCTTTTTGTTTGTTTGTTTTGTCCGATGCAGCATATCAAGGCGATTATCACATCCGAAGAGGTCAGACTTATGTTGCTAAACTTGCTAAATTTGGACAAACACTAATGTTGATGAAACCGGTCGATGATCTTGTAACATATTTGAAAATGATACAGGTTTTGGTTCGGGATTCGTCAGATGAACATGTTATTCCTGTCCTTGAGGAGCTTCAGAGACGTTTGCTTGTTGGGAACGAGGAACACCATGGTCAAGGAGATGCTGAAGTGGGCGAAGACGATGGTATTCTTAAACTTTTTGTCAAAATGCTTCATCTTTTTTATGCCTACATAAGATTAAGAAGCATTCACTCTTTTCACATTTGGTATATTAGAATCCCCGTTTGAGTTCCGGGCGCTAGAGGTGGTTCTGGAAGCTATTTGTAGCTTTCTAGCTGCAAGGACATCAGAGCTTGAGACATCTGCTTATCCTGCTTTAGATGAACTTACCTTGAAGGTATGTAACTTAGTGGTTATTGTCATCACTGTTCCCATGTCCAACTTATAAGACGATGAGCACCGTTTCGTTTTGTAGATTAGTAGCCGTAACTTGGAAAGGGTTCGTAAACTGAAGAGTGCCATGACCCGATTGACAGCTCGGGTCCAAAAGGTGGAGCCACCTATCCTGAGAAACAGAGCCTTTAGATTTATGAACTATGATGCATAAGCCTATAGCTGCTCACTCTTCATGTGTTTTTCAAAGGTAAGGGATGAGCTGGAGCAATTGTTGGATGATGATGATGATATGGCTGAGCTCTACCTTTCAAGGAAACTTGCTGGTTTATCTTCATCGATTAGCGTTTCTGATGAACCCCTTTGGTATCCTACGTCCCCAACACTAGGTTCTATGATTTCCAGAGCTAGTAGATTGAGTTTAGCCACGGTTCGTGGGGACGAGGATGAAAATGATGTCGAAGAGCTTGAAATGTTGCTCGAGGTTGTTTCTTGCATGACTTTCAATATCTACCATTATATCAGTTTCAAACTCATAGTTAATTTTAATCTTGTTTTGCAGGCATACTTCATGCAAATCGATAGCACTTTGAACAAATTAAACGCGGTATTTGTATTCTCTTGTTCTCTTTTTTCTTTTCTTCAGAGTTGTGAATCTTTGTAATATCTCTGACTCGGAAAGTATAACTGAACATGATGCAGTTACGTGAGTATATTGATGATACAGAGGACTACATTAACATCCAGGTAACCAAATTGAAAACCTATTTTCCTGAAATTTTAAAACATGTGACGAAAATGTAATGTCCCTAAAAGGCTAATGTAAACTATAATCATCGATTTTTTTGTTTGCAGCTAGACAATCATAGAAATCAACTTATTCAGGTGAGTGAACATAAGAGAGCTCAAGATTGATAATTCTTTTGCTTAATATGTCAAAAAATCTGTGCAGTTGGAGCTTATGTTAAGCTCAGGAACCGTCTGTGTATCAATGTACTCTATGGTCGCCGGAATATTCGGCATGAACATTCCCTACAAATGGAACGACGACCATGGATACATTTTCAAATGGGTACGAATTCGAATCACATTTCCGTTTTCCATGAGATAAGAAACATCTTGATGATGGTCATCTACATGAATTCATTGGTGTCTGTGTTTTTTGTTGTTATTGTTAAAGGTCGTTATCCTGACGGGGATGTTTTGCGCAGTCTTGTTCTTGATTACATTTTCGTACGCTCGGTTTAAAGGTCTCCTTGGATCTTGATGACCATAGAGTGATTTGTACAGATGTTATATATTGCAGAGTTATTGTGAGACAGTGAGAGGAGCAGATATTGTTTCTCGGGGGTCTCTTTCTCGTCGGAAATCTTGCTCGCGATTACAGTTACGTTACCACCGATAGAATTGTAATGTTGTAACATTACATCGATAACTTCAGACAAAAACTACATTTTGTTTCGACCAACTTGTTTTTTGCTGCTCTCATGTTCTACTGTATCATTAATTTTCTCGACCAATAAAGGAACTGAGAAAACCGAACAAAACCAAAGATACGAACCCGAACCGAAATACAATTTCGGTTTCGGTGACCTGAACAGAACTGAATTTTGTCAAATCTGAGCTTAACCGAACGAAGATTAATTCGGTTCTACTCATCCCCAACCCGAAATAATCGAAAACCCGAAGATACCGAAATGAACCGACTTGAATTTGACCAACAACCTCCAGGGAAGAAGATGGATGACTCGTCCATTCTCATAATCAATCGTTTTAGCCAATAGATCTCTCTTCGCTCTTCACTGTTCTTTGTTTCTCTTTCGAATCTCTGTCTGGAGCTCAAGGCGGTTTCTTCTCTCTCAGATCTTTCAGGTTTTCAATTCTCTTCTAGATTGATTCTGCTCTTATTCACCGTTAAGCTGATAACCTTTGTCTTCTTCCGTGTTTCTATTGATTGCTTGATATGGATTCATGAATCTTAATTAGATTGCTGTTTTTTTGTGAAGTTAACTGTTTTGGTTTTAATCATTCTCACCACTTTTTCCTCAATTGATTAAGCTCCTTCTAGATTTTATTTGGGTGAAACGTTATGCTGTTTGCTTTCTCTAGGCTATTAAATTTTGGTAATTAACCTAAGTTGGCATCTTTAGACTCTGTTTTCTCCAACTTTCGAATTTGCTATGTGAAATGAAAATTGGCAGAGAATTAGTATATACGATGAGTCTTTGTTTATATCTTCTTCTTCCAGGATGCTTTCGAGGGGCTTTGGGTTATTTAAACTAACTGATAACTTATACGAACTCGTCTGAAAATTTGGGTGCAGATTATTTGGAAACTTATTGCCGGAAGCTCATTTTTATCTCAGAATGGATAGTAACAGAGATGATGATTTCACATTCTCAAGGGTGAGTTTCCAGTTTCCTTTCATTTCTTCAAGATTTTCATTACCAACATGAAAGTTTTAGACTTTCTGACTGATTCTTGGTTTGTTTCCCTTAAGGTTGCGCCATCGGATAGTGAAGTTGTCGCCGAGGCAAAAGAACTTGCATCACATGTAGACGGTATTGTCCTCAAAGATGGATCAGATCATCAAAGCAATGGTGTTTTGCAGAAAGACAAGCCTCTTAGTAAAGTTCCTCCAAAGGAAGAGAAAGTAGGCTCTTTAACTTTCACGGTGACTGATTCGTCTTCTTCAAAGCAGTCCAAAGAATCATCCGAGACTCTCAAAACCAGGAAGCCTATAACTCGTACCAAAGTCCCATTTGAAAAGGGTTATAGCCAAATGGATTGGTTGAAACTTACACGAACACATCCCGATCTTGCAGGTAAAAGCTTAGGTCTCATTATTGTTCCTAAATACATTTTGATATGTGTGTTTACACGAAAACCGACGATTTTGTTGTTGCAGGCCTGAAGGGAGAATCAAACAGGAGGCTTATTACGATGGATGAAGTGAAACAGCACAAATCAGGAGACTCGATGTGGACTGTTTTGAAAGGTCGTGTGTACAACATTTCCCCGTATATGAATTTCCATCCTGGAGGTGTCGACATGCTGATGAAAGCTGTTGGGAGAGACGGTACGTTGTTGTTCAACAAATACCATGCTTGGGTCAATTTTGATATCTTACTTGAGAAATGTCTTGTTGGAGTTTTGGACGATACCAAAGTGAAGAAGCAAGAATCGTAAGATTATCATACACTCGTATAGATCATTCTTAAGTCAATAAGAATATTTTTAGTGTTTACATTTTGATTCTTCAAATGTAAACGCTGATCACAATTTGAACTGTTTATTAGACTTTTTAGTTTTTACACAATTCTTTTGATGATGTCAATAGTTAAAGGTTTCTAGAATAAATTTAAAAACAACATTTTATTTCACAATAGTACAATACAATAGATAGTAGACTTCAAATCAAATCATCTAAATTACAAGGAAATTAACAAAATACTTGCTAAAAATACCAAACAAAAACACACAAAATATAAGTTAATTAAAGGAAAATCAAGCAGACATGCATCCAACACCATATCGACTGGTCGGAAAAACAAGAAACAGAGCACTGCAAACAATTCCGACCATTATCGGAAAACTCTCCATAACTTGATCAATCTCTTTCTCTTTCCCTGGAAACAAACACCCCGTGATTCTCCGATCCGAGAACGCAATCGCCATAAACACCAAAACGCTCATCACCGCATGAACAAAGTCGTTAACCGTCAACTTGTATCTCTCGTCCGTCACCGGAATCGCCGCATCCGCGATCACATCTCCGACTCCCAACTCCTCCGGTGGCGGCGGTTTCATGAACACAGCAAGTCCACTTGGCGTCACGAAACCGTAATAGATTTTACCGTCGGCGGCTTTGAAACTATCGGTGAAGTGGAAGAAGAAGCAAGACATCGCGCAAAGAAGCAAGAGAAGATGAATCATGAGCGTGTTGATTCCGTTACAGTCTCCGTCACGGTAGATCGACGGGAGAACCATTTCGAACATCAAGAGAGTTCCTGTCGGAAGGAAGTTGACGAGCATTGATGTCTTCGAAACCGTCTTTTGAACTCCTTGCGCCACCATGCGACGTTTTCGACCTCTTCCTCCTCCCGCGGCGGCTCCCTTCGGAAGTGTAGGCAGTGAAGAGATCAAGAAGGGCTTTGGTGAGCGAGATTGTGGGGGTGGTGATGGTTTTTGCGGCGGAGTCGCCGTGTAAACTCTGATTCCGACACTATCCTCTGTTTTCTCCATTTTTTGTGTTTCTCTGAGTAAACCGTTTTCGTCTTGTGTGAAATGAACCGTTGATTTATATTTGATTCGTGAAGACGGTAACTGTTTATTTATAAGATAAAAGTAAGATGGGCAAATCGGACTTTTCCAATAACGCTTTTTTTCTCTACCCAATCAGAGCCGTTTTTTACTGACAGGGACTAAGGGGTATTTTAGGTATTGTAGGTGGAAGAAAAAACCTGACTCGTCCACGCTATAATTTACACTATCATTTTTTGGTGCCAATAATCTGCTTTCGTCTTCCTTCGACACCTGTTTCTGAATTTTATTCTCTCTTCTTTCTTCGTGTTTTCTCCTGCGATTCTACATAAGAGTTCAAGTTTCAGAATTCAGATCCACCCAGGTATTTTAATTCTCTTCTTCAATCGTTCTGATTCATTTTGTTTATTAGTTTTCATTGATCTGCTTAATCGGAGCTCATGAATCAGAATGTGTGGCTGTTTTTGTGAAATTGAACTCTTTTGATTGTAATTACTCTCACCACTTGCTCTGCAATCATTACACTCTCAATTTGGGGTTTTGTGAAACTTTATGCTTTTTTGTTTTTCCCGGTATCAAAATTTTGGTCAATAATGTCTGACCAATCATCTATGTTATGTGAAGTTTGCAGAGAATTATAATTATGTGATGTGTCTTTGTTTAGATCTTCTGTTTCTCCAAAGTTGCTGGTTCTAGTATGATTACTAATTACTATTCTGGTGTTTTCTCCTGCTTTTCAGTAATCTATTTTCCAAGTCAAAACTGTTGAAAACAAATATTTTCTTAGATTTTTGGATCTTGTGGTTGGATCTAATGAAGTATTGTATTAGAGAAAAAAAAAAGGAGTTGACTTTGGAGTTTTTGTTGCATCTCTCTCTCATGTGATTTTCGCCTTTTAGGTCTCGAGCAAAAAGATCATTGCTTTACAGCTGAAGTTAATTGTCTCTCAAGTGGTTCCAATCTATGCATATAGCTACAATATGGGTGACACAGCTCTTAGCCTGAAGTGCCTTGGAGGCTCTCAAAACCATTTCTGTTCTGATGTTTCCAATTGCACTGATGATGGCTGCCTGTTAGTCCTTGGATTAGGTCCAACATCAGCTTCATACTATTTTAGCAACAAAGTTTCTGGTTCTGGATTCACTCAAGAACTCTCCTCCGGAGGCAATTCAGTTCTCCAACTCGGTCTTCCTGATGTAAGCATAGACACTTTCAGCGGACCATGTGTGTTTCCTGTTGTTGATGAGGGTTCTACTTCTGCAAAGAGATCAGGTGGTTTCATGCCATCACTTCTGATAGATCAGGGAACTTCACAAGCGAGCCTAGATTCATCATCACCTTACACATCGTTCACTGTACAACAGAGGACTTACAACACGAAGAAGTGCAAGTTTATGGGATGTGCCAAGGGAGCTCGAGGAGCAACAGGGCTGTGCATCAGCCATGGAGGAGGACAGAGATGCCAAAAGCCAGGATGCAACAAAGGTGCAGAGAGTAGAACCACTTTCTGCAAAACACACGGTGGAGGGAAGAGATGTGAGCACTTGGGATGCACGAAGAGCGCTGAAGGGAAAACAGATTTCTGCATATCTCACGGTGGTGGGAGACGCTGCGAGTTTCTTGAAGGGTGTGACAAAGCAGCTAGAGGGAAATCAGGACTCTGCATCAAACACGGTGGTGGCAAAAGATGTAACATAGAAAGCTGTACACGAAGCGCTGAAGGACAAGCTGGTCTTTGTATATCACACGGTGGTGGGAAGCGTTGTCAGTTTCTTTCAGGTTGTGATAAAGGAGCTCAAGGAAGTACTAGCTTCTGTAAAGCTCATGGAGGTGGGAAACGATGTATATTCTCAGGGTGTAGCAAAGGAGCAGAAGGGAGTACTCCTCTGTGTAAAGCGCACGGTGGAGGGAAACGTTGTTTATCCGATGGAGGAGGGATTTGCTCGAAGAGTGTGCACGGTGGGACTAACTTCTGTGTTGCTCACGGTGGTGGGAAGAGATGTGTTGTGGAAGGGTGTACGAAGAGTGCTCGTGGTCGTACTGATTGTTGTGTTAAGCACGGTGGTGGGAAACGGTGTGTGGTTGTTGAGTGTGAGAAGAGTGCTCAAGGGAGTACTGATTTCTGCAAAGCTCACGGTGGTGGGAAACGTTGCTCTTGGGGAGATGGGAAGTGTGAGAAGTTCGCTAGAGGGAAGAGCGGTTTTTGCGCTAAGCATAACAGTTTTGTGTGTAGGGAGAAAGGAGAGGATGGAAGCAAGAACGGTTTGATTGGACCGGGGCTGTTTAGTGGTCTTGTTGTTGGCTCTGGTTCTGATCATTCTCAGTCTGGAGTTAGTGCTGTCTCTGATTGTACTGATTCTGTTGATCGAAGAATACAGTTTGAGAAAAGGCAGAAGATGATGATACCGATGCAGGTTCTTGTGCCTTCATCAATGAAATCTCCAAGTAGTTCACGTGAAGGAGAAACAAATATGTTTGACTTTATGATTCCGGAGGAGAGAGTTCACGGCGGGGGGCTAATAATGTCTTTGCTTGGTGTTGGTAGCAGCCAGAGACAACCCTCCATTGATAGAAACTGAAAAGTCTTTCTTGGTGTTAGTAAGTGTCATCTTCTCAGCACAAACCTGTGTAAAGCTGTATATGTGATCTATGTACATTAAAAGGAGCTATGTTTGGGCCTTTGGTGGGCTTATTTATATTCACCAATACAATTGTCGAACCCAAATCTACCATTATTTATAGCTTCATCTGAAATTAATTATCTACGGGAATTTTGAGAGCCACAACGGTCAAGAGCAACATTGAAGCTGAAGATAGGATAAGGAAGGGTTCCTACAAAATGAACAACATTTCTTTCCACACAAATTAGTATTTTTAAAAAACTCATAGAAAAAATAACAAAAAGGACAAATATTAACGTCATATTCTTTCAATCTAGTCCCCATATTTTAAGTCATCTCTCTTCTCCTGACATACAAATGAAAAGTCTAAACTAACAGGAGCAAACAGAGAAACATAACAATGGAGTTTCCCGGAGCCAACCAGAGGATTGCTAGGATCTCAGCTCATCTTCAACCTTCTTTCACTCCTCAGGTTTGTCTCTGTACCTTTGCTTCTAAGTCAAGTTACATTTTTGATTCTTCAATCGTTGCTTGTTCTAAACCAGAGAGCTACTAGTTTGTATCCACTCTCAAAAAAAAAATTGATCTCTTCTCAGATTCATTAAGACACAATCTAATAGTTAAATTTTTCCATTTCTTGGTATTGAAGATTCTGATGCCATGAGAAATTTAGAATACCAATCTGTTTTCCTCCATTGAAGCCTTCTTGGACTGAAACTGAAAGTGTTTTCTTCTTTAGATGGACGCGAAGAACTCGGTAATGGGAATGGAAAACTGCAGAGCGAAAGGAGGGAATCCAGGATTCAAAGTAGCAATTCTTGGAGCTGCAGGAGGAATCGGACAATCTCTATCCTTGTTAATGAAAATGAACCCTCTTGTCTCTGTACTTCATCTCTACGATGTTGTCAATGCTCCTGGCGTCACAGCTGATGTCAGCCATATGGACACTTCAGCTGTTGTGAGAACCCCTCTCAACTTCTAAAACTTATCATGACCATTTTTTATTTGATTTTGAGACCGTTTTTTCTTTATTAGGTCCGAGGATTCTTGGGAGGGAAGCAGCTAGAGGACGCGTTAACGGGTATGGATCTTGTGATCATACCAGCTGGTGTGCCGAGGAAACCAGGGATGACTCGTGATGATCTCTTCAAAATCAATGCTGGGATTGTTAAGACACTGTGTGAAGGTGTAGCCAAATGCTGTCCTAATGCTATCGTCAACTTGATCAGCAACCCTGTGAACTCCACTGTCCCCATTGCCGCTGAGGTTTTCAAGAAAGCTGGCACTTATGATCCTAAGAAGCTCCTTGGAGTTACTACACTCGATGTTGCTCGTGCCAACACCTTTGTGGTAATAACGATTCCTCAGTCCATTTGGTTTTGTTGATTCTCTCAAAAACACCAAGATTTGACCTTTTTTTTTTGAAATCTTGTGCAGGCAGAGGTTCTTGGCCTTGATCCAAGAGAAGTCGATGTACCAGTTGTTGGAGGACACGCCGGAGTTACAATTTTGCCACTATTGTCACAGGTTAAGCCTCCTAGCAGCTTCACACCTACAGAAATTGAGTACCTAACAAACAGGATTCAGAATGGTGGGACTGAAGTTGTGGAGGCAAAAGCTGGAGCTGGATCTGCAACACTTTCAATGGTAACAGTTTAAGACACTTTATATATAACACTTGTTTTTCTCATGTGGAATGTACTAATACTACTACTACTACAGGCATATGCAGCAGCCAAGTTTGCAGATGCATGCCTTCGTGGGTTAAGAGGTGATGCAAATGTTGTGGAATGCTCTTTTGTTTCTTCACAGGTGTGAACTTGACAAGCTTTCTGTTTTCATCTCTTAATGCAAAAAAATATTTACTCTGTTTCATTCTTTAACGCTTTTGATTTGTAATGGAAATTTCCCACCACAGGTGACAGAATTAGCATTCTTTGCAACCAAAGTGCGTCTTGGTCGTACAGGAGCAGAGGAAGTGTATCAGCTTGGACCCTTAAACGAATACGAAAGGTCTCTTAAACACTCTCTCATCTCTTAAAATTAATTGTCTCACAGAGAAAGAAAGAGAGTTTCTTTATATTGATTTCTCTGGATGGTTTCAAACAATCTACAGGATTGGTCTGGAGAAAGCAAAAGAAGAATTAGCCGGAAGTATTCAGAAAGGTGTCGATTTCATCAGAAAATGAAACTGAGAGTAAATCAAAGATGAGAGAGACAATAAGATCTTTCTAAATGAATCTTGATCATGTACTACTTTACTTCAGCATGCCTATCTTCCTCTGCTTTGTAAATTCCTTATCAGTTTGTGTAACTCTGTGACATTTTCGACGTTCTTATCTATGGCTTTTGATTATGAGAAAAGTTTCAACATAGTATTATTACAGAGCTTTGATTAAAGCATAAACAAGAGAAAATGATGAATTGCATAGAGAGAAGAGATCAGTGTATGGACTGAAACGGACACAAACCCTCAAAAGATTGATGACGTGGAGAGAGAGAGTATCAGTGGGTCCTACCTTCGTCTGAAGGAAAAATAAATAACGGAAAAAAGAAATGGCTTCGCCCGGGTTCGAACCGGAGACCTTCAGTGTGTTAGACTGACGTGATAACCAACTACACCACGAAACCTTACTGTTCGTTAATCAGTAGTTTAACTACTTATACCAAACGTACTTAAGTTGGTCATACACTCATACCTACCTACTCTGCAAACCGCACGTGATCTATTTTTGTCTTCGTGTTTTTTTCTTATTTGTGACCAAAATCCATTAAATTTATTATTTTGATTTGACTCTTCCCTTCTCCGAGAGTAGAATAAAAAAGAGCCAGTGGATATCACATACGGCCACCACCACTTTTCAATCTCTCCACTGTAATGGCGGCCACACGAGTGATTACTGCAGCGGCGACCGCAACCCAAACCACCTCCTGTTTCCTCGCCAAGCGAGCTTTCCTTCTTCCGGCGAACAAGTCCTGCGCCGGATTCGGAGGTCTCTGCTTCACCAGAAGATCCTTGGTGTTGAAATCCAAAAGACCCTTCTCCTGCACTGCGATTTACAATCCTAAGGTTCAAATTAAAGAAGAAGGTCCACCCGAATCCCTTGACTATCGTGTTTTCTTCCTCGATGGCTCAGGAAAGAAGGTACCTTTTGAGTCTCTCTCTGTGTTTACCGAAATCTCGAGTTTTTGGATATTTGACATTGTTAATTTGAATACTACTGTGGGTAGATTTGGTTATCTTAATACATTAATCTACTCTGAGATTGCAGTCAGTGTTTCGAAAGATCTACATTTTGAATTTGCTCTGAGATGCTTTTTGGTTCATGACTCTGTTCTGTGGTTTTGGTTAAGGACTGAATTAGGATTGTTTATGCATTTGTGCTTATAGGTTTCTCCATGGCATGATATACCATTGACTTTAGGAGATGGAGTTTTCAACTTCATAGTGGAAATACCAAAAGAGTCAAAAGCAAAAATGGAGGTTGCTACTGAGGAAGACTTCACTCCTATCAAGCAAGACACAAAGAAGGGAAAGCTCAGATATTATCCGTAAGTCTTTGATAACTTCCTTCACATTATATCCTTTTTATCTACTCGATGATGTTACTGATAACACTTGTGGATCTATCCAGGTACAACATAAACTGGAACTATGGGTTGCTTCCACAGACATGGGAAGATCCAACTCAGGCAAACGCTGATGTTGAAGGAGCTTTTGGGGATAATGATCCAGGTTAATCTCTGATACTCTTTTCATCTACTGCATTGTTTATGAAGCTTATTCTAGTTTTTTTTTTCCGGATTGGTTGTAGTTGATGTTGTGGAGATTGGTGACGCCCAAAGGAAGATAGGAGAGGTTCTAAAAATCAAGCCTTTAGCTGCTTTAGCTATGATTGATGAAGGAGAGTTAGACTGGAAGATTGTTGCCATTTCTTTGGATGACCCAAAAGCTCATCTTGTCAATGATGTTGATGATGTTGAGAAACATTTCCCGGTACGACCTAATCTTTAGTAGTCGAAACCAATCCTCATATGTTCATGTGTTGATGAAAAGCTGAATACTCAGGCCTAATGTGGATTTTGTTTTTGGACACTAGGGTACACTAACAGCGATTAGAGACTGGTTTAGAGACTACAAGATCCCAGATGGAAAGCCTGCTAACAGATTCGGCCTTGGAGACAAACCAGCAAACAAAGTAAGTTCCTCCTTTCTGTTTTCTCTTGTGGTGATGTTTCATATTTGGTACTAAAACTGATTGGAGCTATACACTTCTTGATTGGATTTTTCCACAGGAGTATGCTTTGAAGATCATCCATGAGACAAATGAGTCATGGGCTAAACTTGTGAAGAGATCAGTTGATGCTGGAGACCTTTCACTTTTCTGAGCGTGAACAATGAACAGAAGAGTACTACATCATCATCATTCTTGTTTATTTTTCTTTCCAAAGAGATCTGAACATTGAGATTTTTGTTTTCACCATTGAAGACTGAAACTAATCAAATAAGATATTGTTGAATTTCTGCTTTAGAAACATTTAACTGGAACATGATGAAACTGTTTAATATTACAAAAAAAACTCAAAGTGAACTTCAGAGAGATTGGAGATATAGGAGAGTGAGAAAACTTCAGAGAGGTTCTCCAACAATCCATCTCTTAAACATAAGTGAACATTGGTTTGGGTTATACTCGGCGGTGTGTCCTCCTCCCTGCAAAATTAAACTTTCTATGTCACTTTTTGTTTCTTCCTTCACAAACTTTGGAGAAGAAAGAAAGGGTTTAGAAATCATTGCCTTGATGGTTGCAAATGTCATATTGTTCGCGTAAGTCCTTGTAAATCTATAAACATGAATAAAAACGAGTGTCATTAGGCTTAGAAACAATTAGGCTTCATTTTTTTGTTTGGTGGCTTACCCAGCGACTTGATTTCTAGTGATCATCCAAGGTCTCCAGTCATCAACAATGGAATAGTTGAGAGATTTGATCCATGCTTCAGTTGAAGTGTAAGGTATCATCATATCATGATCACCACTGTTCCAAAAACATTCCATATAATGAGTCTGTGACTTGATGATCAAGATACAAAGAACAAATAATGCTAATGATCTTGCCTGTAGATGAGAGAGCGAAAGCCTTTACGACTATTGTTCACGTGATACGGAATGGCGTTGAAAATATTATAAGTATATAGTAAGTTTTGAGTGTTGCATCGCCTCCATCTTCCTAATCCCTGCATCAGATTAACATTGAATTGGTGGTTCTATGTTGTGTTTACAATGTTTCTTATTTAAAACAAGAATAAAAATTCACATAAGTACCTTCTTCACGCCTAGGGCTCTGCGTACATTTTCATCGTTTGCCCAAAAGGCAGACAGAAAATACTTATAAGTCTGAGAAGACACGATAATATATGTAAGGATATCTGATATTTTCAAATCCATGAATATAGATAATTAAATAACGAAGAAGAAGTAAAAGAGAATGGTTTACAAAGCAGCTAGGATGTGGCAACGATGATGGATCTTCTCCTGAAAAATCCTTCAGTTCTCGTCTTCTACTGGTTCTCATGTTTGGTAAGGTTTGTGGTGGGTCTGCTAAGATGTAATCTACTTCGCAGTTTGGTAGCAGAATCTGCTCTTCGTATATCTCTATGATACACTACATACTCAAAAAAACAATAAACAAAACAAAGAGACAAGTTAGTTTGTGATAATATACAGATATTAAAGTGGTGTTGGTATTAATCTTTACCTGATGATAATCTTGAAGATCATTTGAGCATTTTGCATTACTCGGGTCTACGTTGAAGAATTTGCCTCCACAAGTTTTTCCAAGTGACTACATAAAAAAGTAATCGAAAAAGTAAATAAATATTTTATTATTTTAACCAAATATCTCAAGAATCATGTATATAAATATATGATGAAGAAAAAGAGTACCTGAAAGAGCTCATCTGAAATAAGTCCCATCCGATGAGCAAACGAAACTTTATGGTTCTTTTCAAAGTTTAAGTCGACCGCAGGGTTTCCAAGAACATATCCCTGTTCAATTTTTGGAAGGTATCATATTAAACTCAACCGAATTGTCGGTATTCAACAAAAAGGAGAGAACAGAGTATTATTAATACCTGAACATTTATGAGTGGTGTGAGACCTTTCTCATTTCCTGTGTTTTATATTTTGTAATGTGATTTAAAATTATTGAGCAGAAAGATATCAAAACTGCTAATAAAACATAACATGCAACTTAATATATACCAAGTGAAATCTGTTGTACAACTCCTGGAACAATTTTCCCGGAATATGAGTCTCCACCAACGTAAAATGGATTCGATATAAACTCAGGGTGATCCACAAACCACTACAAGTAAAATCAGAGTAAAACACTTTAGAAAATAAAAGCCAAATGAAGAAAATCAACAAAAGCCTTTAGAAAGAAACAAAAAAAAACAGAACACTCAACAGTTCTAAGGAATTGGTCGATTTGGTGAATTTGTTTGGTGTCGCTCGTCTCAAAAGCACGCTTAGTTCTCGCATAGGAATATCCGGAGCCAGCAGGAGATTCCAAATATAAAATGTTAGCCACCTAACAATTTTTTTTTAGTATATAGTAAATTCACAATGTCATTTGTTACAAAGAAAATCATACAAAATTAGTGTTTATATATCTCTGACCTTTGTCCAAGAAAAAGATGTTAGCTCTAAAGGAGGCACTGTCCCATTATACACATCCCCTTTAAAAGCTAGAGGACCTGCCAGAAAATAAAATATTCAGCTCGAATTAAGTGTCTTAACTCTCCAAATTAATATAAAATCAAGGTGGGACCAATCAAGAAACAATATGAAAACTTTCATGAGATCACACAACTCATGCATTAATTAAACTATACATTATGACACATTACATATAACAAATCCAAGAAAAGTGGAGATTTTGTTACCGTTTGCGAAGAGCAAACCACAAATAGAGCTGCATCCAGGGCCACCGGTGAGCCAAATCATGAGAGGATCTTTTACTGGATTTCTCTCTGATTTCACAAAGTAGTAGAAGAGCTCAACATCTCCGGATTCACCAATACTCACATATCTTATCAAAACACACATGCAAAAGAAGAAACAGACATGCAAAAAGATTAAGGATTCTTAATTTGTTTTTTTGGTTTTGACGAATTATTGACTTCTGTTACCCAGTCTCGAGCTCAAAAGGAAGAGGACCTTCAAAACCAGGAAGATACTTCACAAGCGAAGAAGCATTAGCTATATAATGTATGGAGGTTGAGATGCTCAACAGAAGTAAGACGAGAAAGTTGAGATTTATCATTTTCTCTGCTTCTTAGTGACGCTATAACAGAGAAATGCCTTGCGAATCAGTAGCGCGACGAAGCTTGAACCCAAAGGAGAAGAAAGAAAACAGCAAACTGAGTAAGAGAATGTTCAATTAATAAAAAACTGAGCAAGAGAATAAAAAACCAAAAAAGAAAAAAAAACAGAGTCGAGACAAATTAGCAAACGCAGTGCTCAAAACGTGGCTAACGTTAACCAAATAAGCGTGTCGCGTATTTTTCAGAAGTTTTAATAACCAGACCGCATCAGACCGACCGGTTAAATAGGGGATACCACCAAACCAAGTATGGTTGTCTGAGGTTCACTAGAGAAAGTCAACGCAACTCAATTGATTTGTCAACTTTAGTACATTTAGGTATTTAACCCACTGACTGGTTAAACTCTCTTAACTTAACTGCTGTCGCTGATTTTAGTTTTAGTTACTTTGTGCTCTTTTGTCGTTTAGCTGTTGCAAAACGGAAAACGACAAATACAGTTTATCAGAATTTCTGGACATTATTATTTTTTTATTATTATTGAAGACTGCGAATAGAATCTGAACACCTGTATACAAGAAAAAAACAAAATCTCAACAGTATACATAATATTATTTTTACTAAATAACGCTCGTTCCTGCATGTGCGTGATAATGCTGAGTGTTGAAAAAGTGAGTCCGTATATTAAGGAACATATCTTAACTATTTCGATGGGTTTAAAGATTCCATCGAATTTCTCGTCTTTGTTTCCATCGTCTTTTAATGGGTTTTGGTTCGCCTCTGTGAGAATTCTCAAGCCGAAATCTAATTCTCAGTCGCCTTTCCGGTACTCCCACATCTTCCACTTTCTTCTTTATTTACCACCAATTAGTTTTCTTATTTTATTGGTTAGAGTTTCATCAAAAATATCAACTTTGGACTTAAAGAGTCGCAGTTTTGCAATTTTAGTTATTGTTGGTGAACTGTTGCTTTTTGTTCTTCTATTCTGGATTTAGTTATGTGAATTAGGGCAAATTTGATGAGATAGAAACATTGTTTTTTTCTAATGTTTCTTTACCTTGTAACAATCATGTTTGTGATAAAAAAGTGCATGTTGCAGCTTAATCAGAGGAAAATGGATGTGAATGGTACAGTGAAAGATGTATTCGACAGAGTAGCAAAGAAACAAAAGCAGTATCACTCAGTTTCCCAATTTGTAACCGACAGAGTCTGTGAAGAAATCACAGTGACATTGATTCAGATCCTACTAAACAACGATGGAGCAGAGCCCGGATCGATGTTCACCGATCTGAGGCACAAGCTTGAGTCTCTTTTACGGATCATCCAGCTTCAAGGAACAGAAAAGGAGATGAACACGAGTCTCACCAAGTTCGAGAAACTCCTCGAGAAATCTTACCATCCTGACATATCACGAGCTTGCAGAAGCATTGACTTCGATATCAACGCAATCAACAAGATGATTGTTCATTACCTTTACCGACAAGGCATGTTCGAAATTGGAGATTGTCTGGTTAAAGAAGCTGAAGTAGAATTAGAGAGAGAGGTAAGATCTCAGTATCTAGAACTCCACCGATTAAACGAGTCAATGAAACACAAAGACATCGAGCCTTGGATGAGATGGCTTTCAGCGAACAGCGAGAAGCTGAAGCAAAACGGACCAAAGCTTGAGATGAGACTCTTGAGCTTGAAGTTCTGTGAGCTGAGGAGAGAAGGAAAGTTATCTGAAGCTTTGGCGTATGCAAAAACACATTTCCGAGAATATGGTTCACAACAGATGGTGGTGGTGAGTAGGCTTGTTACTTCTCTGTTATGGGCTGATGAAAATCTTGAGAAAAGTCCTTACAAAGAGTTGTTTTCTTCAATCGACTGGGACACGATAACCGAGGAGATGACAAAGGAGTACTACAGTCTCCTTGATCAGCCATGTAAGTCTCCTTTGGCAGTCGCGTTGTCCGCGGGTTTCAAGAGCTTGCCGACGCTTTTGAAGCTGGTTCGTGTGATGGGTTTGAAGAGAGAAGAGTGGGAAGCGATGAAACAGATTCCGGTTGCTGTGGAGTTGGGTGATGAGTTTCAGTTTCACTCGATTTTTGTTTGTCCGGTGAATAGAGATGTGAGCAGTGAAGAGAACCCGCCTATGATGATGCCTTGTCGTCATGTTATTTGCAAGGAATCGATCATGAGACTCAGCAAGAATGCTTCTCGCAGATTCAAGTGTCCTTATTGTCCCGCGCAGACCTCAGCTGCGTTATGCAGACAGTTGTACTTTTGAAATGATTTGGTTTAGACCAGAGTACTTTTTATTGTTTCAGCTCAATAAATGTTCAGATGTGAACAAAGTTGTTTCTTTTTTGTTATTTCTCTCCATAGATAATAACTTTCTTCTATACTCTCTCTATTGAAACTTTTTGTTACAAGATTTGGATTATGGATCTTAGAGCAATTTTATAGGTTGCAGTTACTTATTTTATTAACTTGTAACAACTGAATGATTGGGCTTGTTTGGATGCTGCAATTAGATATGAGAATCTGTGATTTTTATATGTTTATTGGAAAGGAAAAAGTAGAAGCAAAGATCACGTGAACTTCCTATATCTGGTCGCATTCTAGAGTTATCATTGGGACCGAGGTTGCTCTTTCTTTAGTTAATCAGTTATGAATTAAATGGTGGTTAATTAATTAATAGTCACAGTCGATGACTCAAAACTCAAAACTCAAAACCATTTACTTTTCTCTCGAAATTAATGTAAACAAACACGCAATTTCAAACACTAACTGGCCCCCACAAAACTACCGCAAAAATCAATCCAAAGCCATGGACTTTTAGCTAACCTCACAGCCCCGTCATCTAAAATCTTATCGCCTTCAACCCATACGTAACCGCCACGTGTGATAAACCAACGAGTTCACGCCAAAACACCTGTCACGTTAGCATCTCCAAAACCACCGTCGTTTTTCCGCCATGATATAACAAAATATCCTACTAGTAGAGTCCTCTCTATTTCTTCCTAATTTCTACTCAACAAACAAATCAAGACTTTTAATTTCAAAAAAGTTAACGGAGATGGACAAATTCTCATACAACTCGTATCCGGACTCAGCTGAGTCGTCTCCTAGATCTCGCGAGGTCGACTTCGACAACCCGCCGCCATGGGAGGACCAGCAGCATCAGCAGCAACAGAGCTACAAGGTGAAGTTCATGTGCAGCTATGGTGGAAAGATCCAGCCGCGTCCACACGATAACCAGCTCACATACGTAAACGGCGATACCAAAATCATGTCCGTCGATCGCGGCACCAGGTTTCCCGCTCTGGTTTCAAAGCTCTCCGCCGTCTGCGGCGGCGGAGGAGATGTCGGTGAAATCTCGTTCAAGTATCAGCTTCCAGGTGAAGATCTCGACGCGTTGATATCTGTGACTAACGATGACGATCTCGAGCATATGATGCACGAGTACGATCGGCTTCTCCGCATGTCCTCTAAGCCAGCCAGGATGCGTTTGTTCCTCTTCCCGTCTTTTCCCATTTCCGGCGGATTTGGCTCCGAAGGTTCGACCAAATCGGATCGGGAAACGCTTAACCCAATCCCTAGCCGACCTGAATCGGAGAAATCCGTTACAGCTTCTCCGAGTAATGCCGATTTCCTGTTTGGATCGGAGAAAGCAGCTCTAGCTCCACCGCCTCCGGTAGCTGTACAGATTCCTCAACAGATACCAGAACCGGTGGCTCCTGAACCGCCGATATTCGCAAATCAACAAGTGATACAACCGGATCCGGCGGAGATGGAGAGACAAATCCATGAATTTCAGAGGATTCAAATCAGAGATCAAGAGCAACAGCAGCAGCAGCAGATGCAGCAACAGCAGCAGCAGCAGATGCAACATCAGCATCAGCTGCAACAACAACAGCAGCAAGAAGAAGCTATGTACAGGAGAAAGAGCGAAGATGCTCTCATGGAAACCGGACGTTACTTCTCTCCAACGTACGCTCAAAATCCGGCGCCGACGGGAGTACCTCAGACGAATCAACAACCTCCGGTAGGCTACTGGCAAGGAAACAACAACAACACAGGGAACAACATGTACACAACAACGTCACAGAATCTACCGGAGCAGCAACAAGTATACATGATTCCAGCTCAATCTCAAGCTCCGGGGACAATGTATCACAGCGTCATGAGACCAACGGCACAAGGAAACCAAGGCTATTACCCACCTGTTCAGAGAATCCATCATCCTGATGCATACATGAACATGGAGCAGCAGCAGCAGAGCCAGCAAGGTTACAACGTGGTTCAACCACAGCCACAGTATTCAGGTGGTCAAATGGGTTTACAGGAAACGGCGTCGTATTCGCAGATGGGGAATCCTGTTTACTATACGGTGGCTGGGGAAGGCATGATGGTTCAACAGCAACCGCCTCAGCCGCAGTACCAGGGAATGGGTCAACCGGTTAACACGGCTCCAAAAGTTTCACAAAATCCAGATACAGTGTGAATGTGAGATCGAGTTGATGTTCAGGTTGATTGTATCATCAGATTGTTTACTGCAATTATCCACTTACAAATACTTTACTTTATAATATATATATGTAAAAGTATTTCAGATCATTGTGGAATCTGGATTCCTGATGAAATGTTTGATGTTCTTGAATCTTGATTTTGGGCAACTCCTTTGAGGGTTCTGTTTTTTAATTCCTATATAACTTTGCTTTTCGGACCTTTTAAGTTATGTTTTTTACTTCATTTACTTTGGAACAAGATTTTGAGTATTAGTACAACTGAAGTTTTAAGTTGTTGAGAATGAGAAAAATGATATAACTAATGTTCATTGATTTACTTCACTGATTTAAGACTAATGTTCGTGGGATTGTTTAAAGTGGTCCAAAAATAATAATTGAAATAGTATGGGCATCTGTTATGCGAGAAAAGGTGTTAGGTGAGAGAGCAATGGATGTTAAAAAGAGGAAAAGCTCACTCACACTAACTAAACTAATCCACATGACCATCATTACTTGTCTCATCAATCAATTCTTATTTTACTAAGCGACAATCATTTTGTTGCCATCTAAAGTCTTTTGTCTTTCTTATTTTGTTGCCAAATTAATTACATGTCTCAATCCATAAACAGATGTCCATGTATTATGTATAACCACCTATCTTGTCTTTGTCGATTGGATTCAAATTGATTTTTTCCTTCCCCTAGCTCCCAAATTTGTCTTATCAATTGTTTTTCTTGTCTTTACATATATGGATCTCGACCAGATTGGTCCTATTCGGTTTTTAATTTTGATCAAATAAGATGTACATGATGAATGTATATGTGCCTCTTATCTGTTCTTCTTTCAAATCCTAAAAGAGTTAATAATTCTGTTAAGTAATAATTTGGCTGGTGGCAAGTAATTTAGGATAATAAACTCGTGACATAAACATGGAAAACCAAAAAGCCCAACTAAAAAACAAAAAAGGGTTCCGTAACAAAACCAACAATGAAAAAAACATGAGAAAACCAATCTAAAAAAACACCGACAGCAAAAGCACTCAAGGGAAAAAACCCGGCAGATGATCTGGAAGCCCAAGAATCCTCAACCCAATGTCTTTTTCAATAACTTTCAAAGTGTTCTTGCCAAACCCATTCTTCATCTCCCCAAAGTGAGGTCTTAGCTTCCCCACAAACTCTCTTAGCAAATCTGTCATTCCACTCTGCTTCATCACTTTCAACGCACACTGTACCACAAAGTTGCCAAACTTATCATTCGCCATTCTTACCCATTCTTTATCATTGACTCTAAACTCCGCCAACACTTTCTCTCTCGCAAACACCGAATTCAGGCACTTCTCCACCACATAGCTTCCGTGTCTCTTCATTGCTAACTCGAAGAACATTCCATCAAGAGACTCGGCGATTGTTTGTGTTGCAGACGGGATATGAAGTTTCAGAATGTTCTGCACCACGTGTGTTCCGTAAGGATCAAAAGATAACCAGCCGGCGTTTTGCGCGATTAGGTCGAAGATCAGGTCTCTGAATGGGCCTCTGATCTCTTCAAACACTTCGTTTAGGGCAATACAACCGGTTTCTTGCTTCGCAAGTTCCAGAGTGTTGTCATACGTGAGCTTGTATAGGATCTCCTTCTTGGGTTTATCGACGGCTCGTATCATGGTGACGATCAAGTGACGACCAAAGTTGCTGTTCATGAGCGACCAGAAGTTCATGCGGATGGAGTCAAATAAGAGTGCATCTAATATCTGGTTGCGTGTAATGAGGGCTCGTAACGAGCGTGAGCCGATTTGGTCTTGGGCCAGTTCCAGGAAAGTGTAGTTGTTTGTGGTGATCATTGATCCTATTTGTAACAACGATCTCTCCTTCTCATCCTTTTGATAGGTATCGATGTCTCTGAGGAGCTCTATGAACTCAGAGTAACGTATTGGACACGTCATCATGTTCAACACGCCAAGTGGCTGAGAAGGTGCCCATGGTTGGCCGAACTTAGTGGATGAAGAAGCACCTGGTTGGGTGAAGCACGACGAAGTGGACAGAGGAACTCTTAAGCTAGCGGCGGAGAGACGAGCACCTCCTAGAGAAACTCCATTGATGTTAACGTTGAGATTGCTGTTGAAGTCGCTGGATTCTCTTCGTTCGTTGCTGGATTGTCCTAGTCTGAAGTTGTAATTGTTTGTCTGGAGATTTAAGACTTTTGAAAGCGCTGAGCAGATTCAGTTCAGGGCCTTTGCCCTTATCGTTCGGCATAGGGTTGCTGCCACTGTCCTTCGACATAGCCTTGGTTTGCGATCTGATGATGAAGAAAGACCTAGAGAGCTCGAGCGTAGAAAGTGATTGTGTTTGCAAAAGTGTTTGTGAGGTTTTGTTATATATGGAGAAGAGAGATTGTGTGTTAGGAGTTGGAGTAGGAATCTCTGGAGTTTATTAGAGTTACATGAGCTCCTACGTCACATCGGATTTGGAAATGACTTCCTTTTGCGGTAAGGATTTGGTTAATTTTCTAAAACGTTGGATTTTTCGGTAATTTCAAATTATAGTGAGTTTTGATTGTATTTTTCATATATTTTGTTAGAAATCTTTTGTTGGTGTTGAATACCTTTTTGTACAGGGAAATTGATTATGCATATAAATAAATAAAGTCAACTTTGACAAATTTTTTGATGAAGAGAACTTGAGAATATTGGTAAAACATTTATTACAAGACCCAACTCCTTTAAAAAGGTCTGAAAACGAACAAACATAGCCTTTAAAAGCCTGAAAATCCCAAAACACAAGTCAGATATTACCTTCTCAAAGACACTGAGAGTTTGACAAAATGTTTCCTTCTCTCTTTATTAATCTTGTTCATCTCAAAGAAACTCTTACTACTGTAAACATCCTTCAATCGAAAGAGCTTTGTGAAAAAGGTTCTCAATGGGTCAAGAGCGAGTGAGTGCTCTTGATAGTGTGGTAAAGCGCGGCTAATGCAGTAACCGAGGTGATGACCGGAAGTTGCTGCTGCACATGGAAAAGAACTTGGTAGAAACTTGGGTAGGTGAGGCAGATCATACCCATTTTCAGGTAGAGAAGATAGCCGCCGAAAAAGACTCCGGTCAAGTAAACCCCCGAGATTCTGTTGAAGATCGATAGCATGGAGTTCATCTGAGGCTGGTAAACAGGAAGGTGAGGAGATAGAGGACGAAAGCTTTTGGTTTTCTCCTCCTGCGTCGTCGTCGTCCTTATATCCCCTGAGATTGTAGAGAACATTTGTCTCGATGTCCCCAAACCAAGAGCTCGGAAAGATTGAGCGACAGATTTTGAATGCTAGACAAGGATCACCAGGCACAAGCATAAGTTAACATTACAAAGGGGAAAAAAACCCAAGAAAATGTGGACAAAGTCATCATACCTCTTTCTCCTCCTTACTGGCATTGTTTGTGCCAAAACCAGTACCAAGAATGTCATTCACAACAGGTTTCGACCTATTAAAGGAAAAGAGACAGTTAAGAATACATGTACATGCTGTGATTTAATGAGTAATTGCAATACCGATGAAACAGATGAAACGTACCCGAAGGTTCTAAGCAAATTTGCATAGTTTTGACCGGTGTAGGAGCTTCCCAATGAAGGTTGAGCATTACCAGCAAGCTGCAAACAAGAACGTTTCAAGAGCGGTTAAGGAGAACACTTCCTCTACGCAAATGCAGTAAACAAATGGAGCTAAACTCTTCTTTTCCTTCATCCCAATACTTATTGCACCAATATCAACGCAAGATTTCTCAATTAAGAATATATTCCAGAAAATACAGTCTTAAGATCATTCCGAGAATTCATTTCTGTTCTACAAGGGACTATACAGTATACAATCTACATGTTCTCAATTTTTGTCTAAGAAGCGATTAAGCACATTTTTACACCGAAATCTACAGATTAACATAATTCATTTAGTTTCCTGACTACTTTCCGCGAAACTGAGATGATAATCTTATAAAAGAAGGACGAAACCAAACGAATCCCAAATTTTCTCGATCTATCAACTACTTCACCAAAAAGACGCAATCAACGAAAACGTACAGATTTGTAGACGGAAAGAGGCGCAGAGACGACGTCGCGTCGGCGAATCGATCGGAGAAGAGCCGTGGCAGCCATCGACTGAATCAGATCAGTATTTTCCTCCTACTGCGAAAACTCGAGAAGTCGCAACAAATGAGAGAATTTCGATTTAATCGGCTCTAATTAGCAAAATAATAAATTAGAGTATTAGACAGTAATTTCGTAAAATTACCAACTCCCCCCTAAGTTTTCTGCACGTTTCACAATTGAGTTTATTTAGTTTAAAGTTTAAACCCTCTGGTGCGTTTAGCGGGTCACAGCAACCTCAGTTATTGTCAATTTGTCACCGTCTGTATTGAGTTCATTTTACATTCTTTGGTACAAATGACAAAGCTTTGAAAACGTCTCTCTTAAATCAGCACATCACATGACAAAGGTTTTTTTTAGCAGAGAAACAGTAAGTTTCGTTCCCTGACAAAAGCTTATTCCGGAAATAGAACCATTGCTCGCTGTTCTAAACACAAAAGTTTCTTGGCCGTAGAGCACATCCATAATCTAATTCTAACCTAATCTCTTAACCCAAGTAACAAGAATCACAAACTCTTCACTTCTTCACTTCCTCGTACTCTGCCTCTGGAGCTTCATCTTTGCCTCCCTCAGATCCTCCTCCTGGTGTAGAACCGCCACCAGAACCACCACCACCAGACATGTGCTCTCCAATCTTTGAAACAGCTTTGTTTGCAGCATCAATCTTGGCCTTGATCTCATTGACATCATCTCCAGAGGAAGCGCTCCTTAGATCCGCCACAGCGTCTTCAATCTCCTTGGCGACTTCACTCGGGATCTTCTCCCTGTATTCACCAAGACTCTTCTCCACGCTGTATATAGTTGTGTCAGCTGTGTTCTTGGTGTCGATCAAGTCTTTTCTCTCTTTGTCTTTCTGAGCATGCAACTCTGCTTCCCTCACCATCTTCTGGATATCATCCTCCGAGAGCCCACCAGAGGATCGGATTGTGATCTGCTGTTCTTTACCAGTCGTCTTGTCCTTGGCGGATACAGTGACAATGCCATTGGCATCGATGTCAAATGTCACTTCGATCTGAGGAATGCCTCTTGGTGACGGTGGAATGCCCACTAGATCAAATTCTCCTAGCAGCTTGTTGTCTGATGCCATTTCACGCTCACCTTGAAGCACCTTGATCCCAACTTGTGTCTGATTATCGGCTGCGGTTGAGAACACCTTCAAAAGAATGAAACCAGAGAGAATCAACATTTAGTAAAAACATGACCAAAACAATGGTAGCTTTAAACTATGTTGGGATCATCATTTAGTAACATATCACAGGACTGTGCTTTCACCCTTAACTTATAAGAATGGAATCATGAAGAGTAAATTACTACAGATCAAGCTCTGATAAATTCCTCATACTACACTAGTTTTCATTATCCTTATGTGATAATAAGAATTCCTCTGTTCTAGTTTCTCGGTGATTTTTGATCAAAATGTCAAATCTTTGAAGGCGTACCTGACTCTTCTTTGTGGGGATGGTTGTGTTTCGGGTGATGAGTCTGGTGAAGACACCACCAAGTGTTTCAATACCGAGCGAGAGAGGTGTGACATCTAGAAGCAGCAATTCTTTGACATCACCACGGAGGATACCACCTTGAAGTGCAGCTCCCATAGCAACAGCCTCATCAGGATTGACACCTTTACTAGGAGTCTTCCCAAAGATCTCCGCGACAACAGATTGTACCTTGGGGACACGAGTCATTCCTCCAACTAGAAGAACCTCGTCGACTTCCTTAGCATTTATACCAGCGTCCTTGAGACAGTTCTTGCAAGGATCACGGGTCCTCTCAATCAAGTTATTCACCAGAGTTTCAAACTTTGACCTTGTTAGGGTGATGTTGAAATGCTTTGCCCCAGAGGCATCAGCTGTGATAAATGGGAGATTGATCTCAGTTTGAGAAGTAGATGATAGCTCAATCTTGGCTTTCTCAGCGGCTTCTCTCAGCCTCTGCAAAGCAAGTCTGTCTTTGGCGAGGTCTATTCCCTCGGTGGTCTTGAATTCATTAACCAAGAAGTCTAGCAGAGCATTATCGAAATCCTCTCCTCCCAAGAAAGTATCACCATTGGTGGCTTTCACCTGAAATTTGATAAAGAAGAAAGGTGATCAAACAAACGGCAACAGAAGAACCTAACCAACATAAATCACACTGCAAGCAATATAAATACCTCGAAAACCCCATTGGAGATCTCCAGAACAGATATATCAAACGTCCCACCACCAAGATCAAACACAGCAATCAAACCCTCCTTGTTGGTCATTCCATAGGAAAGAGCAGCAGCCGTTGGTTCGTTTATGATCCTCTCAACATCAAGACCAGCAATTCTACCAGCATCTTTCGTTGCTTGCCTCTGAGCATCATTGAAGTAAGCTGGAACAGTGACGACAGCTTTCGTGACTGATTTCCCCAAGTAAGCTTCAGCTGTCTCTTTCATCTTCGTCAACACAAACGCTCCAACCTGACTAGGAGAGTACTGCTGACCATTGGCTTCAACCCACGCGTCGCCATTAGGTGCACGCACAATCTTGTAAGGCACCATCTTCATTTCTTTCTGTGTTTGAGGGTCGTCAAATTTCCTCCCAATCAAACGTTTTGTGCCAAAGAGTGTGTTCGTTGGGTTAGTCACAGCTTGTCGCTTGGCAGGTGTACCCACAAGAAGCTCTCCTTTTGGGTTGAACGCTACAACTGATGGTGTGGTTCGAGCACCTTCAGCATTTTCAATGACTTTCGGATTCTACAAATCAGATCAAAACACAAACTTTAGCACAAAACTTTAAAAGCTCAAACATTCAAAACCTATACACAATCACCAATTTACCTTCCCCTCCATGACTGCAACACAGGAATTGGTTGTACCCAGGTCAATACCGATGACATCATTCCCAGCAGGCTTCGAGCTGAATCAAGTAGAAGAAAACTTTACAACAGAGAAACATAGCAAGATGTTGGTGTTTGCTAGCAATTAGATGGAAAGATCAATACCTAAATGCTCTGGAAAAGCTTCTCCAATTCTGACCAAGATAAGAATTGCTCAATGATGTTTTCCCGCTGTTCGAAAGCTGCAACGAAATTGACAAGATCAAGCCGACGGAATTCGATAACCATTACTATTCGAAGATTGCAATAAATGAGCCATATAACAAAATGAGTCAATCTGGATCACCTAATTAGTTCACTCGAAACTCAAATTTCGTCTACAGATCGCGTGAAGATAGAAGACTTACGCATTTGTAAGCTGAGAAAGGAGCTGAAGCGACTTCACGGCGTCGAATCGAGCGGAGGAGAGCGGTGGTAGCCATGTTTTGAAAATCAAAGAAGCGGTAGATCTGTTAGGAAGATGCAAAATGATGCGATTGAAATTGCGTCTGCGTGAGTTGGGGTTTTGGGTTTTTGAAGGACGAAAGTTCTTTTTAGGAAAAAAAGATTTCTAGAGGAAGAGAGAAGGTTCTAGGCGGTGATACTTCTCGACGTCGACGACAATAATGGCTAACTAAAAACAACGTCGTTTCACAAGCTCGAAAAGCGTGGACAAGAAAACGGACGTGCTGTTGCCACGTGGAAGACAGAAGATCTTTGGAATTTGGTAAGTTTGGCTTCAATTTTAAAATACCGGGTACACAGAATCAATTCTCCGGAAATACGAGGATCGATATGAAAGACATTTTATATTGAAAAAAATATACACTTTCTTCAGTTCTTTTCTACAGGCCGTTCGATCTCATCACCTTAACCAAACTGTAGGGTGACCAAACCAAACCAAACTAAACCGAAATGCAGAGAACCAAACTTCCCTTATGCGAACAAAACCGGCTCAAGAAAGGAAACGAGTCAACGTTCTTCTCCTTATTCAGTTGTTACTTTCATCAGCCCTTTTGTGATCACCAAGCTTGTCACTGGATATTGACTTTGGAGTCTAATATCTTTCACAAACTTTCAGAGAATGAGCTTCGAGATTGGTCGGTGAGGAGTGTTCTCAAGCTGGATTATTGGCAATCCATTGATTATATTCATCCATTCTTATGATGAACGAGCTTGAACAAGAAGTTCCACCACCTCCATAAGCCTTAGCAACTTCAGATGTATCGGTTACATCGTCGGTACTTCTCAAGCACATTTTAAGATTATTCCTTTGCATGAATGTAACAGCTCCTATTGGCCTAATTTCAAAGAGATCTTAGCTACTCTATCCACAATCCTTCACAGCAGAGGAAGCACCATAAGGATATTTGAATTTACCTCAAACCAGAAGCAGCACTTTGTAGACTAAGAAGTTTGCCAAGTTCATCACTTAGCTCATGGTTACCATCTGCTCGCATTCCCTATACGTTAAACAAAACAAAACAAAAGTTTAGACTTCCACTCAATCAAATCAGTGATTTTTTGAAACAATGCAACAATAAAAAAACGATTACCAAGCATTCTCCATAGAACCCTCTTCCCAATCTGATCTTGAAAGCTTTATTCAGCTTCAGAAGTTTCTTTGCATTAATAAGCCGAGATGAAAAATATGAGTTTCCATAAGCAATGAGATCCGCCGAGCTTATTCTTAACAACTGCAACACAGAGACATGAATTCACTAACGAAATGATAAAATTCAAGAAGGTTTCACTGATTGTCCCAAAAACCGAATCGGACCTGTTCATACATGTAAGGGTTAGTGATACAATTGATCCTTGAGCGCAAATCCTTGAGTCCGAAGCTAAAAGACTTGATATCTGGTAATCTCCATCTTCGAAGATCGATATCTTCAATGTATTCAAGAACTGATTCAACTCGACTTTCGTCTTCAACATCTAGCAAACTTAGAGATTCCCCCTAAGCCAATAGAAACAAAAACATAAAATGTTAATGATTTTGAGTAAGCTGTGTATTGAATACCAATTCAAAACAGAGTCATTACTCACTATCATTGTCTTTACCAACCTCGGAAGATCTTTGATATGTGAGTTTACTTGAGAAGTATTTATACACGGCCTTTGAGCTACTCTTTTCAATATCAACATTGATCTTAAACCTCTTCTTATCCTCTTTTGTTAAACCAATCCTTGAAAATGCTGACTTTCGGTGATCGAAACATATGATCCTAAACCCCAAAAGAACGAAATTAAACACCAAAGAGCTTAAATTTTTGAACCAAAATGTTTGTAAATTTAACATCACTGTACATACTCGCAAGCTGATTTCCGGGAAATCGTGGATGCGAACTCTTTCGGAACAACAAAATCGAGCAGATAACACCTCTCGAACCTCTCCAAATACAGATCTTCAACGCTGCAAAATTTTCCCAGTTAGCAAAGAAATTTCAAAATCTTCAGAGGTTTATAATGTAACATCGATTGATTAAGCTCAGAACCTATTGAAATCAGCTCAAACAGTGACGAAATTCTCTCCGGGAAATGACGATTGATACGAGAAATGTTTACCTGAAGGGTACGACGGAAGAGAAGGGCAAGATGAGACAGGGAATACGGAGGCGAGAGTGGTAGAGATGAGCGAAGAGAGCCGAAAAGGCGCCGGAGAAGGAAGGATAGTTGTATAGCACTAAGTTTGGTACTTTCTCTTCCAACGCATTTGCTATGGCTTCGAGCGCCGCATCTGATCGGAAATTCCGCGAGAGGTTGAATGAGCTGGAAAAATCCGGCAGAAATCTTGCCGAGAATCGCCGGAAAATCATCTCCGGCCGGGATTTGGAGTGTTTCTTATGTTCACGACTGAGGTTTTGACTTTTGAAGCCGAGGAAATCGAGTAATTGCACTAAACAGCTCAAACATTTCATATATTCTTAATTTCCTCATATAATTTATTATTTTCTGTTAAAGCCCCTAAGGTTCTTCTCTTTGACATCAAAGCCCAAAAACAAAAACACGACATTTAAGAAAAGCGTAATTTAGCATTGAAGATGCGAAATCTTTACAAAGATAAAGGGAAAAAACCATGAGAGAGTTTATCTTCTTATTATGAGAAACATAATCTCGATGACAAATTTCAACGAAAATGTTTGATAAATGGCAAATAAGAATGATTGACACGAAAAGACATTTAGGCGGATAACTTGGAATCAGAATTCCTCTTCTTGCACTGAGACCACATGTTCATGTATAACTGGCATTTAGTGATGTCTGTTTCAAACTCGTCGAGGCACTACACACAAACAAAGATAAAGCAAAAAGCATGTAAACAAACGTAAAACTTAAATGCAAAAAAAATATATAACAAGGATTGATATCTTACGTCTTGGAAAGCTTTGGCTTGAGTGACACATGAAATAGAAGCGGAGCTGTTTGTGTCAGGAGCTGCAACAGGGAGTTCCTTCGTGGTTCGTAAGAACTTAAAAGCATCGACAATTGCATCTACAACATGACTAGTCATCCCTATATTTCGATAACAAAACAGTTCATTGTAATTTATATCTCTATGAAAATGCTTAAACATCATCATAAAAGGATGGTTAAAGCTCATACCTTCGCCATAGTTGCTGCTACTACCGCTTGAGTAGGAATGATCTGAAATATCCATAAAGAAAATAACATAATAATATAACAAAAAGGTAAGAAACGTATAAAGCTACATTAATTATTGAACAACTCTTACAACTAATTAGTTCCAAAGGCACCATTAATATAGCTAAATTTGAAATTTTACCAGACTCATAAGGAGGTGATTTGTAGCTTGAAGTACTGGGAGTAGATTTTTCTGGTTAACAAAAAGGCGTTGTAAATATCACATCGAAAGTGTAAAAGACGAACATGCTAAATGGGGACCAAAAGAAAAATATTTAGCACTAGAGATATAACTATGAAATTTTACCAGTCTTAGGAGACGATTTAAACCATGTACTACTTGATGTGCGTGGAGTAGATTTTTCTGGTTAACCAATAAAAAAAGCATTGTAAATCTCACATCGAAAGTGTAAAAGACGAACATGATGAACGGGGACCAGGAGAAAGATATTTAGCACTAGAGATATAGCTAAGTATGAAATTTTACCAGTCTTAGGAGACGATTTAAACCATGTACTACTTGAAGTGTGTGGAGTAGATTTTTCTGGTTAACCAATAAAAAGGGCATTGTAAACCTCACATCCAAAGTGTAAAAGATGAACATGCTGAATGGGGGACCAAGACAAAAATATCTAGCACTAGAGATTTAGATAAGTATGAAATTTTAGGAGATGGTTTAAACCATGTACTACTTGAAGTGCTTGGAGTAGATTTTTCTGAGCAACCAAGAAGAAAAAATAAACGTTATTAAATTTTGAATTGAAAAGTGTAAAACTAAACAACAAGATCAGAGAAGTATAACGACTTGTCATTTAAACTCCTAAACTGAAGAACTCTCTTGATGAATCCCAAAGGTTCTGCCAGAGATTTTAGCTAAATATGAATATTACCAGTCTTAGGAGGTGGAGTATAGCTTGGAGTAGATCTTTTTGGGCTGCGTGTAGCTGCACTTCGAGGGCGAGGAGCAGATCTGGCTACATAACCAACAGCAAAAGAAGACATCATTAGATTAAACTGCATATATAACAGTATCAAACCTATAGAGCTAATTAATTAAACACTAACGAGGATGAAGAAATAATAAGAAATTTACCAGTCCGGTGAGACGAGCTAGAGGATGAAGAGGATGATGATCTTTCTGCAAAATTAAGAGAACAAAAAGAAGCACAAACAAATCTTGTAGCTTCGTCAAGGAGCGTCTCGTAGTTGTAGGCACAAATATAAACTTTCTTCCAATCGATAAATGACTAATTCAAACGCTCGTGTTTAAAACTTGAATCACATTTGAAGTTGAAAAGAACAAAAATAATAGGAAAGAGGAATTTCACCTTCGTGTCTTTTTCTTGGCATTTTGAAAATTTTAGACGATGATCGAGTAATCAAAGAATTACCCGGCGGAAACGAAACGATTTTTTCTACAAACAGCAAAACCTATCGTCTTTATAGAGACTAGTTAAACATTTCATTTGTTGCAAGACGATTTCTTTTGAAGATAAAGTATACTTCCCCAACACGTTTTTTGCATCCCAAGCTAAACGAGAAAATATGGGGAGTTCGGTGACTTGGATCGGAAGATACTCTGTTGAACAAGCAATTGCCAATTTCACTGAATTGTTTTACTTACCTTAGTGTGTACAAGGATCTAAAAGTTCCATAACATCGATGAGAATATTGTAAATATATAGCACAAAGAATTTTATTTATGTTAAGGTGATTCTGTTACTTAGGTTATGAGGCTCATTCAATCTCTATGTTAATGTATCTAACTGTTGTAATTAAGGAATTTCAAGGAGATCAGTCATCGAATTTTAGATTTACAAACTACCGGAGCAAGCTCCGAATCTGGTTGTTTTTCAGTGAATGCCATAGTTTGGTTATAATATTTTGCAAGTTTCACCGATTTTGTTTTTTCACATCTAGTATAAGTAAAACCAGTAAACCAGCTGGATATTAAGTACGATAAAGGGCAAAGACAGATTAGCTGTTCTTGCTCTTTGATTAGCATGACGCAAACAAACAAGAAGAAGAAGATCTAAGAAAGACACAGAAGACCCATAGAAGACTACAAATTCTGATAAATAAAACTCCTGATTACCAAAGTCAAAAGACACAGACTGATGTTATGATTCTATTTATCCATAGCTGACGCGAAAACACAAACTTAAGCAGCCATCATCGAACCAGAGTTCTTCCTGCACTCAGACAACATGTCCATGTAGAACTGGCACTTGCTGATGTCGCTTCCGAAATTGTTGACACAGTCTTGGAAAGCCTTGGACTGAATCTCACAAGAGCCACCAGAACCCACAGGAGTAGCAGCAGTGACAGCCTCAGAACCAGCAGCAGCTACGGTCTCGTGCTTAATGGTTCTTGGTCCCATCACAGCATCCACAGCCCTGTGTGCAATTGCACTTCCGGTACCAAAAGCCATACCTAATTCCCAAATCACAATAAATCAGGACAAACCAAATCTAAATCTATTCAAAAGAGAAATGCCTTCAAAAAATCACAAAAAATAAACAGATAGTTAAGCTCATACCATCAGCTATGGTTGAGCCGAGACTCCCAAACATAGAACCACCGCCATTGGTCTGAGCTGTTGCTGGAGGAGGAGCACGATTCACTGAAACCCAGAGACAAAAATAAGAAGACACAATTACATAACATAGCAGATCTATAAAGCTATGCAATTAAAGGACAAAAAGTGAAATTTACCAGTTTGTGGAGGTGGGCTACGTGCGGCTGCAGGACGAGGGCGAAAAGTAGATCTTCCTGCACAAACCAAATATTAAATCAATTCTCTCCTCGTCGCCACAAACATAAACCCTAGAAATATTTTGTGGCATCCACACAATAATTGGCCAGGAGACAGAAATATTCTCCAATCGGAGGATATGACCGAAATTTTAACAGCATAGGGGAGATTTATCACAAACAGAGCAACAAATGACACAAAACCCTAGACTGGAAGCATAAAGCATGCGCAAATCCTTAAATACACAGAAATTGAAGGAAGAGATCTGAAATTGAAAAGAGAAAACTCACCTCCGGAGCTGCGACGAGGCATTTTGAAATTTAGACAAGGGAATTCGAAGAAGTAGCGAAGAAATTATCAGGAGAAAACTAAATCAACAACCAAAAATCTGATGAAACGCACTTTATAAGAGGAACTGTGGTCAGGTAACATTTACACGTGTAATTGTTTGACAGGCTGCAACTTGCGCATCGAACTCTCTAGATGAGAAGATTTCCCTTGTCCGTCACGTTTCTTGCGCCCCAAACACACCCAATTTGGGCTTTGACTGGGCCCATCATAATTTCAACATTTCGAGATATACAGTTTTAACTTGATTTTCTCATAGAAATTGTGTTTCATCACTAAATAACAAAATCACATACTGTAATTTTATGGATTTTTTCTATATATATATATATATATATAAACGTATTATTCATTCAGGGCTTATTTGAAAGCATTTTTTTACAAATAGTCAAAAAATTACCCAGCAAGAAAATGAAGGAAACAAGGAATACATGAAAGGTCTTTTATCTCTGAAGTCCTTTTTGACGAGACCAATAGTAACATTGATTCAGCAATACACGCGGATAAACTCAGCAAGAGTTATTAGAGCTTTCTGGATTTGATCACGTGTCCCAGATATGGCAATGATTCCTAGATGAGGTTCACGGACTATGACTCTCGCCCCCGAATCCTGATCATAAGAGAAGATCATATTAAATGATAAGTTACAACTTTTGATCCCATTTCATAAAAATAGTAACAGAGGATGATTGTAGTTGAGACTTGAAAGCTTGTGGATAGAACAGAGTTTTGTCTAGTAAAGTTACTGAGAACTATGAGAGGTACGTACGCAAGGAAATATATGTTACCTGTCTCATACACCGTAGACAATCAGAACCACTATCCTCCTCCTCTCTACACAGATGCCTCACAGCAGTCTCTGGAACTCTAATTTCCACAACGAGTCCGCTGCCAAAAGATCAAGCCAGCGTGTCAAGGACAGCTTAAGATCCTCACATAGTCTAATCATATACACCTTTTTTGTATTTACCTGCCAAGTCCAGGGTCAGCCATTCTAGAAGATAATCCTCCACTCCCATCATAAGCACCTCTTGGAGCACCATGTGTCTGTATTTCATGCTATGTATATCAGCTGACAATAAGCAAATCAATGTGTGTAGAGAGAGAAGAAAAGTAAGAGACGGAGGCATACCGAGCTATCATGGGCATTCATAGTAGACGGCCAACCAGAATATCCACGAGTGTCACTGAAGCTACTGGGAAAAGGATCTTCTGGTCTTGTATATGAATCCGCATAAGCAGGCGTGGAGTTATGAGATCGAGCTTCAAAGTAACGCAAGATATCATCGGCTTCCATCGGAACGTGACTGAACCTACTGAGAGATGGATCTTCTGGTCTTTGATCAGTAAGTCTGGAATTGCGGACAATTTGGTATCTTAGCATGCCTGTGACATGTTTAATAGCACGTTGCACATCTGAAAGCTCTCCTGAAATCTATTGGAAACAAAAGTACATGTATAAGACAGACAGCCACAGAAATGAATGAATGCTTCAAACACTTATCTCAATGATTGTCACTGTGGAGGAAATTATGAGAAGCATGTAACTTGAAATACCTGCACAACTTGATCTTTCGCTGAGATACATTTTGGGTTCTGCGCAACATCCAGTATTAGTACTACACAAGGACATGTAGAAGCAAAGGCCCCTTCTCGCAGCAAAAATCCAATCTGTTTTGTGGAGACCACAAGCCGTGCAGTGGTAGATGACCTTGAGCCACTGAACACGCTTGTTCCAGTAGAAATCTCAAATAGTCTAGCGAAGACAACGTCAAGAGCTATTTGAGCTGGGGACCTTCTCTCTTCAGGGATCTACATGATAAAACAAGCAGCAAACATCATCAACCCAAACAATGATAAATAGACCAAAGAAAGATATATAAGAAATGGCAATGAGTAGTTAAAAGCAAAGATCAAACCTTTGACTGAAATGTAATCAAGCATTCATCACAGTCAGCAACTGTATCTCCCACTTGTATGGAGGCATCTGTCCTACCTCGAAGCGTCTGGATATCGGCACAACCCTCCCCATTAATACCACCAACACTCTCCCTTGGACAGAGTATCTTGAGAACCAAGTCATCTTGATAAATACCTGGTGGTAACAACATTCGATAATCATCTTCATATTCTGAGCGAGGGTGATTCTTTGAAGCAGAGGCAGTCTCTAGTGCACAAGTGCGCCTTTCATAAGCATTTCGTGGAAATGACTCAAAACTCCTATCTTCTTGACCCATCTCAAACTGTCTATGCAAGGAACCACGAGGATCCACTTCTCTAACATCTCCCCGGAAAACATCAAAAGTTGGATGAGGAACCGCCTCAGTCTTCCTGTTACTAGACCCAAGTGAAGTTCGATGAGATAACACGTCATCTTTTCTCAGTCTGTAGTCGTGAGAATTGGTTTCCATAGGCCTTGAAAGATCTCTGTCAATCGTTTCCACACAACTCTTCTGCCAAGATTGCAGGTCGCTGGATACGGATACTAAAGCTTTCTTCACTGCCATAACATTTCCTTTGATCTGCCACATTGTTTAATAGGAGAAAGTATTAAGAACATAATCATCTACAGAGTAAGAGAGAGAGTCTTTACGAGATGTAAATCCCATGATTCCACAAGAAACTGACCCATTAAAAGAAACTACGTCGTAAGCAATTCAATTCAACCTAAAGCATTCAAGATCCAGAGATTATAAGAACATTAACCAGAAAACTGAATCGTTTACCTCCATCATTACGTCATCAGGATCTGCGCAGATTGGCAAATTATCTGCGACGATTTTAGCCTTGCAGCCAATTTCTTGACAATTCCTCTTCAGCATTTTTCCAGCGTGGCCTTTCATAACACCCGCATAGCTATCTTCAATCAACAGCCTACACGAGGCCTCACCGCTCCAAAACCTGTCTTTCAAAACTTCGAAAACCCTAATCAACGCGGCTTGTGCATTGGAGACCTCGACGTCTTCTACTTCCTGCTCCTCCTTCTTCCATTTGCCGGCGTTGTTAGCGACTAATTTTACCCAAGACGTCGAATCTGCGTGTGCGATAATCGTGATGACCTGTTCCGGAGAACCGATACGACCTTCCTCGACCCGAATCTTTGATTCCGTTGACTTCATAATCTCTTTAATCACGCTTCCGCGTTTTCCGATCACATCGCCGACCTGATTCACGAAGCAGAGAATGCGAAACTTTGCATGCCCCTCCGGCACCGACAATGTCCGTCGCGGCTGCGATTGAGAAGTTTGCATCTTGCTTCTCTCAGGAGATCCAAACCTATTTCCCTCCATTCTTTCTCTCTCTCTCTATCTCTAACTCTGTAACGGCACTTCTTGGAGAAGAAGAAGACGACGACGAAACAGAATTCCCGCGGATTATATAACGACTTTTGGTGACTGATACGGTGTCGTATAGATTATGGGGGTAACCGAATGCACCAATGAATGGTTTATAGAGATATACTCTATAGTCTGAATTAACCCGAACCGACGATACAGATCAAATTTAAAAATCCGAGAAATTTGTACCTTTTTTAATTGATTTCTGTAGTATTAATTCGTAGAAAGCAAGATCGGTTAAGAAAGAAAGCGGTTTCTGATTCGCTTAGATCGATTAATCTTGGTTCTTCTGAAAACCGGCAAAAAGAAGGGAATGGCTGAACAATGTACGAAGGACTTTTGCTCTGGTGAGCCGGTCCGGCGGTCCATTGGGTGATCTTTTTATCATGATGATCATCATACTTTTTATAATTGCTCCTTTTGATTAAATTATGATCAAACATGGTACTGAAACATTTAGATTAGCAGAAACAATCAGAAATTTTCGTATCATGTTTCTTATGATCAAACATGGTACTAAAAACATTTTGCAGTCTACTAGTCTAATACAGTAGTTCCTTATATGCAAAATTAAGATATGTTGAAAATTTATGAATGTTAATCAAGGAAAAATGTAGCTTATCTATCACAATATATATAAATAAAAAGAATTTATAAAGTAAGTATTTCTCAAATAAATATCTATAGATAACACAAATTAAATCAAAACCAACCAGTGTTATGTAAAATTAACAAAAACGTAAACTTCTGTTACTTTGAACTGTAGAGTAAAATATTCATGGAAATAGAAAAGAGTGACTTGCAATTTGAAAACTCTCAGCGAGATAAGAAAAATATAATTATCAATTTTCTGCAGTAGCACTAGCAGCACTCAAGTCCACAGACAAATCAAGAGTCTGCAAAAAAAGAGACGGAAGAAAAACTCAGTATTCAAAAATGTTGCGTTAACTTGTGAACCAAGAAACATAGTGATGAGGTTAATTTATACCTTTCCAGTGATCTTGGTGTACATCTCAAGGACATCCACAACTGTACCCTCGAAGTGTGTTGTTGCATCATAAGACTGAAAACAAAACAAGAAATATCAACAAAAAATTAAAGAAACGAGACATGTAAGAAAGAAAAATTACTAAAAAGAGGATTTGCTGCTCTGATGTTCTCTTACAGAAGAGATGAAGCAGTTATCTTCTTCTTGGTTATTGGTCGGAGCGTATGTGTCATAAGAGTGATAGAAGATCTCATCAATAGGTCCAAGCAATTCGATTCCAGCTTTAAGCTCTTCCTCTGGATTGTCAGTTTCAGCTTCTGCAGAGACGAAAGCTATGTATTTGCCCTTTGGTGCCACATTGTGAGCGTATGAGCAGCAGAACAAATACCTAACAATTCCAAAAACTCAGATTTCACCTTCAGGTGTTTCAAAGTAAATGCATCTATCTTAATTTATCACTCTCTTACATGTCTGATTTGCGACTGAGCTGCTTCTGAGGAAGAATGATCTGGACCGAATGAGCATCACTGGTGTCTGGAATAGGATGGCTCATTATACATACTGCTCGAATCACTTTCCCAACTTTCTTAACCTAAAAGACAAGGAAACCGTCTTAGAGGTAACTGGAAAGTATAAGGACTAATTTAGGCACTTTCTGCAAGTGAAAATAGGTTTCGGATTACCTTGTCAGACAAGTAAGAAGGATCACAGACAACTTTCTTGCATTTGGCAGTTTCTCCTGCAGAAGTGACACCAATAGCTTTTCCGGAGTCATCAAACTCAACCTGTTAGGGATAATGTTTAAGATTCATGGATTGAACATGTATTTTTTCGATATGAGATGTCTAACATATAGAAACGAGAAAGAAGAGATTATGGATTGTGTATAACCTTGCATTCAGGCTTGTTGAGCATGTAAGTCCCACCGTACACAGCGCTCAGACGCGCAAAAGCCTGAGACAGAAACAGAGATTTGAGACAGCGAAAAATACGGTAAATTAATTAAGAGGAAACCTAAAAGGTTTCATGAGAATAAAGTGAAGAAGAACCTGAGGCAGCTCTCCTAGACCGTGCAGTGGATAGATATATGGAGATCCTCCTTGGAATCGAGCCAAAGATTCTGCGTAGAGCTTCACCAGATAACAGAAAAGAAAAGGACAGTTAAAATCAGAGCATTTGCTTGTTGAATAAGAAAAGTAAAAAAATTACTTTGATTCTCTTGACAAAATCAATGGCGGGTTGATCCAAGTAGTCATCGTCGTTGTGAAGCGCTAATGCATGGCCTATGAAGTCGATTGTATCATCTTCAAGCCCATACTTCCTGTAGGAAAACAAAAAAACAGAGCAGAAACGTGTAAGACAAGAAACTATGATGAAGCGACTTTAAGATGGAACAGACAACTTTTTGTACGCACGAGATGATCTCTCTAGCAGTGACTTTGCTAAGGTCAAGTCCTTCATGGGACTTAGGATCTTTCTCATCGTAGTCTTGCACATAAATGAAGAACTTTCTTGCGCGTCGCTTCTCGAACAGACCCATCAATGGCGATTTCAGGGCTTCCACATCAGTGGCTGGGACTTTGTAGATCTGACACACGTAGATGATCAAAACCTCGGAGCAATTCAATTATTAAAAAAGAGAGAACAAGATCAAAACAGAGTTTTTAGTTACTACCTTGCCTTTCTTGTAGACGAAGCTACCGTCGACAGCCTTGAAGTTAAGATACTTGGTGACATCGGTGTGGATTAGGGTTTGAACAAGGAGTCCATTAGCCATTATGAACTACAGCGCAAGAAACCATATTCACCATTAATTGGTTCACATTCCCTCAAGTCTTTCACATATACACTTGTATTATATATATGCGTACCTTTGGGATCATATCGACATTGTATTCTCTGCTTGCTCCAAGGTTGTCTTGAGGAGTGTCACTTCCCCTGAAACGCTTCCATAGCTGAATGAGGTTGAGAGAGGTTGATTCTCCTCCATAGTAGTCATTTCTATCCATATGCAGTACCTATTTAGATCCCAAAATAAAAACTGAAATTCGTTAACTAATTCATGGTATATACCGTACATGATCCACAAAAGTACAAAACAAAAATTCGTTTTTCCTTTTTCAGCAACAAATACTCACTCAAAATGTCATCATTATTTCACCGTATAAACTACTGATCAAACATACTATTCATAAGTCATAACTATAGCAAGAAAATGTAAAGCTTTATTTGGATGTGATGCACACAAAAAAAATCGCATTTGAAAGTGAATTGTGAAAGAAGCTGGTGAAATAGAAAACCTTGAGGCCATCGACGGAGAGGAGGCCACTAAGGATACACTCCTTGAGACCAGTCCCAAGAACGATCACATCATACTCTTCATCCATTGTTCCCCACACTTGTTTCTCCCAAAAAATAAAAACTAAACGTATTAGAGATCGGAGAAGACTTTAAAAACGATCGATAATATAAATAGAGGATCATGTGTGGCTGTTAACACAGTCTTACCACAACCTCCGATCTTACCGTTTAACCCCATGAGAATTTTTCACATTATTATTCTAAACCGTTTAGTTAGGGAAAAATTATTTGAACCGATGCTTCTCATCTCACATTTTCTGCTATGTTGTGGTCGACAATTGTCATTGTAATTAGGACATTTTTCTCTTGGCCACTTGTTCGTCTAAATATAGTAAATCTCTTTGCCTTGTAATTACCATTCATCAATGGGCAAGTGTAGGCAGGCCGGTTTAACCTAAACCATTGTGTAAACCCACCACAAGAAAATCATACCGAACCGGTTCAAATAATTAAGCGGAGTTCTGGTCTACTCGCAAAGTTACTCTGTAGTGTGAAAAAAAAAAACATAACGGAGATATGGTAAGCGGCGGCGATGGTAACAGAGAGAAGGCGGATGTGTGGCTAGCTACATCGGAGAAACTGTTGGCCGTGAGTGACTTTCAGGGAGCAAAGACATTCGCGATCCACGCATGCGAAGCCGACCCGTCCCGAGCAGACGCAGCAGACTATATCCTCGCCATCTCCGACACTCTCCTCGCCGGAGAATCCACCGTCGGAGTATCAAACTTACCGGACTGGTACGCAGTACTCCGACTCGTCCGGCTAACCGGAAACCCAGAACAGATCGCGATTCAGTACCGTAGACTCGCTCTCCTCCTCAACCCCACGGTGAATCGTCTCCCTTTCGCCGATCAGGCGCTTAAGCTCGTCTCTGATGCTTGGTGCGTCCTCTCTGATCCTCCCAGGAAATCAATGTACGACCGAGAGTTGCAGCTGCTGAGTCAAATCGGTCAATCCGGTCAAGCCCAAAGCCAATCGGAGAAATTTCAGCGGCCAAATGATCCGCCATTGCAGAGCCAAGCTGAGAGCTCGGAGAATCCTGTGGATAAGAGCTTCTGGACAGCTTGTCCATTCTGCTTTTCACTATTCGAGTACCCAAAGGGTTACGAGGAATCCGTATTGAGGTGTCAGGAATGTAAGAGAGCGTTTGAAGCGGTTACGACGCAAACGCCACCGACGGAGAGTAATGGCAAAGGCGTTTACTTTTGTTCATGGGCTGTGGTACCGTTGGGGTTTTCAGGTGATGCTATAAAAACCTCTTCTTGGTCTCCAATTTCACCTCTCTTCGCTTGCCCTGTGAAAAGCTCTGTCCAGCAAGTAGATATGAATGATCCTGTAAGAAACCATGTCAACGTTGATGATGATGATGACATACATATTACGATTTCTGACGATGATGATGCTGATGGGAGAGATGGTGCAAAGACAAATAAGAAAAGTGGATAAGATCGAAGGGATTAAGTTTTTTTGAGGAACTTGATGGGTTCTTGAATAGTCTGCTAATGCTATATGCTGTTGTGCTTGTAGATGATAAAGTATTCTGTCTTTTGTTTGTTTTGTGGTTGCCGTAGGTTAATCTTGTATGTATTGCTAGTTGATGTTTTTGTACTAAAGTAGAAAAATGCTGGAAATATTTTGACTCTTTTGTAAAATCAGTGTACAGATGGAATCTGATGATGTATTATCTTTTGTTATATAGTCTTTTGTTTTATTCATGGTGGAAAACGCTTTTAATCTGATCAGGCTTTAGGCTGCATGAGAAACTTGTTTCACCAACTAGAAAGAATAAGTATGTCCTGAGAGAATGTTTGTTACCGACTCGAGTTTAACCCAAATCTGTAAGTTTTCTATTGTAAGTGTTTCTGAACAATACGTTGTAGATATATGACTTTAGTGACAAAGAACATAAGTACATAACCTACACACAATGACAGCGAATCAAAGATCCAAGTCGTCGTGTAGATTACCGGCCAAAACCTAAACATTGATTTGCTTCTTTTTTAAAGGTGTTTTCTTACTAAGCCTGTTTATGTAAACATGAACACGTAAACACTACAACCTAAAATACAACTAGATTGAAAATGACAACATAGATATACAGATAGAGAGGTTAAACGAACCTATTTGATTCAAAAAGACTTTACAGATTTTTTTCCCACCAAACTCCATCTTTCTTCTTCCTCCAAACACCTTTAAATAGCCGCTCGAATCAAATAGCAAATCTCATCACAAACCAACAACAAACAACACAAAGCAAAAGAAGAAGGCAAGATCGTTCTCAAACAAGCAAGCAAACATGGCACTAACGAAGAAGAGTCTCTCTACTGCTCTTCTCTCATCACCACTTCTGATCATTTGCCTTATCGCATTGCTATCTGATCCTGTTACAGTCGGAGCTCGCCGGTTACTAGAAGAAATTCCTAAACCGGAGATACCCAAATTGCCGGAACTACCTCACCCGGAGCTACCGAAATTCGAAGTTCCCAAGTTTCCGGAGCTCCCTAAACCAGAGTTGCCCAAGCTACCCGAATTTCCAAAGCCTGAGTTGCCCAAAATTCCGGAAATCCAGAAGCCTGAGTTGCCTAAGCTACCGGAGATTCCGAAGCCAGAGTTGCCCAAGATTCCTGAAATTCAAAAGCCTGAATTGCCAAAGCTGCCGGAGGTTCCGAAGCCTGAGGCGTCTAAGTTGATGGAGACTCCGAAGCCTGAGGCTCCCAAGTTGCCGGAAATTCAGAAGCCTGAGCTACCAAAGATGCCGGAGATTCAGAAGCCTGAGGCTCCTAAGTTGCCGGAAATTCAGAAGCCGGAGCTACCAAAGATTCCAGAGGTTCAAAAACCAGAGCTACCAAAGGTTCCGGAGATACAGAAGCCGGAGTTACCAAAGATGCCGGAGATTCCTAAGCCTGAGTTGCCAAAGATGCCGGAGATTCAGAAGCCGGAGCTGCCAAAGATTCCAGAGGTTCCAAAGCCTGAGTTGCCGAAAGTTCCGGAGATTCAGAAGCCGGAGCTACCAAAGATGCCGGAGATTCCCAAGCCAGAGTTGCCAAAGGTTCCGGAGATTCAAAAGCCGGAGCTACCAAAGATGCCGGAGGTTCCTACGCCAGAGTTACCGAAGATTCCAGAAGTTCAAAAGCCTGAGGCTCCTAAGTTGCCGGAGATTCAGAAGCCGGAATTGCCCAAGATGCCAGAGATTCCGAAACCGGAGTTACCAAAGATCCCAGAGGTTCCAAAGCCAGAGCTGCCGAAGATTCCAGAGATTGCGAAACCTGAGGTTCCAAAAATGCCGGAGATTCCGAAGCCAGAGCTACCGAAGATGCCTGAACTTCCCAAGTTGCCGGAATTCCCAAAAGTTCCCGGGACTGCCTAAGCCCTATTGAACCAGAAGAAGGCCCAACTACTTTGAAGCCCATACCATGATCTTTTATTATTATATTACCCTTATATTGTTTGTCTATCTGCAGATATGCACTTTTGTCAGTTGTCACTCTGTTTGATCATCGTTTATTCGTTTGCTTAGTGAACCATGTCTTTATGGTTTTGGTTTCATAGTCATAGTTACACACTTATACTTGTATTCTGTTATATCTGTAATTTCCATACATACAGATTTCGTTGTATTTGATACACTCTTTTTTATTGGATTATGCTATTTATTTAAGACATAATTCTGTTCCAAGGTTACACAATATTCAAATTCTAGTTACTCAATGCAAACGATGTATCATGTATGTCTATGTAGATAGCTGATAGAAACAGAAAGACTGTAAAGTAATATCCAATGCCCAAACATAAGAAAATAAAGAAATGACTTATAAAAAAAGACTAGTACAACAACAGATAGAAGGACGAATTATTTCATCTATTACTAGCTGTTAAAAAGTACAGATGGCTTTGCAAAGTACAAGTGGAATTGCAGATTATGGAACTTATGTAAAGTGTTTGTCATATATGCTAGAAGAAAAAAACAAGAATCGGCAAGTGTCTGTCATAAACCTTAGTTATCAGCTTCATTTCAGTGTATGATCTTCTATATTCTTTATACCTTGTGTAATTAATTTAAAAACCATAACCTCCTGAATTGATAATGTTCCCATTTCTCTTTATTTTAGAACAGTGGGTGTAGTTTACTAAGTTTAAACCTATAATAACGTGCTTTCTACGAGGACTCTATAACACGTATAACCAAACACAGGAACAGGTAAACTAAACTTCAACTATATTGATAATGACAGTATAGTTATACAGATGGAGAGGTTAAACGAAGCTTTATTCAAACTCGGTGCATATTTTTGCTCACCAAACTCCATCTCTCTTCGTCTTCAAAACTCCTTTAAATAGCCATTTTCAATCAGAGATCACAACTCATCAAGAAAACAAAAGCAAAACCACAAAGCAAAAGAACCATTTAAAACAAAACCAAAAAAGATCAAAACTTGTCAAGGAGACAATGGCATTGAAGAAGAGTCTCTCTGCTTCTCTTCTTTCACCATTTCTGATCATATGTTTCATTGCATTGCTCTCTGATCCGGTCTCAGTCGGAGCTCGCCGGTTATTGGAGAATGCCATGCCGGAGATACCGACATTGCCTGAACTACCTAAATCCGAGATGCCGAAATTGCCCGAATTTCCGAAGCTTGAGTTGCCTAAGTTACCGGAGATTCCAAACCCCGAGTTACCAAAGATGCCTGAAGTTTCAAAGCCCGAATTACCGAGAATGCCAGAAATTCACATGCCGGAGGTTCCGAAGCTCGAATTGCCGAAGATTCCGGAGGTTTCAAAGCCTGAGTTACCGAAAATGCCAGAGATACCGAAGCTTGAGTTACCAAAATTGCCTGAACTCCCCAAGTTCGATGTCCCAAAGTTGCCGGCGTTTACAGTGCCCAAGTTTCCCTGATCCCCCTAAGCCCATTATACCAGAAAAGCCCATCTACTTTCGAGCCCAGTCCATGTTTCTGAAATTATCGTATCACCCTCGTATTGTTTGTCAATTTACGTAATATCTTGGCTCATTTTTTTACCTGATCTTTTCATGCTTTCATCTTTCTTTTGTCAACCTTTATGGTTTAACTCATTATTATAAACTCAATACTTTGGTATTCTGTCTGTAATTGTATGTTTCATACACATTTCGCTGTATCTTCTTAATGTACATTTTGCTGGATATTGTACCAATCCAATACATGTTTACATAATTACATTCAAGTATTACAATCAGGAAGTCAATAACCATAAACACTGCATTTAAATTTAAACGAACCCATTATTAAATATTACTGTAATAAATATTCACTTCACTTCTAGGGTTGGGCCGAGGTCCTCGTATATATATTTGATACCGCCGTCTAGGTCGAAAATCTTGCTGTTTTTTCTTTTAGGAAAACCTTGAGGAGCCACAGATTTAGGGATTATCCACTTATCTTCCTGTCCGAAATCCAACAATGGTAAGTTCCGAAATCAACGCATCTCTGAATATACATCTGCTATCACAGTTCCTAAAAAATCTTGACTTGTAATTTCTGAAATGAGAATCTCTAGGCTGACATCGAACCAGAGGTTGCAGCAGCGGCAGTGCCGAAGAAGAGAACGTTCAAGAAGTTCGCCTTCAAAGGAGTTGATCTCGATGCTCTTCTCGACATGTCCACCGATGAGCTCGTCAAGCTCTTCAGCTCCCGTATTCGCAGAAGGTTAGTCTTCGTCTCTTCGAACCACATAACTTCCGTATCGATTATGTAGAATCGTCTAAATCGAACTGTTTCTCTTGTATAGGTTCTCTAGAGGATTGACCAGAAAGCCAATGGCTCTGATTAAGAAACTGCGCAAGGCGGTAAACTCCTAATCCCTCTCGTTACTAGTTAGATCTGTGTTGGGAATTGACTGTGTTTGACTTGCGATTTGATTGAACATTCGATTGTTCTAATCTTAACCTTAATCTTCCTGCTAAACCTTAACGGAGTCTAAACAAAGTCTTAACGTTCGTTTGAACGGAGTTATAACGTCCGTGTTCGTTCTTTCAAATCTAATTGTGCTTTGTGAGCTATGTATTTCCTCTTCTTGCATCATCTGCTTGCATTTGCAATAAACTTAGAAATGCTTGAGAAAGTTTTGTGTGTTGTTCTTTGAAATGCAACTCTAAAGAATACTAAAACATTTATATTGCTTCCTTATCTAGAAAAGAGATGCACCAGCTGGTGAGAAGCCAGAGCCAGTGAGAACCCACTTGAGGAACATGGTGATTGTGCCTGAAATGATCGGAAGCATCATCGGTGTGTACAATGGAAAGACTTTCAACCAGGTCGAGATCAAGCCGGAGATGATTGGACATTACCTCGCGGAGTTCTCTATCTCGTACAAGCCGGTTAAGCACGGAAGGCCAGGTGTTGGTGCTACCCACTCCTCCAGGTTCATCCCTCTCAAGTGAAGACCTTGCAGAGCCCTGTGTTACGATGCTCTCAGTTTTCGTAGCTCTCGTTTTGCCTTTTTAGGGTCCTTCTTTCTCTGTTTTGTTTTGATACTCTGCTGCAACTCTCTCTTCTTTAGATGTTTCTAAACATATGTTTCATTTCTTTAAAGAAGGATTAAACGTTTTGGAAAATTTACTTTTGGCAATTAAGAGGTCCGAATCTGGTTTTGGATTAGATTTGTTCTCGATTTCATTTTGGCGAAGTTAGTGTTCTCCGTTTTGCTTAGACTCTGGATTTTAGAATTCAGTTCTGGTTTTGGGGTTGAAAATCTCGGTGTGTCGAAATAGAAAAAAGAATTGAGTACAGGGAGTTAAAATTAAATAGTTAACAAAGTAAACGGAGTTTAAACGAAGTCTTAACGTTCGTTTGAACGGAGTTATAACGTCCGTGTTCGTTCGTGAATTTAACGTCGTGGAAAGACGCTGTTAATTAAAGATTAAAGCCCAATAAGAGATCCATCATCGACAATTAGAAGCATAATCTCTAGCTAAATGGGCCTTAATGAAAATTAAAAAGCATATTCCTAGGGTTAAGCCCAAGGTATATATTTGGTGCTCAAGTTAGGTTGTTTGTCGTTTGCGCAGTCGCTGGTTTTCGTGCTCTCTGGATTTCTAGGGTTTCAACTTTCAACAATCTCAACAATGGTTAGTTCCTCGATCTCTGTCTCTCTCTCTGTCATAACCCTCGTGATTAGGTTTGTAATTTACCGAAATGGGAATCTGTATAGGCGGATATCGAACCAGAGGTTGCTGCGGCTGGGATCGTGAAGAAGAGAACTTTCAAAAAGTTCTCCTTCAGAGGAGTCGATCTCGATGCTCTTCTCGACATGTCTACAGATGATCTTGTCAAGCTCTTCAGCTCCCGTATTCGCAGAAGGTTAGAAAAAGCTATTGTCTCAGTTTTGTAAGATCGTCTCTTGGTTATGAGACTGATCTGTTTTGTTTTGTAATTTCTGTTGATAGGTTCTCTAGAGGATTGACGAGGAAGCCTATGGCTTTGATCAAGAAATTGCGCAAAGCGGTAAGATATAATTTCTTCCATTTCTAATTCCTTGTTCTAATTGTTGAATTGTGGAATTTGCGATTGTATAATGTACATATATTTGAACAACAAGAGTCCAAATGTGTTTTCTTAGGTTGTGTATCTTTTAAGTTATTGTAATTTCTATCTCTATCTATGCACATATTCACACGTGTTTGTGTTTGTTCTTTGCATATAAATCGAAATGGACTTAAAACAGTAAAGATTGTGACATTGTTCTCTTTGATTTGAGCAGAAAAGGGATGCACCAGCTGGTGAGAAGCCAGAGCCAGTGAGAACCCACCTGAGGAACATGATCATTGTGCCTGAAATGATTGGAAGCATCATCGGTGTGTACAATGGAAAGACCTTTAACCAAGTCGAGATCAAGCCGGAGATGATTGGACATTACTTGGCTGAGTTCTCGATCTCATATAAGCCGGTTAAGCACGGTAGGCCTGGTGTTGGTGCTACCAATTCCTCCAGGTTCATCCCTCTCAAGTGATGCCATTATACAGCAGAGTCTGTGTTATGCTTTAAAACTGAGTCTTTCGTTTGTTTTTTTCTTTATGACATTTTCTCTGTTTTTCTATTCTCTTCGTTAGATTTTGTCTAAACCCTAAATTCTTGTTCACGCATTTCAATAATGCAGGGCATTTTCTAATATTACACTTTCCTACAATAAGTTACGGATTAAAGATATTTTTTGGGTACCTACATATATAATTTAAACAGATACTCTTAACACAATGGCCCTATTAAAAATTGGACGTTAATTATCTTAATTAGTTTAACAAACTCATGTATATTATGGAAACAATTAAATATTTCTGGTATCCTTTTAATGGAAGTTTCCTTAAGTTCATGTACAAGAGGACCTAAATATAAAGGTGCCAAAGTTATGTAATCTCTATAGTAAACCCTAGGAGCAGTCACTTTCAGAGAGATTCTCGAACCAACAACAATGGTTAGTTTCTTGATTTCCATCTCTCTTAACCATATTGTTAGATTTTGCGACAGCATCATCATGGTCTTAAATTTCTCTGTCGGAATCCATAGGCTCAAGTCGAATCAGAGGTTCCCGAAGCTGCTCTAGCGAAAAAGTGAACGTTCAAGAAGTTCTCCTTCAGAGGAGTCGATCTCGATGCTCTTCTCGACATGCCTACTGATGATCTTGTCGAGCTTTTGCCTTCCCGTATTCGAAGAAGGTTTGATCCACCAAAATATAGTCTCTATTTTGGTAGATTACATAAATATTTGGTTTTTGATAAATTGGTTTTGTTTATATTGATCAACTTGTAGGTTGTCTAGAGGATTGACGAGCAAGCCTATGGCTCTCGTCAAAAAATTGCGTAATGCGGTAAAATTCTTTATTTTTTTGTATTATTGGTCGGATTAAAAAAAATGCTTAGTTCGGCTTTAAGTTTGTGATATATGGGTTCTGTTTTTAAGTCCATATGGTCAATACCTTAGGTGAAAATTTGTGTTGGTTCTTTGAGATATGTAACATGGATTTACAAGAAATCTATGGTTTTACCTTAAAACAGAAAAGGGAAGCACCAGCCGGTGAGAAGCCAGAAGCAGTGAGAACACATCTAAGGGACATGGTGATTATGCCTGAAATGATTGGAAGCATCATCGGTGTGTACAATGGAAAGACATTTAACCAAGTCGAGATCAAACCGGAGATGATTGGACATTACTTGGCTGAGTTCTCAATCTCATATAAGCCGGTTAAGCACGGTAGGCCTGGCGTTGGTGCTACCAATTCCTCTAGGTTTATCCCTCTCAAGTGAAGCCATAAGACCCCATGCTATTATTTTACCATATCATCTTCTTAAGAGACTAATGTCTTTAAACATTTCGGATTATCATTATTATTATTCTTGGTGACTTAGTTTTTAATACCACCATGGGTTTAGAATTGAGTGACGGTGTAAAATTATTTGATTTTGCTCCTCATTTTTTACTAATTTCGAAATTTTCAGACGGAAGGTTTTAATCCAAGGAGCTTTTTTGTTTTCTTTTGTTTTCTTTCACGTTTTGACTAGGTAGTTGAGGTTGATCTATCCATTTTTTTCGTTTTCTTTTGTAATGTCTAATGATTTAACTTAAAACACGCAAAAACGAAGATCGCAAGGGGTTATTATACTTATAATAAGTAAAAACAAAATATAGGTGAGTTTGTTGAAGACTAACATCATATTCACGTGCAGAGAGTTCTTCTCACCAGATCTTTTGACTCTTATGAAATCAACATTTTAAGAGCTCTCTCGTCTCAGTATTATTTAAGAAGCCACTCTTTTACACAATACTAAAACACAAACTCTGTATACTCACATAAACACTACTTCACTCCTCTTTCTAAGGTGGCTTTCCGTGAAAGAATGAAGCTCATCATGTCACGGAAGATGAATAATCTTCGCCTTCCTATTCTGTTCTCCTCGATCTTTGTCCTTGTCTTTATTTCGTCGTCTTTCTTGTTTGCTACGCCTAGTTTTGCTACTAGAGTTGGTCACTCTCTGGAGCAAGAAGAGGTCCTAAAGATTCCACAATATAAACTGCTTGAAGAACCGGAGATTCCAGAAGAGCCAGAGTTGCCGGAGCCGGAGGAGCCTGAGATTCCAGAAGAGCCTGAGGTTCCTGAGGAGCCGGAAGAGCCTGAGGTTCCCGAAGAGCCTGAGGAACCAGAGGAGCCACCAGAGGAGCCAGAAGAGCCAAAATTTGGATTTCCGTCCTGGATTCCGAGCTTTCCTTTTCCCGGTGGTAACGGCGGTTCCCTAAATACTGAGAAGACAAAACCTACGGAAACGGTTGAAAAGGTTCCTGCCAAAAGCATTTCTGAGGAAACTTCGAGTGGTTCGAACAAGAAGCCATAGATCAATGGCTGAAGAACGTTAAAAGTGATCTATATAGTGAATGCTCTTGCTTGATTGATAATTATATAAGTATAAATGTAATAATAGTTTGGCTTGTGTCTAATTACTTATGTACTAGAGTTTCATGTCGTGTCTGGATCTCTCTTGTAAAACATGCATGTCTCTTTGTGATAGAAAAATTATATTTACCTAAAGTATAACCTATAGTAATTAGATAATTAATTAAAGATGTGACCTATTTCCTACACCTATGTATATTGACCAATATTGGTTTATTCCTCCGGATTCAATTATTCTTTTTCTCTAATGTCAAGGTGTGCATCAAGACAAGACAAGATATCTTGTGCTAAAGCTGGAGCACGTAATGCAGCAAGACTAGTACACAAATAAAACTCGTTGCATTATTTTCTTTAGTTCCCATGTCTTTAATTTGTCTTCTTCCATTTCCAACTTGTCCAATTTCATTTTCTCCTCCCCAAATTAAATTTTTTCATACAAAAGATACATTCTCTCAAACTCTTCTCTTTCTTTTTCATATACTCATTTAATCAAAACAATTCTCCTTATAATCAAACTCTCCGGTAATCAATGGGATTCAAACCATTTCTTGAAGGTGGCATCGCCGCAATTATCGCCGGAGCTATAACTCACCCGTTAGACCTCATCAAAGTTCGTATGCAGCTCCAAGGCGAACACTCTTTCTCTCTGGACCAAAACCCTAACCCTAATCTTAACCTTAATCTTCCCGTTAAACCTTATCGACCCGTTTTCGCTCTTGACTCTCTCATCGGCAGCATTTCCTTGCTACCTTCATCCGCTCACGCACCGTCTTCGTCCACGCGCTCCAGCACGACTCCCTTCGCCGTTGGGGCCCACATTGTGAAAACCGAAGGACCTGCCGCTCTCTTCTCCGGCGTCTCCGCCACCGTCCTTCGTCAGATGCTTTACTCCGCTACCCGCATGGGTATTTACGACTTTCTTAAACGAAAGTGGACGGATCAACTCACCGGTAACGATAATTATTTCTACTATAATTTTGTGATTTAATACAATACAAACACATTTTGCACAAAACAAAAAAAAAAAAAAAAAAAATACAATACAATACAATACAAACACATCACATTTTTACGAAAAAGCTGTGATTTACATCTCACAACAGGTAAGTTCCCATTGGTCACCAAGATCGCAGCTGGACTCATCGCAGGAGCAGTAGGATCCGCCGTCGGAAATCCAGCTGACGTGGCGATGGTGAGAATGCAAGCGGACGGACGTTTACCCTTAAACCGCCGCAGAAACTACAAAGGCGTCGTGGACGCGCTCGAGCGGATCGTGAGACAAGAAGGTGTCTCAAGCTTATGGCGTGGCTCGTGGCTAACCGTAAACCGAGCGATGATCGTTACAGCTTCTCAGCTCGCCACGTATGACCACGTCAAGGAGATCATGATCGCCGGAGGCCGTGGAACGCCGGGAGGGATCGGAACGCACGTGGCGGCGAGTTTCGCGGCGGGGATTGTTGCGGCCGTCGCATCGAATCCGATCGACGTCGTGAAGACGAGAATGATGAATGCTGACGCGGGAAGTTACTGTGGACCGTTGGATTGTGTGGTGAAGACGGTGGCGGAAGAAGGACCGATGGCTTTGTATAAAGGATTAGTTCCGACGGTGACGAGGCAAGGACCGTTCACGATGATCTTATTCGTCACGTTGGAACAAATTCGTGGTTTGTTAAAAGACGTTAAGTTTTGATTAAATGATGTTTAGTAAATTTTGACCATATTCCATTACATTGTATGTACAGTACGTTTAAAATATTTTCAGACTTTTTCAAAACAATTGTTTATGACTGCAAAAAAAATCTGTTTGTTAAGGTTGATTGCGCAAAATACAAATTAGCGTGTAGTATTATTGTGAATCTAAAATATAATCGAATATTTTTAGCTTGAAATTGTGAAAACGGATAGTGATTGAAGCAAAATGGGCTTTGTCGGTCGGTCCAATTCTCTGGGGATATGCTTTTGCTGAGTATATTCCTCGCTATTTTTGTGGTTGAAATTTTAAACCACAGAAATAGGTTATTGTCCTCTTTCAAATTCATATTTTCAGTCGAATTTTGTGGTTGACAGAAAAAATTAAAAATCACTTCTTGGTGTATCATTTTTGTTTTATTTTTCTGTGTTGTTTCGTAATAATTCTCAACTACAAAAGCTATTACGTAATGTTTTGAACCAAATGAGCATTCGTAATTATTATATCTAAATGACGATTTTCAAAGAAATGTAGTCATACTGGAGTGGGCATACTCTTTTATTGTAAACACTAGATAGTCTCCCTCTTATGTTGACCCTTCAAAGAACATCATTGGATAAACAAAACTTTCTTCCAATGGTTTGGTCGAAATCAGCATTTCTGACCAGGTTGTGTTATTTACTGAGAGTCTCAGAGATTTTGAGTTCAGCTTTCTTCTGGAAAATCTGGACAATATAAAAACTGTTTTGTTTTTGCACATGATGAGACGAAAATTTCACAAAGAAATCTAAATCCATATTTCTCGTTTCCTTTGAAGCATAAAATAAAATAAAGAAAGGAAAAGTCAAAAACCAACTTCTTATCATTGTTACATGTTGATTGCATCTAATTTTTGGTCTACTGATTGAACCTGTTCAAATTAAATTACCAATTTCTTTTGACAACCTTTGTATTTAAATTTAAAATGTGCAAGGCAATCAATCAATCAGTCCATCTATTTGTCTCTTTATGCCATTAAATTATTATTTTTCTCTTGATTTCCAGATTTGTTTCCGGTTTCAACTTCTACGGTCTGTTTGCGAGAACCAACTCCAAATCAATTAATACGGAATAGGCCCAATTTCAAATAGGTATCCATCTCAGAAAAGCCCAATTTTGATTATGTGAAACTTATGTATTTAAACGCCATATTCAACTGTAATGATTACTTCTCAACAGAACACATAATTGTTTCTTAAAATTTCATGAAATTCAAAGTACTTTTAACTGTATATGAGTCCTCTGGTCTCACACGGTAACTACCATTCTCATATCAAATCAAAAAGTAGAACAAAAGAGGCAACAAGAAACTGATCTTTACAAACAAAAATTCCTAAAAGCAAAAAAGAAAAATAAAAATAAAAATAAAGGATTGGAAAAGAGAAGTCGTCAAGGCAATTAAGCACTTAATTCCCCGTGCATTTCTTTAATCATTCATTTGCATCGCTTTTTGTTTCTCTCCTTTCTCCAAATTTGCCTCTCCTTTTTTTTTCCTACGATTATGGAGTATGGTGGAAGCTCTTCAGATTTAGTCACTAAAAATATGATATAATAATAGGTTAAAAACTAAACTAATAGTTTAATTAGCTGGCTAGTTCATATAGTCATATTAATATTCGATTTTTCCCCGTCATCAAGTCTTCGAAAACATCCCACCGTAGCACCTAAAAGAAAGTTCAATAATTTATGTTAATTATTATTAACGAACCACCAAAAAAGGTTGAAACTCACTTCCACTATATGGGTGACTAATTATGAAAAAGTAAAAACTAAAAAAGAAGAAACGATGTCAAAAGAAATAAAACTAAAAAGAAGACGAAAATTGAGGCTTTACTTTAACAAACAAGAAAGAAATGATCACGTTTGTGATATTACTAAATTATAAGTTAGGACTATAAATTATGGATCGTGAGGGTTTTGGCATTATACACAGCATAATTACGTTTATACACGTTCGGCCCCCTCGTCCCATTGCCTTACTCCATCTCAGTGATAATTTATACTCTTTCTAAATTTCTATCATTCAACTCACAACCACCTCAATTTAGGATTTTAAGTATACGATAAACGATTCTAAATTTTGAACCAGACAAAAATTGTCACCTTTCTAATTTGCCTGCCTAGAATTTTATAGTTCATCCAAAACCTGGATAGTATGATAAAAACCCACCCTTAATCGCAATCTTTTTACAAATTACAATTATGTTTTTTGTCCCAAAACAAGACTATGTTTTTCCATTGGTGACTAAAATATTAACTCCGACTATATGGTAAGTATTATACGATTTTTACTTCCACTGAAGGCAAAAAAAAAAGAAAAAAAATAGAAAAAAGAAAAACCAGTTGTAAAATTCTAAAGTCCAACAAGTCGAATCAAAATACGAATGAAACACTTCTATTTTTGTGAGTGTGAAGTCTTATGTTTTATTTCTAGTATCCATTATTGACGGCAAATAAAGTGATGGGAAAGGGTAAAAACGTCACAAGGAATAAGGACCGCTATAAAGCAATGTCACTCTTCAGTCTTCACGCCCATTTCTTTCCTTACAAAATATTTTCTTCAAAATTTCGCTTTCTCTCTACTTCCTTATCCGTTTGCTTGAATTCATTCGTATCACAAGTGACAAGTCTACTCGCTCGCTCTCTCTCTCTCTCTGTATCTGCAAGATAGATCTTCATTTCTCTCCTCTCTGTAAGCTAACGGATTCTATCATTTGCTCTTATTGTTTTTCTGGGTTAAAATCTCTGTGTTTCTCGAGAAAACTTGTTGTGAAAAATGAGGAAACTACCGGCGAATTTGATGCGGACTGACTTCAAATCGTTATTTTAATGAGTAATTCGTCTAATTTTCGTAGTCTAGTTCGAAATTTAGTGAAATTCTGATAGAACTGAGGCATAAAAAACTATGAAAAGACTTCAGGATATGTAAAATCCTCGAACTCGTTATGTTCAATGCTGCAAAATCCTCTGTTTATGATTTCTCTGTCTTTCACGAAGTGTAGATTGCTGTGATATTTGCGTCTTTGGTTTGCCAATTTCTGGAATTCTGATGAGTTGATTTTCTCTCTCTTTTGTCCCTTTTTTGCAACAGATCTCATCTCTCTGTGGATTACAAAGCAGTGAATAATCAAAATCTTAAAGTGCATATAAGTTTAGAAACAGCATGCTTTTGTTCACAGCTTGTGTTGATGTGTACCGCAAAGTCGTCCGCTTGAATCTCTATTGCCGTGTTATTCTGTAAATTTCTTACCTTCCTCAAATCTTCTTCTTCTTCTTCTCATTCCTCAGACTCTTTCTCTATTTATCTAATCTCTTTAAAAATGGGATCCCAACGTTTCTACGTTTTCCATTGTGAACAGTACATGATCAGCTAAACGATTCCTTTAGACCCTTGAAAGCTTTTTCTCTTCTTCTTTCCTTCCATCTCCTTCTTTTTCTGGTAGCTTGCTCTGTTCTGTGGAGCAACTGTTGTTTTTCACTAAAGAGTTTGGAAAAGTTATGGTAAGGCAATCAGCTGGGCAGACAAGATTTCGAACATTCAAGTACGAGAACAACGGAGACTCTAACAAACCAGCCATTGTTGTGAGAGTTATTGCTTGCTTTCAACCCATGGATAATTGTCAGGTTTGTTGCACAGAGTTATTGCTTGTCACGCTTTACTTCCTTTAGTCTTATTCTTTCTAACTAACACTATTTTATTGTCTGTGTTCCACTTTCAGGCTGAATACTTTAGACACATGCTCAAACCAGTGACGTAGTTGGTTTATGAGTTTGTCTTGTATTTTCCAGCTGCCATTTTTTCTCTTTTTGTCTCTACTTTCTTCTGCGATTGTTTCAACACATTCGAGCAACATCTTCCACAATCGGTATGCTAACTAAATCTTTCCTCTTTTCACTTTTTACTGGTTCTGTTTGTAGACTATGTCTTTCTTGAGCTTGGTTATCTCATAAAGAGCCATGTAAAATGATCGTTCCCTTTGCTTTTTGGTGCAGTTCCATTGAATTAAACTGCAAGAGCATGCCTCTTGATACCAGGCAACAGAAATGGTTGCCACTGGGCTTAAATCCTCAAGCTTGCTTCCAGGACAAAGCTACTGAATCTTCCCGTCCGGAGCTCGGGAAAGTATATGCATCTGAGCATCAGTTTAGCTATCTGAAGCCACCGTTCCAGGCCTTACCCTCCAGTTATGATCAGCAAGTTTCATGTTTGAAGGAGCGGTCTAGCTGCGATGCTGCTCCAGAGAAGGCACTCAACTCTTCTCAGAAAAGATTTCTAGTATTCGATCAGTCAGGAAATCAGACTCGCTTGTTGCAATGTGAATTTCCTCTACGGTTTCCTTCTTCTATGGCTGCAGAGGAAGGGAAAGTTCTTGGTTCCCTAAACCTAGAGAAAGGGTTGAGTAAAGATCATGATGTCATTGAAGATCATGTTAATGGGGAAGAAGGAGAAGAGTCAGAAATGCACGAAGACACTGAGGAAATCAACGCACTGCTGTATTCTGATGATGATGATTGGGGGAGTGATGATGATGATGATGATGATGATGAAGTAATGAGCACTGGTCACTCTCCATTCCCAGTTGAACAACAAGCGTGCAACAAAACAACAGAAGATGTGAATGAGACTGCTGAAAGCAGTGATGATGGTCCACGTCGTAAAAGGCCAAAACTACTGGACCATTCATATAGAGACTTATCAACATCCTTGGTGGGCACCAAGAGTTTCACTAAACTAGAAGGCTCATCAGATGAAAAGTCCAACATCTCATGCAAACAGGAGACAGGTTCTGGTCTGAGCGACGAGCAGTCAAGAAAAGACAAGATCCACACTGCTCTGAGAATCCTGGAGAGTGTAGTTCCAGGGGCAAAGGGGAAAGAAGCTCTTTTACTGCTAGACGAAGCTATTGATTACCTCAAGTTGCTGAAGCGAAACTTAACCTCATCAAAAGGCTTAAACACACATTGGTGAAAAAACTAAAAGTCCTCCGTTGATAAGCATGTTCGGTTGGTTAAAGAGAAGACAAGGGACAAAAGATAATCAATGAGGTAAAGAAAGGACTGAAGATTCTCTCAATTTCTCATTAACGTGGGTTTGAAAACAATTAGGACACGCCTGTGTGACCTAGTGGGACCGTATCCACTGTTGAGCTAGCTGGATCAATAGTGGTCTGCTTTTGGATTTGGCATGCTCTCTCTCTCTCTCAAAAAAGGAACAAAACAAAGGTCACTTTCTTCTGTGCTTGGAGTGGAAGAAAAGTGAAAGAAGAGAAAAAGCAAAGTCTTGGTGGTGCTCATTGATCGTTTATAATTACCTTTCTTTCTTTTTTTCCTTCTCGTGATTAATAATAATATCTCTGTGAATGTGGTGGTGGTGGGTGTGGAATGAGAAAAAAAAATCAAAAAGGGAAAATTGAAATTGTTTGTAGTAGTTGTGAGTTGTGACTTATGGAATGGAAAAACTCGCATGTTCTATGAATATCTCCATTTTCATTAGGTAAATCTCTGTCCCCACTCTTGTTTGTCTCATTATTACTCTTCTGTTGCTATCAATCCCATATCTTATCATCTTCTTTTTCATATATTTTATTTATTAAATCTCTGGCTCTTTAGCTCTTCAACGGGACTTGTACTTTACTATAGTGTTATTTTCTTCTGTTGTCTCTTTCTCGTGGGTCCAACACATGTTTGTCTATGTTCATGTAATAAACTTGAGTTTTTATTATTATGGAACCTTTTTTTTTTTTTTTTTTAATTTATTATGGAACCTTCTTCTACTAAGTAGTTTTAATGGACATGGCCCCTTTCATAATAGCGAGTAAATGACACTAAATAAACAAGCAAGCTCTTCTGGCTCGGCAGCTACAACATGATTCGTTCGAAAATCTCACGAACTCCGACGTGAAGAACAAAAAATGCCAAAGCAAAAAATAAAACACAGTGAAGAGAAAGAAACCTCTACTTTATTCATCCACCACTGATGATGATTGCTGAGCTTGATCAGATCATTTCCAATATGCATTTCTTCTGCACCAAGAGCAAATGAAAGTCGCTGGCTTTATCCTCTAACCCGACAGCTCGAAACGCATTCAAGATCCTCGAGCAAGCAGAAGCATCAAACTCCGTCGTCTTAGACTCCTTCCACTGATCGATAACTTCCCCTGCTTCTCTCAAATGACCAAGCATTACATAAGACGAAAGAACACAAATGTAGCTTCTGCTGCTCAATTTCTGGTTAGTGTTCCTCAGAGACTTCCAAATCTGATCTATCATATCCTTGTTTCCTAATCCAGTGTGCAAGATCATAAGGAAGTCATACGTGATCCATTCTCTCTGCGAAATAGATTTCTCAGCTTCAACGACTGGTGAGCTGGACTCTGCATTAGCCACTCTACTACTGCTTATATAGATACTAGTCAGATCAATATATCGACCCCAACCCTCACTAAAACTAGCATCATGCCTCATCTCTTCAAGAATCTTTGTGAGCTCATCTATGTTAAAAGCAGCAGCACATGAACTAAGCCAGAGGTTGTAAGTAAAGATATCAGGAGAAACCTTTTTGCGCTTTAGCACTTCGATCACCTCGTGGACTTTCTCAACTTCCCCCACTGACATGTACAGAGTCATCATCTCGTTGTATGTGATGGCACCGAATGTGAGACTATCGGACTCTATGATTCTCCTGAACAATGCCTCGGCTCGTTCGGTTTGTTTGGAGGCAGCGTAAGCGTGAAGCAGAGATGTATACGTTTCGGTTGTCTTTGAAGCTTGATTCAGACCTTCGAAGTAGCGTTCTGCTGCATCGATCCCGAAAACTTTTGAAATCAGATCTATCCGCGACGCGTAATCAGTATCTGAGATCTTTGATTCTTCATGTTGAACCATCCACTCTGTAACCTGTGATAAGGCTTCGATTAGCTCCATAGAATGATGCAACAGCTATGCAATTTTGCGCATAAACACACATCATAATCATAAATTTGAAGATTTTGCCTGAAATTGAAGTTTTTTCAGCTTTTTCTCAAGTCAAACTAATACTACGTTTGAGCAATCTAATAACTATGAGCCACAGATTCCAATGAAATAGTACCTCGAGAGCGTGTTTGTAACGCCGAGTTTTCTTAAGCTCTCTGGAGATATCTCGAAGCTCGTTGACTGTAATCTGATTGCCTTCGCCAACCCATTTCTCGAGAACAGTAGTTACGCTTCGCTTCGGAAGTCTCAATCTGAAAATTCGGCTCCTCAGATCGTCTTTCTCCTCCGACTCCAGCGATTGCTCGACAAGAGAGCTTCCGATTGCCGCATCAGCACTGTACGACTTGGAGAATCGCGACGATTCGGCGTTCCGAGTGAAATTGCCTCCGACAACACCATTCGTCAATCGACTAATTCAGAAAGAAAAATGTTAATCAATTTTCTCGTTGACACAATGAGAGAAAAAAGTGGAGACTCACCATCTAAGACTATGGAAGAGCGAGCGAGTCGCCATGGATTCCCAGTTTGTCTGAGCAGAACGATCTAAAACGATCTCACTCACTTAGAAAAATACATTTTAGTAATTTTGTGTCAAATGGTAAAAGAATAAATATTAAATGGGCCCGTGAAAAATAGGCCCATTAGTTACAAGAGAAAGAAATAAAGGACACACGGCGGCTAAAACAACCGTGACGGAGAAGCCACCGCCGCTTCCAGAGTTCAGCGTTGTGGCGATTCGAAGAGATGGGATGTTTCTTTACATGTTTTGTTATTGGGTAGGATACTTGAAAATTTCTTCAAATTCATTATGTAGCTTATTTTGGGTATGGCAATAATTTTGGAAAGAAATTTTAAAATCATTACGATATACTATTAAGAAGGATTTAAGGGTACATCAACGGCATAAAAACCGGAATCGAAAGAGATAGTTCATCATATCTATCTTAACTTACAAAAAAAAAAAAAAAAAAATATGAATAAATGCTGAGTCCATCGGAGAAGCTTTTTCCCGTTTGTCGAGTCTACATAGCCAAAACGGCGGCACAAAGCAGAACGGCCACGGATCCACCAAAAACCGCGTATCTGTTGGAAATGGCGTTGCTCTGTGCTGGACCAGGAGCTTCTGCTGGAGAATCGGAGATCCCAGACGGAGTTAATGCTGGAGTATCGATTGAAGGAGAATCCGCTTGGGACAATGATGGAGGAGACGCGACGGAGGATTCCGGAGTCGGTGTTTTCGATGCTGAAGGAGAGATAGCCGGAGAGATGATCCGCCTTCCGCCGCCGCTAAACGGAGCTGGAGCAGGGGATTGAGCCACCGCAGAGGAGATCAGGAGATAGGCAATAACCAGGAACCCTAGGACTTTTGAGATCGACATTGTGATTTGAAGGTAAGGTATGATTGACTGTGAGAGGGAGATAAATTTGAAATAGTGTTCTAAGCTCAGTTTGCTCTGTTGGTGAGTGAGACTACGATTTACAGCTCTTTATATATAGGTGAAAAGTGGAGTCCACTGTCAATGAGGGTATCAAATCTACATCGTTCATTAAGAAGCGAGTGAAATCGGACGGTTGTAAATTTTATTAAAGGCAAGTGTGACAGAGTGGGGACAGGCTTAATGAGCAAGAATAAAGATAACACCGTTGGATCGTCCCCTAACTACGGCGATAACGGCTCGTTTAGAAATGTACGTACGCGTGGCAGTCAATGAGAGATTTGATTCTGGTAAAAAAAAAGAAGGAATATGGCCGTTGTGATGTGGGCTTTGTATTTATTTTGGTTTTAGAAGAGGTTAATTTTGTTCTATAAACGGTCGATTGCTTTGACGAATCTGATTTTAAGTTCTTACAAATCATACACGTCTATATGTGTTGTGTCTTACTTTAGTTCCAGTTTCTTCTGTATAGTTTTCTTCCCTTGATTTGTAATGATTTTTTCTTAGTTAATTGTTTGTCTGTTTCTAAAGTGGTTTTATATGCAATTTTGTTTCCATTTTGTAAAGAGTGGTCGGATTCTTTTCAAATTTGGTGTATCTTTTTTTATCTCGCGTTTTGATTGTTCGTGGGCATTTTACAGTAAAAGAGGATGGGCTTCGGTTAACAGTGCTCAATGTTTTGGTGATCCAATTGGAATCTAGTTTATTTGTTTTCTTTCCTTTGGAACCAGAGAATCTAGTTTAACATGGTTTACGGTGCTCTCAGTTTTGCTATCATGTGGCTGAAATTTTTAATGTTGAAAATTCTTGGGACTCCAAAAGAGTGCCTCTAGCTCTTTAAAACTGATCTTGAAGCCTACGAGAACTTTACAATCTTTTTTTATTGAATCTTTTGGTCCAGATAGTAGTATTATATTTCTGGCCAATAGCTAATTACAAATGGAAACCAAGCATTCTGAGTTTGATTTGCGTAAGTAATTTTCAAAGTACACATTAAATATTTTGTCAGAAACAAAACGTATAGTGCCTGTTTGCCATTTAAAGGTTAGAAACAAAACTTATCAAGTTGAGTTTTGGAATCTAATGTGAGGGAATTATAACAATCCAACAAGATATATTGGCTAAAAAAAACTTACAAAAACTCTGGAGTCTAAGATGATTCTTATCGGGGAATATGGGGCTCTTCTTGAAAGAACCAAATTTACTGTAGATGAGATCTGCAATAAAACCTTTCTTTGATAGCTTACTGCTTACACTATCTCATCAGTAGAAACCATTGATTCGAAAAGCCTGCTCCGAGTCCGAGCACTCAACACTCACCACACCAATCCACTGATCATATTTAAGTATTTATGTGACAATTTAATTCAAGTTACCAAAAAGTGAGAATGGTAGGAAACTGGATAATGAAAATAAAATGATACAATATTTATTTTCTCAGCCCACAATCAATACCCTTGTTTACTGAGCAATACGCCAGTACACCTATAAGCCAAGCTACAGCAACATCATGTAATTAAAATTACGAAAAGGTGAAAAGTTGAAATGTTCTCTTATCCCATTCCCACCAAAGTCCCAACATCACCAACAGGCAACAGCTGACTCCTTTATTCTTCATCGTCCTTTACTCCTTCACATTATTTTCACTCCTTGTTTTCAATTCACCGTATCAAAACACCATAATTAGTTTCTTAATCCGTTTCCCGCTTATCTAAAAAGTTTGTTTCCTTTGCTTAAAACGAGTTTATAAGATTTATTTTTTGTTTTGTCGACACAACTTTATAGGAATATATGAAGGAAGGTATACATCGGTTTTATTAATCGCATTAAAATAGATATATGTTTTTTTTTCTTTTTTCATGGGCAACGCCATATATGAATCTAATTTCTAGGATCGAATGTACACATCATACAAAACGACAAAAGAAACACATTTTTCACAAACCCCGAACACGAAGCGATAGATATCTACAACTTTCTTTGACTAGAATAAGCCTTTTAATTCGCCATCACCATCGATTTTGCCACGTGTCTCGTTTCTGACCGTCTAAATCAGACCAAAGCCTTACACGCCGAAGTTTCCGGGTCCCACATCGCCGGTAAAAGATATTTCCTACCGGCGAGACCCAAAGCGTTGTAACTCGCTCCACTAGTCCTGTCTACGAGAACCCGGCCGGCGTAACCCGGATACGCACCCGACCCGAATATCCCGGTACAGGCCGAGACAGCTTCTTGTTGGCCATTGAAGTAACCGCTTTTAAACGGATTCGTGACGGTGTTAACCAGCAGCGTCGCGAGGTTAATAATCATTCCGTCAACTCCGACGTCACCGTTAGGCGCGACTAACGGCGGAGACTGAGGTCCGTAAATCGGCTGATGAAACGGCCACGCGCAGTAACCAGGACACAGCGTCTCAGAGTTTCCGACCCAAACGTAGGCTCCACCATCAACGGAACGGGCCTTCGAGGCGTGAGTCCCGCACCGATTCATACAGAATCCCTCAACGGTGACGTCTTTCGCCGTTAGCACGACGGTTATAGACCGAACGCCGCCGCCGTTAAGTTTGTTTGACAGAGCTCGAAGGTAGGGACTTTTTAAGGATTTTCCGATAGGGTAGTTCTCGAGGAGGAGCTGTTTACCGACGACTATGGTCGACGCACCACCCTTGTACTTTTCCGTCGTCTTCCACCACGAGGCTACGGAGGGACCTTTTGCAGCGGCGGCAGAGCTGAGAGAGCGGATGAAATCGACGATGACGGATCGTTGGATTGGTGTGAATTTTCCGTACCAAATGAGATTGAGAGTGACGTTTCCTTTCAATAGAATGCCGTTGTGGTACTTGAGCACCAGAGGCTGTTCCTCAACCAACGCGGCGGCAGAGAAGCCGACGGTGGCGGAGAGGAGAACGAGAAGAATGGCGAAACGGTAAATATTGGCCATTTGGGGGAGAGGAGTGGACAGAGAGTGATGGCAGAGAGGTTTTGTTTTTTTTAAGTTGAGGTTTTAGGAACCATCGGAGGCTTGTATTTATACCGGAAGTTTTGAACGGGGAACAGCTGTAGAATGCAAAGAGCGTCCATGTCAACGAAGGCCACGTGGAAATATTTAATTGGTTACGCAAGGTTTTTTGACAGCCTGTAGCAAGGTTCTTCTAGGGTGACGTGGTAGTTTCCATAAACGTGTATTAAATTGTTTTCAGTATTTATTTAAAAATAATAAATCTAAAGATTATGCGACAAGGATGAACACTTCCGTGCTTGTCCGGATAAAGTTTATACTATTTACATTGAGCAGTTCCCGTCTGAAGTTATTGAAAGGTGTAAAAATGTCGTCTTGTAATTCAATGTATAGTTTTATTATTTTGAAATGAAACTAAAATATAAAACTGTTATATAAAACTGAAGGACAGTGCATTCTATACGTTTTCGAACGCACCAAGTTTCAGATACATTTTAGGAACATTTTATCATAATTTACAAAAGCATGGGTGTTTTGGATCACCAACTCAACGAGTTCACTATTTTAATGTTTCTGTTATTTACAATAATATCATTGCAAAACAAAGCTATTGCCATTAAACTATTGATATTTTAGTTTACAAAAACTTGGTAACGCTTGACCGACCATACACTAACTACACTAATATATACCGTAATAGCCATGCTATTCAAATGCTGCCTCCAACTATTCAAAATATATTGTTTTTGAGGAAACCCATGATAGTCATGACTGATAACCAGTTGGTTTTTGTATGGACTAGGAACCATGATCCATACATGCCTTACTATTGAATTGTGTATATCGATATGATAATATCATGGTATGTCAAGTTATAAATTGGGTGTGTGTATAGAGACAAAAGTATTTGAGGAGGAGTAGTCAGTAGCTTGGGTAAGGCGTACGAACCACGCCTTTTCCTACGTCAATTATTGCCTTACATTTGCGTGGTCCACTCTTATTCTGTTTCTTTAGCCTTCTTCCCCTTTTTATTTTTGCAAGATCTTTATCTTTAATTATTCGCCTTTTTTTTATAGCTTTACTTGCTGTTTTTCTCTTAATTCTAGAATGTTACGAGTTCCAATAGTTTTTTGCATTGAATTTCAAAAACTTTTTTTTAACTAGTTATAAAACGAGCTTCCAAAATAAATATATACTCCAGATTGCGATTTGATGAGACCGATTGTTAATGGTTGACACAGTCCAAAACGTTCTACAAGCTGTGATGGTGAAATTTTTATTTGTTTGTTTTGCTATTTCTCTGAAAATAAAACTCCTTCGTACTATTTTATTTTAGCTTATGGAAATGATCGAGCTCACAAAATAAACATATTGGGAATTTCAAAAAAAAAAAAAAAAAAAACATATTGGGCATTTGGAACTTTTAAAAATTAAGCCAGGATAGAGAGCAGAGCCGTTGGATTTTCTAACGCAATGCACGATCTACGAGGAAGATGAGTCTCGTGGGTCCTACATGTAAGTACGCTTATGGATTTTACGCTGTGGTTTTACGTCAGCTTGTCAGAACTCAGAACTCGGAACAACTGTGTTGTGTGTGAACTTGTGTTAGAAATACGATCTGTAATGATTCTAGTAAACTTGCTCTTGCCCTGCCTTTGTATTTGAACACGTGAGTTTTCATCATTCGTAGAGATACCAAACCCAGTTACTATCTGGCACCAAATTTATCTTGTATTTTGACAAAATCGAGCTGTGCTGTACAATTACTTTTGACAAAGTAACAAAACAAAAAAAACACAATAGCAAGAGTAAAGCGAAATGAAACTGCACTTCCGCTTTAGATTAATTTTTCATCTTTTGTAAAGAAAAGTAAATTCTACTAGTAATAAATTATGCGAATATTGGATTATAAATGCTACTTCTGATATAAAAACAGTTATGTCAGACAAGCTGATCACATAATTTTTTGTATTGACGTCTTTAGATATTTTCCTATGATAATCATGTTTTCTGCTAGACTAATTTACGTCACATCGTCTTTACTAAAATCAATTTCCATGAACTGTATTTAATATAATAACGCGTGTACATCAAATCTTCATCAATTGTGGTCTGTGGATTTTCCCAACCAATATGTAGAGTGATAAGAATCTGAATTAATACAACTTAGATTCGACATATTTGAAAGCTAAATATTTGTCACCAAGTCGTAACAATTAATGTGTTTTTGGTGTGTTGAGCGCGCGTGTGGATAAATACATGTGATGCGTGGGGCTTGAAACTGATTAAAAGGCGGCACAAATACGAAATAATTCAAACGCTATGCAAAGCATCGTTGGCATGTAAAGTGACACGTTTTATGTTTTCATGTCTTTGTGAAAGCAAACAAACATACATGAAACAAGCAATTGTACATACATGATGCACGAACTAATATATGTGTACATATGACCTAACTCAAAATACAATCAATCGGCAGCTACATATGACCTAACCTACTAACCATTAATTGCAATTGCAATCCGATTAGAAACCTGCAAATATAAAAGTCAAAGAAGAACACGGCTTGTTTTAAAACACAAAATTACACAATTATAAGCAGCGAAGAGTGAAGACCGAATCGGGTAAACAAAGTTACCAAACGATGTCTTATTATGTATCTGATTTGAACCAGGAACCTAGTTACTTGCTTTTGCCTAACAACAACTATTTATCATAACTATTAAACTATCAATAATATAGTAGCTACTGATGTCACTGAATATATTGCCCTTTTCACAAAATAAAATAAAGATATTTTTCTGTTTTGAAATATCTTAATGCGTGTATAATGCGTGGTAATTAGTTGGTTTCTTGTAAAAGGCAGCTCCGAATGGACTTCAAGTGATAATTTAAAGAACATCATATAAATGAGATAAACAAATAGAATTGAATGAACATCTGTTTTCATATACAGTAGTATATTTTACAGTTATATATATATATATATGTATGTAATAATTATTATTAGTATATCATATATAATAACGATTAATATTTGATTGTCTATATATCTACTTGATGAAAACGATATAAAACTTTGAAAGGGGACCATAAATTCTATAGTATGAGATATGCATATGTATATATGTCGGCGAAGTCAATTAAAGTTAGCAAGCGAATTCGAACATAACGTTATAATACCCATTCCCCTCCATATCCTTACTTTTGACTTTGATGGTAAAACGTAATAGTCTTATGGGCACATGTTGCATGCATGCCCACTTGGATCATTGTGTGTTCTCCTTTTTTTTCCCCAAATTTTTATTTGGTCAACTAATGTAAAAGTTAGGAGTGTATAATACGTAAGAAAAATAAAACTATAAAAGCATGTACTAGATTCAGTGGTTTCAGATTGCGTTTACTTTTTTTTCTTCTTAAAACTGAATGTCACATTCAAAATCATTTCAGTTAAAACCCTTACAGAATTGTAGTTACAGTTTACTAAAAACACATTATTATAACACGAAAACGTTAAAACAAACGCAAACGCAAACAAAAACTCGAAGCCATTTTAGGTTTATTCTGCATGACCAGAATGACATCTACCACCACACTTATACATTGACAATGACACTGCCCTAACAGCTACAATAATTGAACTTTTCTATTGACTAGAGATACTGAAAAAGACTAGCGAAAGTAATGTAAGACCAATCAAATTATTAAGAAGTTAAAAATAAATAAATTTATAGATAAGGGTCAGTCCTAAATTGAACATTGTTGTCCTGTGATTATTACTGTAAAACGTCACAAGTACTCGTCTATATTTGACGTGTGCGGGCAATGATATCAAACCCACAAGAGCTTCAATTATTTTTAGTCCGCACAAGCAGCCAATACCGCATTAAAGTATTTCGTATTGCTTAATTACACAATTTTACCAACATGATGATACACATGATATATACTTATGGTAATTAATAAAGTTGTCAAAGTCGTTTAAAAGTGCCACTTAATAGATGAGTTAAGCAACAACACTCTTGAAACTTTAAACAAGAAAACATTAATGAGATAATAGAATGGTTTACCTCTATTGTTTAAAGTTTAAACCAAAAATTAATAATTCAGTTAGTATAGCTTGTCGGATTAATTAGGTTTATAAATCAATTAATACTGGGAGGTATTTTTTTGGTCTTATATTGCCGCGGACCGACCGACCACCATCTCATATTGACTAACCAATCTCTCTATACACAGATTGGTCCCAGTTCTCTTGTCATGTATGGATACGAGTCAATATTATTGGCATCTTTTTTTTGTCTTTGCTAAAGATTATTATTGGAATCTTCCCTATATCATTCGAGCTTCACATCTTCCCTATATGATTGGAGCCAGATAAATTTGGAGCATGCCAAGAAAGGATATTGATTTAAATTATAACATTTTGGAGTTTGACCAATACATCTTTCTCCTTCCAAAGCAAACCCAAACCGACTAAAATTAACATTTCAGTTATAAAGTTATTTTATGTATTTGTATTTTATATCACCCTTAAAACCAAAATAGTAGTGTTTTTTGCTTAGTATCCTAAATTCCTAAGCTTTGTTTTCCTCGAAGCCCAGCAAAGCAAAGACATAGCCCACTAGAGGAATTTTATGCCTTCGATTATCTTTTGTTGTTGTTGGCAACGTAATTAGCCGAAATCCAGAAAGGTCTTCCTCTGTAGGAATTGGATACCAGGGAAATTCTGTTTCCGAATATGTATTTTTCGGCCCACTGTCTCCAAGATTCGTAGTTATACACATTGTGTCAAGCGTTACCAATGTATCTGTTGTGCATTGAAATCGCTTATATCATCAATGTCTATTGTAAATGAAGTAGTCGTGTCCGTGTGATTCATGACGTTTTCAATAACAGCGAAAGGTAATCATTTGAAGTGCTGTAACGAAAAATAGTGTGAAACATTGATTTCCATTTCTTTTTTTCAAAAATAACAAACAAAACAGTATTTACAGAGAGTCAATGAGAAAAGATTTCAAATGCTTGAGGAACTCTTTGGGCTTCTCCAAATTCACAGCATGTCCTGCCTTCTTGATCACCACTATCTCTGCATTTTCTCCTATATGCCTGTTTCACCATATTACTGCTTAATACAACATTATAAATGTAATTTCTTGTTTCACACAACAAATTTGAAATATGTTGTTTACCTTTTTAATCTGTAACCCAGTTCCAGTGGAAATATTTGATCTTCTTCTCCCCATATGATCAACGATTTCTAATTTTCCAAAAACAAACACACAGTTTTACAGTGACTGAAAATTTTATGTAGAATATGAAAAGCTAAAATTTGTAGTTTCACCTGTTTGATCCTAGGAAGATCCGAAAGTCTCCGATCTTTGAGTATTGATTTGATCAAATCTCTCTTCTCCTCCACAAACTCCGTACACATTACCTTCACATTCAATACGAAACAAACAAATTCAATAAGCTTTTCTAAAATATCCAACACGAATCAACAAATGAAGAAATAATAAGAGAATGGCTTACATCGATAAAATCCCAGAGAAAAAACGATGGAACACCTTTGATCGGCTTAACGAACGAGAATCGAATGAGTTCCTTAAGCTTTTCCGGCGTCTGAGGAATCAGAATTCCGGTGGCTTCTTCAAGATTTGGAACCTTAAACAATCCATCCTCCATGTCTTTCTCCTCCAAGCAAACCCCGGCGCAACACAACACCAGCTTCTCCACTTTCTCCGGAAACTGCGCCGCTAAACTGTACCCAACGAATCCGCCGTAGCTAATCCCGACGATGTTCATCCTCTGGACTCCGTGCGCTTCCATTAACCGCATCAGACACCGAGCCTGGAACGATTCGGTCCGGTTCGGTTCCGCTGTGTGAGATAACCCGAAGAAGAGGAGATCGGGAACGTAGACGTTGAATCGGCCGGTGAAAGCTCGAAGATGCTCGCCGTATTGCCACATCGCGTTCGCGCCGAATCCGTGGACGAGGAGGAGGTTGGGTTTAGATCGATTTGGGGCTTTAGGGATCCAACAATGCATAGCCGTCGTTGCGATCGAATTGCCGTGGGAGAGATCGGTGGTGACGGAACGGAGACCGGCGTTTGCGAATGATTGCCGGAAAAACCAATCACGCGACGCCGTGAAGCTGATGCATCGCAGCAATTTCATATGATCAAACATTTTTGGAGAAGATAACAACTTTTCAAAATGAAACAGAGGAAATGAAGAAGAAGAAGAAGAAGAAAAGGCGTGACGATGAAACGGAAGAGCAAAATCTGATTTCTGTTATTTGTTCTACACGTGACTTATGATCCGTCCGTATAATTTACGAAATTTACATAAAAAGACTTGTGGTTTATTGTAATTGTATAAAGTACCGGATTGAAAATAAAGAGACAGAGTAGACCCAGACATGCCATCAAGTAATGTAGTGGCAGATATAAAAAAGGTTCAATTCCAATCTGTACAGATGTAACCGGAATTAAACAAACCATTAAAATTATTAATCTGTTGGAGATTCAACCATGGACGGAATAAATCAAAACCTTTAGTTTTAGGGGTTTAAGAGAAGTAGTAAATGGTATCTTGGTGAACAAGAAAGGGGTCGAGAAATTATGTTGTTCTTTCTAACTCATGATTTTACGGAGACGCTTCTCAGCAAGCTTTGCCGTCTTGTTTTGGGGTTCAAGAACCAATGCGTGCCTGAAATCTGCAGATACATTGAACCATGTCATGCTTCAAAACCAGTTTAAATGTTTCTATAACTGATTAGCTAGATGCAATCAATCTTTAACATTCAAGCGATATTTTGTTGGTTACTGATGATAAACAAGTCTCCCAAATGCGATAAAAATGGAGATAAATTCCACAGTCTGAGGTAGTTTTAGTTACCTGCAGCAGCTTCCTTGTTCCGTCTAAGTGATTCTCTAGCAGTTCCTCGCCTCAAATATGCTTTTACATTCTGTAGAGACAAATATCTATAAGAATCAAAATCCCAACTTCTTTGAGGACTATGAATTATACGTGGCTGTGTCTTTAGTGAGTGAGTGGTATTGAAATTGAATCCAACATTTATCAAGAATTAACAAGAGGCTAGAAGATAGTAGAGCAATTACAATCTTGCAAAGCGAGCCATGCTAAAACTCCAATGTAACAAAAAGTAAACTATGCAATAGACTGGAGTATGGAGAAATAATAGGTAATCAAGTTTCGCACCTTTTTATCGATCAAAACAGCCTCTGTACAATCTTCTTCAGCTTGTTGGAAACTATAAACAAACTCTCAGATCAGAAGAGAATCAAAAATTATCTTCCAATCAGAATGAAATATATGAAGAGAACAATTACCGGCCAAGTTCCAAGAAAGCAGCAGCTCTATTGCAAAAATAAGTAGCATTTGCTCCATTCAATTTGATAGCTTCAGTGTAAAAACTTACTGCCTTATTCCATTGTTTCCCCTTGTATGCAGCATTTCCCTGGAATTAAATTTATCCACCATAACTTTCTTTAAAATCAGATCATTCAAACTCCAACATCATATAGATCAGAACCACATAAGACTATTTGGCTTAAGATACTTTTCTTGTTCAGAAGATGGCATAAAAGAGATAGTTTTTACCTTTTCCTTCATAACTTCAGAAGCCTCTATTCCATTGGAGTCAGTCACTGGAGCTAAGGTGGATGCAATATCGGCTTGGTCCTGAAGCGATGCATACACTTCGAGAATTGTATCGAGAAGGAACTTATCACCTCCATAGTAAGTAAGAAACGACACGGATATTGGACGGTCACCATGTTTCCCTAAAGGAATTATAACCTGTAGAATATGAATAGAGATCTGTGTTATCACTCAAGTGTCAAGAGTAAGTAACAAAAAGGGAACAACACCGTCCCCTCCAACCATTGAAAGTGAGAAAGAAGAAATGGAAGTGTACCTGACAACACCCAGACATGCTAGCAATGCTAGAGAGTGCGTAATTCCGCTCAAGAAACTCATTCAAAGAGTTCTTGTTCTTTGAGTTAAGCTTCGGCGGAGGATCAGCAACTGTGGGGATCACCAGAATTCCATCTTCCTATTAAGAAGATACCGTATATATGGTTTAGTCATCATGCTAGAGAGCTACAAAAGCAGAGTAGAATCCCCTAAAAACTTCTCCAATTTTCTGTAAGTTACCTTTAGAAGGCTCCGAATGGTGGCTCGCATCTCAGTTTTAACTCTGTAGAGGGATTTAACGCTCTCGTTTCTGGTCTTGAGAGCTGCAGCAACATCATTGGAGAATCTTGTCCCTAGAAACGATTTGCACGTTTGCGACCATTCTTCATGATTTGTTTTGAACTCATGCCTAGTTGAAAGGAAAACTTACTTTTCTTCAATAAATGCATATAACACAACTGTAGAAGACAACTGATAATTCAATAACTTACTAACTTCACCTTTGTAACGATAACATCACAGAAGAGAGAGCCCTCAAAGTTTCAGCTGAGTTTTGCGATTTTCCAGATATCTCACAGAACTCCGCAAGACTTGGTACATTTGAAGCGACATACTGACCAACACTAATATGTTTTGGAGTCTGGTCTGCAGGAGCCAGTAGTGAAGAGATATAAAGATATGAATCTGAAGAAAGGCAAAGAGAAGGAACGCAATACTATAGCAAACTTACACCCAGAGAGATTCTCAATTGCTTTTCTCACAACGTGCACTGACTTTTGCTTGGGAATATCAGATAGCTCAAACAGATCATCAGCAAAGATAAAAGATCTTTGCCTTCTCTGTGATACTGCACTCAGATTAAGCAAGGCATGCCCAATATGACACAAAACGGATGGGTCACGAGCAAACCATCCTACAAGAACGAATCAAAAGCAAAATTATCAGAAAGGCAATACACCAAATGTTTGCTACATTTTGTTTTCGAGAAAAGGGGGAAAAGAATGTAACGAACCAACAGTCTCTAGGCTCTGAGAATTAGGTAAAACTCCAACTGAAGAAACAGTCCCCTGAGATGGACGGAAGCCAAGAATACCACAAAATGAAGCTGGGATTCTAACACCACCAGTGGTATCGATCGCTGAAAAATCAAGCATTTTGTGATTACCACAAAGAAATGCCATTTGGTAACCAAAAGTAAACTATACAAAAAGAACACATTGACAAGAGAAAACGAAGAGAGTAACAATACCAAGTGCAAAGTCAACGAGTTCAGCTGCAACAGAAACTGCTGAGCCACTGGAAGATCCTCCAGGAACATTAGATGGCATCAATGGATTAATAGGAGTGCCATAGTGCTTGTTTTCTCCAGTTATTCTGTAAAAAAAATCAAATTTTAAACCCAAATGATTTCAAACCAGTTACTAAACACTCATTTCATGAGCAGGAAGATGGGAACGGAGAATTACCCAAAACCCATCTCTTCCATGATTGTTTTGGCAACACAAGTAGCTCCATTTCTCAAGAGCGTTGTCACAACCACAGCGGTCTTCTCTGCAGCTTCGTGAGTCTTCTTCCATTGTGGACTACCAAAACCTGTGATGTAATCCTTAACATCGAACCTGTAAAAAAAAAAGACATTTCCCCAAAAATAAATATCTTCATTCACTGCACATGACTTCGTCTACGCAAGTCAAAAGTTCAATAAAACCACAAAATTTCAAAACTTTCAAGAAGAAAAACAAAACGCAACAATCGATTTGACCATTAGAAAGACGCGACAGGAAAAACAGAGTTTTTGTTTATAAGTAGCAAAATCGATGCTAGAAAAAAACGAAGAAATTGAGAAAGGGACATACGCGTCGGAGATGGAGAAGGTAAGACCGGAGAGGGATTGTTTGGCGGCAGGAGGAGGCGGAGAAGGAAAAGGAAGAAGCTCAAAACGATCTACGAAAGCACCAAAGTCCTCTTCTCTAAGAGCTTTGATTCGCCGCTTCCGAGTCTCCGCCAGAATCACGATCCCAGCCACCGTGACGCCGATCACCACCCATACCTTCGGATTCGACGCATTGCTCTGAATCAAAGTCAGCGTATTCGACATCACGCGATCTCGCAGGAGAGAGAAAGAGAGCCAGAAGGGTTTTAGGAGGGTTTAAGAGAGAAGAGGGGAAAGAGAAGAAGAAGACGAATGCTAAAGTGCGCAGGGTGTTAACTTTTAATTACGTGTGATGACTTGGTGAGCCGTGAAGGGTCGGTGTGTCCAAGGCGAATCTTCTCTTGGAGTCTCTTTACTTGGTCGATATTGATTTTTTCTAATCGTTACATTAAATAAAATAAGTGTACAAATTGATTTTATATCTTATGATTTTAAATCCTTTTTTCTTAACGAACTTTCCACTTGTGGAAAATTAGGTTTTAAGCTTTTTTAAGAAAATGAAGTTTTAAACTTTTGTCTTGATAATATAAAAATTAAATATTTAAAGATATTGTTATATATTTGTTAAGTTTCCATATCCTATAGCCTTGCCCATCAATCCAATTTTTTCTGACAGTTTATAAGAATCCGGGCTTAGATTTTTTTCCATTTAAAATGGCATGCCAATCCAAATTTGGTAGATAGCTCCGAGTTCGTCATCTAATATTACGACACTTGACTATATAATACTAACCAAGAAACAGCCATTTGATACATAACAAAAAGATTACTAACTATTTTATTAATGAAATGTCAAAATAAAAAACTTTGACAACGAAAGAAAATGAAATACTATATATCCAAAATAATTAATAAAATGGTAAATATCATTAGCTATGGTATTTACAGAGAAAGCAAAAAGTTAGAAAGTAAAAAGAATGAAAATGAATAGCAAGTAATGAGAAGAGAAGAAGAAGAACAAATGATCATGAGTCAGAAATGTCATTCAAGGAGAAACTGACATAAAAGTGTCATCGTTCAAAAGAGAATCAATGTCAATAAGATCGTCATCTTCACAGTTGACTAGTCCCTCTCTGTTGTTTATAGATGAACTTGACGAAGCCTGTCCAACAAATGTTCACAAGAATGTTCAACAAAATATGATATTGCATTATTTATATAACAATGAGTCTTAAGGTACCTGGTTTTCACGGAAGCCTTCGACAACAGTGAGGAGCCTACGGTATTGATCACGTGCTTCAGGGTATTGAACCATGGACTTAACCCGAGTGAGAGCCTTTTGAAGCCTTTCCTCGGTTTGTTTTCTTCCCTTTTCTAGAAAATCATACTCATCTTCTTTTGGAACCGTGGGACTTGGTACTGATGATGGTTCTGGTTCCGCTGTTTTGACGATTGCATTGCGTTTAAACCCTCTTAAGCCACTACCTTTGCGTCTCCAACGCAGAATGATTTTCTCGAGTAATCCCACAGACCAAACGATTGGCTTGTATTGTTTCCGGACCTGATGTCCTCTCACATGAGCCTAAAGGTAAAAAAGCATAAAGATTCAAGCAATGAGAAAACAGACAGAGATTTGAGGAAAGACAAAAGGGCCAATGAGAGAGACAAACCTGAATCTTAACGACTCTTTGTCGGATTAACAGAAACTCTTTCCTCTTCTTCCAACCACGATATTTCTTCTGTATATGGATAGCAGCAGAATGAACAGAGACATCACTGTGTCCTGGATTCATAGTCTTAGAAGCTGCAAAAGAAACAGCTAACTCGTCGTCGTCGTCATCATCGCCAAATCCAGACAGCTGTTTCCGCTGGAACGACTGCATCCTGAACACTTGATGTAGCCGATCGGCTGCTTGTGTAGCATTACGGACAGCAGTAAGCGAGTCCTTCAAGGAGAGTGTTTCTGGTACATCTCCATAGCTCATAGGAGCAGCGGTTCGCTCAGAGATTGTTTGAACAGCTTTTTGTCCAGAAGAGGTGTTCTCCTTTGAGTCCATTGTTAGCTTTTCAAGATAACTAGTTAACGAAGACTCTGCAAGAAAACCTGAAATCCCCCTGTGTCCATTTACGTAAGCCAAATCAGCAGCTGTTTTCCCCAATGGAAGCTCTGGAGATGGATCCGTCAATGCCCCAGCATCAGCACCTAGAGAGACGAGCACAGCCACAGTTTCCTCCCTGAAGTGGAAACAGAGTTAACTAGTTAAGTCTGATATGGAAACATGGACCAACAGATAGAGGTAAAGAAATGTAAGAGAGAGATCTTTTACCTGCCACTAAATGCAGCCCAATGAAGTGCGGACCAGCCATTTGCGTCACGAAAGTTAATGTTAACACCTGCTGCTAAAACCGGTTTGATAGCCCAATCATACCCTAGGGCTGCAACGAAGTGTAAAACACCTTGTCCATCTTCATCAAGTATGTTTGGACCCTTACCCTCTTCAGTCACTTTATGGATGAGCCATATAAATAGTTCCTCTTCTAACTGTTCCCTAAAAAGCCGTTCTTGTTTGCTTGAATCTCTCTCATCTGTCCCTGGAAGGAGATACTCTTTCTCCTCCTTTAGCAACATGACTTTTCTTCGTTTCTCCACAACATCTTCAAATATATGATGTTCGTGAACAGAAGATCTGTGAGCAAGCAGCCTCTCAAACCGCAACTGAAGCGATGCTTCATTTGTGTAGGTACCGTAAATAGCAGCGGAATCGATTTTCTTGGTAGAGCCAGAAAGGAAATCAAATTCTCGTAATTCACTGCAAGCGAATCTGTTGGAACATGTGACATAAAAGGGCACTTGACCAGCTGTATGCGGTGGAGCATGACAGCAAAGAACACCGTCTACTAGAATCTCAGCAGGAACCTCCACTTCCCCAAACATGCATGACCAATTGTATTTAGCTACTTCTTGAGGACCAAGCAGAAATGTCCCAATAACCATGACCTGTAGATAAAGTGATACATGAGAAACTCCACAACAATAAAATGAGCAAAATCTTAATGCACAATATGAACAGTGAATTTACCTCAACTTCAGCATCTGTATGAGCGCATTTCGGCCAATAGTCAACTATGGTGAAACGCTGGTCCTCGGAGAGAGAAGGGCTCAAAGAGGGTCCAGCTGCTGCAGTTTCACAATCAACAGTGGTCCATGCAATATCTCCAAGCGAAGACTGCATCTGCAAATCCTCCATCTCGCCAAGTTCTTTACTAGCCCACCGAGAGAAACTATCCACCTTTTTCAAACTATCTTCGTGTCTTAACAATGATTTCTTCACAGGTACATATTCAGATTCCATACTTGAAGGAGGAGCCTGAAAACTATTCCCGTCAGGTTGCTGGTTTTCAATGCCAAGAAGACTGGAAAACGACTCAAAATTATCTACTGCACTTTGCTCAAATAACGCCTCATCAGTGTCATCAATCAGTAACATGAGATCCAACGAACATTTCGGCAATGGTAGGTCTTCCTGAACTGGAATCTACAGAGATGAGTGTCTCGAAATCAGAGCACTGAAAAACTATATTATCTACGTGTAGCTCTTAAATGAATAATCATACTACGCACTACACTACCTGCCAATTAAATTGGGTTTGAAGAGGATTTTTGAGATGCTCTGTAGTTAACAGCCCATTACAAGGTTGATCATATCTTGTCACCAAATTCCCCACGGCATCCCAAGCTTGGACATCAAATGATCTCTGAGAATCACTTTCTCTGACTCGGTTCCCATGAGCCTGTGTAACAGGACGCATGCCAGGAGCTGATGTACAACCATTGCGATTTCCTAGACAGGAAAACAAAGGCACTCTTAACAAACATGCAGACAGTAAACCAAAAAGACAGGTGAGTACACAAAACAGGGCTCGTATTGGCCTTTATCTGAGGAGTACCAGTTTGAAATTCAGGAGATGCTCGTAAGACAGAACTTGCTTGATGACTATCCCCTGCCACAAAACTGATATAAGATGGTGTTGAAAATTACACACACAACCAAGTGCATTACAGATATGTAAGTCATTACACCTCAGAAATTAGGATAAACATGATTATTATTATTATTCTCTGGAAAGAACTATAGCAAGCATACAAAATAATAGAGAAAGAAATACCGGTATCAGCATCTTCACATAACGATGACAATGTGCTGGTGGGGCTTGCTGTTGAATCAATATTCACTGAAGCTGTGCCATTTGCAGAATTTATATTGTTTTCTTTCATTCCTATACTTGTCCGGTTACCCTGTATAATTTACATTATCAGATGAAATTAAGAAACCACACTACAAAAGAACAATATAATGTGAAATGACAGAAATAACAGCACAGATCGCAAGAGCTATTACCTTAACCTCCAAGTAGTGTACGAAAACAATATGCATCAGATCTCTGTAACAATACACCATAAAACAAAAGTTTATAAGTGAATTTTAAAGATTGCATGAAAATAGTGAACCGGTTGGTATTTCAAGAGACAAACTCAGACTCACTGTTCAAGCATCCAGTAGCATCGTCTCTGGAAATTTTCGTTGCCTTCCCCATGTGCATAGTACAATGTAACACATCAATGCTTCCTACCTACAGACACTTGAACAATGTTACTCTCAACAAGATAAATTGCATTATTAACTAATTTCTTTTAACTATTAAGGAGACCTCAGAAAAAAATATAACCTTGAGCTTTTCATGAGCTTCTTTTATAGTTTTCCCATCCGAGAAGTCAGAGACTAGGATTCTTCACAAACAATGCAGAAACATGGACACGACTTACAAATTTTATGGACAAAAGGAAAAAAAAAGAAGAACGAAAAAGCTCAGACCATGTACGTCATACCGACCTGCATTAGCTGCGCCTGAGGCACACTCAGATTTGCAATCCCTCTTCTGCAGTTTTTCCTCAGGAATGCGTAGAAGTAGTTTATGACTAACTTCTTGATGAACCATGAATCTTTCCTTGCTCTTATATCACCATGTCCAAGTAGATACACCACCCCTGATTCTTTCGCTTTGTGTATGAACGATAACTCGCTATCTAGGCTTTGCTCGGCTTCAGATACAGAGGAATCAGATGATGCGTCAAAGGGCTGGTGGTTCGCGCGATTAGAGGAAGTGTTCGTTTCCATGATCGGTTTGTTCAAGTCTCTGTACTCAGAGAGAAGAGGAACACCCATTGAGTACATGCTTCCGTTGGGGCCAATGACCACTCTTGAACCTGGGCATTCTTCCTCCGAGTCTGAATCATCGTTCCCGTCGCTCTCCAGGGAACGTTCTTGAGCTTCTCTCCGGATAAACTTCTCCAGGCTCTCGATCAGTAGCTGCTCAAATGCTTGGTGGTTCTCCTTTCTTGCATCTTTATAACCATACCTTCACCACATATAACCCAAACTGTTTTTAGCTATGGAATGGAAGAGAATAAAATGGAAACTGCTAGGGCTCCTGCAGAGCCAAATTGGATCCAAAGTAGATAAAGAAGTTTCAAGTTTATAGCATTTTTATCTAATGCTATAAACCACGGAAATTTGAGCAATGAAAGGGGAAAAAAAGGGACAGACCTGGCAATGCAACGGAATAAGTGATAGCTTTTGGTGCAGACACGCCTGAAAAGAAACCTCTCATTCTGAGGCACAGATGGGACCGGGACGTATTTTATGCAGACAAAGATGACCATGGAATGAATTGCAGGAAGTGTTGTCAGGAAATGGCCAAATATTGCTGGAACTCCTTTCGCTAATTCATTGTACAACAAACCGATACCGGGAGCTCTGATTGTTCCCAGGTTGCACCCAAGATCTCTCATCAGATCCATTGACATCTTTTGTTCAACTTCTGTTTCATACCTGAGCTTACTTCCATAGTTCCATATGTACATTATACCAAACATGATCACGGAGAAAACCAATACTATCCAGCTTCCATCCTCGACACTCGCGATAACTGATGAGAAAAAGATTAACTCCACTCCGAGGAAAACTATCAGAAAGGCAATGGCAATTACTATATTTATCTGCCATATAAGAAGCATGATTAACGTCACTAGCATTGTTGTTGTCATCATCACTCCAAGCTCAGCCATCCCTGGGAGATAGAAAAATAAATAAAAAACGGGGGAATCATACCAGACCAAAGAAGCTAGAAAAGGAAAACAGGAAAAATAAACTTTTACCATATGCATTTCCAATCTCATTAATGCTTGAGATTGAGCAGACGACAATCAGGCAAACGGCAAGCAGGAACCAGTTGAGGACAGGTATATAAATCTGGCCCATAAATTTCCGAGATGTGTGAATGATTTTGAGACGAGGGAAACAACCCAGAGCTGTTGACTGTTTAATACATGAAAATGTTGCAGTCGTCATTGTGCGGCTGGCAATCAGAGCTGCAACATTGGCTATGAAAAGAACCGGCCAGAATGCAGCACCTGCAGAAACGTATGATGAATCACTACAAATACTAGTATGAAATATAAATCACTAATCAGCACCAAAACATAGCATTCCTTTGCAGCAGTATTAAAGTGTTTTTGTTTGCGAAAAAGTTATGGATATGACTCGTCGAAGGAAGTTACTGAACTTTACCTGGAATAGACGAAAAGAAAGCTTGACTAGCATCCGCATGATTCTCCATCAGGTATGCAGCTTGACCCATATAGCCCAACATGAGGCACGGCAGGACGAGACACACAAATGTAAGCTGCAGAAAACCATTACGAAATCAATTATATTTGCAGAAAATTAGAGCACAAATAGCATACAAAAAGAAATGGTAAACATCAGCCCCAAAGGCCACTCTATTCTTCATTACCTGGACTGATCGAACAGAGAAGTAGCAAAGGTCTGCAAATAATGCCTCTGAGCCTGAAAGATGACAGTTCTATAGCATGAACAACCAATAATACAAGAGTATTCTAGTTCATTTTTCTAATGAAGATGTAGTCATCCAACAAAACTAGAATTTTACCTGTAGCACAGAGAATGCAACCTCCAAGTGCATACCACGCATTTATAGAGTTCCTCTTGAAGAAGTAATAGATGTGGATAGGGTTGAATGCTCTGTAAACAGTGTTATCGTACTTGACCAGGTTGTAAATTCCAATACCAGCAAGACAACAGAACCATATAAGTAAAGCGGGGCCTACTACTAGTCCCATCTTACTCGTCCCATACTTCTGTAGACTAAACAGGATCACCAAAAATGCAACCGAAATCATGACCACTTGATCTGCAAAGAAGAAACAAGAGATAGCTGAACAATAACGAAAGATACAATGACAAAAATAAATAACCAGCCACCGGACAGCGTTAAAGTTAATTACACTATCATCTGCATTACCTTGCTCGATTGCATCAACTCCAACCTTAAGTCCACCAACAGCTGACATTACTGCATTATGCAAATCAAATAATTCAGATATGTCCATATAGTAGTAGCAGCCCCCTGTTCAATTCAACAGAACCATGCCTATCAACATACTTAGAAAAAGTTACATAAGAACCTGACATTGCAGGAGTAACAACCCCATCGGCAATCACCATCGAAGTTCCAGCAAGAACTAGCACGAGGAGAAGCTTCTTCAGAAATAATGAATTCTCGAGTTTGTCTTTCAGTTTCAGTGATCTCTCAAGCTCAGGGCAGGGCACCTTCAGTCTAAAACTTGAAATCCGGGCGTCGGAGCGAAGTTGATTTGGGATAAGACTAATCTTCGCATGACGAGAGATTAAAGAGTATAATGCAAAGGTCCCACCTGAAATATCATAAGTAATCAAAGCAGTTGGCACCGTATGTACAGGAACATATTCAAAGCACGACTATAATTAGGGATCAGAATAGCCTAAAGAATACCTTCACCATCATCATTTGCCCACAGAACAACAAGAACGTATTTAATGAGGGGAATCAAAAGTAAGGTGTATAACACTAGCGACAATGCACCAATGACATCCTCTTTTTCTTTGACAGGTGATTTACTGAACATTACACTGAACGTATACAATGGACTGGTTCCTACATCTCCGAAGACAACCCCTAGCGTCTGGAATGCGAGCAACACTCTCCTCCCAACAGTCAAGTCCTAGCAAAGTCAAAAACACGCAGATAGAAATCTCGTTAACTATGCAGAGCAAAGTATACTAACTCATCACAAAGTGTTTCCGATTCCTGTATCTCCACATCACTAAAAATAGTTAACACTTAATCTCTTCCTTATTCAGTGGTGCTTTCTAGATAGTATCGGAGCTCCGGCAAAAGCGACTAAAAAGAGAGTAGTTGTTTAAGTTACCAACATTGATATGCACAAATACGGAAACTATCAATTACCTCGTAATCGTTCCTTTGAGCACCGGGAACTTCAAGGGCTTCCACGTCGAAGGAGTCAACACGCGCACCGGTGCGGAGTAGGCGATGCTCAGCTATCTCTTCATCCTCGGATTCCAGTCCGGTACCGTCGAAATCATCCTCAACGCCGATCTCGGACTCATCGTCGTCTTGCATAACCCATCGAGACTCGATAGAGTCCATGGATGCCATATCTCCAAAGCCACCACCTGAGCTGTCGATCTCTTCCTTCTCGGAACCATCTAAGCTGCTATCATCCACCATTTTGGGAACCCTTCGACTGCAATCAAGGCTGAAAGAGTTTCGAAAAACGGATCAGACGACAGACGAGCAACTTTGAGACGCCGATTTGACAGATATATGCATATAGATTATAGAGTTACGGAAAAACCTCTGAAAGGATCAAACGAGACGAAGCGTAGTGCTAGAGCTTCGCATCCGAATACGATAAAAAAATCTCAGGAGCAAGGCGATTTTCTCAACGGGATGTTTTGTTTCTGCCGATGTTCTCAATCTCTGCTTTACCAGTTGCTGAACCGGTAAAGGTGACTCGTTCGTACGAACAAATGTGTTGAAGAATTATACCGGATTACAACAGTATGAACCGGTTAGGCTGGGTTATTGGACATCGTCGATTATTCCTATTTGTTTATTGATTAGCGTTTGGTTTGAGGAATTAGTCAGTTTTACCGATTATAAGTGGTTTCTATTTGCCAAGGAGAAGTATTTAGTGTATGTAGAGGTAGCATTTGGAAGAAGTAAATGTTAGTTTTATGATTAGTTTTGTGATTATCATTTCAGTTGTAAAGGAAGAGCTGTGGAGGCAACTCTGGAATAAAGAAACAGGTCAAGAAGCCGTAGTCCAAGGAGAAGGTGAATTCCTTTTTTTTTCCATCTTTTTTATCAAGGACACAAATCATGCTCAAACTAACTTCCTTTTCACAAAGGCAACAAAATCCATATATATAATCATTTACGAATATGTGCTAAGTCTTTGAAATTTAAAGAAAATGAACATGGCAAACTGGGACTGTGGGGACTCCATGTTAGAAGTACAAACTAAAGAAACTAAGCTTCTCCCGAAGCAACTTCAGACACCACTTCTTCGTATTCCTTCGTCTCTTCGTCGTACTTGTACCTGCACGGATTATTTCAATTAGACGGATAAGTGCAACGTCGTAAAGCAAGAATCGGAAACCTGACAAAACACAGAGAGAAAGAGATTCGTAATGGGTTTATTGTTTTACCATTTGCCGGTTGTTGCGTAGCAGTATAGTCCAGTGTTTGCGTCGTAATAGTAACCCGAGCTGCTGCTGTAGTAGTACCTGCAAAAACATTGTGTTATATAACTTTACAGAGAAGTAGACAAAAAAGCTTCATATCATAAAATGTGATATGTATATGCATATACACACATACCCTGAAGACTCGTCAAACACATAATCAGATCCATCATGTTGCAAAGCTCCGGCTGTAGAAGAAAGAAACAGGTTAAGGGTAATCTTCGAGCAGCTATTTTCAACTAGAAAGTCTTCTTTATAAGCGGTGGAAACATTCCTAAACTTACTTTCAGCAACTGTGCTACCAGGATTAAGCTGAGTGCCCGAGATGAAGCCAGAAGGTAAACCAGAGGAAGGATCGGGAACATCTTCATCATCGCCAAACATATCACAAGATTCTGTATTAGCAGTCCCATTTCCTCTCGCTTGAGCTAGTCTCTCATATCCCTCTAAAAAGATCAGCATGGAGAAGACACGTGTGAGAAGTAATCTCATTGTTTCCTAGTGTTGTAAGAACGATCACAATGCAGAAGAAACATAGCAGTAGCAACAGCAATGGAGGCTAAGAAAATTAGTAGTAGCTCTAACCTGCTTCACGCTGGAAAACTTCTTGATCCTCGTGATAAACATCTGGAATACAAAAAAGGAGAAACTAAAGTGAACCGGTAAAGGTGACTCGTTCGTACGAACAAATGTGTTGAAGAATTATACCGGATTACAACAGTATGAACCGGTTAGGCTGGGTTATTGGACATCGTCGATTATTCCTATTTGTTTATTGATTAGCGTTTGGTTTGAGGAATTAGTCAGTTTTACCGATTATAAGTGGTTTCTATTTGCCAAGGAGAAGTATTTAGTGTATGTAGAGGTAGCATTTGGAAGAAGTAAATGTTAGTTTTATGATTAGTTTTGTGATTATCATTTCAGTTGTAAAGGAAGAGCTGTGGAGGCAACTCTGGAATAAAGAAACAGGTCAAGAAGCCGTAGTCCAAGGAGAAGGTGAATTCCTTTTTTTTTCCATCTTTTTTATCAAGGACACAAATCATGCTCAAACTAACTTCCTTTTCACAAAGGCAACAAAATCCATATATATAATCATTTACGAATATGTGCTAAGTCTTTGAAATTTAAAGAAAATGAACATGGCAAACTGGGACTGTGGGGACTCCATGTTAGAAGTACAAACTAAAGAAACTAAGCTTCTCCCGAAGCAACTTCAGACACCACTTCTTCGTATTCCTTCGTCTCTTCGTCGTACTTGTACCTGCACGGATTATTTCAATTAGACGGATAAGTGCAACGTCGTAAAGCAAGAATCGGAAACCTGACAAAACACAGAGAGAAAGAGATTCGTAATGGGTTTATTGTTTTACCATTTGCCGGTTGTTGCGTAGCAGTATAGTCCAGTGTTTGCGTCGTAATAGTAACCCGAGCTGCTGCTGTAGTAGTACCTGCAAAAACATTGTGTTATATAACTTTACAGAGAAGTAGACAAAAAAGCTTCATATCATAAAATGTGATATGTATATGCATATACACACATACCCTGAAGACTCGTCAAACACATAATCAGATCCATCATGTTGCAAAGCTCCGGCTGTAGAAGAAAGAAACAGGTTAAGGGTAATCTTCGAGCAGCTATTTTCAACTAGAAAGTCTTCTTTATAAGCGGTGGAAACATTCCTAAACTTACTTTCAGCAACTGTGCTACCAGGATTAAGCTGAGTGCCCGAGATGAAGCCAGAAGGTAAACCAGAGGAAGGATCGGGAACATCTTCATCATCGCCAAACATATCACAAGATTCTGTATTAGCAGTCCCATTTCCTCTCGCTTGAGCTAGTCTCTCATATCCCTCTAAAAAGATCAGCATGGAGAAGACACGTGTGAGAAGTAATCTCATTGTTTCCTAGTGTTGTAAGAACGATCACAATGCAGAAGAAACATAGCAGTAGCAACAGCAATGGAGGCTAAGAAAATTAGTAGTAGCTCTAACCTGCTTCACGCTGGAAAACTTCTTGATCCTCGTGATAAACATCTGGAATACAAAAAAGGAGAAACTAAAGTCAACAAATGAATGTCATCATATTTGTTGTAGGGAAGCTTGTTGTAACATAAGTAGTACGAGGCTTAACTGTAATCGCCGTTCTGAATGAGCTTGTCCGCATCCTCGGTAAGCTGATCAAAGATAACCTTTGTCTCGGATGTCATCTTCACCTTGCGATCTTTCGAGTTCCCTTTTAACCTCCTTAACGCTCGCAGGACCTGTAACAATGAACCCAAATTATCTAATGTGTTCGAAGTATTAAGTTGATATTTTATACTAACCCACGTTTCATGTTTTGTTAATAGTTGTTAATAAAACCTAGAATGAATCTCTCACCGTTTCTCCTGGTTCAAGGACGTTAGCAATGCGCCTCTTCATGACTCCAATATCTTCCTGAGAAAGTTCCTCCACTGGTTTTTCATCCACGCCGTCTTCATCCTTCTCAGTATCATTTGCAGCAGACCGTCCCATATACAGTGGATTAGTCTCAATACTGTCAAGCCATGCATCCTGAAGAAACAAAAAAAAGTAAGAAAACCAACAAAACACATTGAAGCTCAACATTACAAAGAATGAAAGAAAGATGTGTACTAGGCACCTGCACTTCCTTTTCTCTGACGTATTCTACAAAGTTCCCATCAGCATCAAAGTAACCTTCTTCTTTCTCTCTGTCCAAACTAAAAGCTTCAATCTGGATCCCATCTTCTGTGCGGTTCTCATCATTCTACAATGAGATATTAACATCAGTATGATCCATTTCGGGAACATAAAACTCTCAACACCATTTCGAGGTCTCGAAATTAACATCGTTTGCTTCCAGGAAAAGTCACCAAGAAAAGCAAGGATTGCAGAAATCATACCTCATAAGTCTCCTCAGCCTCAGCATTCTCATCATCATCGATAAAGAGGTGAGCAGTATTCTGACTGCGAATCTGTGCGCGCTCCTTAGCAGCAGTACGGGCTTGGCGGCGAGCTACAGCTTCTTCCTCTAAGAGCTGCTCAGGTTTAGCTTTCTTCCCCTTTGGAAACCGAACTCGCTTTTCTCTGCCAGAGAGAATCCTCCATTAGAGATACACCAAACTACTTGTCCATAAATCCATATTTTAGCGTATGCACACAAACTAATCTTAAGCTCCGTACTCAAGTTGTATACAATACGAAGGCACTGTCACTGAGAAATATCGAAACCATTAAAACTCGAAGACATTGATACGTTCCTCAAACAAAAAGATCAATTCGTTAATCTACGCACTTAGTTTCAGGTTCAAGGTCTCGCATCATCCTAACGCTAACAAAATTCAGGAGATTAGAGAATCAGACGCAGATTAAAAGAAACGACTAGCTCATTTTTCTCTTACCCCTAAAACTGAAATCACTAAACGAGAATGGGGATTAGGGTTCCGGAAAGGTTTGAAAAACTTACGGTGGTTGCATATCGGAATCTTCGTCTTCTAAGAAGGCCCGTTTGAGGTTCTTTCTCGACGATTGATCTCCCATTGAAGCAGCGTTCGCAGAAAACAACGACAACGACGATTTCTAGCTTCCCAGGGCGATGAAAAGCGGCGACGAGGAGAAATAACTCGAAAGCTCACCGCCGTGTAAACAATGGGCCAAATAAGTGGGCCTGGCCCATTTATATCTAAATTCTCAATGCACACACTAGAACAACCAGCTGCAATTCCGATCGTCGGTTTTCCGTTAATGGTGCCGTCGAATAACCGGTTTATTTTCTTCGCGCGGTTAAATGTAGAAAACGCCGCCGTTTTGGAGCACCAAAAGGCCCTAATTTATGTGTATCGATCGCTTATTCGTTGATCATCCTCATTGTTCGCCGTCAGTGAACTCAACGTCAACGGTCGCCGATCATAACTCTGTTCGAGTCTCAGGTCAGCTCTTAATAAATGACTTTATCACTTTTCTCGATTCTGATAAATCTCTGAATTAGTAGAATTCCTCTGAGTTTGAAGATATCAAATTTAAATATTTGAAATTGAATACTCGTAACCAAATGTTCTTCTGGGTTTTTTGGGTGTAGTAGAAGTGTTTAAATTCAATTGCAATGGAGGAGAAACCACCAGTACGGAAGGTATGTGTTCGATATCAACTTTTACCTGCTAATGCCAAGATAAAGTTTTTGGCTCTGTTATATAATTTCCGTTTGTGAGCTCGTTTTCTTCTGCAGATGAGGTTTGCTCCAAAAGCTCCCCCAAAACGCGTGCCAAAACCGGAAGTTAAACCGTAATCATTTTTTAAAACACTAATCTCATTGACATAAGCAGACGTCTTCTTTTGGTCAATGTCGCTTTTGATATCTAATTTCAAAATTCCGAATTTATGCAGTGAGAAGGTTGAGAATGAGAGTAGTAGTGCTCAAGCCACGGAGTTGCTACGCAGAGTAACTGTAAGCTCTGTTATTTTTCCGAATTGGAGTACACTGTTGTGTTCTTTTTTGTATTTTCTCATTTTTCATGGATTTTGATCTTGTTTGCCTTAGGAAAGATCATTGCGCAAGCCGAGAGGGGACAAGAAAGGTAACATCTTTAACTTGAAATTCGACTCTTATCTCATTCTGTTTGCTACCTTAATTGTCAATCATCCATCTCTTTCATACACATTGATTTGAGTTTCTGGCATGAATTTTCTACAGTTCATGAATCTCAAGTTGCTTGGATGGGAGGTGTGGTAAATTCAACGAGATCAAATAAGTATATCTATGCATCAGGTAGCAATGGAGGTACGATTGCATCATTTTGATTCCTCAACAACAACATTTTTGCAGTTAAAAGTTCATAAATCCATTGGATCGTTGATAAGATGCTGTTTCTTGTGCAGCTGGTGGTTATGGCTCAAACGCTGTGCAGGAGATAGAGTATAAAGAACCATGGGTCAGTGCAAACAGTAACCCGTACCAAAAGTTATATAAATCTCTAACTCATATACCGATGATGTTAATGCATAGTTAGTTCTTGGTTTCCTTCACAGGATTACTACAGTTATTACCCTATCACACTTCCGTTGAGGAGACCCTACTCAGGCGATCCAGGTTTGTATATATATATTTGCTTGAGAAGAAGAAGAAGAAAACGTTGTTTTGTGAAAACAGAGTAATTGATTAACATTTGCTGCTCATGATTGCAGAGGTTCTTGACGTGGAGGAGTTTATACAGGCAGCAGGAAATCATGAAGATTCACTCAACACAGGCGATAATCTTGGTCTACAGGTTAGTGACATAACAAGTAAAAAAGCAAAAGTGACACACAGAGAATAGGAACTTACATGGTTACAAATTGTTAAAATACTTGTTGTGCAGGAAGATAGCGGAGAACAGAAAATGCTTTTGATGAGGTTGCCTTCTGTGCCTTTGGTAAAGCCAAATATCAAAGGCGGTGGTTTAAAAGACGCCTTGTCTGAAGGTTACATGGGGAAACTTCTAGTCTACAAAAGCGGTGCTGTCAAGATGAAACTCGGTGACTCGCTTCACGATGTGAGTCATTTTCTCATGCCCCTCCGATTTTCATGACAGAACACCATCTAATCGTGGTGATAAGGGTCTAACTTCGAATGAGTGTGTGTAGGTTAGCCCAGGGTTGAAGAGCGAGTTTGCACAAGATGTGATGGTGGTTAACACTGATGAGAAGGAGTGCGGTTTGGTTGGAGAGGTGAATAAACATGCTGTTTTGACTCCTGATATTGATTCTATCTTGAAAGATATTGAGAATATGTGATGATGATGAGATCCTTAAATATTTTTATCACATATACATCAATTTTGTTTCATTCTTTCTTTCTTATGGGAAGAACTCATAGTTTTGACCTTGAGATAGGGATTTTTTTTTTCTACTTTAAATAACAATCATGCATATGATTTCAACACTGATACAAAGAGACAATGAGTCACTGGATATGTTATTATAGTGTACAAGTACAATCATAATGAAGCTTGATCACCATCTACTTACTATTATAAAAAAAAATCAATATTATAATACACCATGCGTTTAACGATACATTTTAGCTTAAATTAAAGAACAAAGTCAACCAACGTGCAAAGGTGCTTTCGATCAATCCCCCCAAAGCGTGGTCAACTTGATCCAATTCCCTCTCATGTATAACTATAGATCATCTCACTAGCATATTCACACACACAAAAGAAATCAAGCATCTAAAAACATTTGGTTGACCAAAATTTAAGGAGGGTATGGGTTTTGGTCGATCATTAATATGTTATTCCTTGATGATCCTCATGATCTTCAACTATCGTCCGGTCAACGGTCAGACGTTAACGGAAGGATTCTACTCGTTGACGTGTCCTCTTGCAGAAACGATCGTCCGAGCAACGATGACGGCTTATTACATCATACAACCTAACATAGCACCGGCGATGCTCAAATTGCACTACAGTGATTGTTTCGTCGAAGGTTGTGATGCATCGGTGCTACTCTCGGGGCCTAACACCGAGAGAACCGCAGATGCAAACCTCAACCTTCGTGGCTTCGAAATCATTGACGACATCAAAAGACAGATTGAGCTCGTGTGTCCTGGTATTGTCTCATGTGCCGATATTTTAACTCTAGCCGCTCGCGATGCGGTTGTCCTCGTAAGTATATGTTACTCATTAGTGATATTAACTCTTGCATAGTATTCGATTAACTATCCTTTTTTTTGTGCGCATATGGATACAGACGAAGGGGACATCCTGGGAAGTAAAACTAGGACGTAAAGATGGAAAAGTTTCATTGGCATCCAACGTCAAAAATCTCCCGTCTCATTCTGATTCCATCGATGTTTTGCTTAAGAAATTTGCTGGTTACGGGCTTAACACGGAAGATTTCGTTGCTCTCCTAGGTCAGTGAATATAACCATTTTGGAAATGAAAGGTTAGAAAACTATTGAATAAAAAAAAAAAAATGAAAGGTCAGAGAAACATGTTTTAAGGGAAAAGGTCAGGTTGTTCTTTTTTTTTTTTTTTTTTTAATATTGTCTCACAGTCTCACTTGGTAAATGAAATAGGAGCGCACACGATTGGAAGTGCGGCGTGTAAGTACGTAACGGACAGGATATACAGCATCAACGGAAGCCCCATTGATTCGACCATCAACCCTCTCTTCTTGGTGAAGCTGCAGAAGTTATGTCCCATAGACGGGGACGGTTCGAGCCGCGTGGCTCTAGACACGGGAAGTGAATACGTCTTCGACACCTCTATTTTCAAGAACATCCTCAACGGAAGTGCAGTCCTCAAGATTGATCAGAGCCTTTCGCTCAATCAACAAACGCTGGACCAGCTGGTATATACCTTAACTCAAGAGAGGTCACAACATGTATTAGCGTTTGCATGGAACACGATGAGTAGTATCGTCAAAGCAGGGTCAAATGGGGAAATTCGCAGAATCTGTTCGAAGGTTAACTAAAACTTTGATCATAATGTCTGGTGATTATGCATGTGTTTTCCTGATGATAAATAATAATATTGTGCGAGTATATCCTACTTAATAATTTGATCTACGAATTTTAAATATGGCGTGATCCAAAATGTATGTTTTCTCTTCTTGCAAAATGACAAAACCTGAATACAATAATATATTCAAACATTAACATTTATACAAAAAGATCCAAGATAGTTAAAAAGAAAATAAATGGCAATACAGAACTGACACGAATACACAGCGAATATGGAATCAGAGCAAAAGTTTGAAAATGAAATCCTCCAATTTAAGAAAAGCGTGTGAAGAAGAGATCACAAGTGGACTTTCTCTTTTCTAACCCTTAATCAATATTCTTGCAACGAAGCATGTTGTTTTGGTAAGAAAGTTAATGTTTGATATTAAAGATCTCAACCAAGAAAGTTTGATTTTTTAAAAATAAAATTGGATCAAATCAATTTAAAGACTAGGAGATTCCCATAATCACGCATTACACACGAAACGCATGACGCGACGACACCGTTTCACCGTCACCTAAACACCGACCTATATAAGAAGCCTCTCTCATCACATCTTCTTCTTCAACTACATTTCTCAATATCTCTCTTCTCCGTTTAAAACAGAGAATCAAACAATGGCCGTCTTCTCCGCCGCGATCTCTCTTCTCCTCGTCCTTCTCTCTGTTTCCTCTCCTTCTGCTCACGGAAACTCGTCGCCGGCCGTCGATTGCAACAACGTGATGCTAAACCTGGCGGGATGTTTGTCTTTCGTGACGATCGGGAGTACGGTGGATAAACCAGAGGGTTCGTGCTGCTCCGGTTTGAAGAAAGTGCTCGCTACCAACGCCGAATGTCTCTGCGAAGGGTTGAAGAACAGTGACTCTATGGGAATCAAACTCAACATGACCAAGGCTTACACTCTTCCCGTCGCTTGCAAACTTAACGCTCCTTCGACCGCTGCTTGTGGATGTGAGATCTCTCTCTCTTCATCTCTCTGTTTTTGTAGATCTCTGATTTTTCTCGATTTTTATTTTATTCCAAATGAAATTCTAGGAAACTTGATTAGGAAGAAACCATAACGATTCGTTAATATAAATTAGATTTTGGTTTAATTGGTTATCTGATTAACATGAGTTTTTGTTGTTGTTGCAATTGCAGGGTCTGCTATTCCTCCTGCTAGTGCGCCAGGTATATGTCTTTTTCTTTCTTCATTTTATTTTTAATCACTCTTTGGTTTTGTTTAATCTTCTTCTTTTATTTTCTGCTTCTGAAAATGTTTAAAAATGATTATTTCTGTATTTTTTTGAATGCTATGAATCTTTGGACTTCTTACTTGATGCATTGGCGTTATGACAAAAAAAGTTGTGGAATTGTAATAGTCAATAGCAGCCATTATTATAAGGGAATAAAAAGTTTGACTCTTATCTTGTTGTGTTTTTTTGTGGCAGTTCCGGTTCCTTCTGCTGGACCAGGGCCAGGATCAGTTCCAGGAACAGACTCTGCTCCAGCTCCAAGCCCTTCTCAAGGGACTTCATTGATCCCAATCTCTGGCTTGTCACTTGTAATCAGCGGCGCGTTGGTCATGTTGTTCTCTCGTATCTGAGATCGGAGATCCCTTTACCTTTAGTCAAGTGTTAGCTTCTTTTTTTTTTACTGTCAGTAACCTATTGAATTCTCTTGCTGAGACCTTATCTTATTTTTAGCTATTGTGTGTTCTTGAAGACTTGGTTTCAAGGTGTGTTTGTCACACATTTGTGATTTTTATTATTTGAGTTGATTGGTGATTATTTATAGTTTTGTGTTCTATTGAAATACATTGAGTCAGTATACCATCTAACAATTAGCTCAAAATCGAATTATAAGACGATAAAAGGTCGAAACGTGGCTAATCACTCTGGCAATATGAAGAATCCAATCTCCAAAGACTATCATGTACCTAAAATCAACCTCAGGGTTTGACCCATACAGATTAGGAAACCGGAACAATGAGCATGTCTCGCACTAACAGTGTGTATGCAGCCGATGAGCTTCGAACACAGAAACTAACCGGCCATTCGTTGTAGACTAGAGGTTCACATTTATTGGGCGGGATATCAAAAATATTATTCTTAATTATTTTCGTTAAAATTTTCAAAGATATTTTTTTCATTTATGTGTTGCTTATTTCATATTCAATGCTTATTATGGTATACAGATTTTTAGTCAATGTGTAAAAACTTTCATATTTCCTTCTTAATTGGGATTTTCTTAGATAGAATTTATTTTTTCATACACAAATATGCATGAATCTATGTGTATTTAATAGCTGTTACCAGATAAAAACAGCTGACAATATCTTCCTCAAATGTTAATAAAAACAACACCAAAAGAAGAAATAAAAAAATAGTCAAAAACAAAGATTTATTATTACATCATGTGTTGAGATTTTCTGCTCAGAGGGGGAATAAACATGAAGATCAAGCCCAAAGTTCCAAACACAGTCGTAGTCAACACACTACTGACTGTAGTCTTCTTCCTCTTTGTTTCTCTCACATTCCAAATTGCAGAAGCCAAGATTCATCGTCACACTTTCGCGGTATTGTATAGCAAAGGTTATTTTCACAAAGTTTTTTATTGATGAAAATTAAAAGATTACAACATTGAAACTTTGTCTTTACAGATAGAGACAAAAGCGTACACTCGACTTTGTGATACCAAGAAGATATTGACGGTGAACGGAGAATTCCCCGGACCAACGTTAAAAGCCCACCGTGGAGATAAGCTCGTCGTCAATGTCATCAACAACGCAAACTACAATATTACCCTCCACTGGTAAACACTTTTACTTAGATTTCGTACTAACTAGTGATGTTTATGATATGTAGAAATAACATGTTTAACATGTTAGGCACGGAGCGAGACAAATCAGGAATCCGTGGTCTGACGGACCTGAATATGTGACTCAATGTCCGATCCGGCCAGGAGAGAGCTATGTATACAGAATTGATCTAACGGTCGAAGAAGGCACCATTTGGTGGCACGCACATACCCAATGGGCACGTGCCACTGTCCATGGAGCGTTTATAGTCTACCCAAAACGTGGCTCGTCTTATCCTTTTCCCAAGCCTCACCTTGAAATCCCTCTCATTTTAGGTACATGCGTGGACGCAAAAATGCAAATTAAAATATTATTAAGAGTTTACTATAGTGAAACATTTCGTGACATAGGTGAATGGTGGGCGAAGAAAAACATAATGGGTATACCGGGAAACGCCAACAAAACCGGAGGTGAACCAGCCATCTCTGATGCGTATACCATAAACGGACAACCCGGTTATCTATACCCCTGCTCTAAACCGGGTAAGTCTCCAACACAAGCTCTCAAATATCATATCAATGAAAATGGCGCCAATTTCAGTTTTTTTTTTTTTTTGTTTCCGAAACAGATACATTCACAGTAACGGTGGTGCGTGGTCGCCAATACCTTCTCCGGATTATCAACGCCGTGATGGACGAAGAGCTCTTCTTTGCAATCGCTAACCATTCCTTAACCGTTGTCGCAAAAGATGGTCTCTACTTAAAACCGTTCACAACTAATTACCTAATGATCACTCCCGGCCAATCCATGGACGTCCTCCTCCATGCAAACCAGCGGTCTGACCGGTACTTTTTAGCTGCTCGAGCTTACTCCTCCGCTTTTGGTGCCGGTTTTGACAAAACCACCACCACAGCCATCTTACAATACAAAGGTGTTTCTTTAACCGATGATGTAAACCAAAATCCACCGGTTTTGCCTTATTTGCCTCCGTACAATCATACCGAGGCAACCACTCGGTTCACTAAACAATTTAGAAGCCTTCTATCCGGTGACCGTCCGGTTAACGTCCCGGTTAAAATCGACACTCGTCTTCTCTACGCGATCTCGGTGAATTTGCTGAATTGCTCCGACGATCAACCCTGTACCGGCCCTTTTGGGAAGAGATTCTCGTCGAGCATTAACAACATCAGCTTCGTAAACCCTTCGATCGACATTCTCCGAGCTTATTATGGCCGCATCGGAGGCGTTTTCCAGGAAGATTTCCCGAGAAATCCGCCGACGGAATTCAACTACACCGGAGAGAATCTTCCGTTTCCGACGAGGTTCGGGACGAAAGTGGTGGTACTCGATTTCAATTCGAGCGTCGAGCTGGTTTTGCAGGGTACGAACGTGTTGGCCTCGGATAACCACCCGATCCATCTCCATGGTTATAGCTTCTATGTCGTGGGTTCGGGTTTTGGGAATTTCGATCGCCGGAAAGATCCGTTGAGGTACAACCTAGTTGATCCACCGGAGGAGACCACCGTCGGAGTTCCCCGTAACGGTTGGACCGCCGTCAGATTCATAGCTAATAATCCAGGTCAGTGCACTACACTTCGCTACTTTTCTCAACTTGAAAATGTGAAATCGGATATAAAAAACGTTTCACGTGAAAAATTTAAGCGGTACATTACCTGATTTGAATTGCGTAAACAATTTAGTTGTTTAAAACATTTGATTAATGCCTAGCAGATTTTCAAAGATTTTGTATTATACAAGAGATTAAAATTAATGAAGACACCATAAAATAAACTAAAATTTGGCACACTGAAAGAAAGATTTGTTACTAGAGATTTGAAATGATTTTTATGATCTTGATTTGATTTTATTTGTCCAGGGGTATGGTTGTTGCATTGTCATATAGAGAGACATGCCACATGGGGAATGAACACAGTGTTCATAGTGAAAGATGGACCGACGGAATCATCTCGAATGCTCAAGCCTCCTCCCGATCTACCTTCCTGTTAGCTCTTATCATCGCAATCGTAAGAAATTTGAAATATTGCAAAGTAACGAATCATATCACTACACTTGTAACAAAAGTGTGAGAGATGGTTCCAAATATCTATGATCTATTAAGATTGTTTCCTATTAACCGGTTCGAGTTCAATTTTTTTCGTTTCAGCTATTTAAATTCAAAATTTTGTTTTTGGGTCGACAAATTCAAAATTTGATTCTCCATGTGAAGTGTATACTTAACGGGGCCCAATAAATGGAGGGAAAATCATACGAAAATGCGACGAACGATCCAGCGCACGTTAGATCCCATCGTTCACCAAATTAAATAAACTGACAAAAATAAAGCAAATTTTTTTAAAAAAATACTGTCGAACAATATAATTATACTTCATTCTCTCTCTCTCTGCCATAAAAAAGCCTCAAGGACAACGGCTGCGACAATTGCAACCGCCACCGGCAGAGACGACTGCGATTGAACTCGGCTACTTTTTTTCACTCCGCATTCGAAAAAATTAAGCTTGCGACTTAGTGATTTCTCTTCGAGAAGCTAATCACCTCTTATCTACCATTGAGATTGCCTCGTTGACGGGGAAAAATCTCCGTCATTTACCGGATTTTATTTGAGAAGGAGACGGGGAATCTGTTGGTTTCCGTTGTAGATTTCTCGAGATTTAGGTTAAGCTTATTAGGAAACGCTGTGGTTGATGGCATTGTGAAGTCCCAATCAACTCGATTCGGCATTACAATTCCGATTTGAGTTTTCCGGTTATAGACAGGAGACTAGGATTTTGAGTGGAGGTTTTACGATTTATCGTTGTTAAGGTTTAAGCATTGGGTTAGTTTTTTGATCTGGTGTTGATTCGGTAGAGAAACTCTTCGATCTACTTCTGATGATTTGCGTCTGTGAGCTAGGAATCGGATCTTTGATTCTAATCTGACCATCAAAAATGCCAATGGGAAGGTTTCTTTCGCTGGTCAGAGGTGAATCCGAGTCACCCCGTGAGATTACCTCGCCCCGTAGCCTCATCAGCGAGTCCGGTTCTAATGGGTGGCTTATCCGGTTTTTCGACTCTTCGTTCTTCTGTGAGTGGATTGCAGTCAGTTACTTGTACAAGCACCAGCATTCCGGTGTGAGGGATTACTTGTGCAATAGGATGTATACGCTTCCTCTATCCGGTATTGAGAGTTATCTGTTCCAGATATGCTACTTGATGGTGCACAAACCAAGTCCTTCTCTTGATAAGTTTGTGATAGATATCTGTACAAAGTCGCTTAAGATAGCAGTGAAAGTGCATTGGTTTTTGCTGGCGGAGCTTGAAGATTCTGATGATAGTGAAGGCATCGGCAGGATCCAAGAGAAGTGCCAAATTGCAGCTACTCTGATGGGTGAGTGGTCGCCTCTTATGCGGCTACAGAAGGAGCCCTCGACGCCAGGGAGAAAGAGTCAGATCCTGAATAAGTTTTTGTCATCGAAACAAAAGCTCTTCTCTTTGAATTTATCTCCCACCACCGAGAAGTCATTGTTATCCCCACCTTCCTCAGGGAGCAACTTGCAGGATGATGGTAGTCAGCTATCCGCGGACGACAGTAAGATTTTTAAGAGAATAGTCCCAAGTCCTAGAGTTAGAGATGCTTTATTGTTTAGGAAGTCAGCTGAAAAAGATGACGAGGAGAGTGAAAAGGAAGGTTTCTTAAAGAGACTCTTGAGGGACAGCAGAGGTGATGACGATGAACAAGCGTCTAACTCGGAGGGTTTCTTTAAGCGTCTGCTGAAAGACAATAAATCTGATCAGGAGGAGATAACAAACAGTTCTGAGGGGTTCTTCAAGAGGATATTGAGTAGTAAAGGAGATGACGAGGAACTGACACCGAGGTCGGATGGATTCTTTAAGAGATTATTACGAGACAGTAAAGGAGATAAAGAGGAATTGGGTGCAAGCTCGGAAAGTTTTTTTAAGAAGTTATTGCGGGAGAAGAAAAATGAAGACGAGGAACCAAATGCAAACTCAGAAGGGTTCTTCAAGAAGCTATTCCATGACAGTAAGACTGAGGATGAGCAAATTTCTAAAGCAGTGGATGATGAGGAAACAGATGGGTTTCTCAAGAAAATTTTCTCATCAAATAAGGGAAAGTTTGATGAGAAAAGACATGGTAATGAAGGGAATGAGACTGATGAAAAATCTGGCGACGATAATGAAAGGGAGGGATTTTTCAAAAAATTCCTGAAGGAGAAGTTTGAAGACAAACAAGACGCTGGCAAAGCAGATAATGGAAATGACAGCGAGGATGACGAATCTTCAGAATTCTCGCTGTTCAAAAGATTTTTCAGTAAACATCCAGAAGATGCAAAACCTACTCCAGCGAATGAACTTAGGAGCAATGACAGCTTAAATGAAAGCAGTCCTGGGACAGAAAACTTTTTCCGCAAATTGTTCAGAGATCGTGATCGGTCTGTTGAAGATTCTGAACTTTTCGGGTCAAACAAAAATAAGGAGGTTTGTCTTCATTCTACTTGATCTTTTGATCTCGGAAAAATTGTAGGTGAAAAAAGGGTGGTATGCCTGCATCCATTATGGGTGCTTGATTTTCTAATGCTGACATCTGTATTTTTGACCTTTGCAGAAGTCTCCAGGTTCACCTAAACAGCGGAATGATAATCCATCTGCTAAACCCCCACTGCCAAACAGCACAGCAGCACAATTCAGGAAAGGGGCTTACCACGAGTCTTTGGAGTTTGTACATGCATTATGTGAAACATCGTATGATTTGGTAGATATCTTTTCCACCGAAGATCGGAAAACTGCTCTTCGTGAGGTGATCCTTTCATCCACATTTTTCTATATAGATGATTAGACTGCAGATATTAGCATTCACCTTTATATCTAACTATCCTTTTGTTTGGTTTTAGTCCCTTGCAGAGATCAATTCCCATTTAGCTGAGGCTGAAAGTACTGGAGGTATATTATTTACTTAGTTAAATCATAGGCTTTTCTTGTATAGTTGTGTTCCTCCCATGGGAGAACCAAGTGGCCCAATCCTTTTGGCATTTAAACCTTTCTTCTCTTTTCAAAGTCGTTTTTTAGATTTTCTTCTCTATTTATGTTGATACGAGTGTGGTTAATGATTCATATCAGATATTGATTACTTTTTGAATAACTTTCCAGGAATCTGTTTTCCATTGGGGAGAGGAGTTTATCGTGTTGTTAATATTCCTGAAGACGAGTCTGTTCTTTTGAATTCTAGGGAAAAGGTGCCTTATATGGTATGCGTGGAAGTTTTGAAAGCGGAAACACCCATGTAAGTATAAAAGTCAGCAAATTTAATTAGCTATTGCTTTTCTTTTCAGAAGTTACTTTCTTATCCATGCCTTCTAAATTCTACTTGCAGGGTCTCTTGATAATACTCTCTCATTGTTCTTATTGTCTTCTGAAATTTTGTAGTGGTGCTAAAGACACATCTAATTCCCATAAGGTCTCTAAAGGAGGTATTCCATTGGCAAATGGGGATGCATTTATGCAAAAGCCACCTCCATGGGCTTATTCACTATCGACTGCTCAGGAGGTTTACCGTAACAGTACAGACCGCATGTCGCTATCAACTGTTCAAGCAATTGACCAAGCAATGACTCATAAGTCTGAGGTAAAACTTGTGAATGCAAGTCTCTCGGTGGAGAAACGTAGTAATTCAGCTCCCAAATCAGTCAGTATTGGTGTGGCTGGGGTCCCCAGGAATGTTCTGGACAGTGATCTTGAGTGGGTTAATGTGGTGCTGACGGCTGATCCAGGTCTAAGAATGGAAAGCATTGCTGACCCCGGAGTCCCACGTCGAAAGGAACATCGTCGTGTTCCAAGTATAGTTGCCTTCGAGGAAGTAAGGGTGAGTGTTTCTGCTCTTGATAGGTAACTTGTAGAAGGCAAATCCCTTTTTATGCTCTAGTGAAATTTATCTAGTTCCATTGCTCTTATTATGAGTTGGTAGAAAAAAACTCTGACATTCGTTGAGTAGTGTCTCTGCCTCAGTTGGTATGTGACTTCTATCACACCAAATATCCATATCAGCTGTTAACAGTGCATGGTTTCCTGTTCGGTGTCATTATTTCTAAATTAAATCTCTTGTTCAGGCTGCTGCAGCGAAGGGAGAGGCACCTCCAGGTCTTCCTCTCAAAGGGGCTGGTCAGGATTCATCAGATGCACAGCCAATGGTGACTGCATGCTCATCATAAAATATTAATATTTCTTAATTTTGTTTGTCTTCTAGATCTTGAACCTTTTTTTTGTTTGCGGGTTCACCAGGCCAATGGTGGAATTCTGAAAGCAGGCGATGCCTTATCTGGTGAACTTTGGGAGAACAAGCGATTGAGAATTCGTAAAGATTCAATATATGGCAACCGACCGGGTTGGGACTTGCGTTCTGTAAGTACTGGATAAAGCCATTCCCTTTATCTTCTGCTGGCTTTTTTTATAAGAGATTATATTTCTATGCATGAACTGCTGGCGTTTTCTAATAGAGTACCTTGAAATATTTTGCCTATAAATTTCTGATCGCTTATGATACACAATGTTAAAAAACTCTATGAAACTGTGTCCCGTCTTCCAATTCTTTTTCTGCCTCGTTATAACTGGCTCTAGATCTTTGCAGATCATTGTGAAGAGCGGTGATGACTGTCGGCAGGAACATCTTGCGGTGCAACTCATTTCACACTTTTTTGGTGGGTGAAACTTTTTCTTCTCTAGCTATTATTTCATAGTTATTAGAATATGGTTTCTCAGGCTATGCTTTATAATGTTCTCTTTTTCTCCCCATCCGGTCATGTTATAGAAGCATATATTATGGTCTTTTTTTCTGTGCTAGATATATTCCAGGAAGCAGGACTTCCCCTCTGGTTACGTCCTTATGAAGTATTAGTTACATCTTCATACACTGCCCTTATAGAAACTATTTCGAATACGGTAATTATGCTACTCTAATTTTCATCTTGCAACTGATCATGTTTTTGTTTTGGAAAGTGGATGTTATAGTATCACCTTCCTCTCCTGCAGGCTTCTATTCATTCCATTAAAAGTAGATATCCTAACATCACAAGCTTGCGTGATTTTTTTGATGCCAAGTTTAAAGAGAACTCTCCAAGTTTTAAGCTTGCCCAGGTAATGTACTCCTTCGGTACATCTTATGGTTCAAATCCACGAGCAAGTTTGGCCGTTTTGTTTTTAGGAACTTTATTGACCTTAAAACATGCTGTCTTTAATAATAGTGTTAGTAACTTTTGTAGGATGTCACATCTCGTATAATCATTTGAATTGCCTTCTTTTGCAGAGGAATTTTGTTGAGAGCATGGCTGGATATTCTTTGGTATGTTACCTTCTGCAGGTGGGTTTTGTTAAATAACCGTGTCTCTCATTGAATACAAGTGTTTTAGAATGAGAAGACTTGTTCTGACGATTTATGGCTCGTCATGTTGATTGTCTTCTCGTTCAGATAAAAGACCGTCATAATGGAAACCTTCTGATGGATGAAGACGGTCACATTATACACATTGATTTCGGCTTTATGCTTTCGAATTCTCCGGGTGGCGTGAACTTTGAAAGTGCCCCCTTTAAGTTAACCCGCGAACTTCTCGAGGTAAGTAAGACGCATGTTCTTGGTCTCATATATTGGATCGCCTCGCCTCTTTCAGGCAGTAAAAAATTACTATATAGCATTATTTTATATACTCAAACACTTGCACATATAGGTCATGGATTCTGATGCCGAGGGGGTTCCAAGCGAGTTCTTTGACTATTTCAAGGTATCAGTGATGCTCTTCTATTCGCTCCCCTCTGTCATTTTAGACACTGAAAAGGCTCTATATTTCCCCATCTGTAGCTATGATTGAATGTATACTGTTTTTAGGTGCTCTGCATTCAGGGATTCCTAACATGTAGAAAGCATGCAGAAAGGATTATTCTTTTAGTCGAAATGTTACAGGTATCATGATCCGAGTCAATTATTGCTTATTGATAGCTTTCTGACCAAAAGCATCTTAAGAGTTAATCATTTTTCCGGTTGAATAATCAGGATTCGGGGTTTCCTTGCTTCAAAGGTGGTCCACGCACCATTCAGAATCTAAGAAAACGGTTCCATCTAAGTTTAACAGAAGAGGTATATTTACATTTCTCCGTCTAATTCCACCAATCTCATCACCGTTCATAGGAGATTTTATCCCAAAATAACAACTAGTTTCCTCTTTTTCTTATGATAACCAGCAATGTGTCTCTTTGGTGCTCTCTCTAATCAGCAGCAGCTTAGATGCTTGGAGAACTCGACAATATGATTACTACCAAAGGGTCTTGAATGGAATATTATGATATTTATTACTTACAAACATTGATCTCATCGCTGATTCGACCTGATCAGAAAGTAAACAGGTACACTATGGTTGTGTAGTTCTCCATGTTCATTGCATGTGAAGAAACCCTTTCACAGTTTAAGTATGAGACACATTCGAGCTTGAAAGGTCTCTTTGAGTGTGGTGTTTCATAGAGGGAGGAAGGAGAAGAAGTCAATTACACGAAATAGATAGCTAGATAGAGAGACATTGTGTGACCAAACAAACTTTTGTACATAGATGGTTTTTGCAGAGGTTTGATTCTTGTATATATCTATAAAGGAGCAGGCAAAGCCAAAAGTTTCTTCATATTCTCAAACCCTTTCCGGTAACTACAAGAGGCATGCTAATTATATGTTTGAGACCTTTTTTTTACTCTATTTGGTTCTTATACTGTCAGATGAAAAAAGTTAATTAAACCATTTTAAGGGATTCTAAACTTTATTTGTTTACCAGTCTAGAGAAAAATACTGAGAAAAAATCGGGGACTTGAATAAGTAAAGAGAAGTAACTCAGTAATTTCGACTTTTTGTATTTACAGGCCTTGACTAAAAATGGGCTCACCAGTATCTCAGTGAACGCGTAGGGTGAGGAGCTCCGTCATATATAAACCCATAAGACCAAAGTAACCCTTTTCTCAGTTTTGGCTTTTCTTTCACGCCACTCTCTCTATCTATTCTCTCTCTCGCTCGCCTCCCCTTGCGCCGATCGTCTCCTCCGCCGTCTGATTTTTCACTCTCTCCTACGGGTACGACCTCACTCCCCTTTTTCAGATTCTGTTCCTCCATGTTCTCGATGGTCATTTTGATTTTGTTTCTCTACGTTGATTTTCCCGATTTAGTCGTCGGTTTTCGTTTTCCCTTTTGACCCTTGAAATTGGAATTCACTCTGTTTTGATTTTAGTCTGGTGATTTCTGGGTTTGATTTGAAGCTGATCGATTTTTAGGGTTTTACACTTTCTGGGTTTGGCTCGTTTGCTGATATTTCTCTGAAAAATTATGTATTTCAAACAGTGATATATGATACCAAAATGATGAATTGTCTTTTGATATCTGCTGTGTATATTCGAATCCAGTTGGCAGTGTAGTTCAAGTCTTCTTTTTTCTTTTGTTTCCATGTCTCAATAACAGGCTTTACGTTGCACACCAGATGTCTATTGATCTCTGCAAGAAGAATCCGTCTTTTCTTAGGTGTGACTGTGGTTATATGAGCAGGGGGAGGTTGTGGTGCTTTCAGATAATCCTGTTCAGGCACTGGACTTGACTTGCTCTCCTCGTATAGTTCTCTCTTCTCTTCTCTCTTCTTCCTCGCTTCTCTGCAATTTTCTGTCTGATTTGATTAAAAGGTGTTCGATTGTGCTCGTCCTGTTACTGTGAACCTGAAGAAACAAAAAAAAAGTTCTGTTTGAAACTCTCACTTTACTGGTGAGGAGATTAACGAAGATACTGCAAGTTTTCCCCTTTGGATCTGCCAATGGGGAAAACTCAACTGGCTCCTGGATTTCGGTTTCATCCAACTGATGTTGAACTCGTGAGGTATTACTTGAAGAGGAAGGTGATGGGGAAGAAGCTCCTTGTCGATGCCATTGCTGAAGTTGACATCTACAAGTTTGAGCCCTCAGATCTTCCTGGTATCCATTTATAACCCTTCTTGTTCTGTTACTGCAGTTTTTTTGGATAAATGTTCGTTTTCTACAACTTGGGAATCTCCGTCTTTACAGATATGTCCTTCATAAGGAGTGGGGATCTCAAGTGGCACTTCTTCTGCCCGAGGGAAAAGAAATACTCAACTGGAGTTAGAGCAAACCGTGCAACTGAGTGTGGTTACTGGAAGACCACCGGGAAGGAGAGACCTGTTCTGTGCGATGCTGAAGTTGTGGGAAAGATCAAAACTCTGGTTTATCACTTTGGCAAGTCTCCTCGTGGGGAGCGGACTGATTGGGTTATGCATGAATACAGGCTTGAAGACAAGGACCTGACACAGAAGAATATTCCTCAGGTAACATAATTCCTTAAAACTTCAATATAATGCAAATTTGTCAATATACCTTGTAGTACTAATGAAAGTTTGTTGCGCTGGTACTGTGTTTGAGTTAGTTAATGTTTAACTGTTCTAACCTTGTCACTATCTTATGCTGCTTCTCTTATATATAGTTCCATACTTGTTTAATTTGATACTTAGTTATCTCTCATCCATGCCAAGTAAGATTATACAACTCTTTCTAACTATGTTTTGCGCTGCAGGATACGTATGTGGTGTGTGTTCTATTCAAGAAGGACGGACCAGGACCTAGAAATGGAGCTCAATATGGAGCTCCGTTTAAGGAAGAGGACTGGAATGATGTGGAAGAAAGCACAGACGTTCTTGCTACTAACAATCTTGCAAGTCTTGCTGTGCCTAACAAAGAAACCAGTCTGGTTGTGGGGTACTCGCAAGGCCCTAATAAGGATTGCTTTGGTGGCATGATATCTGAATCATGCGTCTCTGATTTCCTACCAGCTACAACTCCTACTACCAGCGAGCTTCCTCATCCAAGTTGTGCAGCCAACACTCCTATATCTGCTGTACCTCTTCTTGCTTATAATGGCACTGCCTCTCTGGCTCCCGCTCCCGCTCCCAACAACGTTGATGACTTGTATTCAATGTTGGATCTCTTTGTTGATGAAGATGAGTACTTGCAATTCGGTGGGCCCAGCAACAATGAGGTAGGTGGTCCTAGTGTTCCAGCTCCGCTCTTCTTAGAAGACAGCATATTCAGCGAACTACCAGACTTGGGCGATATGCAGAACAACGGCTTGTACGACCTAGTTGAAAACTCGGAGCTATTCTTAGAGCTACAGGATCTCACTGCTCCATTAGCCCCACCTCCTCAAACTGGGAATCTCACCGACCCGAGTAGCTCCTATCTGATGAATCATCAAGGCCACTTTGATTTCTCTAGTGCTGCTAATGATGATGATCCTTATGGCTTTTCTGCTGCCATGGGACCTGGACCAGACATGTGAAGAAAGGTGTGCAAACCGAAATCTTCTTCTGCCCCGCTCGGTCCCTCTTCTGCGCCAGCTCGGCCTCTCTTCTGCCCAGCTCTACCTCTCTTTGTCGACAACACAGCCATAAGTTAAGGAGTACCTTTGTATTCTGGAACCTTGCTGGTCTTTTAATTATTGCTTTCATCATCTTCTTATGTAGCAAAATTCTCCTCTTCTCAACATTCTCGACTCCTTAAAGTTCTTCCTTGGATGATGTTCATATTTCAAATTAATGCATTGGATTTTCAGTATTTTTTCTACTTATTCTTGTTTTGTTACTGCTTACGTCGTCGTTTGGCAAAGTATCAACTAGTTTTGTAAACAAGCTCAACTACCCATATCGATCAAACATAATATTTATTAAGCACAGAATCTTGAGATAGCTTCAAGTCTTCAACTGTCGGAAAATATAGCCCTTGTCGGGATGAGCCTCATCCTACGAGACGAACAAAATGAGATTGCGTCTTACGTCGTCTACCAAGTACTAAACTACGTACCTAGTCCTAGATACGCTTTGGGCCTGAATGGGCGTTTCTCATCCAAAACAAAAAGCCCATTTTATAGGCCCAACCATTTGCTTTCTTTTCATCTTCTCTCCACAGTACACCGATCTCGGAAGATCTTCCCTGCCAAGTGCCAGCAGCGTTTGATTTCCGATTTGAGGTCTCTTCACTTAACCTTGTGGATACGGGAACCAATATCATCTTCCCATTATCCTGCTACTCAACCGTTGGGAGATATAGGTTTGATTGACGTCGATCGTACGAAATCGGGCGGTGGTCGTCGATGGAGAACACAGACGTCTTCTCGGGACTGCATGATTTCCTGGAGAGAATGCGTGAACCCTCCGCCGGAGATTTCGTCAAATCCATTAAAAGGTCCCCCTCTCTCACTCTCCTTAGTCCTTATTAACTGTACGACGCAAATGGTGATACAAGTGTCATGTGTGTGTCTTGAATCCGGATCATCCTATGTCTCGCCTTTGTTCTTCGCTCTTTAGATGAAGTAAATATCCATTAGTGTGTGTGTTTAGGTCAATTTGCACTCGATGATACATGTGAGCATTGAGCAAGATTCTTGCTGATTTTGGACATTTCCGGATGAATAGTCTTTTTTTTCACTGATTTGACAGTTGAGCTTTTGTTGCAGTTTCATTGTGACGTTCTCGAACAATGCGCCAGACCCAGAGAAAGATAGTGACGCAGTTCAGGAGTTCTTTTCAAAGATGGAAGCTGCTTTCAGAGCTCATCCGCTTTGGTCCGGTTGTTCTGAGGAGGAGCTAGACACTGCAGGAGATGTTAGTAGCATATCACTATTCTTTTTCCTTTTCTCTCTGTATTGTATCTTCCTGCTTTGATCATTTCTTGTTTGTATACTCAGGGCCTGGAGAAGTATATCATGACAAAGTTATTCACTCGGGTATTTGCATCAAACACCGAGGATGTTATAGCTGATGAGAAACTCTTTCAGAAGATGTCGTTGGTCCAACAATTCATTTCTCCTGAACACTTGGATATACAACCAGCTTTTCAAAATGAAACCTCATGGCTGGTAAGCCCATCTAGCTCCAATAGTGTTACCCTATTTTAAGTTTGATGTAACAATGGTTCTAATCTGTGTGATATTTACTCTCTCTTTTTTTCTTTTGGCAGTTAGCTCAGAAAGAGCTCCAGAAGATAAACATGTACAAAACTCCCCGTGATAAGCTTATGTGTATCCTAAGCTGCTGCAAAGTGATAACTAACTTGCTGCTAAATGCTTCACTTGCTTCAAACGAGAATGCACCTGGAGCGGACGAATTTCTTCCTGCTCTCATATATATTACCATAAAGGTACGTGAAGGGTTCAACAACTTATGCATGCTGGTTTCTGATGTCATATGTGAATATTTCATACTCTTATGCTTGGAATGTGAAACTACATTTACTAATGATCATGATGTACTTTGTGTTTTCTTTCCCAGGCTAACCCTCCGCAATTTCACTCAAACTTGTTGTATATACAAAGATATAGGCGTCAATCTAAACTGGTTGGTGAAGCTTCCTACTTCTTCACAAACATACTCTCTGCAGCGTCTTTCATCTCAAATATTGACGCCAAATCCCTTTCGATGGATGAAGCTGACTTTGAAAAGAAAATGGAATCTGCACGGGCGCGTCTTTCTGTTCTGAGAAGCCAGTCTTATCAAGCGGATCTTGGCGCTGCACCACCCCCTCGTGATGAACACACTTCTCATAATCCTCCGAGGGAAAATACGCTTCTGCAATCAAAATCATCTGATAGTCTCTCTGGGACCAATGAAACACAGAATCCGAAGAGTGAAGTACCGATAAAGAAAGCTGTATCCATCTCGGATTTGGAGAATAAAGATGCTGCCACACTTTTGAAAGAGAGCAGCGAGGCAAGCAAAATCTTTAAAGAATATCCTTACATATTTGCTAGTGCTGGTGATTTAAGGATAGGAGATGTTGAAGGCTTGCTAAGTCACTACAAGCAGCTCGTTTTCAAATATGTTTGCCTCTCCAAAGGCGTTGGTGATGCAACATCTTTAGCTCCATCTAGTTCACCTTTGGAAGCGTCTAAGGAATCTGAAGATCATACTAGTTTGTCTTCAGACGTGCAGACGAAAACTGAAACTGACAGGAGTGTCGATGATCTGATCCGAGCTCTACAAGGTGGGGGAGACAATGTTCATAAGCTTGCAGATGTAAAACAAGAAGAATACAGCGAAACTTTTGTACAAGGCAAAGATGGAGAAATTGATCCCAAGGTTCAGGAAGAGGCAGATACCAAAGACATTGGTTTGAAGAAACAAAGTGAAGAGAGAGAAGGTGTCACTTCTAGTTCCCAACCTCCAGAAGGTGAAGGTGTTGTTTCGAAAAGTCCAGTTGCAGAAGATTAGAACGACCCGTCACAGTGAGGAGTCTCTTTGTATTGACTTAGTCCTTGTTTAGAAGATATAGAGGTCAGAGCATAACTTGCAGCTTTGAGTTTTGAGGATCAACTAAGAGAGACTGAGCTCTTCTTGGAAAACAGTGTAGTCAAATGGTAACTTTACTCTCTGTAATCGTCTTCTCTATGACTAAACTGGATTTGAATGCGACACGTAATTTTACATTTTCTTGATCGCATTTGTTTTGATCAAAGGAGATGAACATTAAACTATATCGGAGTCTCGAATAAACCGAGATTGGAGGAGACAACCGGTTAAAGGATTTACGGACATGAAATGAAAACCGAGATAAGCTAAAAGGGTATTGTTGTAATTTCTCTGAAAAACTTCACTGCCATTTTGCTGCTCTTCTTTTTGACACACCACACAACGAGAGAGAGACAGAGCCTTTAACGCCGCGAATATGGAAGGGATTGGACTCCGAAGTTGCGGAGAGGGTATTCTCCGTCTCGGATTTATGGTACGCCGTGGCGTCGGTGGCCGGAATCCGATTCTCAGACGAGCTATGGTGATAAAGATGAGGGACCGTAGCAAGAACAGGAAACCATTGCAGAGAGGTCGGATGCTCAGCATAGAAGCGATTCAAGCGGTTCAAGCTCTGAAGCGAGCCAATCCTCTACTTCCTCCTCCTCCTTCTTCTTCTTCCACGTCTTCGTCTTCCACACCGATGCTTGATCGCGTAATCAGTTCCAAATTCCGCCGGCTTTTGAAATTCGATATGGTCGCCGTTCTCAGGGAACTCCTTCGCCAGAACGAGTGCTCTCTATCTCTCAAGGTTCGCCTCTCTCTCTCTCACTCTCTTCATCATGTTTCTGCTGTGTTTTAGTATCTCAGTTTCGGAATCGTTTGTTAGGTGTTTGAAGAGATTCGAAAGGAGTATTGGTACAAGCCTCAGGTGAGATTGTACGCAGATATGATCACGGTAATGGCGGAGAACAGTTTGTTGGAAGAGGTCAATTATCTCTACTCAGCTATGAAGTCAGAAGTGGGATTAATAGCTGACATTGAAGGCTTCAACACTCTGTTGGTGATTCTTCTGAACCATAAGCTGTTTGATCTTGTCATGGACTGCTATGCCTTTATGCAGTCAATTGGGTACGAGCCTGATAGGTCTTCTTTTAGAATTCTAGTCCAAGGTCTTGAATCCAATGGGGAAATGGGTTTATCGGCTATTGTTAGGCAAGATGCTCATGAGTATTATGGTGAATCGTTAGACTTCGACGAAGAAAATGAAGAGATCTCTAGTGGGATTGGTGTGTTTGGTCTAACAATGTAACAAAAATGTTCAGAATATTAGAGCTTAATAGCTTGAGATTGACATTCTGTATACTAATCAGAAGTTAATCAATTCACCATAACCGGACACTTTATTTTTTTATTTATCGATGTTTTCAACATTGTAGAATTTCTGTGAAGATTGTAATTTTCACTTTCTGAGATCAAGAGATACATACACAAAAATTTCACTATATATATATATACATACAGAAAGAATTACAAGTTTGTGAGAAAATCATTACTTCTAAAGGTTTCCTGTTCGGTGTCATTATTTCTAAATTAAATCTCTTGTTCAGGCTGCTGCAGCGAAGGGAGAGGCACCTCCAGGTCTTCCTCTCAAAGGGGCTGGTCAGGATTCATCAGATGCACAGCCAATGGTGACTGCATGCTCATCATAAAATATTAATATTTCTTAATTTTGTTTGTCTTCTAGATCTTGAACCTTTTTTTTGTTTGCGGGTTCACCAGGCCAATGGTGGAATTCTGAAAGCAGGCGATGCCTTATCTGGTGAACTTTGGGAGAACAAGCGATTGAGAATTCGTAAAGATTCAATATATGGCAACCGACCGGGTTGGGACTTGCGTTCTGTAAGTACTGGATAAAGCCATTCCCTTTATCTTCTGCTGGCTTTTTTTATAAGAGATTATATTTCTATGCATGAACTGCTGGCGTTTTCTAATAGAGTACCTTGAAATATTTTGCCTATAAATTTCTGATCGCTTATGATACACAATGTTAAAAAACTCTATGAAACTGTGTCCCGTCTTCCAATTCTTTTTCTGCCTCGTTATAACTGGCTCTAGATCTTTGCAGATCATTGTGAAGAGCGGTGATGACTGTCGGCAGGAACATCTTGCGGTGCAACTCATTTCACACTTTTTTGGTGGGTGAAACTTTTTCTTCTCTAGCTATTATTTCATAGTTATTAGAATATGGTTTCTCAGGCTATGCTTTATAATGTTCTCTTTTTCTCCCCATCCGGTCATGTTATAGAAGCATATATTATGGTCTTTTTTTCTGTGCTAGATATATTCCAGGAAGCAGGACTTCCCCTCTGGTTACGTCCTTATGAAGTATTAGTTACATCTTCATACACTGCCCTTATAGAAACTATTTCGAATACGGTAATTATGCTACTCTAATTTTCATCTTGCAACTGATCATGTTTTTGTTTTGGAAAGTGGATGTTATAGTATCACCTTCCTCTCCTGCAGGCTTCTATTCATTCCATTAAAAGTAGATATCCTAACATCACAAGCTTGCGTGATTTTTTTGATGCCAAGTTTAAAGAGAACTCTCCAAGTTTTAAGCTTGCCCAGGTAATGTACTCCTTCGGTACATCTTATGGTTCAAATCCACGAGCAAGTTTGGCCGTTTTGTTTTTAGGAACTTTATTGACCTTAAAACATGCTGTCTTTAATAATAGTGTTAGTAACTTTTGTAGGATGTCACATCTCGTATAATCATTTGAATTGCCTTCTTTTGCAGAGGAATTTTGTTGAGAGCATGGCTGGATATTCTTTGGTATGTTACCTTCTGCAGGTGGGTTTTGTTAAATAACCGTGTCTCTCATTGAATACAAGTGTTTTAGAATGAGAAGACTTGTTCTGACGATTTATGGCTCGTCATGTTGATTGTCTTCTCGTTCAGATAAAAGACCGTCATAATGGAAACCTTCTGATGGATGAAGACGGTCACATTATACACATTGATTTCGGCTTTATGCTTTCGAATTCTCCGGGTGGCGTGAACTTTGAAAGTGCCCCCTTTAAGTTAACCCGCGAACTTCTCGAGGTAAGTAAGACGCATGTTCTTGGTCTCATATATTGGATCGCCTCGCCTCTTTCAGGCAGTAAAAAATTACTATATAGCATTATTTTATATACTCAAACACTTGCACATATAGGTCATGGATTCTGATGCCGAGGGGGTTCCAAGCGAGTTCTTTGACTATTTCAAGGTATCAGTGATGCTCTTCTATTCGCTCCCCTCTGTCATTTTAGACACTGAAAAGGCTCTATATTTCCCCATCTGTAGCTATGATTGAATGTATACTGTTTTTAGGTGCTCTGCATTCAGGGATTCCTAACATGTAGAAAGCATGCAGAAAGGATTATTCTTTTAGTCGAAATGTTACAGGTATCATGATCCGAGTCAATTATTGCTTATTGATAGCTTTCTGACCAAAAGCATCTTAAGAGTTAATCATTTTTCCGGTTGAATAATCAGGATTCGGGGTTTCCTTGCTTCAAAGGTGGTCCACGCACCATTCAGAATCTAAGAAAACGGTTCCATCTAAGTTTAACAGAAGAGGTATATTTACATTTCTCCGTCTAATTCCACCAATCTCATCACCGTTCATAGGAGATTTTATCCCAAAATAACAACTAGTTTCCTCTTTTTCTTATGATAACCAGCAATGTGTCTCTTTGGTGCTCTCTCTAATCAGCAGCAGCTTAGATGCTTGGAGAACTCGACAATATGATTACTACCAAAGGGTCTTGAATGGAATATTATGATATTTATTACTTACAAACATTGATCTCATCGCTGATTCGACCTGATCAGAAAGTAAACAGGTACACTATGGTTGTGTAGTTCTCCATGTTCATTGCATGTGAAGAAACCCTTTCACAGTTTAAGTATGAGACACATTCGAGCTTGAAAGGTCTCTTTGAGTGTGGTGTTTCATAGAGGGAGGAAGGAGAAGAAGTCAATTACACGAAATAGATAGCTAGATAGAGAGACATTGTGTGACCAAACAAACTTTTGTACATAGATGGTTTTTGCAGAGGTTTGATTCTTGTATATATCTATAAAGGAGCAGGCAAAGCCAAAAGTTTCTTCATATTCTCAAACCCTTTCCGGTAACTACAAGAGGCATGCTAATTATATGTTTGAGACCTTTTTTTTACTCTATTTGGTTCTTATACTGTCAGATGAAAAAAGTTAATTAAACCATTTTAAGGGATTCTAAACTTTATTTGTTTACCAGTCTAGAGAAAAATACTGAGAAAAAATCGGGGACTTGAATAAGTAAAGAGAAGTAACTCAGTAATTTCGACTTTTTGTATTTACAGGCCTTGACTAAAAATGGGCTCACCAGTATCTCAGTGAACGCGTAGGGTGAGGAGCTCCGTCATATATAAACCCATAAGACCAAAGTAACCCTTTTCTCAGTTTTGGCTTTTCTTTCACGCCACTCTCTCTATCTATTCTCTCTCTCGCTCGCCTCCCCTTGCGCCGATCGTCTCCTCCGCCGTCTGATTTTTCACTCTCTCCTACGGGTACGACCTCACTCCCCTTTTTCAGATTCTGTTCCTCCATGTTCTCGATGGTCATTTTGATTTTGTTTCTCTACGTTGATTTTCCCGATTTAGTCGTCGGTTTTCGTTTTCCCTTTTGACCCTTGAAATTGGAATTCACTCTGTTTTGATTTTAGTCTGGTGATTTCTGGGTTTGATTTGAAGCTGATCGATTTTTAGGGTTTTACACTTTCTGGGTTTGGCTCGTTTGCTGATATTTCTCTGAAAAATTATGTATTTCAAACAGTGATATATGATACCAAAATGATGAATTGTCTTTTGATATCTGCTGTGTATATTCGAATCCAGTTGGCAGTGTAGTTCAAGTCTTCTTTTTTCTTTTGTTTCCATGTCTCAATAACAGGCTTTACGTTGCACACCAGATGTCTATTGATCTCTGCAAGAAGAATCCGTCTTTTCTTAGGTGTGACTGTGGTTATATGAGCAGGGGGAGGTTGTGGTGCTTTCAGATAATCCTGTTCAGGCACTGGACTTGACTTGCTCTCCTCGTATAGTTCTCTCTTCTCTTCTCTCTTCTTCCTCGCTTCTCTGCAATTTTCTGTCTGATTTGATTAAAAGGTGTTCGATTGTGCTCGTCCTGTTACTGTGAACCTGAAGAAACAAAAAAAAAGTTCTGTTTGAAACTCTCACTTTACTGGTGAGGAGATTAACGAAGATACTGCAAGTTTTCCCCTTTGGATCTGCCAATGGGGAAAACTCAACTGGCTCCTGGATTTCGGTTTCATCCAACTGATGTTGAACTCGTGAGGTATTACTTGAAGAGGAAGGTGATGGGGAAGAAGCTCCTTGTCGATGCCATTGCTGAAGTTGACATCTACAAGTTTGAGCCCTCAGATCTTCCTGGTATCCATTTATAACCCTTCTTGTTCTGTTACTGCAGTTTTTTTGGATAAATGTTCGTTTTCTACAACTTGGGAATCTCCGTCTTTACAGATATGTCCTTCATAAGGAGTGGGGATCTCAAGTGGCACTTCTTCTGCCCGAGGGAAAAGAAATACTCAACTGGAGTTAGAGCAAACCGTGCAACTGAGTGTGGTTACTGGAAGACCACCGGGAAGGAGAGACCTGTTCTGTGCGATGCTGAAGTTGTGGGAAAGATCAAAACTCTGGTTTATCACTTTGGCAAGTCTCCTCGTGGGGAGCGGACTGATTGGGTTATGCATGAATACAGGCTTGAAGACAAGGACCTGACACAGAAGAATATTCCTCAGGTAACATAATTCCTTAAAACTTCAATATAATGCAAATTTGTCAATATACCTTGTAGTACTAATGAAAGTTTGTTGCGCTGGTACTGTGTTTGAGTTAGTTAATGTTTAACTGTTCTAACCTTGTCACTATCTTATGCTGCTTCTCTTATATATAGTTCCATACTTGTTTAATTTGATACTTAGTTATCTCTCATCCATGCCAAGTAAGATTATACAACTCTTTCTAACTATGTTTTGCGCTGCAGGATACGTATGTGGTGTGTGTTCTATTCAAGAAGGACGGACCAGGACCTAGAAATGGAGCTCAATATGGAGCTCCGTTTAAGGAAGAGGACTGGAATGATGTGGAAGAAAGCACAGACGTTCTTGCTACTAACAATCTTGCAAGTCTTGCTGTGCCTAACAAAGAAACCAGTCTGGTTGTGGGGTACTCGCAAGGCCCTAATAAGGATTGCTTTGGTGGCATGATATCTGAATCATGCGTCTCTGATTTCCTACCAGCTACAACTCCTACTACCAGCGAGCTTCCTCATCCAAGTTGTGCAGCCAACACTCCTATATCTGCTGTACCTCTTCTTGCTTATAATGGCACTGCCTCTCTGGCTCCCGCTCCCGCTCCCAACAACGTTGATGACTTGTATTCAATGTTGGATCTCTTTGTTGATGAAGATGAGTACTTGCAATTCGGTGGGCCCAGCAACAATGAGGTAGGTGGTCCTAGTGTTCCAGCTCCGCTCTTCTTAGAAGACAGCATATTCAGCGAACTACCAGACTTGGGCGATATGCAGAACAACGGCTTGTACGACCTAGTTGAAAACTCGGAGCTATTCTTAGAGCTACAGGATCTCACTGCTCCATTAGCCCCACCTCCTCAAACTGGGAATCTCACCGACCCGAGTAGCTCCTATCTGATGAATCATCAAGGCCACTTTGATTTCTCTAGTGCTGCTAATGATGATGATCCTTATGGCTTTTCTGCTGCCATGGGACCTGGACCAGACATGTGAAGAAAGGTGTGCAAACCGAAATCTTCTTCTGCCCCGCTCGGTCCCTCTTCTGCGCCAGCTCGGCCTCTCTTCTGCCCAGCTCTACCTCTCTTTGTCGACAACACAGCCATAAGTTAAGGAGTACCTTTGTATTCTGGAACCTTGCTGGTCTTTTAATTATTGCTTTCATCATCTTCTTATGTAGCAAAATTCTCCTCTTCTCAACATTCTCGACTCCTTAAAGTTCTTCCTTGGATGATGTTCATATTTCAAATTAATGCATTGGATTTTCAGTATTTTTTCTACTTATTCTTGTTTTGTTACTGCTTACGTCGTCGTTTGGCAAAGTATCAACTAGTTTTGTAAACAAGCTCAACTACCCATATCGATCAAACATAATATTTATTAAGCACAGAATCTTGAGATAGCTTCAAGTCTTCAACTGTCGGAAAATATAGCCCTTGTCGGGATGAGCCTCATCCTACGAGACGAACAAAATGAGATTGCGTCTTACGTCGTCTACCAAGTACTAAACTACGTACCTAGTCCTAGATACGCTTTGGGCCTGAATGGGCGTTTCTCATCCAAAACAAAAAGCCCATTTTATAGGCCCAACCATTTGCTTTCTTTTCATCTTCTCTCCACAGTACACCGATCTCGGAAGATCTTCCCTGCCAAGTGCCAGCAGCGTTTGATTTCCGATTTGAGGTCTCTTCACTTAACCTTGTGGATACGGGAACCAATATCATCTTCCCATTATCCTGCTACTCAACCGTTGGGAGATATAGGTTTGATTGACGTCGATCGTACGAAATCGGGCGGTGGTCGTCGATGGAGAACACAGACGTCTTCTCGGGACTGCATGATTTCCTGGAGAGAATGCGTGAACCCTCCGCCGGAGATTTCGTCAAATCCATTAAAAGGTCCCCCTCTCTCACTCTCCTTAGTCCTTATTAACTGTACGACGCAAATGGTGATACAAGTGTCATGTGTGTGTCTTGAATCCGGATCATCCTATGTCTCGCCTTTGTTCTTCGCTCTTTAGATGAAGTAAATATCCATTAGTGTGTGTGTTTAGGTCAATTTGCACTCGATGATACATGTGAGCATTGAGCAAGATTCTTGCTGATTTTGGACATTTCCGGATGAATAGTCTTTTTTTTCACTGATTTGACAGTTGAGCTTTTGTTGCAGTTTCATTGTGACGTTCTCGAACAATGCGCCAGACCCAGAGAAAGATAGTGACGCAGTTCAGGAGTTCTTTTCAAAGATGGAAGCTGCTTTCAGAGCTCATCCGCTTTGGTCCGGTTGTTCTGAGGAGGAGCTAGACACTGCAGGAGATGTTAGTAGCATATCACTATTCTTTTTCCTTTTCTCTCTGTATTGTATCTTCCTGCTTTGATCATTTCTTGTTTGTATACTCAGGGCCTGGAGAAGTATATCATGACAAAGTTATTCACTCGGGTATTTGCATCAAACACCGAGGATGTTATAGCTGATGAGAAACTCTTTCAGAAGATGTCGTTGGTCCAACAATTCATTTCTCCTGAACACTTGGATATACAACCAGCTTTTCAAAATGAAACCTCATGGCTGGTAAGCCCATCTAGCTCCAATAGTGTTACCCTATTTTAAGTTTGATGTAACAATGGTTCTAATCTGTGTGATATTTACTCTCTCTTTTTTTCTTTTGGCAGTTAGCTCAGAAAGAGCTCCAGAAGATAAACATGTACAAAACTCCCCGTGATAAGCTTATGTGTATCCTAAGCTGCTGCAAAGTGATAACTAACTTGCTGCTAAATGCTTCACTTGCTTCAAACGAGAATGCACCTGGAGCGGACGAATTTCTTCCTGCTCTCATATATATTACCATAAAGGTACGTGAAGGGTTCAACAACTTATGCATGCTGGTTTCTGATGTCATATGTGAATATTTCATACTCTTATGCTTGGAATGTGAAACTACATTTACTAATGATCATGATGTACTTTGTGTTTTCTTTCCCAGGCTAACCCTCCGCAATTTCACTCAAACTTGTTGTATATACAAAGATATAGGCGTCAATCTAAACTGGTTGGTGAAGCTTCCTACTTCTTCACAAACATACTCTCTGCAGCGTCTTTCATCTCAAATATTGACGCCAAATCCCTTTCGATGGATGAAGCTGACTTTGAAAAGAAAATGGAATCTGCACGGGCGCGTCTTTCTGTTCTGAGAAGCCAGTCTTATCAAGCGGATCTTGGCGCTGCACCACCCCCTCGTGATGAACACACTTCTCATAATCCTCCGAGGGAAAATACGCTTCTGCAATCAAAATCATCTGATAGTCTCTCTGGGACCAATGAAACACAGAATCCGAAGAGTGAAGTACCGATAAAGAAAGCTGTATCCATCTCGGATTTGGAGAATAAAGATGCTGCCACACTTTTGAAAGAGAGCAGCGAGGCAAGCAAAATCTTTAAAGAATATCCTTACATATTTGCTAGTGCTGGTGATTTAAGGATAGGAGATGTTGAAGGCTTGCTAAGTCACTACAAGCAGCTCGTTTTCAAATATGTTTGCCTCTCCAAAGGCGTTGGTGATGCAACATCTTTAGCTCCATCTAGTTCACCTTTGGAAGCGTCTAAGGAATCTGAAGATCATACTAGTTTGTCTTCAGACGTGCAGACGAAAACTGAAACTGACAGGAGTGTCGATGATCTGATCCGAGCTCTACAAGGTGGGGGAGACAATGTTCATAAGCTTGCAGATGTAAAACAAGAAGAATACAGCGAAACTTTTGTACAAGGCAAAGATGGAGAAATTGATCCCAAGGTTCAGGAAGAGGCAGATACCAAAGACATTGGTTTGAAGAAACAAAGTGAAGAGAGAGAAGGTGTCACTTCTAGTTCCCAACCTCCAGAAGGTGAAGGTGTTGTTTCGAAAAGTCCAGTTGCAGAAGATTAGAACGACCCGTCACAGTGAGGAGTCTCTTTGTATTGACTTAGTCCTTGTTTAGAAGATATAGAGGTCAGAGCATAACTTGCAGCTTTGAGTTTTGAGGATCAACTAAGAGAGACTGAGCTCTTCTTGGAAAACAGTGTAGTCAAATGGTAACTTTACTCTCTGTAATCGTCTTCTCTATGACTAAACTGGATTTGAATGCGACACGTAATTTTACATTTTCTTGATCGCATTTGTTTTGATCAAAGGAGATGAACATTAAACTATATCGGAGTCTCGAATAAACCGAGATTGGAGGAGACAACCGGTTAAAGGATTTACGGACATGAAATGAAAACCGAGATAAGCTAAAAGGGTATTGTTGTAATTTCTCTGAAAAACTTCACTGCCATTTTGCTGCTCTTCTTTTTGACACACCACACAACGAGAGAGAGACAGAGCCTTTAACGCCGCGAATATGGAAGGGATTGGACTCCGAAGTTGCGGAGAGGGTATTCTCCGTCTCGGATTTATGGTACGCCGTGGCGTCGGTGGCCGGAATCCGATTCTCAGACGAGCTATGGTGATAAAGATGAGGGACCGTAGCAAGAACAGGAAACCATTGCAGAGAGGTCGGATGCTCAGCATAGAAGCGATTCAAGCGGTTCAAGCTCTGAAGCGAGCCAATCCTCTACTTCCTCCTCCTCCTTCTTCTTCTTCCACGTCTTCGTCTTCCACACCGATGCTTGATCGCGTAATCAGTTCCAAATTCCGCCGGCTTTTGAAATTCGATATGGTCGCCGTTCTCAGGGAACTCCTTCGCCAGAACGAGTGCTCTCTATCTCTCAAGGTTCGCCTCTCTCTCTCTCACTCTCTTCATCATGTTTCTGCTGTGTTTTAGTATCTCAGTTTCGGAATCGTTTGTTAGGTGTTTGAAGAGATTCGAAAGGAGTATTGGTACAAGCCTCAGGTGAGATTGTACGCAGATATGATCACGGTAATGGCGGAGAACAGTTTGTTGGAAGAGGTCAATTATCTCTACTCAGCTATGAAGTCAGAAGTGGGATTAATAGCTGACATTGAAGGCTTCAACACTCTGTTGGTGATTCTTCTGAACCATAAGCTGTTTGATCTTGTCATGGACTGCTATGCCTTTATGCAGTCAATTGGGTACGAGCCTGATAGGTCTTCTTTTAGAATTCTAGTCCAAGGTCTTGAATCCAATGGGGAAATGGGTTTATCGGCTATTGTTAGGCAAGATGCTCATGAGTATTATGGTGAATCGTTAGACTTCGACGAAGAAAATGAAGAGATCTCTAGTGGGATTGGTGTGTTTGGTCTAACAATGTAACAAAAATGTTCAGAATATTAGAGCTTAATAGCTTGAGATTGACATTCTGTATACTAATCAGAAGTTAATCAATTCACCATAACCGGACACTTTATTTTTTTATTTATCGATGTTTTCAACATTGTAGAATTTCTGTGAAGATTGTAATTTTCACTTTCTGAGATCAAGAGATACATACACAAAAATTTCACTATATATATATATACATACAGAAAGAATTACAAGTTTGTGAGAAAATCATTACTTCTAAAGGGAAAAAAAAATTGAGGAAATTGTGAGACTCAAGAGTCTTATTCCAAAACGACGTCGTAGCGAAATGAGCCATTATTCGTGATTTTTGTTTTTCCAGTTTCGTTTAGTGGCTGAACAAAATGGAGGCTTCACGGAGCGACGACCCAAATCTGAGCCCTAACCGCGATCTGAGTTTCAATCCGATTCTGATTCCGAATCCGAGCACAGTGTCGTCCTTAATCTCTGCAGGGGAGGTTTGGCCAACGATCGATGGTCCGTTGGGATTAACGGAGGAAGCATCGGTGGATTACGCTCGTCGGTTCTACAAGTTCGGTTTCGCTCTCCTGCCGTGGCTCTGGGCTGTCAATTGTTTCTACTTCTGGCCGGTTCTCCGTCACCCTCGGGGCTTCCCTCAAACCCGCAAGTGTAAGTTTTTCAGATTATTTACAGATACATTTCGTATCCTGAGAACTTAGGTTTATCCTCCATCTTAGATTGGGAACTTTTGATCTGGCATTAGATCTTCTGAAATCGTATAATATTGCTGATCAATAGGCTACGAGTCTCGTCTCTGATACATGAAATGTCCATTGGAGTGATAAAGTTTACTGTCCAAGGCTTTCACCGTGGCCTAACTCAATTTTAAAGCTTATGAGCTTTTGATATTTAGTTTGTAGATGCACATTGGATTTATTGAGTGACGGATAAGTGGCTGATGAGTTTATTCAAAAGTCATCGGTGTTTTATGTTTTTTACAGTGTATTGTATCCTAATTTGATCTGAGATACACTGTTCTTAGGTTTTGTTAAATCTTTCTCTCTGCTCACGATTGTCTTTACATCTGGTTTAAGTTGATTCAGACTTTTGTACCTCTACAATGTACAATCTCCTCGCTTACACACCTATGAAATCTTGTGCTGTTGTAGATGTTGTTAGGTCAGCAATAGGCTTCAGTGTCTTCACAGCGCTTCTATCAGCGTGGGCATTGACATTCTCGATAGGAGGAGAAGAGCTTTTTGGGCCTGTTTGGGAGAAGCTGGTTATGTACAATGTTGCTGATCGTCTCGGCTTGTCTGGCTTGACTTAGCTCTCACCAAGTCACCTGTCTCTCACTCTCACTCTCTCTCTCTCTCTCTCGTTTATCTTTGACATATGGAAACGGAGAGATGTCGTTGTTAGTTTGTCCATGCCCTTCTTATGTTTTCATATGCGAGCATAACTTTGTTTAACGGAAAGTGAGGAGATCCATGTTGTGAATATAAGCTGGTTTGAATATTCAACATTCTAGTAATGAAAATAGTTGTCAAGAGATGTTTCATATCTCATGTTAGGTTCTTCAGTTTCACATGACTCGTTCCTGCTTTAATGTTGTATTTTGGAGAAGACTTGGATCCAAACTCGACTTAATTAGAGTAATCTTCTAACGGGAAATAAGTTCGGTCTTAGTGAAGCCATTTTATTTAGTGGGCCATCAAATAGTAATTTAATGGGCTTAGTTATTATATTCTGGCCCATATTTGTGTTGACCTCGTTGAGTTTTTCGTTGGATTCACTGTAAAGATTCCACTTTCTAAATTAAGGAATCAATGTGTACGGGGAACAGAACACACTCAACAACTACACTTACAAGTTATAACAATCAATCCAATCTCTCTCTCTCTCTCTATCCCAACACAATAAATCATCATCTTCTTCATGCCGCGCTGAATCGAGTTTCTCCTTGCAAAACTTTGATTGGATCAAATCCTAAAAAAAAAAAAACAAAATGGCTCAACATTTGAAATCTTCTTCATCGAAATCGGCTTTCGTCAATATTCTTAAACATAATTTCGGTATCGGTTCTCAGAGCCACGCGGCTCGTCATCTCCGACCAAACCTACCGAACGGTCCTCCAAGACAAAATCCAATTAGTCGTTTGTGTAACACCATGGCAGAGAAGCTCTCCGTCTCGAGTATTGGTTTGCACGTAGACTCAAATAATCAGGTTCATCCATTGGTTTACAAATTTGTTCGGTCGTGTCTTACTCAAGAGATTATTCGATGACTTGGATGCTCTTAAATTTTCATTGCCTTGTCATTAAAGTGAAGAATGTGTTTGAGAATGTTCAGGTGTTGGATTTTCCAGGAGGAAAGGTAGCTTTCACACATGAGATCCAATTCATATCAGAATCCAGTAAAGAGCGTGTACCTTGCTACCGTGTTCTTGATGACAATGGTCAACAAATCCCCAACAGCCACTTCGTTCAGGTAGAGATAAAAAAGATAAACAATCGATTGCCCTCCTACTTGTGTGAATTCGTAATACTTTTCCTTGGTGTTAAGGTTAGCGAGGAAGTTGCGGTGAAGATATATAGCGATATGGTCACTCTTCAGATAATGGATAACATATTCTACGAAGCTCAGAGACAAGGGAGACTTTCCTTTTACGCCACTACAATCGGTGAAGAAGCCATTAATATTGCATCAGCTGCAGCTCTCACCCCTCAAGATGTTATTTTTCCTCAGGTTCTCAATCATAATAAGTATATATATTGTTGCTATATCCTCAGCTTACTTGATTGGTACATTGAGCGTCTTTTGTTGTTGTGTCTGCAGTACAGAGAGCCTGGTGTTCTACTATGGCGTGGTTTCACGCTTCAAGAATTTGCGAACCAGTGTTTTGGGAATAAATCTGACTATGGAAAAGGCAGGCAGATGCCAGTCCACTATGGCTCTAACAAGCTCAACTATTTTACTGTTTCAGCAACAATCGCGTATAGGCTTCGATGACATCATCACGTTCTTACTCCATTGATTCATATTCTTATAGTTTCTCTTTTATGTTGCTGATGGTGGTATATTTTGTCTGTCTCCAGAACTCAGTTACCAAATGCGGTTGGTGCTGCTTATTCCTTAAAGATGGACCGGAAGGATGCATGTGCTGTCACATTTTTTGGCGATGGTGGCTCCAGTGAGGTGAATATAAAACTAAAACAAAGTTGCATTATTGTTGAGCCTTTAAGGTTTCATGCATCACTATGGTTACAACTCTCTGTTGGATAATCAAAGTCAAAATAATGTTTTGTTTTGTTTTTCTTTGGTAGGGAGATTTCCATGCTGCAATGAATTTTGCAGCAGTAATGGAAGCACCTGTTTTATTCATCTGCCGGAACAATGGATGGGCAATAAGTACTCCCACTTCAGATCAGTTCCGAAGTAACTCTCCTTTATCTTATTTTCCTTTGGTTGATTTTGCATTTGTTGTTAATGTCTTTTGCATTTTGCCAATACTTTTGCAAACACAATGGCCTCACAGGTGATGGAGTAGTGGTGAAAGGACGTGCTTATGGGATTCGAAGTATACGTGTGGATGGAAATGATGCGCTTGCTATGTACAGTGCCGTGCATGCTGCTCGCGAGATGGCAATTAGAGAACAGAGGCCAATCTTGATCGAGGTATGTGATAGCTGTTATATGCGACATGGAAACACAAACAACTTCAAATCCTTCCTATTTTCTGTGTGTTAGGCGTTAACGTACCGAGTAGGACACCATTCAACATCAGATGATTCCACTAGGTACCGCTCTGCTGATGAGATAGAGTGGTGGAACAAAGCAAGAAACCCGCTTTCTCGGTTTAGGACATGGATTGAAAGTTATGGCTGGTGGAGTGATGAAGCTGAATCTGATCTCAGAAGCAGAATCAAGAAAGAGGTAACCAAAAGACATTGTGTAAACACCTTTACATTGGGTTTGTATGTATGCTGATCCTTCTTGTTCCTTGTAAACAGATGTTAGAAGCTCTCAGGGTTGCAGAGAAGTCCGAGAAACCGAATCTCGAGAACATGTTCTCAGATGTCTACGACGTTCCTCCTTCTAACCTTAGGGAACAGGAACTTATGGTGAGGCAGACGATCAAAAGCCACCCACAAGATTACCCTTCAGATGTTCCTCTTTAGCTAGGTAGACACTTATCAAATACTCCATGTAATAAAATGTAAAGGATAATCTACTCTGTAAACCGTAATCGTTTTATTGAAATCTAAGATCATTATTCAAAAGCATACAACTTCTTTGATAGAGCACACACTTCTTCCGAAATTGGTAGTAATGTGTCAAGGTACACCAGTTACCATTTCAGACAGTACATATTAATATTACAGTGTCTCAAGAGTCAGGAGTTGAGAATCTCCGCTTCCATTGATTCTTTGATGGCCTTCAAGAGCAGTGGCATAATCATTATGATATGTGTGAAAATGAAATATTGATATGTGGAAAAGCATGCATAGCTGTAAGAACTATTGATAACCAAAATTTGAAATAACTTCAATATGAATCATTAAAACTCAACACTTCATTACTAAATATAGTATACAGCAAGCCAAGAAACAAAAAACACGAGTAGCGCATCACATATATAACAAAAACGAACAGTTATACTAATATCTTTTTCACTTTTAGAAGTTTGCTTCAAGTTGTTACAACTTACTACGTCTGTACTTCTTCAAGAGCTCACACTAAATAGAAAAAGAAAAAACGAACTTATTTTGTTGGTTAAAAAGAAACAATACCTCTCCCATATATAAACTCCATCTGCAATCCTCATTATTCAGAACAACAACACAGCTTGAAATAAAATAAAATAATAAAACTCGACTCTAATTTTCAAAAACCTTTTTATTGAATCTTGATTCACATTTCGAATCAAGAAAAACCATGGTTAGGTTCTTGAACATCGCGTTGATCCAACTTCTGATCGTTTTGTTTGTTGCAAATGTCTTGGAGGCCACGGAACTGAATGTGATGGACAAATGCTGGAGACCAAATCCGCATTGGCGCAAAAACCGCAACCAGCTTGCACGGTGTTCGGTCGGGTTTGCCGGAAAAATGTTGGGAAATATCGGTAAAGGAGTCACGCAATACAAAGTAACCGACCCTTCCGATGATCCTATAAACCCTAAACCTGGAACCCTAAGATACGGAGCAACCCTCATCAAGGGTAAAAAATGGATCACATTCAAAAGAAACATGAAGATCAATCTTCACAAACCGCTTCTCATCAGCAGCTTCACCACACTCGATGGTCGCGGTGTTAGCGTCCACATCTCGGGTCCTGCTTGTCTCGTGGTCTACAGAGCCACCGATGTGATCATTCATGGACTTAAGATCCACGACTGTAAAGCTCATCTACCAAGCTCGGTGATGGGACCAGACTCAAAGATCATTCAACTTGGACACATGGACGGCGACGCAATCGGGCTGGTCGCAGCTAAGAAAGTGTGGATCGACCACAACACGCTCTATGATTGCGAAGACGGTCTATTAGACGTCACAACAGGGAGTACTAACGTCACGGTGTCGAACAATTGGTTTAGGAACCAGGACAAGGTCATGCTTCTTGGACATGATGATGGCTATGTCAGAGACAAAAGCATGAGAGTCACTGTTGCTTTTAACCACTTTGGTCCTAATTGCAACCAGAGAATGCCTAGGTATATACAAAATGTTTATTTTATTATTGAATGCACATAATTAGCTTTATTTATACTGTTATTTGGATTACTTATATATTTGATGGAAAAATGCAGAGTGCGACATGGATATGCTCACGTGGCGAATAATTATTACCAAGGATGGACACAATATGCAATTGGAGGAAGCATGAGCCCTCGTGTGAAGAGCGAATCAAACTATTTCGTCGCAACAAAATCTGGAAGCAAAGAGGTGAGTTTTCAAGTCCTCCCAATCACGATTATGCGAAGTGAAAACGCGATTTCTTCTCATCTAACACTCTAATTTTTGTGCTTGGTTTGTAGATAACTTGGAAGAAAAGTAGCCGAGGAGACAAAATGCAGTGGAAATTCTTCTCGGTGAATGATTTCTTCGAGAACGGAGCTTGTTTCAGCCCAGGCAAAGGTGTAGGAAAAGTCAAGCCCAATTACAGCCCATCTGAACGGTTCACAGTAGCCGACGCTAAAAACGTTAAAGAACTCACTTCTTCAGCTGGAGCTTTGCAATGCACCAGACACTCCATCTGTTAGAACAAACAAACAACGTTTTACATGACTATTTAGCGTTTCAACATTTTCAGCGTCTTCGCGTCTTTTTCATCAAAATGTATATGTACTTATTGTTTAAGGATGATATATATACCGCTAATTAAACAACACAGAGTTAAACCCAAAAGGCATTGATTGGTAAGAGCCTCCATCTGCTAGAACAATGCTTAACGTTTCAACATTTTAGCGTTCTCTTCAATATTCGTGTATACGAATTTGACTTTTGTATGAAAAACAAAAGTATTGTAACAAAAGAGATTAACCTCGTCATATAAGTCTAAAGAGTGACAATGGTTTTGATTATAAACTACTAGCAGCAGTAATTTAAGGCAGTGTCTTGTCAGGAACTGAAGAAGACTGTTGGATTGATTGAGCAGATTTGGAAGCTGTAACAGCTGCTTGTTCATCTTCGACGAGTTTCCGAAGTTTAGCCTGAAGACCACGAACTCGATCCTCTGTATTTCTAAGCCTCCTCCATCTGTAACCTGTCCAAAGGGCAAGAGTACCGTAGACGACAATGTAAGAACCCCAAACGTATGGAAAAGCTTCGGCGTGATCTCTGAGCTTCTTGTATTGCTCTTCAATTGCTCCTACAAAACCAGACGCTATTTGGTTTGTTTGGCTCTCCTGAGCTTCTACTCCGCTCTGCTCTGTTGCCATTCTCAGCTCACAAAATCAGCTTCTTGACCAAGCCTAAGACATTGAAGAAAGCAACTGATAGAGATCAAGCTCATTCCCTATTTACAAACTGATAATTAGCAAAGAAATTAGGAGAACTAGATAAACAAAAAAATTGATACTTTCGGCATGAAATCTCAAAGCATAAACAATCAAGTGCTTCATATTATAGGATCTACATTGAGTTCATTCGAAAAAGGAAAAGCAAACTAAGATTCGTACCGAAATTGGGAAATTTCATGAATGTTTATCCATTTTACTTCTGAAACCTAAAACAAAACTGCGAAATTTTCCGGATGGGATTCACAATTTCTTTGGATTTTGAGGAAAATACAAGCAAAAAAGGGACGAAATCTGTAAACTTTGCAAAAACCATCGAAACGAACGTGAAGGACGGGAGAGATCTACGAAATTGAACGCAGAAGAATTCAAAATCAACCGTCTCTGAGGCATTTAAACACACATTTGCTATGCGTCTAGGAGATCTATAGCTACAAAAACCCAGAATTTCTTTTCATTTCTATTCTTTAAACCATGCGGAATCTTATTGCGAAGAACAAAAAAAACTGAAGAGGTACCTGGATTTAGCAGAGGCCGTTGAAAAGGCTAATCTAACAAGAGGATGATGAAGATTTCCGAAATGAAACTCAGAGAGCCATCTCGCTTAAACCCTATAAAAAAACCCAGATCGAGAGATTGATTGATAACGTTACTCGTTTCCGCATCGCTTATTTTTGGTTTACTTTGGTGTAAGCGGTACAATTTGATTACAGAGTAAAACGTAAACCGAATGTAATTTAATCGTATGCGGTTTGGTTTAAATTCAAGCAAGTATATCGGACTATACACTTTGACTTAAAAAAATCTCAATGTCAAGGAATCAATCAACAAAGTTATGCTGAGAGGAGAGTTGATGATTTGACCAAGTTATGCATGAAGGTTTTGGGTTCACACGACGTATCAAACTCCCTCTCTGGCTCTCTGGCTCTCTGGCTCTCTCCCTCCCTCTCTTCTAAATAAACATTAGACTCTCTACGTGATGTGATGTAAGAAACTAAATACACGATCAAAATCTCTAAACTTGTGCTTGTTGTATGCTCGCACGCGAAGACGTCTGAGCCGGTTGCTTATGTGATCCCAAAAGTAGACACAAAACGACTTTCCAAATTCGATGGGTGCACAGAAAAACTCCAACTCCCCCAGACCAGAAGCCCCCGCCATTTCCAAATCGCCACAGGCGTCTTTCCGACCACTCTCGTTTCTCGGCATCCTCTAAAACCCACATACTGAAAGGATCGATTACTTCCACACATCGAGGGACAAGAGCCACTTTTGCCATGGTGGTTTATCAAATTTGCATCTCGGAACTTTCCGTATCTATAGCCCTCGGGAAACGTGGAGGCAATTTCCAGAGTTTCAGACCTCAGATCAAATCCGACCAATAATGGTTCCTTCATGTCATAAGAGGTGGAAGCAGTGTAATACAAAACGCCACCTACGCACACGTAGTTAGTCCCTAGAGCATAGTGAGGAGTGGAGCAAAAATGGATCATTCTCCATTGAGCAGATCCCAGTGTGAGCACTTGGTGTTGACAAACCTCTTTAATATTGGTCAAGCACAAGACTTTGTATTGGGCATCGACTGGATCATATCCTAAAAAGGACCTCACGATCATCTCGGCGGATTTGACAGTGACAGTGGGTAAGGTGACGGACTTGCCTGTGGTTGTGGGATTACAAACCACTTGTTCCCCACCCACCACAATATAGGAAACTGATGAGACCATGCGCGTAACTGGGCTTCATCCAGCGCAGACTCTACTCTTCAACTGACGCCTCGTGCTTGATAGAAGCTCAGGCGCTTCCTCCTTGGAGAGAAAAGACCAGCTTTCTTGATAACACTTGTCTTCGTTAGTGAAAGCCAAGAGGAAGCGAGGCTGCTTCGTTGCGCAAGGCCGCGACGAGAACAGTCTGATGAAATCCTGACCGCGGATGATTCTTGCCCATGACTTGGATACGCTTACGAACCTGCCTAGAGATTTCGCCGGTAACCTCAAGAGGATCTGTAACAATATGTCCTCCGGAATCTCATCCCGATATTCCAGATTCTTCTTCTCCGCCATTATCCCCGACTCTGCTTTTTGCTTTCTCAAGAAATTTATGATTTTCGTTTCTTTTTAAATAGTTACTAAGACGTTATAACTCGGTTTGATTTAGGAAAGTTACTATTATTACAGTTTCCATTCTCATTATTTGACTTTTCTTCACGATTTCCTTTTAGCTCATGCCGTATTATTTAGCTTTGTACTAGTAAACAGCATCTTTTAGCTACACTAGGGCAGATAATTGATTTATACAGTAACACGCAAGTGTGTCATTTCATAATCATGCCATGGTTCAAGACTAGTTTTCAGGCGTGGAAACAGAATCCTAATGCAACATGAGAAAGCATGCTCTGTTTACTGCCCACTGAGCTGACATGTTTGCAGGTGATGATCCCTTTGATCCATAGGATCACTGCTACTCATCCATAAGAAGATTTTTTTTTTTCGAACAACTTGCCTTCTTTACAAAGCTGCACGAGTAAGAATACAATACACAAAGGAGGGAGCTTCAAGAGCACTGAAGCAAAAGTTACCAAAGAATGCTACAAATCCATGGGAGCTTATTATCGTCCATCAGATTCTTCTCTCCTGGATCAAGCTTCCAAAGGTTCTTCAAGAACTGCAACAACAATAGCATCCATCGTGAGTTGTTTTATTAAGCTTCTCTGTATGAATCAACTGTTACTTATACAGAACAAGGAGAAAAAAGAACAAACAAACCTTTTCTCTTTGGTTGACCTATTTCTGCATTGGAAGTAGCTACGGGCGCTTTTGTGGGGACATCAGGGAGATCCAATTTCTCGTCTTCTTCAGGCACGACCTCTGTTGTAGGCACTCCAGGCATATCCTCAACAATGAGCTTTACACAAACAAAACATTATACGTCACATTTGACTCCACTCAAGTAGATTATCACCAAGCAAATGATACTCCAAATTCATAATCCAGGAAAGATTTTATTCGAGAAACCATGATGTAACATACCTGGTTTTCCAGGTCGTCGAATTCTGCTAAGATCTCTTCTTCATCTTCTGCTGATAGTTTCTCACCCAATATTGCACTCAGCTCCTAAAATCCAAAGTGTTTTCACAGGTTAGACAAAGCCACAAGACTACTCCAAAGGAACACAAAGGTTTTCTTGTTAACTCACATCCTGATAAGCCTTGGCCTCGGCAGTGTCATCCATAAGTTTTTGAACATCATCAAGATTGACCTCGCTCTGGATCGCCTTTATTGCACTATTCCCTTGCTTTAAGCTCTCAAACACTGCCTTCTGCTTGCTTGTAAGTTCGATATCTGCCAACTGAGTCGTGACGAAAAAGTGAAAAATTAAAGGATTCTTCTTCATAAGACTAAATCAGCTACTTTTCTTATATAGCGAGATAATAAAAAGGGATCAAAGTAATATTATACTTGTTGTTCGACATTGATGACCCACTGATCAACTTGCTTCAATAAATCTTCTTGCGTCCGCTTCTTCTTCAATGCTAACAAAGCCCTGTCTTTTCGCTTCTCACGGATTAAGTCTCTCGCAGCTTGCTTCTCGGCTTCAATCACTTTCTCAAGCTAAAATTAAAAGAGAAACAATGTAAAGCTTAAGATAACAAGAAAAGAAACTGCAATCGAATTAGATTCTCAAGGCAACTTCATCACCCATTTGACAACAATGGAAGAGAATCCAATGTTTAAAGTAGACACTTTTAGTTGTTCCTTTTGGAATTAGGATCTGTCTAGAAGAAATTCAATAACTTGTACCCTCTATGACCTATTACTACTTGTGAATCTCAGATTCCAGAAATGGATCAAATTTGAGCAAGATCAAGCCCTAGAAATGTTCGGGTACAGATATCAGAAAGCGAGGGAAGGAATCACGAAACCTGTTGCTGATATTGACCAAGCTTGCGCCTTTGGGTTTTGAGAGATAGAATCGCTCGATCAACATCCGTGATTTTTGGTTTCTTCACGAACAGATTCCCCATCTATCCACTTAATCAAATCCAAACCCAGAAAAAAAGAGAGATTTTTTTCCAGAACTGAAAGAGATTTGTGAAGGGTTTCGCGATTTCAAACGGACTCCAATTTTATTGCTTTCTTTCCTTTTGTCCAGTTGGAAATCAACAACAGTCCACACAAAAGCTTCCGCCTTTTAAGTTTAGCCGCGCGTTTGCTCAAACTGGCGTTTCAAAACTGCGTTCCCAATTTAACATCTGTCACAGTTGTGATTCTATCAAACGCGCTGCAACAGCGCGTGATCGGTGAACGCATTACATAAAGAGAGACACGGCGTTTCACTTCCCTTCAGAATCTCGATTTTTCTGAAGAAGAGAGGTTTCGCCGAGTAAACCCCTTTGCAGATTTCCGACAGGTTTCTCTCTCGTTTACTTGTTTTTTTTCGTTTGTCGGGATTTTGTTCGTTCAAGTTTTAACTCTTGTCTGAAGAGAGCTTTCTGGGTCTGATTTTCCACAGGCCATTTGCTGGAGAAAATGTCGTCGAGAGGAAAAAGAAAAGACGAGGATGTCCGAGCATCAGATGATGAATCTGAAACCCACGCGCCGGCTAAGAAAATCGCAAAGCCAGCCGATTCCTCCGACGAGTCTGACGACATCGTCGTCTGCAATGTTAGTCTACTCTATCTCTCTCTCTCTTTCTTTCTCTAGCATTTGGTAGTTACTTTAGTAACAGTGAGTGTTAGGGTTTCGATCAAGTTTTGATTATTGTTGATAAGTTTTCTCTGAAATTAGGGTTTATAATTGTATTGTTGGGTTTACTTTCAGTTATCTAAGAATAGGAGAGTCTCCGTGAGGAACTGGAATGGGAAAATTTGGATTGACATTCGTGAGTTCTTTGTCAAGGACGGAAAAACTTTACCCGGCAAGAAAGGTAAATTGTTTTGTCTCTTGTTCTCACAATTCACCATTGCTAATAATGTGTTTCCTCATCCATTGTTACTGTTTTGCTTTGCTAAGTGTCTGCATTGAGATAGGTCTTGAAAACCGCAGATTTTAACATTTAACATGAAAATGTTCGATACTATCTCATCCCTGTCTATAGGAGTTTGCGTACTTCTGATAACAAGATTATTGATTAGTAGTGGTTTATATGTTGCAGGTATCTCTCTAAGCGTGGACCAGGTATTTAACATCTCTCTCTTATGGTTTATGTCTTTCACAAATGTTGATGATTTGATGTTATTTTTGCGTATTACATATTTTTGTTTTCTCTCTTATGCAGTGGAACACTCTTCGAAACCACGCAGAGGATATCGAGAAGGCCCTCTCTGATCTTTCTTAGGGCCTAAAACTTGTATAATTGACTAGTTATGTGACTTAAGTCTAGTAGAAGGCGCGAATGTCTTTTGTTTTCACAGAACACTGTTTTCTGCAAGTTTAAACTTTCCTCAACTTCTATCTTTTGTTTCAGACAGGCTTTTTGGTTGGAGGCCTATTTAAGAATGATTACTCTTTATTTTACTGTTGAGATTACAACTTAAGATAAATTAAGGCAAGACAGATTGAAAAGTTACAGAGCTCTTGCCGATTTTCAATGGAACAAAGTCATCAGCTCTTGTTTCGCCTATATTTACAATTGCAGTCATGGCACCAGCCTCATGCGCCGCCCTGCAAAAGGTATCATAATAAAAAGATTATCAATGAGTTGCAAACTCAGACAATGGCGTAAGATTATTCTCTCACATTGTCATTACCTGACAAGGCGAAAAGCGGACATAGTCATTAAAGACGAACCCAACACAAGAAATGCATCGCTCTGTTTCGCAACTTCCATTGCTTGAGTAGCTCTCTCCTTTGGGATATTGTCTCCGAAGAAGATTACCTTGATAAAAACAAAAGTATGATAAGAAAATAACAACAATGATTTGGTCTGTCTCAATTCTCATGCCATAAAGCAATCTTACATCAGGTTTAAGAACTCCTTGGCACTTTTCACATACTGGTATATGGAAACCTTCTTCCCAAAACTTTTCATCGATCTCAATATCACCATCAGGCCTTTGCTTCATGCCAAAGCTCTTCTCTGATCCTGGATCTCCATGTTCAATACTTTCTATTGCTTCTGCCCACTACAATACAGAGAAAAATAAATGTTACTATAACCTTGCGAGACATACAATGAATCAGTTGATTCAAGTTATGTTGTACACTAACCTTAGGATTGAGAGCTTTTAGCTGATCCTGAAACGAGTCTCGGGGAAAAGAGAAGCCACAATCTAAGCACATAACAGTATAAACGGTGCCATGTAATTCAAGTGGACTGTTTCCAGCACGATGATGCAACCTGAGAAGCTTAGAGCTTTAGAGTCAAGAACACTCTTTGCATCAAACAGAGATCTCACAAAAGAGTAGAGAAGCTAATACATTTACCTATCAACGTTTTGAGTTATCATAAAATCAATTCGTCCAGCTTTTTCAAGTGAAGCTAAAGCAGTATGAGCTGAGCCCGGTTGTGCAGCAGTGAACCGTCTCCAACCAGCGTAACTCCTTGCCCAATACCGCCTACGAGCTCGGCTTGATCGAGTGAATTCCTGTGGAACAGAGGTTGTAGACAGTAGATTAAGACAATAATTAAATTCTTCAAAAGTTTGCATCAAGAACCGTAAAGGAATTTCATAGATCTTGCCTTCAGATCACCTGATGAGTAATTGGTTTGAAACCGGAACTGTATGCTCCATTGGGACTGCACTAAATAACCATTCCTCAACATCATTACACAAATGGAACATGGAGAACAGGAATGATCAGATTGAGTAAACATGAATAACCTTCTATAATCAGGAATTCCACATTCTGTGCTAATCCCAGCTCCGGTCAAGATGGTGAGTCTAGAACTGTAAGAGGAAAGGCTCCATTGGGACTGCACTAAATAACCATTCCTCAACATCATTACACAAATGGAACATGGAGAACAGGAATGATCAGATTGAGTAAACATGAATAACCTTCTATAATCAGGAATTCCACATTCTGTGCTAATCCCAGCTCCGGTCAAGATGGTGAGTCTAGAACTGTAAGAGGAAAGAAGAAGAAGAAAGCTATTAGCTTTACAGATCATATATGGATGAAAAGGATTGGTGTAGGAATGATTATGAACCTTTGCTCAAAAAGTTGATACAGCTTATGGATATCGTCCTTGTGGGGAGGATCAGCATCTGGGACAATCTTTTTATCCCTGAGAAACCTTGGAGGTGCTTTTGATTCATTTCCCAGAGAAACACCTGGTATCGATACCCGACATGTTGTTCTCACAAACCTTCTACATTCTCTAAACAACATTGACCGCAGAGGTTGAGACATGCTATGCAACGGAAGCAAATCTGGAAACAAGAGAGAAAACAAAATTGCAATCTAATCAATGAATCGAAAAAAGATGGTGAAGAACATTCCACATCAGGATTTGAGTTTCTCATACTTGCCTATAGCAACACCTCGGAAGACTCTTCTCATGCTCACGTAAGCCTTAATCACAGAGGAAAAGAGAGAGAGAAGAAGAAGATGAAGAAAACTGTTATTAACACATTCTATAGCAAATTGTAATCATACGATAGAGAACCAACATGTTAAATGCAACCATTTTCCTACATCAAGGATCACAATTTCACCACATACGTGACGTAGGATATAATATTCATAATCACACACAGAAATGTATACATGTGTAAGAAGAAGATCTAAGAGAAATGGCACTACTGAGAACCAAAATTAAGCCATCAATCGACTTTCACCGACAGTAAAAATTGAGAGAAAAGAAGGAGAAGAAGAAGCTTACAGGTTCGAATAGCCGAGTATTGAAATGAAAACCCTGTAACATGTAGAAATGTCTCTGTATCGAGAGGTCGTTAATGGCGGATGATACCAGATTTCTTCAGTTTTTTTTTTAATTTGATTTTGCTTTTTATTTCTCCGGGGAAAAACAAAATAAAAGAAGATGAGGTGGCAAAAATCGGACGTTGGAAACTCGTTTGGCTGAACAAGTAGCCACGTTGTGCACTTATCCACCGTTGAGTTCTTTCACTAAACCAAATGATGCCGTTTAAGGAAATGTGACAGAAACCAACTTAAATGCTGAACACTTGTGACTACTCAGATGGAAAAACGGTCAGACCAATCGGTTCGATCCGTAAACCAAGAATTTGTTTTGGAGAGTGGCATAAAATGCAAATAGATGGACTGATTGATTGATTGCCATGCACGTTTTAAATTTAAATACAAAGGTTGTCAAAAGAAATTGATAATTTTAATTTGATTTGGATTGGAACAGATATATCGGATTGGAACTGATCGAGAAAGGGGTAGAAATCAGATCTGTATCTACCTCCCTTCTAAGTTTTTCGTTTTCTGCAATTTCTTATCTTTTTCAGGGTCTAGAAGAAAGATATTTTTTCCGTTTTTTATTTATTTTGGTTTTTACGATTTATTTTTGGCTTGGGCTAACATTATAGCCGTTTGACTTAGAACTAAGTAAATTGTTTGGCTTTCTCATGATAAAATTGAATCAGTTTTTTTTTTTATCTTTTCGATGGTTCTCTTTTCTAGAAAAGTGGAGGACGTAGGCGGATTCTAATACTGGTTTAGCATATGATGAGTCATTGTCGGATTCCAAGAGTTGGTCAAACGATGATGATTTTTTGTCCGATTTAAAGAATTGGTGAGATGATGATGAAACTTGGAGGAGAAGCTGCAGATTCTATTATTTAAAAGATATATATTGTCAATAATTTCGTTCAGTGGAAATGAGAAAAATAAATTTAGATTCTTTTAGTGAAATTTTCGTCAAATCATGTGCAAAAAAAAGTACAAAAATAGTGTCAAAAGATCTAAATTTTTTTTCAATTCATTGGAAGAGAAGCTACTTACAAAACCACAAATTCCTTTCTAAGGATTTCCAAAGAAATATAATCAATAGCTTCTTGTGATTTTATCAGTAAATAAGTTTTTTTTTTTTTGTGTTTTGATTAGATGTTTCTTTGGAATTAGGTACACCGATAGATTCTGATACATCCAAAGAAAGTCTTTCAATTTACAAAGAAATATCTAATCTAATCATATGCATTGGTTGATATTCATCGTGTTTTGATTAGATATTTCTTTGGAAATATACTACGATACACTACAAATCGGACGTTGGAAAGGCTGACCAAGTAGCCACGTCGTGCACTTATCCACCGTTGATTTCTTTGACTAAACCAAACGACGCCGTTTTAGGGAAATGAAACAGAAACCCAACCTAAATTGGTGAAATAACTCCGAATCGTCTTCTCACCGATCCTCTTCGCCGACGGCGATATCTCGGCATCTCCGACGTAAGTCTTACTCAATATCAATTGTGCTCACTTGATTTTTGGGAGGTTTGGATTTTTTTTTTTATTACAGTGCTAGGATTTTTCGATCCTGTACTTAATGATTACGTTGATTACATCTACTAACTGATTCCATCCACCAATCTCAAAGATTTAAGAATGTTGATTTGTTGATAGAATTTTCTTCAGGATTGGTTTCACAATCTCTGGTAAGTCATTTAAAAGCAATCTCTTTTAATGCTGAGTAGGAGGAAAACTTGCTAAGAAGATTATTAGGATTCTGACAGAATCAGTTAGTAGTTAAGTTATTAAGCGATGTGAAGTAATGATTACAGAGCTGAAGATTGACAAAGATGCCACACAGAACAAGGCCTTTGATGGGACTGTTGCTATTCACTGGAATAAACGCTGTTTTGGTGCAGACGATCACTCCAGTCTACGACTTTGTCTGCTTCTTGCCTTACTGGGAGAGAAGGGTATGTTATGTTGTACAACTCTTTACTCTCAAGGCAATGACCACTCTCTCTTTCTCGTTTATGTCTCCAAGCGTGTTACATTAGCTCTAATGATTATGGTAATTAGCTCTTAGAAATAGCAGTGACGCTTTTAGATGAGTTCTCTTGTCGTTAATATGTACATACGAACAAGTCATATTACTAAATGCTGTGATATCTTGGGACTAACTACTTTTAGATGAGAAACTGTTTCTTGAAATGGAGTCATAGGAGCTAACTGAATTGTTTGTTTTCTCTGTGAATCTCTATAGAGAGAGCGTATCAGGCAGGAGCGTGAAGCGGCGGCTGCGTCATTAAACAGCACACAGAAAGCTACTCAAGCATCTGTTGGATGATGAACTCTCTGCATCTTCTCAATCTCTCAGTCATAGTTTACTCTTTGTAAGAAACTGTTTGTAACCTTGAAACTTTGTGGGGTTGTTTTCAGACACGTGCCTTAAGTTAATTGTAGATACTTTCTGAAGTTTCAAAGATTCTGATTATTACCAAGATCCAAGAACCCTACATGCTTTTTTGATAAGTGAGATAGTGTATTGGAGAAAGGAAGAATATATGTATTATGTTATAAGGTTGGGTGGACACAGCTTAATTTTACTATTGTTGAGATTCTCTTTTGTGCTAAACCATCCAAATTGCTCCTTTTTTTAACTTCGCTTTATAGTTTTTATAAATCATTGAAACGTCAGTGTCACTTTTATTCTCAATTCCATTGTATCATCACCACGTTTTTGCACCCAATTCATTCATTCATCATTCATAATAAAAGATGCAATAGCGATAACTTTCATTGTCAAGGTTTAGTGGAGATCTTCTTCTTTTTTGTCAACTGGTATATGGTCATATATTAACCAAATATGGTGAACATTACGTACTTAAAACTTACTAGTTAATAGAGAAACGAAAACACACGAATTATAATTTATGACATATTTTAAAATTTTATTACAATGATAGATATCATACGAAATGGAAACTTGCATTATACACATTTTGGTTTTTTTTTTCCCAAGTGCTTAATCTAAACATTTTGGCTTCTACACCAGTTCCTTTGGTTCATGGTCCGTTATCATCAATACGTAGACTGAAAGGGCTTATAGACCTTAAGATCAAGCATTACTCCGGCGATTGATCCAACTCCGGCGACCACCGAGATCATTAGACAAGTAACAATAAGCATCTTTAAACACACCCACCTCATGCTCCATTTCTCAACCTTTCTCTGCTTAATATACATCTCCACCGGAAAGTAAACCGTCAAGGGCCAAAACCCTAACGCCCCTAAGATCCCGACCACATCGTTGAAAAACGGCATTAGCATCGATATCACGGTGGTTGTAACGACGAAACAACACCGGAAAACCACCCTGAAGACGGTTGACTTGTATGGAGACCTAAACCCGGGGATTTTGATTTCGAATTCCTTGGTTAGCAAGTCATTGTCTGGAAACCTCTCGGAGACTGATTTTTCAACAAAGGCGAAGAGAGGCTGAGAAAAGACTTGGTAAGCTCCGATGAGGTGGACGACAATGGCGGCGTTGGCCACGTCGAGGAGCCAAAACGGGTTGTAGAATCCGAAACCCGTTAGGAGGTTTCCTGGTGCTGCATCTCCAAAGGCGGCATAACCCATTGAGCCACATAGCATGTAGAAGACTGTCGTGACGGCGATGCTGACTTTTGTAGCTCTCTTCATCGTTTTCGATTCTGCCGGTGGAGATCTTACAGTATCCTAAAATAATGAATACAGTAGCTGAGAGTTTGAAACTTGTGTGCGAAGAAAAGGTCACTTGACCTAAAAAAGTGGAGTCATTTGGTCAAAGAAAGGTTGTTTTACTTTACCTGAATCTCGATAAGGACAACAGAGAAGGAGTAAGCAAAGGCAATGTTTCCAAGGGCTTGAAAGGTTCTCCATATCTTTTGTGTTTGAGTCACTGTTCCGATGCTTATTCCGGTGAGACTTCCTTTGAAAACTCCATTTGCTGAGAGATTTCAAAACCAAGATTTTAGCATTTTTTTTTTCATTTCTCATAAATATTTGTTTTGGAGTCTTTTGGTGGTTATAATATTTCACCTGCAACTTGAACGATGCCAAGAGCTAGACCAATGCCAGAGTAAGTGAAGGACATGACAGCTGCAACAATGGAGAGCCACCAAATCTGGTCGAAATCAGGAACCTGAGAGAGCAAGATCTCTGTCACACCGAATATGATCATGTACGGGTTGCTCGACATGTGACATGGGTCTTTTCCTCCGCTCTTGTGGAAGCAATTCGATCTCTTTATCGCCCTGCATGTTCCAAGTTTTAGAATCCTTTCCTTCGTCTCAATATTTTTGTCTGAAGATTGTTTGGCAAGTAAACTAAAAATAACACTCACATCATGCTTATAGATGCTGCAATTGTGTATCCGATAGCGACACCGAATAGATTCAAGTATTGAATTAGTCCACAGATCTTGAACTTGTACCCACCTGTAAGAAAACAGAGCACTTTCAAACTCAGAGCATAAAAACAGAGCAAAAAATAACATAATCAAAAACAGAGCGAAAAATAACAGCTTCAAAAACAGAGCAATAAAATAACAGAATCAAAAACAGAGCATTTGTGTACCGAGAATAGATCGAACGGCGTCCATGTAAGTGTAGTTTCGCTTGCCAGAGACAGCATCACCGGTTCTGTAACAATCGCTTAGGAGTGTGGAAGAGTAGAGAGTAACGAAAGAGAACATGAGCATCACTGCAGGTCCAGCGATCCATCCGAGCTGTGCAATCGCCCACGCCAATGACAAAACGCCGGATCCGATCACTGCCGTTATTATATGTGCGCTCGCAGTCCAAACAGTCCCTGCAAAATTATAACCGCGTTTTTGTTTTGCGTTTCGGCATTAATTTGCGTTCGTAAAACAATATAAAAAAAAGTTGACATTTTTGTTTTTGTCTGAATTTTTACCGGTTCTTTTGAGACGGCCATCGTCGTCGAAGCATTTGAAAGCTGGTTGTGAAGGGACGACGGCGTCAAAGACTTGGTGGCCATGGTGGTGGTGGTGGTGGTGGTTGGCGGCAGCGGTTTCACCCATCTGCAAGAAACCAAAATCAATTTCTGATAATAATTTGAAAACATACGTAAGAACGGAGAGAAATGTAGTAATCTTACGTACCTCCTCTTATTGAGTCTTTCGGAGAAGAAAGACTATTATTACAAACAAGGCTATGAACAAACAGAAAGAACAGCAAAATATAAGTGAAGGAGATGGGTGATGATATATGTGTTGCTGCTGCATTTTGAAGTGTGTTTGGTCACCTTCTTATATAAGCAATGAGAAGTAGGGAATATGAATTAATTAATTAAAACTATACAAATGTTTTCGTATGACAATTATTTCGATTTTGACGATTTTTGCTTGTTGGGTATTTTGCTTTTTTTCTCCACCATCATTAGTGAAGGATGCATAAAAAAATATAAGAGAGAATCAAATGCTTGTTTCCTCCTCCGTACCTTTTGGGGTCGACTTGATCACTCAGATATACTATACTGTTTTTTATTAATATAAAGTTTAAAAACCCATAATTACTTCTTCAAGTGTTACCGATCTATAGTTTTTTTCTTTTTTTTATAACTCTCGTATCCGAGTAGCCATATTCCCGACTATCCCCACAAGTGGGGTCCAGCGCCCCCAACGAAAGGGATGTTAAATCCGTTGTGGCCGGGACTTGAACCCAAGTGGCGGATACCTCAGCTGAAGATTCTTTACTACCGGACCACAAGCACCGATTTCTATAGTTTATTGAGTCTATACTCTATACCGAGTTTAGATATATATAATTAGAAATAATTTATGCTGCCTAAGTGCTTTAATATATTTTATACGGAATGTTCATCAAGCTCTTTACCTCCATATACCGTGGAGTTTCTTTACGCATGCCACGCGTACTGTTTAATTAGTTCGAAAGTCGAAACAAAAAGAAGAAAACTGAATTATGAAAGTTTAGTAGTTTCGAGAACGATAGAAAAGGTCTAGAATGATAGACTTAATATACTATTCATTCATGTACCTAAACATGAATGTGACAAAGGAAAAATCTTATGAAACGTCTTGAGAAATTGAAGTTTGTTGTGAGTTCTTTTATTTTCTCTACCATTTGAATTTCACCAAAACTACTAGCAAAATATGGACGACGCAAAAGGATACGCGTCACTCAGCACTAGTCATCGAACGAAAGCTCGTGCACGTGATGTTCATGTTAAAAGTCAACGCAAGTCAGCTAGACAACAAATATGTGTCATTTTCTGAATAGTTATAGTTTTAAGTTTTAACGAGGAATAAAGACTAATGCCAATTTGTGTTGGTGTAGTAGATCAATCGTATACTTCAATTAGTGATGACTAGAAATCCGATATCTACAAACACACTTCTTTAACAACTGCAAATTTTGTAAAGGTGATGGTAAATCTCGAGATTAATCCATATTTCATCATAACAACTCAGTTTGACCAAAAGATCGAAGTTATACAAATTCTCATAAATAAAAATTTAAATGAAGCCAATGTACCAACACCGTCCATGTCCAGTGTCATAGTGATGGATATGATTGTATTGAGAAGGGAATCGAATTAATTTGTCGAGTGCTCCTATCCACCATTATTTCATTACGATTATTTGTTTTTTTTTTAGTATATTAGAGCATCTTTGAAATTCTTCATTAGGAAACTAGAAGTTCTTTTGAATTCCAAGATTCTGTCTTCCTATAATTCACTATTCCTTCTTTACCAAAAAGCAGATACGAATAATAAACAACTCACTACTGTATTTCTTTTGCACTTAACTATAATTCGTCATTTAGTGTCCTTGTTTGTTAATAAAACTCACCACGTATAAATATTTTTTTGCATTTCTTTTCAGATTTATCGTAACTTTCTACATATTGTAGTACTCAATAGTTGTAGACTTCTTATAGACATTAGATATTTAAAAAAAAAACAAAAACAAATTAATGAACGTAACACAGAGAGATGGTCATTTACAAGAATAAATAATAGAAATGAATCAAATAATAAAATGAGACTTATTTTTGAGGAAAAAAACTTTTTTTTAAAAAAAAAACAGAGCATTATGAGCTCAGACCGAGTACAAAAGATAGTTGTAGTTACAGGTATTTCAACAATTTATATGATGGAAATGACCAAACTTGACCGTGGTGGTGATGCATTAACAATGATACGACGTTTGCCAAATTATTCGTTACTTTCAACTTTAGCTCACATGTACCTCTTTTTCTTCTAATAGATAATTGTATATGGTATACAAATAAAATGATGTTTTAGTTGCCAAAACACTTAGAAAAAAATCCAAGACAAAACCACAAAACAAACCATTATCTTACACAAAGCCCAGAGAGAATTCCGGTTCGGCTGTCGATTTCGGTTTCGTAGATAACATAAATGAAGGCCCAAATGTGGCCCATGAATTATAATTTGTTATAACGGGGTGGTTGAGAGAATACGATAAATTTAGCCAATTGTTTTCTAGCTGTAGTGACGAGAGTGATTGAGAGAGAATGAATGACAACATGATGTGGCAACTGGAGAGCTTGATTTTTTGAAATTTGTTTTGTTCTTCCATTCAAAGTCAAATGAATTTATCAAAATTTGTGTGTGTGCATTTTATTTTCATGCGATGCATAGTAAGTGCGAGGTGTTGGGTAATTTTGATTCAGAAGTTGAAAACTAACCTATCGTAAACTCAACACTACTCAAACATTCCAATATAAATTCTAGAATAAACTACAATCCACAGTTGCAAACGCATGTCATAGTGATTATTGGACTTTTGTACACACGTATGGATATAATTATCATTGTGAATTTGTGATTGTTACATATATAATTGTATAACACGAGTAGTCATATGAATAGTATATTTGTTGTTAAAGATAGGATTTGGGTTCCGACAACGAGGTCCCAGCATGCCTCCTTCTTATCCAACTTATCAAAGCATATTCCAAAACTTCGTAATACGACAAAACAAAAAAGTATATATGTTTTAGGTCAAGTTCGGCAGCTATAACACCAAAGCTCCATGAAGCTTCCTATTTTCAGTTCACACAAGGACTGCAAAAAGTATAAAGTCGATTTCTCTAAATAACAAATTCAGATCAAGGCCAGATACAATTTATCTGTTTTTTATAATAGGATAAAAAACCAGCTGTTATTTATTGGGTTATATCTTTTCTTTTTAGACTTGACTGATACCATCGAAAACGAGAAACAGATTGCCTTATGAGGTTACATTTTTATCATAAGATACTATTTTCCAATCACATATATATATATATATATATATATATATATATATATATATTAGATTCTTGGAGTTGTTACGTTATACAACTAAACAAATTTGACATATCTAAATAATATACAAAACTCATCAAGAAAATGTTATTATATACTGTATAAATCTTTCCAAATTTGACAAGTCTCTCAAATTTTAAATTCAATGAGCTCTAATTAGATTTTCATCCCAGTGATCCCTTAAAATTAGTGTTCCTATGAATAAATGGGGGAGGTGATTAGGGGATATATAAGTCTTCGATGCACCAAATTATTTTACTTAAATATGAGTATGAAATGATACGACTTAAATAAATGTCTACATTCTCATCATATCATCATAGAAAAATCTTTATCAACAAAAAAAGTCATGTTTGACCTATACCTATTGGAATATTCATTTGGCTAAGGGAGTTTTAAATCAATACTAAATGATGATTCGAACATAATAATTTATGTATGTGATAAGAAACGTAAGTGATGATCGTAAAACGGGGAACAAGCCCACGTCATTCATATATATACCTACCTCAACTTTCCATTAAAAGATTTTAACATAGAAGAGATGTCATGTGAACTATTTTAAGTAACCATAACGAATCAAGTTTATGAGATTTTTAAATCGAGTCCGTGATGAAAGCGGTCCAATCTGTACTTCATCAAAGATTGAAGCATGAATAACCGGTCCAATCTTGTTCTGAAACCGAAATGCAAACGATTTCTTTACAAAGTGCAAAAACAGTTTCTATTTATGTTAGCATTTGAATTATACTCTCCTTAATCTTAAAATATATGATAAATTGATGAGAATCTAAATCTGAAATACGGTGTAATCAAACAAAAAATCCGGTGACTGCGATTGGCGATTGCAAATCAAACCTACGATATCCAACGTTCAATGACGTCATCGGTCATGACGCGAGCTTCGCTCAAAGAGGAAATTATAATTTGCTGTGGAAAAGCTCACCGTAGTGTCATTAACTGTCCAATCGCAAGTCACAACCAAAACTTCCACCACAAGAAATGCTGACATCTCTTCAACAAGCTTTTTTGTGTGTTTTTGTCGGATTCAGCAAGGTTACTATAGTCTATAGAGACTATAGAGCATATCCCATTTGAATACAATAATAAAAAAGTATGGCTGCTGAGAAAATATATAATTTTTGGTTTTTGCTTAGTGCCTTAGTGGTAAGTAAAGGAACAAAAGGATAAGCTACACTGAGAAGCAGTAGATTAAAAGGTTTGACACTTGAGGTCGGTCAACAATACACAAAGGGTGCGGCTGACGCAAGCCATGACAACATCGCTACTTCCATAAGTCGACCATGCAGTAAGATCCCCCCACGTATGTACCCAGCTGGCTGCGGTCAGCGTAGAAAAGAAAACGGTCGGTTTTTCCGCACGTGCTGCAAAACCCCCTCGTGTCCTCTCCTCTTTTTTTCTTTTCTTTAAAATTCATTAACCAATTTCGGCGATTTTCGTCCTTATAAAACCTTCACCGCATCACTCACATTTCCTCGATTCCAATCTTCAGCAGACGAGGAAAAACACACACCCCAGATCTAGTTGAAGTTAAAAGAAGAAGTTTTTTGAAGAAATCTCTTGAGAATGAAGGCAGAGCTTAACTTACCAGCTGGATTCCGATTCCATCCGACGGATGAAGAGCTTGTGAAATTCTACTTGTGCCGGAAATGCGCATCGGAGCCGATCTCAGCTCCGGTTATCGCTGAAATCGATCTCTACAAGTTCAATCCTTGGGAGCTTCCTGGTAAATCTATGGTCTTTTATAATCATTTCACGAGGAAAACAAAATAGATGTGTCTCGGAGAAACGTTGCTAATTGAGATTTGTTCTTCTTTGTTTCAGAGATGTCTCTGTACGGAGAGAAAGAGTGGTACTTCTTCTCACCAAGAGACCGGAAATACCCAAACGGTTCGCGTCCGAACCGGGCAGCGGGAACTGGTTATTGGAAAGCGACCGGAGCAGATAAACCAATCGGTAAACCGAAGACGTTGGGTATAAAGAAAGCACTCGTCTTCTACGCCGGGAAAGCCCCAAAAGGGATTAAAACGAATTGGATAATGCACGAGTACCGTCTCGCTAATGTCGATAGATCAGCTTCTGTTAACAAAAAGAACAACCTACGAGTAAGTTTTGTTTTTTCTTCTTTCTTAATTTCCGGTTTACCATTTTCATGATAATGATTTAGATTATTGACTGTGTGTTTTTTGTTGGTTAACAGCTTGATGATTGGGTTTTATGTCGAATCTACAACAAGAAAGGAACAATGGAGAAATACTACCCTGCGGATGAGAAACCGAGGATCACGGCAACAATGGCTGATCAATCATCATCGCCATTTGATACATCTGACTCGACTTACCCGACATTGCAAGAGGATTCGAGCAGCTCCGGTGGTCACGTGGTGTCACCAGACGTCCGGGAGGTTCAGAGCGAGCCTAAATGGGGAGAGCTTGAAGATGCTTTGCAGGGTTTTGATACTTCCATGTTTGGTGGTTCCATGGACTTGTTGCAGAGCGACGCTTTTGTGCCTCAGTACTTGTACCAGCCTGATTATTTCACTGCCTTCCAGGATCCTCCCGAGCAGAAACCATTCTTGAATTGGAGTTTTGCTCCACAAGGGTGAAATCGGAAGAGAGTCAAAAAGTTGTTTTGTTTGCCTGTGCTGTGATGTGCCAGAGAGAGAAGTTCTCAATCATCTCTGGTTCTTAGCAGTTAGTAGTAAAAAAAGTTTGTAGAGGGTCAATAGATGTTAGCATCAATCATTGCTAGGCACATTCTTGTTCTTTCATCAGAAAATTATATGCAAAAAAGACAATTCTTCAAGATGTTGTTGCGCTTATGTAGATACTAACATAAAGATATAACCTAACCTTTATAAGAAATCTTGTTCTCCAAAAGCATTTGTTTCCCTTAGTTTAGAATCTTCATGTTGGCTTATGCATGCGAGGCGATTTCCTCACTACTCTTGTTCCTATGTCTCGAAGACTTTTGACTCTTGTTTTCTTAGCCCGTGGTTTCTTCTGCGAACCAATCTCTCTTTCCTTCTGTTCATGCTGTTTGGAGGGTTTTTCAGATCCATTGTTCTCGCAAGGAGTTTTGATCTTGGGGTCCTCTTTGAAGAGTCCTTTGCTAATTCCTCGATTAGATGGAACCACGGCTTCATCAAAGGAATTGATGATCTCAGAGAGCTGGCTTTCTATCTTTTGGGCAATCTTTTGCAGTTCTTTGCAGCTTTCCTGTAAACAAAAAACTCAGACCAGTTTGGTAATCAGCTCAAAAAACACATTAGTGACATAAAAGTAACAGGGGTTTTGGTCATCACCTTCGATAGAGGCAAACGAGAAACATCATCAATTTGTGAAACAGCTGTACTCAGCTGGTCTTTCTCTTTGCACTGCTTTAGCATTTTCCTGTTTTTTTTTCCAATCCCCGAAGAGAAACATGAAAAGCATTAAATCTAAATTCAAAACATGAATTGAAAAACAGGCAGGAGAAAAAAGAGATCAGAGCTTACTCAAGAGCAATGATATTGCCGCATGTTTCGGTTTGGCATTCCCAAAGTGTTTTATAAGCTCCACTCTTCACTTCCACACTTGCTTCTTTCATCGTGTTAGATGTTCTTCGTAATTTCGCTTTTCTTCCCATTGGGTTTTCTTCTTCTCTACCAGACTCTACCATCAACACATCATTTTGCTCATCTACAACACCCACCTCATGTAATTCACCACCATCAATGTTAGCTTCAACCGTACCTTCAGTCTCACTATTTTCTACAGCCACTTGTGGTTCTTCAGCAACTCCCTCTTCCCTAAGGGTTTCAACAGTAGAATCCCTTAGACATACATTGACTCCATTATCTTCTGTATGCCTTACTTCAACAACGTTAATGGCACCACATGCTCTACGTTTGGAGCGTGTTCGAGATTCAGTCAAACTCACTTCTTCCCCAGACTTCAAACCTCTAACACTTTCTTCCTCATTTTTGCGAGTTACAACCTCAATCGCCAATCGCTGATCACTCCTTGTCCCCTTCTTCACAGCGCTAGCATCAGTGGAAGCATCACTCTTCTCCTTCTCCCCCGGGAGAGTGTAACAGTAGTTGTTGTAGTCACAAAGTATCTCTTTTTTCTCCACAAGCTTAGCTAGATGATGACTGAGCAAACTCGTGTGAGCAAATGGCAAGTTCTTGTACTTGGACTTTATAAACTCTGATATCGCTTCTTCACGAGAGCCACCTTTTTCCTTCAGCTCCGTGATAGCAACAAGAATCATCTGAGAAACAAATTTATAAAGTCAGATGAACACATCAGATATATCTATGTGTGTGTGTGTGTGTATATGCACATAAGAGATTTCATATTGCCATACATACAGCAGAATAAGTGGGATGATCAGGAACACGGGACAAACACAGCTCCACGAATTTCTGTTCGAAGAGCTTAGTCTCAGGAAGCAATAAGCCTCTCGATTTCGCCAAATTCACCATAAAGTCTCTCAGATTCTCAACTTTTCTTTCGTGTGCCTGCAGTCAACACCAATATTCCATAGTTAACGTTCAGATTCAATGCGAGACCACCTCAAAAACTATGGCATCGAGCAATCTAACTTAAGGAACAACTCGAACATACATTATCGACCCACAAGCCTTAATAGAAGAAACAAACCCAGAAATTACCATCGGAAAGACCCTTAATCTCAGAATTAGAAAGTAATTTCAGAAAGAAAAAAAATCAGTGATTTAAATCCTATTTGCTGAAACCTAAAACCACAAACACGCTGACGAACTAAAATAAGCCCTGAAACGAAAAAAAGAGGAAGATACGAAACAGAAGTTACATACCATAGGCACTATTGTAGCAGAGGCCGCCATCGGAGAATAATCGAAGCTCTACAGTGTACGCAGAATCGGCGAAAGTGACAAACTTGCCAATGATGGAGAGAATTTGTATCGAATTAATTAAACCGAGCCGAAAGTCGAGTATATTATTTAATTTAAACCGGTCGGTTCTGTTTGGTTCCCTAAGCTTACCCTAAAGGGATATAAAAAGCAAAACAGCCAACGAAGAAGACGAGAGCGAAGATCAGAGATCAGAAATGCTTCCATTAAAGCTAGCTCGCTCTCTTCTCCTACACGAGACTTTCAGTCTCACGCATAATCCCGGTGATACAGACGACGGCGGCGGCAATGAAGACGGAGAAACCAGTATCCGGCAAATTCTAAGCTCGTACAAGCAATCAAAAACCCGATCGCGATCCGACGACAAGAAGAACAACACTAGAAATTCCAAAACCCCTCTGCTCTACTTCGTTCCCACTCGAGAATTGATCTCAGACACTTACCGATTAGCCACAATCGCGAGAGATCTGGGTATGGATTTGTACCCGACCCCTTCCCTCTCTCACATCATCTTCTCATTCCCGCCGCGTGAATCGGGATCGCCGTCGCCTGCCTCTTCGTCGTCGCATCCTTCGACTTGGTCATCGTCGGCGGCTTCTCTATCGTCTTCTCTCTCGTGGTCTCTCCCAAACGACGCCGTGATGCTCTCCTTCCCATCTCTCTCCGCCTCCTCTCTGTCCCATCTCCGATCATTCGTCTCCCTCTCCAACAGCCTCTTCAAGCTCGTCTTCTCCCCCGCCGTAGAAACTCCTTCCTCCTCTGGATCCGTCAGCAATTGGGATTGCTGCTCCGTTTCTCTCTTCTCTCGAATCACCAGCAAACGAATCGGATCGATGGAGAGTTTCTCGCAGGCATTGGCTTCAAACGGATGGACAATTTACAAGACGAAAGAGAATCCGTCGCCGGAATCTACCGGCAATAGCAACTCCGGAAGCGGAAGCGGAAGCTCAGCGTATCTGTTTAGGAAAGTGTATTCGGGTCGGATCATGACCCGAGACAGAAATGGAGGGTCGTGTAGAGTTAGAGAGCTGAGACTTCCTCAATTGGATTTCAGAAACTCACCTCTCCGGATTCTGCATTATCTGATGTTGATGACTGACGATGTCTTCTTCCTTTCGTAAATTTGTGTTTCTTCAGTGTAATCATCTTCATTTGACAAAGATTGGATCTTTTAGGCATGTAAATTTTTAAATTTCATATAAGGTTTCTAAAAAAAGAAATTCTTGCTCATATTTCTTTCATTCTCCTTTTCCGGATCTTAACAAATCCCCGCCAAAAACATTACCGACAAATCAAACCATTTCTTTAGTCGAGAAACTGTTTGCCACTTATATATCAAACAAAGAACTATTACTGAGCAAGTAAAGCGTACCATAAGATAAAAGAGATTTGGTTGAGAAGTAACATTAAGCTGCTTATTTTTTTTTTATATATATGGAGTAATTTATTTGTACATTTGTTTCTTCAAGAGAAGAAGAATGTAAAACATATTGACAGAGACAAAAACAAAGAAAAGAAGAGTAACACAATGATGAAGAAGAAGATTGATCAAGTGGAGGAGTGAGAAGAAGCGTGAGAACGTGAAGCCCAAATGCCAAACACAAGAAACCAGAAGACGAACAAGATTGCCCAGTAACGTGCTGGTCCATACCTGATTCTTGTCAGCACTACCTGTTTTTTTTTTTTTTTTTTTTCAAAGTATTTTTTAGTCACACTTTCATTCACATATTTCAAAAAGACAAGAAAATGTTACTCACAAATCTGAAGAAGATGACTACTGTCAAAGCACAGAGACCACCGAGGAGTATGTGAAGTCCACTTTTAGCAGTTCTCTATGCAAGACGTAAAAAAAAGATCAATCATAAGTAGAAGCCTAGAACCAAAGTGTGATTAGTTTTACATACCTTTCCGACACGAGGAGCAATGAGCCAAGCCAAAGTAACAGTGAGTAAACCGGTAGCAAGAAGTATCCCAGTACCTTCAACAGCCCATTTAGTCGCTCTGTTCTCCATAGGCAAGATATCAACGCTCACCATACCCAAAGGTTGTTCAGAAGCAACCTGAGAAGATGCAGCCGTAGCAGCAGCCGAATTACTACTATAATTGTTGTTGTTGTTAGGGCAATGTGGACCAAACCATAAAGATATCTCACTAAGCCGTTGCCTTCGAATGGCTGCAACAGCATCAGGATCTATCCCTGAAGAGCTCGTATTGCTGCTGTTGCTAACCGCCACAGGATTCGGATCTCCATCAGCCGTTCTTTCTCTCAGCGCTGCGTAGTCTCTCAACGCGACAACCACTTTGTTGAAATCAACCGTACTTATATTCACAGCGATGTATCCACAGATCTCGCAGATGGTTGATCCGTGGTTGACAAACCATTTCAACGCGCAAGCGTAGTGTACCAAAGCGAGATCGTTCTTGCAAGAACATCCGAGCTCTAGCAACGTGTCTCGATGCTTCCAAGCTCCCATTTCTATGTCCTCGTTCGCGCAGACGAAAACTTCTCCGTCCGGACTTATCAGCTCGATGAATCCGCTTGGTTTGACAACAGAGGAGCTTTTCTGATCAAGAACAGTTTCTTCCTCCGCATTGCTTCTACGAGGTTCTGTAACAGGAGGAGTGATACCTAGAAACCCTAAAGCAGCATCTCCTCTTCTGTCGGATTCAGCACATTGGCACACACGGCAAGTTGGTAAACCTGAGTCTTTGTCTGAGCTGTAACGTGGTGCCTCATGTTCTTCTTTCTTGATAGTTGGAGAATCGTGATCACTGACTCCGCTATTTGTAATCTCCAACTCATTCTCTTTACCCATCAAATCCCAAAAACTAACCAAAGCTTCTTTATGTCTTGTTCCTTGTAAACACTTCTACTCCATAGACATAAAAATCACCTTTTGACAAGTCAAAAACAAAAGTTCCCATCTAACAAATCTATTATCCCTTTAAGAGAACATAGAGATTGTACACTTAAAGCTCCTGCAGTTAAAACATACCAAATTGCCAGATTTAGCAACATATAAAGATTGAACACTTAAAAGGCAAAAATAAAGACATGTAAGTAAAAGGAGAATACAAACAAAAACAGGAAGCAAAACACAAACAAGAAATGGAATCCAGGTTAGAGAAGCATCAAGGAGTTTGTCTGTATCAAGTGAGAAGAGATTTCTAACGACACGCGAATGAGACGTTGCAGCTATAATATATGAATAAGATCAAACTAACCTATCAGATCATGAGAAGAACAGTCAAGACATCACAGAAAAAAATGTTGTCTGCAAATCAATAAGATTAGTTTTTTTTTTGTAGATTGTTGTAACGGAAAGATCTCAATAATGTGTAAGTAGTAGACGAAGACGACATTACTCTAAATAGTTTTTTTTAAAGCATCGAACAAGGATTCCACCAAACACCCACTCGTTAATAAATTAAAGATTGTTTTTCAGTTGTAAGACAAAAAATCGTCACTTTCAAGAAAAGTTTTCTCCTTCACTGAATTAAGTAAAGAGCACCAAATTAAGCATATTGATTAAACTTTTTACAGAACGAAGCAAATGGGAATAAAAAACGAAAGATCTCGAACTGCAAGAGAAAGAGAGAAGAAGAAGAATCAATAATAAGAAGGAGAGAGCAAACCTCCGAAGAATCTGGGTAGAGATCGATTGCTACACATAAGAGAATCCAGGCTCATCCAAAAAAAGAAAGAGAGCCCAATGCGTGTCTCTCTCTCTCTCTCAGTCTCTCTCGCCGCCTAAAATAGTGGGAATTTGGGAAATTAGGTATTGGGGTTTATCAAGGAAGAGAAAGATCTCATCCTTGTCTGTGAGCTTGCGCGTTCAGAATTTGTTTCCTTTTTTTTTTTTTTAATCTTTCTCTGGTTTGTCCTTTTTATCTTTACTTTTGTAACAAATGTAAGTGAATGGAGAGTGATGCTTCTCTTCTTTGCCACTAACACCAACCACTCGTATCGTGAAAAGTGTTGATTGTTCTTTTTCTTGTGTTTTTCTCTCTTTGGTTATATCAAAGCTTCCTTTTTTATTTCCCACGGAAAAAAAACTGTTAAGATTCCCACAAAAACAGAACAAAAGCAAGCGAATAAGATTTGTACAGCGAGAACAAAAAAGGAAATCTTTTTGCGTTGGAATCTGATTATTGAAATCGACGACTGTACATGATAAATCTTTCGGTTAAACTTGGTTCTGTTATGTAAGAACTAAGAATCTTGTAGACAATATCAGCGGAACATGTATGACCTGTAATAAAAACATGTAAATTTTCAACATTGTAGGAAAACGCGGACTAATTATAAAAATCGCGTTTGCAATTGCTGTTTAGGAGTCTCAGCCGCGATTTTTTTTCTTTAATCGTCACAGTAACACAAAACACAAGTAACAAACAACGGAGCGTGGAACTCCAACATCCATAAGAAACGAAACGCCTGAAATAAACTTCAATCTCCGGCAGAGCTTCCGGCGATTCCAAAATTCACCGATGGCCATTCTTTCAGTCGCATCTTCTCTCATACCATTCTCTCGTATGTACTCTTCCTCCTCAATCCAATCTGGTTAGATTATGCTGGTCGATTATTGTCTCTGTTTTGTTCCAGTCGTTGAAAGATTTTGACTTTCCGATTGGGTCTTCTCCGGAAAAATAGATAAACTTGGATCAAAGTGTGAAACTTTTGATTCGATTTAATCTCTGGGTATTCAAAATAAGACTGATGGACCAATACTTACCAAAACATGGACTATAAGGTTCTCCACATGACTCTGAAGACAAACATGAGTGAAACAAACTCAATCCAAGGGAGGAACATCAAATGGACCAAATTTGGGAACCGAAGAGGTAAGGAGTCCGAAATGTACCTTTGTGCCTCCACATTGTAGAAACTCACTTGTAGTGTATAAATGGAACTAGATGGACCAATACGTACCAAAACATGGACTATGAGGTTCTCCACATGACGATGAAGACAAACATGAGTGAAACAGTCTCAATCCAAGGGAGGAACATCAAATGGACCAAATTTGGGAACTAGAAGAGGTAAGGAGTCCGAAATGTACCTTTGTGCCTCCACATTGTGGAAACTCACTTTAGGTGGCGGATTTGGAGGATTGTACACAGCTTTGAGATTAGAATCGCTTGTGTGGCCTGACGACAAAAAACCTCAGGTGATGTTTATGGTGGTTTTGATTCGCTTTCAGTTAGTAAAAGACTTATATCCGTTGAATACATTTTGATGTTTTGGTATTTGATCAGGTGGTTTTGGTTGACCAATCCGAACGTTTTGTGTTCAAGCCGATGTTGTATGAGCTTCTCTCTGGAGGTAGAGTTAGTTACTTCATGACTGGTCAATCTTTGCTATTGCTGTGTGTTGATTTAGTGTCTGACGTTTTTCGATCTGCAGAAGCTGATGTGTGGGAGATTGCTCCTCGTTTCTCGGATTTGCTTTCAAACACTGGAATCCAGTTTCTCCGAGATAGAGTCAAAACATTGCTTCCTTGTGACCATTTAGGAGGGAATGGTTCTGAAAGTTCTGTTGCTGGAGGAACCGTCTTGCTCGAAAGTGGTTTCCTTATCGAATACGATTGGTACGATCTCATTCGTTTTCTTTCTTGTTGATTTATAGCCATACAGTTAAGTTGGAGACTTGGACTCATTTTCTGTCTTTTTCTACAGCCAGGCTGGTTCTTGCTCTGGGCGCTGAACCTAAGCTCGATGTTGTTCCCGGCGCAATGGAGTTTGCTTTACCATTTTACACTCTTGAAGACACTATTGTAAGAGTTTATATATGCCTCATTTGAGGTTTTACTTGGTTTATATCCCTTTTGGTTACGGCTTTACTGCTAAATCATGGCTGCTACAATGTCATTGCAGAGGGTGAAGGAAAAGCTGAGCAAACTGGAGAGGAGGAATTTCAAAGACGGCTCTGCCATTAAAGTAGCTATTGTTGGGTGCGGTTACGGAGGAGTTGAGTTAGCTGCAACCATATCAGAAAGACTGCAAGACCGCGGAATAGTGCAGTGCATCAACGTGTCAAAGAGTATACTAACATCAGCCCCTAATGGGAACAGAGAAGCAGCTATGAAGGTAGCTTCTATTGCTATTGCATCCTCCATTTTGATTATGACTGAGTAATAATGCTAAAGTGATGTCCTTTTGGGATTGTGGTGGTTAGGTTCTTATGTCGAGAAAAGTCCAGTTACTCTTGGGTTATCTTGTTCGATGCATAAAGAGAGCTGGCGATTCGGAAGCTTCAGAAGAAGATGGAGGATATGTGTTGGAGCTTCAGCCTGCGGAGAGAGGATTAGAGAGTCAAGTTATCGAAGCTGATATCGTGTTGTGGACGATCGGTTCTAAGCCTTTGCTGACGAAACTAGAACCTTCAGGCCCTAATGTCCTTCCTTTGAATGTTAGAGGACAAGCGGAGACAGATGAGACACTCCGTGTCAAAGGACATCCGAGGATATTCGCATTAGGTGATTCGTCTTCTCTCAGAGACTCAGACGGGAAGCTTCTTCCTACAACAGCTCAGGTTGCTTTTCAAGAAGCTGACTTTACTGGTTGGAACATATGGGCAGCCATAAATGACAGACCTTTATTGCCATTCAGGTAAAGATTAAAAATACTTTTTTTTACTGTTTCTGTGTAATGAAAAACAGTAAGTTTAAGATTTTGTGTGATCTTCTTTTTTTGTTGCAGGTTTCAGAATTTAGGTGAGATGATGACTCTTGGAAGATATGATGGTGCAATTTCGCCGAGTTTCATTGAAGGGCTTACGCTTGAAGGGCCAATTGGTCACGCAGCAAGGAAGTTGGCGTATTTGATTAGACTTCCAACAGACGAACACCGGATTAAAGTCGGAATCAGCTGGTTTGCTAAATCTGCTGTTGATTCAGTTGCTTTGCTTCAGAGCAATCTAACCAAGATCCTATCTGGTTCTTGATGATATGTGTTGGATCAAAACGGTGCCCTGAATGAAATGTATGGGTCACTTTGAATACTTGATGGGAATAATCATTGTAGAAAATGGACTCTTTAATACTTTATGGGAATAGCTATTTCAGAAAATACTAATAGACTCTCTGTGACACAACTCCTATCACGGATGAGGAAAAATATGGGAGTTGAAAAAAATGGAGTGCGTTGTTGACTGGTATGGTATGTCATAGAAAATAGCGGGAAACAGAAATAGCCAACAAAATTTAAATTTTCTGAGACATCATAAAGGTTTCTTCCTTATTTTCTTTGCCATTCTTATTAGTTTTCATAATTTTCTTAACCTCTAACAAATTTTGTATCCAAACTCTAGATACAAGTCGATTATAATAATGTGACATTTAATTTACAATGAATTTTGAAACAAAAAGATGAATAGTTTATCATTCTTTTATAAAAGTTTTAACATATAATCTCAAAGCTTGTTGGTTTCTTGAATTTCAAACAATTTATAACTTTCTTTCATTATTCTAGCAGTTAGACAGGCGTTATATAATAATATTTTTAAAAGTTAATTTACGATGATAAATAAAATGTTAATAGTTTGTCATTTTCTTAAGAAAACATCAATTCTAACGTACTTTCTTTGAATTCAAATATTTTTCTTTTACCTCTTGTACATTACTATAGCCTTCATACACTCGTCAATTACTATAGATATTCTCAAACCTTACTTGTTCTATGAATTTAGAAAATCCAATTTATACAGCTTTCATAAACATGTTTCATCTTTACCTTCTGTACATTACTATAGCCTTAGACACACGTTGATTACTATAGATATCCTCAAACCTTATTTGGTCATAAAAATTGAGAAAATCCAATTTACACAACTTTTAGAAACGTGTTCCTTATTTTCTTAGCCATTCTTATTACGTTTTCATATGATTTTATAATCTTATAAATTTTGTATCTAAGCGTTTGGACACGCGTTGATAGTAATAATGAGACTGTTGACTGTTAAAATTTTTCGTACGTTTCTTATCTAGTAATTAATTTCGTATCTAAACCTTTTGGACACGTCGATAACGATAATAAGACACTTAACAGTAAATTTTCATTAAAACTTGTAAACATGCAGGGATTAACAGATAATCTCAAATCTGATTGGCTCTATGGATTATGAAAATCCAAGGTCTATCATCTAGATACATTGTGTTTGTACCACCAGTAACTTTTAAGTCTCCTATATAAATCAGGTATCTGGTAGCTAGTCAGTCATATACTCATAATCACTGTTTTCATTTCACTATAACCGTAGAAGATAATCATTTTCTGTCCTTTCATTTTCTGTCCTTTCAGTTACTTCTGTATTAGCTTCATCCCCAAGCTACCATAAACCCTTTACCTTCCTCTTTGAATCGGTACGCTAAAATCTCCTTCGTCTATTTAATTAGCTAAATTCCACAGGATATATATCATCTTTCACTGTTTTACGTTTACATTTTTAAACCTTTGAATCTCTTTTTTTTTTTTTTCAGCCATGGAAGTTGATGGTCAGAGACAACACTCTGTTTTCACGATAGCAGAGATTCGTGAGCAGATCATGAAGGAAATCGACCAGATCATGGAAGTTTTCTCTCTCTCGAAATCAGATGCAACCGTAATACTTATCCGTCTCCGATGGAACATGTTCAAAGCTTCAGATCGTTTGGGTGACGACGATAAGAAGAGATTTCTGGCGGAGCTAGGGTTGGTTCCAATTACCGGTTTGTACAAAAACAAATCGGTTGATTCTTGTGTGGATCATGAGACCCACTCTCCCGATGATGGCGAATACGTGGCAGTCTCCACACCCTTTTGTCCACACAAGTATTGCACAAAGTGTTGGAGCAAATATCTCATCCAATCTCTGCATATGAAGAAGGTGGGTGAGGTATTAGCACTCTCATGCCCTAAACCAGGCTGTGCTGCGTCTGTTGGACCAGACACGATCGTGAAGCTCACACCAAAACTGATGGAGATATACGATGGTTACGTTCTGGCATCTTACATGGCGGGGAAATCGATGAAATGGTGTCCGGCTCCTGGAGGCTGCGATTACGCCATTGAGCTTGGTAAGGACGTGTATGGTGATGTTGGTGATGAGGATGATGGTTTTGGTGTGGTGTGTGTGTGTGGTCACATATTCTGTTGGAGCTGCAAGGGCGAGTCACACCGGCCCGTGACTTGTAACAACGCTCTCACTTGGTTGAGAGATCGCGAGGATAAGGCAAAGAGCCTTGAGTGGACCGTGAGTAAGACCAAACCTTGTCCTGTTTGCAATCTTCCTGTGAAGAGTAACAGCGACACTGATGTGAGACTCGTCACTTGTGTCTGCAGGTTTGATTTTAATTAATACTTTTTTTTCCATGCTTAATTAAAAACTAATTAACTCGTTTTCTTTTGCTAATTTGATTATTGTTATATATGCGATCTAGTAATGTCTTCTGTTGGAACTGCTTGGGGAAAGGACCAGAGCACAATGGGAATTGGAATTGTGTTGAGGTGGTCTCTGTCACACCACCACCGAAAGATGAGTTTAAACTCAGGCTTCACTTGAACCACTGGGATGAGAGTCAAAATGTTATGCAACAAGCTAAATCCGTTATCCGAGACTTGGAGCGCTACTGTATACCAAAACTAACCGAGAATTTCGGTTTAGGGGAGGAAGATATCAGGGCTCTGAGAGAAGCCTGGATGCTGGTTCTTCAGTGCCTGCTCGTCCTGAAATGGAGCGGTGTGTTTGGTTATTTCTTAACCGACTATCAGAGCGCCAAGGTGGAGTACCTGAACCACCTTCGTGATAAAGCTGCCGTGGCTTTCGATAGCCACAAAAAGACTCTTGATGAGTTGGTGGGTGGAGAGTTAACAGCTGAAGCTTGCGGTTTCTTCAGGCACAGATTGGAAGCCACGACGGCAACAACTGGGGGTTTCTTCCATGACTTTGTCAAAGCTATGGAAGGTGGTTTTTCTGAAGTCAAGGTTAATTCTTATGATGATGCACCGATGAGCTCCTGGTTCTGCGATCGCTGCACGTTTCAGAACAATTGGTTTGATAAGGAGTGTGCCATGTGCTTTGTCCCTTCTGAGTCTCCTGCTCCTCGTGACGTGGCTTCTAGTTCTGGTCATGCCAACAACATTGCAAGTACAAGTGCAAGTGCTTATCATCTTCATCATGTCCCAAACATGCCCAACATTCCATTTGCTTATCATCTTCATCAAGTCCCAAACATGCCCAACAATCCATTTGCTCCTCCTCAACAAGGAACCAACCTTCCCAAATTCGGTCAAGAGTGAGAATGATGTCTTCTTGTTATTTTGACTCTCCTTTATTTGTCGTTGAGTCTTTATGAGTCTTTAAGAGTCTTTGTTGTTTTTCTTTTCTTGGTTTTAGAGTCTTTGTTGTTTTTCAAAATAAATAAAAAGGAGAGTCTGCTGTTTCATTAGTCAGTTTCTGGTTTCACTAATCATAAATTTTTCCTTCTCTGCATTTTCATTTTTCTATTATCAGTTTATCACCATGATATCACTTTCATAAACAAAGAAATGCAAATCAACAAAGCAAAAGATAAAAAGACATGAACTATTTTTTGTGCATGTATATGTCAGAGATAAATATGTTGAAGAAGAGAGTGATTTTCCAGCCATACATCTGTAACATTTTAATATATAAAATAAATTATCAAGAAAAAATAGGAAAATATCCATCCGGTGGATGAGAAAATTTTAACGGTCTGCAACCGTTTCCTTTTGCTTCTTCCCCCCCCCCCACACTGCCATTTGCTCACTGGCCCATTTCGTCGAACACCTTTCCTCTATCAATCCATGTCAGTGAGCAAACTTCCACATCTCTCCCATGGCGTTCACACCATCGACGTCCTCAATTTCACCAACGAACCAGTGGTTTTAAGTGTGCTGCTCACATGTCCCTCGCAGATTCGACTATTCTCGGCCGTTTCCACCGCCGCATCGGCCGCGATCGGCGGCTCCAAGTGCTACGGAGCGAGAAACGGCGCCGGTAGAGGTGATAACGGGTCGAGGAGAGAGAGTGGAGTAGGTTTCTTCGAAGACGACGAGAGAGGAGAGAGAAAAGTGCGGTGTGAGGTGGATGTGATCTCGTGGAGGGAACGGAGGATAAGAGGCGAAATCTGGGTCGATTCTGATTCTCAATCCGTCTGGAATGTCCTCACCGATTACGAGCGCCTTGCTGATTTTATCCCAAATCTCGTCTGTAGGTACTTCACTGAGAAATTCCCAAATTGTTGAATTGTTGCTTCTCTCCTGCAATATATGAAGCTTGAATTGTTGATACTAACAAGACCTTGATGTTGATTGTTTCAACTTCTAGTGGAAGGATTCCTTGCCCACACCCAGGACGTATATGGTTGGAGCAAAGAGGCCTTCAAAGAGCCTTGTATTGGCAGATTGAGGCTCGTGTTGTCCTTGATCTCCATGAGTGTCCAGATTCTGTGAGCACTTTAAAACCCCCTCATTGAAAATGTTGCAACCTAGCTCGTTTTACTTTTCTGCTGTCAGGGCTGATTCTTAGTCCTGCAATACTTTGCCAGACTCTGTGATCTTGTTTTCAGCTTTTGATAAGAAATTAAGAACCAAGATGTTGCCTTTATACGTTTATACAAAAAATTAGAGGAGAGTGGATCTAGAATCGTGATTATATAGGAATTGCTTGCTTCTTGCTTTCTCATTTCAGCCTACTTTGCATTCCTTGCTTTGGTCTTCACAATGAGTTCTTATATTACACTGTTTTCTAGGTCCCATACATGTATGTCTAATAATGCAGTTTCGTGCTTGTTTTCTTTTCTGATTGTATTAGCCAAATGGCCGTGAGCTTCATTTCTCCATGGTAGATGGTGATTTCAAAAAGTTTGAAGGAAAGTGGTCTGTGAAATCTGGTACCAGGTACACTCTTTTAATCCCTGTGAGAAGTTGGTGTGCACATACGTATATGATCCTAACATCACTTATTCTCCTTTTTCCAAACATTTGTTTTTTCTGTTTCTACAGGTCCATAGGAACTATCTTGTCATACGAAGTAAACGTAATCCCAAGATTTAACTTCCCTGCCATTTTCTTAGAGAGGATAATCAGATCAGATCTTCCTGTGAATCTCCGAGCCTTAGCTCGCCAAGCTGAGAGAAACTATAAAGGTTATGGAAAGCCGTTAATAATCAAAGATTTGCTGGGTAGGACATCTATTCCGCCGACCCCATCTCATGGTGTTGAGTTTGAAAGTCTAGCCACTGAGAGATCTGTTGCCTCCACTGTTGGATCATTATCTCATTCGAATGAATTACCTAATAACTGGGGTGTGTATGGAAAAGTCTGCAAGCTTGATAAACCTTGCACCGTGGATGAAGTTCATCTTCGTAGATTTGATGGACTATTGGTAAGCTTGTTGGTTTCGAAACTTAATATGTGAGAGAAAAAATTAAACAGTTTTCTCATCATTTGTGGTCATTGATGAGTGGTTTTTTTTGGGATGAAGGAAAATGGAGGTGTCCACCGTTGCGCCGTTGCTAGTATAACAGTTAAAGCTCCTGTTTGTGAAGTTTGGAAAGTTCTTACTGCTTATGAGAGTCTTCCAGAGTAAGTATGGAATGCTTTTATTTGTCAACAGAGGAGTATTGTCTTGTCAACTTTACTCATGTCTCAGTCTTTATCAAATATTGGTTGTGCTGCCTTATATATCTCTTCTTAATCTGCTTTGTCTCTGTTGTGAATCTAACAGGATAGTTCCAAATTTGGCAATCAGCAAGATTCTGTCACGCGAGAACAATAAAGTCCGGATACTTCAGGTATGATCATTGTCATCCATAGTGATCTGTTAATCAAATTTGGAATGAAGTAGTAGAAACTTTGTACTTACACCTTACTCTGTTTGCAGGAAGGATGCAAAGGGCTGCTTTACATGGTGCTTCATGCGAGAGCTGTTCTCGATTTGCATGAGACTCGTGAGCAGGAAATCAGATTCGAGCAGGTTGAAGGAGACTTCGACTCGCTTGAGGGGAAATGGATTTTTGAACAATTAGGAAGCCACCACACACTTCTCAAGTATACAGTGGAGTCCAAAATGCGAAAAGATACATTTCTTTCTGAAGCAATTATGGAAGAGGTTTGGTTAACGATTGGTTATATTCAGCCTTATTTACTCTACTATTGTGTTACAATGCTTTTTTCTCTGAATCTTTTCAGGTTATTTATGAAGATCTTCCGTCAAACTTATGCGCAATTCGAGATTACATCGAGAAAAGAGGAGAGAAATCTTCAGAGTCATGTAAAGTGGAGACCTGTCATGTTTCAGAGGATTCATGTTCTTCATCTCGTGGCACATCAGTGGAGGCTGTTTACAACAATAATGATGGTCATGGCACGGATCAAACTAAGCAGAGAGCGAGGATTCCCGGTCTGCAAAGAGACATCGAAGTGTTGAAGTCAGAGATTCTCAAGTTCATATCAGAACATGGACAAGAAGGATTCATGCCTATGAGAAAGCAGCTCCGGTTACACGGAAGAGTTGACATTGAGAAAGCCATCACAAGAATGGGTGGATTCAGGAGAATTGCTTTGATAATGAATCTTGCACTTGCTTACAAACACCGGAAACCGAAAGGTTATTGGGACGATCTCGAAAACTTGCAAGAAGAGGTAAAGTTTCTCGACATGTCCAAATTCATAACCACCCATTGCAATGGTGTTTACAAGAGCTTCTCTCTCTGCGTGTGATTGCAGATAGGAAGGTTTCAGCAGAGTTGGGGAATGGATCCATCGTTTATGCCGAGCAGAAAATCGTTCGAACGAGCTGGTACGAAACAATAAACTCAATTTTAAGCTTTTGTGTTTGATTGGTCCGAGAAACATTGTTGATGTGTTGTTTCAGGTCGTTATGACATTGCGCGTGCGCTCGAGAAATGGGGAGGATTACACGAAGTGTCTCGTCTCCTAGCATTAAACGTGAGACATCCGAACAGGCAGCTAAATTCTCGTAAAGACAATGATAACACGATACAGAGAACTGAATCAGTTGAGACTGATCTAGATTCGACGGTTGTTGATAAGAAGAATAAACCTTATGCCTCTCAAGATACAGAGAAATGGTTGTACAACCTTAGAGATCTTGATATCAATTGGGTTCAATAAGATTTTTATGTACATTTAACATTTTCACTATCCTTAGGCTTGTATCTCGTAAAGAAAAACATTTTTTTTTGTAAATTGCAACAGTAGAGTGAAACCCATGTATATTCATATAAACTCTAGTTTTCATAATTTCACTCCTAATTATTAAAACAAACATTACTTATTCTTCTGTGCGTCTTAATAGTCAATACTCTTTAAGGTTTTACTTACACTACATATGTATGACACTAAATTATAAATTACGTTGATATAAAGTGAGAGAGCACAGAACTATAAAGTGGATTATAGCAAAGAACTAAGAAGTAAAGGCACGTCAGTGAAAGTTGATAGTGATGGTTTTAAGAAAATATAAGTCTCGTCTGTCTTCAATATGAAATGAAATTACACGTAATTAGAAACAAACTTCTTCCAAGGTTTTAGATTATTACAGAAACAAAGTTGCAGAGATCGTGACTCATGACTGAAGAGAGAGAGAGAGAGAAAGAGAAAGAGTTTGGATGTGAATTGTGATGTGAAAAGCGAAGGAAATAACATTTTAGGAAGGGGACAACTGTAGAAAATAGAAAATGCATGCATATATCCAGAAAAGAAAAGGGTTTTAATATTGAAGGCAAACTATCCCATAATCTTGAATATTTCGATTTTATGGCATGTATATTATGTTCATGGGACCTTCCTCTAGTCAAACCCACCCTACAGCTCAAGAAACACATAATGATATAAACAACATTTTTCTCTTTCATATAAGATTAGTTAAGGAAATTGTAAAATGTATCTATCACCTTTTGGATCTACAAACAAAACCCATTTCACAAGAACTATCAAAGAAGGAAGAATGTTGTGATATCGGTTGGGGGGAATGAAGCCTGGTCCGAGAATCATTAATTGATGAACGAGTGATCTTCTTCATGACCTCGAGCCAGACAACATTCCTCTCAACCCTAAACCAAAAGGAGGAGAACTTTATGTAAGAAAACAGAAGAAAGAAGAAGAAGCTAGAATCTAGGGGTATGTCCGTATGTGAGAGACTATAAATTCCAAGCTTTGTCGTTATATATATAGAGAGAGAGAGGGGAAAATGACCGCAAGACCAAGATTTTCAAATTTACGTTTCTTACATTAATCTAGTAACTTTTTGGGGTCCAAAAAGGTTCGATTATTTTTTTGGTTACTGTCTTAATATAGTGTGTGTAGGGATACCTATAAATAGAATCTTACAAGCTGTGAAGTTAAAACATACTCCAACTGGACATTCAAACTTCTCCTAAATTTATAATTTCGTTATATTTAATATATATATATATACATAATTACATATTCGTTTGTCTTTAGTTGTTTCTTATTTTCCGAAGTCAACAGACAACAGCAGTTAACCTTCTTAACATTCAAACCAAAAAAAAAAAAACAGCAGTTAACCTTTCTACATTTTTATCAGCAATAGAAATATGTGTTAGGTACTTAGGTACTTAATTAGGTGACGACTTCACGAACATATGTATTAATCTCATTCATTGTTGTGAAAATGACAAAACATTTTTTTTGGTCTTTACCTCAGTACATCCACAATTTTCCGATACTAGATCGCTTCAAATTATACATACAGGACTATTGTAAAATTCAACAATAAAACATTTTTCTAATTTTTAGTAATTTAGGTGGATAAAAAAGTGAGAGACAGACAGCGTTGAAAAGAAATATTGATAGACCACGGAAACATAAGAAGGATAATGGGCAAAGTAGCAAAGAATAAAAGGCACGTGAAAGTTATTTGACAGTGATGGTTTAAAGAAAAATAAAAGTCTCGTCACTGTCTTCAATATGAAGCGAAATTACGTTACACGTAATTAGAAACAATCTTCTTTCTGGGTTTAGATTGTTTCAGAACCCCAAGTTTCAGACATCGTGACTCGTGACAGAAGAGAGAGAGAGCATGGATGTAAATCGCGACGTGAAAAAAAGCGAAGAAAAACTAACATTAAAATTGATCCATAAACAAAGAAGAAAAGGGTAAAAAAGAAGAAGAAGAAAAGGTATTCTTATTAATATTGAACAGAAAATATTATAAACTCTTGAATCTCTGTTAAATTTCTCAACTTATATAAACAAGATCAAAACTCATCTCACAAGATAGGCCACAGGTGAAAGTAAGGCAGCAAAACTGAAGGAAGAAAGTGGGCTAAACGCGATTTAAATCGGTTGGGGGGAATGAAGCCTGGTCCGAGAATCATTTAGGGTTTGTTTCCATCTTCATGACCTCGAGCCAGACAACGTTCCTCTCAACCATTAACCGGACCACAATGAAAATCAAACTTAGAGGCAGAGCCAACGTTATCGTGAAGAGAAAAAGAGACCAAAGTCAAAAGAAAATGTGAAATGCAAGAAGAGGAGAAAGAATGGGTATGTGAGACAAAGAAACACATGTCGTTCTGTCTATATATATATATATATATATAGAGAGAGAGGATCAAATGACCACAATGCCAATATTATTATTATTATTTTTACTTCTCTTACACAAGTTTAGTAACTTTTTTGAGTTTGAAAAGTCCTGATTAAATTTTGGTTACTGTCTTATTATAGTGTATATGTAGGGTTGCCTAAAATAGAACCGTATAGGAATCCAGAGTTGTGAAGTTCAACATGTTCAACGTTACCACATTCAAACTTTCCTCTAGATTTAGTTTCGGTTGACTATAATATATTTCTCCATTTTCCTTTACCTGTTTCTCTTATTTAATTTCATTCATTTCACATATAACTTCTTCTGATCGAAAAAAAGGTACATGTTTTTGTTAATCTTCCATCAAAAAGATACCATTAGCCAAATAAACTACTGCTATACTCATGTAAACACTAATACATCGAAAGAAGTCTAAAAACCATATGAACTAAACTAAGTCTTACAATAAGACAAAGAGGCATCTTCGTTCTGCAGCATATATTAAATCCATAATGGTAACAAACTGATATACACTCCAAATATGTAAATATTGAGTTAATGCGAGACAGGTACCTTAGCTTCGATGCCATTATTGCCTTATTATTTGTTTTTTGGCTCCATCTCACTGACCTCCTACTTTTTTTCTTGTTCTTCTGAATTTCAATTTGGGGTTTTCTTTCAAAAATATGTTTCATTCAACTTTTGGTACTATATATGTGTGTTTGTTATATATTGATGCATTTGCTTGGATGTGGTTCATCTCGACTTCGTGAACACATGTATTAATTGTTGTGAAAAGGACAAATCATTGTTGTGGTCTTTACATCGATATGTCCAAATTTTCCCAATGTTAGACTGCTTTTCATTTTACATTAAAGAGTCAACACTATTTAAAACGTCAACTTTTTTCAGTAAACTAGCTGAGATAACCTACAAAATCAAGAAATTTTAAAAGCAGTTGATTGTTTTCAAAACTATAATCAAAATAAATTTCAAAAGATTTGTGATGTAGATGAATGCGGATACTTGCATAAATTTTACTTTTGACATCGATTATCTCATCAAGTACCAAACGACTATAAAACAAAGTTGTTGACCTTCAAAGTAATACTAACAAATGCAAGGGTTTCGTAGCAATATTCCCCTTTTCGAGTTGGGTGAAAATAATACAAAACAAACTTGAAGACAAAATTGAAAAACATAAAACGTTGGAAGAAAAGGATCGATTTCTAAAAAACTTGTACACTCTACAGAAGTGAACAACGGGAAGACGTAGCATTCTTTGTATCCATCAGTTTCTTCCTTCGTCTTCTTCATCATGTGATTCCATATACTGTTCAATCTCTCCATGAAAATGTCACTCTTTTCGTCCAGAGAGAGAATAAGAACGATCCTTTGAACCTTCTAAGTTAATCTCTCTTTTAATTTATCGCATTTCCTTTTGATTTCTATAAGTGAAAATGTTGACTAGAGCCCTCGGACGAGCTCGGATTCCTGGTTCGAGGATACATGGATCGAACCATTTGACTGGGTTTGTAGAGAATTCGAAATTGGGTCCGATCGGTGTTTCCTGTAGAAGATGGTTGTCGAGCGAGAGCGGGAAACGTTTTGCGGCGATGTGGGGAAGCGGAGATCACGGCAGATTGGGGCTCGGTAACTTGGAGTCTCAGTGGAGACCTTCTGTTTGCTCTGCCTTGACTGATCACAGCATCAGAGCTATCGCTTGCGGTGGAGCTCACACTCTTTTCCTCACCGGTGATTTTCTCTTCGCTGATTATCCCAAATTTCGAATCTTAGAGTTTGGTATATAAGTAATTACATTAGAATGAAGAATTGTGTTGACTATTGAGTATCGAGCTGAGAAATTCGGAGAATTGGCAACTCAACCAACGAGTTGCTGAGATTGATTCACTAACTTTCGGCTAAATATTGTTGGTTGTGGCTGCAAATAAGAATTAGAGTGATGATGATGATGGAATCATAATATTCCTTTGCCTTGTTTAATTGGGCATGTTAGTGTTCATTTGGGATTTGTAAATTATTCTTCATTGAACCAGTGCTTGATTGCAACATTATCTGATTGTGAGCTTACATTCACTCTCCTGTGACAGAAACGAGGAGAGTCTTTGCAACAGGTCTTAATGATTTTGGCCAACTTGGCGTGTCAGATGTTGAAACTCATGCTATGGTATGTTATTACTATAGGGTTGTAATCTCTTTATATCCGATAGTTCAATTGGAATTGAAGTTTTAAGATGTTGTTGGTTGTATAAAATGTTGTAGGAGCCCCTTGAAGTTTCTGGACTAGAGAAGGATATTCTGCACATCTCAGCTGGTTATAATCACTCTGCTGCTATTACAGGTAAACAACTTGAAACCTAAAACATATCATACTGTCGAAGCGTTTCCTGCAGCCTTCTGGTGAAGTGCAGTGCGTTAGATAACGTATGTTATTTGTAGTTTGTCACATCCTTCCTCTCTTTCTTTTCATCAGTGGATGGAGAACTCTACATGTGGGGAAAGAATTCTAGTGGACAGCTTGGGCTGGGAAAAAGTAAATACCTTTCCCATTCAATAAGTTATGCACTGTTATTTATGTCCTAAGTTATCAAAGTTGCTTGCCTATTTATACATATTTTCTTATGAAGAGGCTGCAAGAGTGGTACCTGTGCCAACCAAAGTGCAGGCTCTACATGGAATCACCATCAAATCCGTGGCTTTGGGTTCAGAGCATTCAATTGCTGTTACTGGTACGGATCTTAGATTCTTTTGCAGGATATAGAAGTAAACATCTTTTTTTTTGTCTTTTAAGTATCTTTCTTGAGCAGATGGAGGTGAAGTCCTGAGTTGGGGAGGAGGGGGATCTGGGAGACTTGGCCACGGTCATGAGTCCAGTTTTCTTGGAATCTTAAGAAGCAGCAGGTTCGTCTGTTATACTTAATTATTATTTAGTCCTGTCTATTTCTCATGCAATTTTTACTCACAAAAATCTCATATTTCCTCCTTGGTGTACTTTATCATAATTCCTTGATAGTTTTCTTAAACTGCGCTGTAAAGTATATCCCTGATTGCAGTGAGTTTACTCCAAGGCTTATCAAGGAACTTGAGGGGATCAAGGTAATTCCCTGGATGAAGAATTTCTAGTTACCTTGTGGCGGTTTTCATCTGTAAACTTTTCATGTTTATATTTTTTTCTGCTCTTTCTATCGAGCACTAGGTTAAAAATGTTGCTGCTGGTCTGCTGCATTCAGCATGCACTGATGGTATTAACTGACTTTTTCTCTTTTTTCTTAAAGTATGAATGCTGTGCCAGTTACCGGCTTTCTGACGTTTGTTTCCAAATAATGCAGAGAATGGCTCTGCCTTCATGTTCGGAGAGCGATCTATAAACAAGATGGTAAGTAAAATGTCTTTTTCCTAAACTTCTATGGTTACATTATACTTAACTAAATCTATCTGGTGGGAAAATACAGGGCTTTGGAGGAGTAAGGAATGCTACAACACCATCCATTATCAGTGAAGTGCCATATGCAGACGAAATTGCATGTGGTGGTTACCACACATGTGTTGTTACAAGTAAGTCTCTCTTATTCTTTAATGCTTTTTGGATGACCGGGTTGCTATTTAGTTCGCTCGTATATATTTCACATGCGTGTCCTACTCACATTTCTTTGCATATGCTCTTTTATATAGCACCAAAAACTGTGTTTTAGTTTCTGCTAAGTGTATGACCATATAGTCATTGAAAGGTTGTCGAATAGAACTCAATTCTTTGTTGTTTCCATCGTTTATTAGGAAGTGGGGAACTATACACCTGGGGCTCAAACGAAAATGGATGCCTTGGCACAGAGTAAGTTTACCACGAAAAATTAGGAAAGTTCCTCATAAGTTCTGAAAAACAAAGTTCTTGCGCTGTGTAGCTAAACTCGTGTCATTTCTTTGTTTTTCTCCCTTATTCAGTTCAACATATGTCTCACACTCCCCTGTGAGAGTTGAAGGTCCTTTCATGGAGTCTAATGTGTCTCAGGTATCTTGTGGGTGGAAGCACACTGCAGCTATTTCAGGTAGCACTTATTTTCGTAAAACATGTTTTTTCCATTTTCATGTGCAATTTATTCACACTCAATTCTGACACTTGTCTGCAGATAATAGTGTCTTTACCTGGGGATGGGGAGGTTCTCACGGCACGTTCTCTGTTGACGGACATTCTTCTGGTGGACAACTGGTTTGTTTCATCATCTTTCTTATTGATCAAATTCTGAAACCATTTACTGACAGATTAACTCATGTGGACGCAGTACCATTTCATTTCTTGAATCTATGAAATCTGGCATCAAAGAATAAATGATATGGTATATATGTTAAATTGTAGGGACATGGTAGTGATGTAGACTATGCAAGACCAGTAATGGTGAACTTGGGAGACAATGTAAGAGCAGTACATATATCTTGTGGCTTCAATCATACAGGAGCAGTTCTTGAACATTTTTGAAGGACATCTTCGGCTCCGATTTCATTTCATATACATATGTTTTGTTTACTCATTCTTTCTTAAACTCTTATACTTGAGCGAGGAGATTGTACATCGGCGTCAGCTCTATAGAAACAAGCTTATGGAACTGAATTTGTAAGAATAAAAAAAAGGTTTATACGTGACAATGATTTTTTCAACATTTCTGATAAGATGAAACTCTTATTTCCACAGCAAAACGTTGAATCCTGTAAAAATGACATTGAAACTAAAACTTCAATACAAATGTGGAGAGATTGAAAACATCAACATTTGTCTCCTTTATTCCAAGTCAAAAAATCTCCAACGAATGAATCTGTTTTCTGCGTAATCTCACACTCACAATGCCTCTCAGCAGCACAGCCTAAAGCATTGGTTTTGTTTTTTCTTTCTTTTCGCTATTGTCAACAAAAGAAGAAGAGAAGTATTAAGCATATAAAAGAGATGAAGCAAGCCCTTAAGCTGCTGACTCCTTGGAGATCTTCTCTGCCTTAGCAACAACCTCATCGATACCTCCAACCATGTAGAACGATTGTTCAGGCAGATCATCGTACTTACCATCGAGCAGACCCTGCCACAATTTACAGTTCACATAAGCTCATATAAAGCGAACAAACATGGAGCAGGGAAGAAATAGGCATTTGGAATATATGAATATATACCTGGAAACTGTTGATGTTTTCCTTAAGATCGACGTATTTTCCGGGAGCACCCGTGAAGATCTCAGCAACATGGAATGGTTGACTCAAGAATCTCTGGATCTTACGGGCACGGGCAACAGTCAACTTGTCATCTTCACTTAGCTCATCCATTCCCAAAATGGCGATAATATCTTGCAAATTCTTGTAGTTCTGAAGAACCTTCTGCACACCACGGGCCGTGTTGTAGTGATCCTCACCCAGAATGTGAGGTGAGAGCATACGGGATGTTGAATCCAAAGGATCCACAGCAGGATAGATACCGAGCTCAGAAATCTTCACACAAGAAAGATGAAAGTATATAGATATCAGCTTTACGAGCATTACACAGAAAATAATCATCATCAGGAGACGACTTCACACCTGTCTAGATAGCACAGTTGTGGCGTCCAAGTGAGCAAAAGTTGTGGCAGGAGCAGGATCTGTCAAATCATCAGCAGGGACGTAGATGGCTTGGACTGAGGTGATAGAACCTTTCTTGGTGGTTGTGATTCGCTCTTGAAGAGCACCAAGATCAGAAGCCAGAGTTGGCTGGTAACCCACAGCAGACGGGATACGTCCAAGCAAAGCAGACACTTCAGAATTGGCCTACACAAGGGAGTTAAATTTACGATCTCTTCATCAATATAGAGCAAACAACAAGACATCATTTGTCCATACACTAGAGCACATTTGCTCTCCATCTATTGGATTGGAAAAACCAAGAGAATTCAGTGACAAAGATCAATCGAATAATATTTGCAGCAAAAAGAAAGGTGAAGATTAATCCAACTCAAATGCAAACCTGCTTCTCGCCTAGCTTGATGACACCACTCTCAATCATTTCTCTGTATGCTCTCCATCTATTGGATTGGAAAAACCAAGAGAATTCAGTGACAAAGATCAATCGAATAATATTTGCAGCAAAAAGAAAGGTGAAGATTAATCCAACTCAAATGCAAACCTGCTTCTCGCCTAGCTTGATGACACCACTCTCAATCATTTCTCTGTACAAGTCATTGCCTTCACGGGTTCGTTCTCCCACACCAGCAAACACGGAGAAACCACCTGTTCATCAGAAGAAGCGCCAATTAGTGACATAAAAACTGGAACACTACTGTACATACTACTTCTTAAAAACATCCTGACAGTTAGCCATACCATGAGCTTTGGCCACATTGTTGATCAGCTCCATAATGAGCACAGTTTTCCCGACACCAGCACCTCCAAAGAGCCCAATCTTTCCTCCTCTTTGGTAAGGCGCAAGGAGATCAACAACCTGGAAATAATGTAACAAATGTAAGCTTGGAACACGAAAGACAACACATGTAACCTGTGGGAACATTGAGGAGCTAGAGCTCAGAATCTACCTTAATACCAGTAGCAAGGATCTCCTGCCCGGTGGCTAGATCAACCAAAGCCGGAGCATCCCTGTGGATGGGTAGGTAGTGATCGGTTTCTGTGAAACAGCAGAAACACATTGTCATGATAGGTTTGAAGAAAGTGAGACATTGTATAAGTGTGGCTTAGACTTCTTACTAATTTCGCCTCTCTCGTCGATGGGTTCTCCGAGAACATTCATGATACGTCCAAGGGTAGCTCTTCCAACAGGGACCTTAAAAGTAAGAACACCGCAAAAGTCATATATTTGTAATCACAACTTAGTCAGATAACCTGAAGGAAAAGGCAACGCATAGTCTCATCAACATTCACGAAATCATCTCGAAATAGAGTTTATTAGAAAAGAATAGACTTTTGATGAACAAAACTGTATCACGACAAAGTCAACGTTGACAAAAAGGAATCAGGAAATGAATCAAAATACCAACAACGAATTCACAGATCTAGACCTAGTAATGGCAACACAAAACCTATTGACTCCATGAATCCGGATCAACGACCCAGATGGAAGGATCTATACACAGAGAGTACTTACAGTGATTGGAGCACCGGTATTGAGAACGCGCCTTCCACGGACGAGACCTTCAGTACCATCCATAGCAATGGTCCTGACGACATTTTGACCCAAATGGTGAGACACCTCAAGCACCAGCCTTGTGGGGTGATCCTGCACCTCGAGGGATGTCATGATCGGAGGCAATCCCTCCTGATCTTCGAATCTCACATCCACAATGGCACCAATGACCTGGCAGACCTTCCCGATCGCACCTTTGCCACCATAATCATAAGTCTTCTTCGCCTCATCCTTTGCTGGAGCAGAGGATGGCGAAGCTGAGCTAGCCGGTGACGAGGTCGAATACTCGGCGACGCGTCCGAGGAGGTTACCAAAAGGAGCAGCGCAGCGAGCGGGGGAAGGAGACGAAAGCCTAGGGTTGCGGCTACCGAATTTGGCAGCAGATCTGCTGGAGGATGAACGGAGAAGAGATGATAAGACTCTCCGAGACGCCATGAGTGTGTGTTGTTGTGTGAGAGAAAGGAAATGCTAGGGTATAATTTACAGGGAGCTGATTCCAAGCTCCACTCGTTCTATCTGGTGGGCCTAGAAATAAATGGGCTTAATTGGGCTTCTTCATGTATCTTTTAGTTAAATAATATATGCAAGAAAACTTAAAGGACCAATAGCTAAGAAGAAAATGACCCTTGGGATTCCAAATTGAGCTTGTAATTAACAAACATATATTTTGGGAGGTCAAAGTTTGATTTGAAGATCATGCCAAACACATATATGTTGGTGTAAACATCGAGACGAAAATTGTTTTACCTGTAGAGAAGAAAATAATACGAGTAACTAAAATTGTAATAGGTGTCAAAAAAAAGACTAACATTGTAGTAAGGAGTATAAATCATGCGATTTGATTATTACATAATAGTATAATACCATCTACCACCATCCATACAAAAGTTTACATTCTGTTTTGTTGTTGTCCGAAATATTCAAACTTTGCTTATGACGAAGATCAAAGTTTTTGATTGTTTCCTTCACAATTAACGGCTTGGTATGGAAAGCAATCAGGAATTTACACGTGTCAAGACAGAAACGATACACGTGTCACTGAAGAAGTGGTCTACGTCAGTTATCGAGAGTTGGGGGGGAGAGAATAAAGCATCCCATTTTCAACCCTAGCCCCTCTCTCTCTCTCTCTCTCTCTCTCGCTCTCTCTGTGTTTGTTGCTCAGTCATGGCGAGTCGGCGAATCTTATCATCGCTTCTCCGTTCATCTTCCGGCAGATCTACTTCTAAATTCTCATTACTCGGGAGCCGAAATCCTAGGCTTCCGTCTCCTGGCCCCTCGTCCCGCGTCGCTTCATGCGGGACTCTTCTCGGCCGAGTCGCCGAGTACTCGACCTCTTCCCCGGCCAAATCAGCTGCGCCATCGTCTGCTCCAGCTAAGGATGAGGGGAAGAAGACCTATGATTATGGTGGTAAAGGTGCGATCGGGAAGGTCTGCCAGGTCATTGGTGCCATTGTTGATGTGAGATTCGAAGATCAGGAGGGATTGCCTCCGATCATGACATCCCTCGAGGTCCAGGATCACCCCACAAGGCTGGTGCTTGAGGTGTCTCATCATTTGGGTCAAAATGTTGTCAGGACCATTGCTATGGATGGTACCGAAGGTCTCGTTCGTGGACGACGCGTTCTCAATACCGGCGCTCCAATCACTGTAAGTAGTTTATGTGTTTGTGAATTTCATTTTATAAGTCCCCTGAATCGGGTATCGAATTGACATTTTTCGCCATTTGATATCTGGGTTTAGATCTATGGATCCGTTTATGGCAACTCAACATGTTTAGTTTTTCTCTTGTTTTATTGTTGAATTTCTTTAAAGTGTCAATCTTTCCGATAGATTCATGACTTAAGACGTGGTGAATTTGACCTTTGGCTATTGTTTGTCTCCCCAGGTTCCTGTTGGAAGGGCTACCCTTGGACGTATCATGAATGTTCTTGGAGAACCTATTGACGAGAGAGGCGAAATTAGTAAGAAGTCTAAGCCACGCTTATATAATGTCTCACTTTCTGCGAATCTTTCCTGTCATGACAATATGTTTTTGCTGTTGCTCAGAGACCGACCATTACTTACCTATTCACAGAGATGCTCCGGCGTTAGTTGATCTAGCCACCGGTCAAGAAATCCTGGCTACTGGTATTAAGGTAGATTGTGGGCTCTAGCCTCACTGCACCCACGGTTCACAAGTGTTGTTTCTCGTGTTCCGAGCTGAATTTTGTTGCTTGTCTTTAGGTTGTTGATCTTCTTGCTCCTTACCAAAGAGGAGGAAAGATTGGACTCTTTGGAGGTGCTGGTGTTGGGAAAACAGTGCTTATTATGGAGCTGATCAACAATGTTGCCAAAGCTCATGGTATGGTTAACTGTTAGGATGTTTTTAAGAAGCTCTATGTATAGTGGTGTTCCGGTTTTTATGTACTAATTGGTGCCTCTTGTGATGTAACAGGTGGTTTCTCTGTGTTTGCTGGTGTGGGAGAACGAACCCGTGAAGGCAATGACTTGTACAGAGAAATGATTGAGAGTGGTGTCATCAAGCTAGGCGAAAAGCAGGTTTGCAATTAATTTGGATCAATCTTTACCTGTCTTTTTCCTGCAAATAGTAATCGATTGATCTTTGTTGCTGAATTCTCTTGGTTTTTCCAATCTTATAGATGGAGAGCAAATGTGCTCTAGTGTATGGACAAATGAATGAGCCCCCAGGTGCGCGTGCTCGTGTTGGACTTACTGGTTTGACCGTCGCAGAGTATTTCCGTGATGCTGAAGGCCAAGATGTCTTGCTTTTCATTGACAACATTTTCCGTTTCACACAGGTGAGCCTTATTGTTTGCACCTTTGTGCCATATATTGATGAAGAGATTGTAAATTTAACTCAGTTTCTACTCCCTTGTGTAGGCCAATTCTGAAGTCTCTGCTTTGCTTGGACGTATTCCATCTGCTGTGGGTTACCAGCCAACTCTGGCTTCTGATCTTGGTGCTCTTCAAGAGCGAATCACAACCACCAAGAAAGGTTCTATCACATCAGTCCAAGCCATCTATGTCCCTGCTGATGATTTGACAGATCCTGCTCCAGCCACAACTTTTGCTCACTTGGACGCCACAACTGTGTTATCAAGACAGGTATGAATTTATGTCCTTGTATGAGTATTTTCAAAATATCTATGTAATGCTCATAAATCTGATATCTCTATACTTTTATCTTTCTTATGTGAAGATTTCTGAGCTCGGTATCTATCCTGCTGTGGATCCTTTGGATTCAACATCCCGTATGCTCTCACCTCACATTCTTGGCGAGGATCACTACAACACGGCTCGTGGTGTGCAGAAAGTGCTACAGAACTACAAGAATTTGCAAGATATCATCGCCATTTTGGGAATGGATGAGCTAAGTGAAGATGACAAGCTGACTGTTGCCCGTGCCCGTAAGATCCAGAGATTCTTGAGTCAGCCATTCCATGTTGCTGAAATCTTCACCGGTGCTCCTGGCAAATACGTTGACCTTAAAGAAAACATCAACAGTTTCCAGGTATATTTATACATCTTAGCACTTGCAAGTTGCAACATGTTGATGACACAGCTATATTTTGCTATAAACCTATGATAAACGTACATGTTGCTTTGAGCTCCTAAAAGCTTTTAATGTCCCTCACAACACCACAGCCGTAGATTTGAGGTTGAGCTAGAATTGGTTTCAAGTATATAAGAATTCATTGTTTTGCTTTGGTTTAGGTGGACTAGCTTTACTTTGCCATGTATAGATTCCTTGATATCTTGTGGAATATGTATAGTCACTGATCCAAATTGTTTTGTGGGGTTGCTCTGTTACAGGGTTTGCTGGATGGTAAGTACGATGATCTTCCCGAACAATCGTTTTACATGGTTGGAGGTATCGATGAGGTGGTTGCAAAGGCAGAGAAGATCTCCAAGGAGTCAGCAGCTTAGAAACTGGATTCAGCTCTTTCATACGCTTAATATTTGTCTTCTTCTTTTGTTGACAATAACGAAAAGAAAAACCCAGTGCCTGTGATTTCCCCACAAAACGGAATTTGTGTTCCGTATTTATAATTTCTTTCGGTTCAAATTCAATGAGAGCTCCGAGATGATGCTGAACATATTCACTCACTATTACTCAGAGTTTTGGTTCATTTGTTTTCCTTGACTTGTTGAAATAAAGGATAAGTCTTGCAGATTCTAATTGCAATTTATGGATTTTGATTTCTTGATCCCCAGTCTCTTTGTTTGAAAGAATATTGCAAGTCTTGGTATCATAAGCAAATATGCTCATTTATATACAGCCAAACATGTATGATGACTGAGAAGCCGATTTTCAGCATTTGCCTCATCTATACCGCTGTTTATTTTGTTGCCAGTTACAAGCTCACAACTTTTGTCTATTTAACTGGTTAAAATATATGCACTCTTTTTAAGTTTTTAGAGAGCTGGGTTCATGTGATGATTACAAACTATATTGAACTTTAACAAGCACTGCGAGCCTCATCAATCCTTCTTACATTCATCTTCTACATACTTGGCTACTTTGTGGCAAGAAAATTAGTGGCTTGAAAAGAGTTTTGGTCCCCGTGTAGATAAGAGTGAAGCATATACTGTACGAACATTTTCTGATTAGAAATCTGAAATTTAGCAATCACAGTTTGGCATGATCTCTCAATCAACCTGAATTTTGTCCCAATAGTCCTCTAGTGTTGCAGCATAAGTTGGCCCAAATAAGCCCATTATTGAAGCCCACCAAAGTTTGGAAATTTCCTTAAACAGAACACCAGTGAAGCTATAGATTCAGGTTCTATGTTACCCTAGCATTTCCTTCCTCACACCCACATTTCACACACTCATGGCGTCTCGGAGAGTCTTATCATCTCTTCTCCGTTCATCCTCCAGCAGATCTGCTGCCAAATTCGGTAGCCGCAACCCTAGGCTTTCGTCTCCTTCCCCCGCTCGCTGCGCTGCTCCTTTTGGTAACCTCCTCGGACGCGTCGCCGAGTATTCGACCTCGTCACCGGCTAGCTCAGCTTCGCCATCCTCTGCTCCAGCAAAGGATGAGGCGAAGAAGACTTATGATTATGGTGGCAAAGGTGCGATCGGGAAGGTCTGCCAGGTCATTGGTGCCATTGTGGATGTGAGATTCGAAGATCAGGAGGGATTGCCTCCGATCATGACATCCCTCGAGGTGCAGGATCACCCCACAAGGCTGGTGCTTGAGGTGTCTCACCATTTGGGTCAAAATGTCGTCAGGACCATTGCTATGGATGGTACTGAAGGTCTCGTCCGTGGAAGGCGCGTTCTCAATACCGGTGCTCCAATCACTGTAAGTACTCTCTGTGTATAGATCCTTCCATCTGGGTCGTTGATCCGGATTCATGGAGTCAATAGGTTTTGTGTTGCCATTACTAGGTCTAGATCTGTGAATTCGTTGTTGGTATTTTGATTCATTT